TTAAGTGTCATAGAAATTAAAACGATCCTGGAGAAAATATTAATTCAAATTCATAAATAGCTGGTCTGTGTTTATGTGAGAAAAAAAACAACCAAGTGGAGCAATTCGGTACAAGGTTTGTGTCTGGTTCTATCCAAAGTCAGAGTGTGTCTAAATAAGAATAAGACAACAACAAAAAAGAAAAATATTAGTGATTGCAAGATGATTGACAGAATGCACAAATAGCAAGAAAGTAATTTAATTAGATTATTATTATTATTCTATAATTTCTGGTAACGAAACCAAGGATTCCTCAAAAGCGCCCTAGGCACTGTAGCTCGCAAGCCTGAAGAAACCTGTGGAGAGAAGACAATGAGAAGAAGTTACAGATTGAAGCAAGTCAAATAACTATAACCTGATAACGTAGAAAAAGATCAAACAAACCATGACAACTTCATGGAGTTACATTTTGTAAATTTGGACGCATTATAATGTGCAGACCTTGGCTCATGTACAGGGAAATATAATCCACATCTTTTCTTGGCTGGTTTCGGGGCAAAAACGATCTAGATTTGGCCAGTAAACAAGGAATATTTTCAGTTCAGTCTCACAGAGGGCGCCGTTTGCGAAACCGGAAAACGTTTGCGAAACCGGTCAAAGCACCGACCTCTACAAAATGTCCTGGCAAATTTCTCTTTCAAACGATCACAGAAAACTATTCATATCATGAAGTAGGTGAGTAATTTGCGCAACTTTTTAGATAGGTAGCTTCCTGTGAAAGTGCGTTTTTTCGCCACAAGACGCTTCAGACGATTTGCGATTGCGGAACCGGTCAATTGACTGTACTTGCAGTCTGCATGCACTTTATGAGGTAAAATTAACAAACATTCACAGCCAAACCCTGTTGTTCTGATTCCGTCTTGCTGAATTGTACTTTGTAGTTCACCCGAACTAAATGCTTCTCCCCTGAAAAGAAACTCTTTCAAATAGTATTTCATGCAATTTCTGGGAGAAAAGTAATGCGTTTCTATGCAGTGTTTACTGAACAACGAACAAGGTCGGTTGTTGGAATTTGCAGCTGTGTAGCGCCCTCTGTTGACCACTTTGACACAGTCGTAAATTTCCTCAGACGGTGTGATTTTTTTGTTAATCAAATTGTTTGGGTTTTTCCTGCGAAATATAATTATCTACCTTTTATATATTTGGGCTCGCTTTTTTTTTAATGAATTTTCTGAATAATGAAACAGGAATTGTTTCATATTTACCGGCGCCATCTTGGACAGACGAATATTGTTGATGTACCCTAACATGGCGCGGCCCCCAACGTGGCGCACTTTGATTTTTTGCCTGTAACGCCTACCTAGAGCAAACGTTTTAACTGAAATTTCACAGAAAGGGGAATTTCATCGAGTTCTAAACACTGCTGTTCATAAAACGCGAGTTTATTTACCCGTAACAAAGTTAGAAGAAAAATTTATTTGGCGTGATTTTAATTTTCAAGTGCAAAGTGAACCCTTTGAAAATGCCCCGAAAAAGAAGAAAATAATTTTCTGACAAACATCTGGCTGGGTATGTAAGTAGAGATAATAATTATTTACCAGAATTTATCAAGTTTACAGAAATTCGTAAATGTTAACTTGGAATTTTCCAAGATTTATTAAAGTGCGTCACGTTAGGGAACACTCCGCCAATTTGTGCCCAATTTCCGGACGCCACCGTTTTTGAATTTCGGATTAAATTTTATGAAACCGAAATTGTTCACAGAGGTTAAATAGCAAGCAATACAAAGGTAAAAGTACTAGTATTTTACTGCATGAATTTGAGGTTTGTCGACAAAGAGGTTTGGCAACACTACACGAGGAAAGTCGGGTAGCTTCGAAGTGCGCCACGTTAGGGAACACGACTATACGCGGCAAAAGTAGGCCCTATACGTGCGTGCGCAGACTGTATGCATATTGTGCACAGTACCGGCGGCGCGAACGTACAACTTTTAAAAAGTCTAAGCTGACAAAGATCATACGTCTTCGACTCTTCTCTAACAGTTGCACATCAAACATGCCCTCAGAGTGAGGAGACGTTTCAAAGGTAAGTGAGCTTCTCTCGATTCCGTGGCCTCTTTAATGCAGTGGCCGCTGACTTATTTGTTGCCTCGCACATTAACGATACAGGCAGGTTGATTAGCCATAATTTCCATAACACTGTTTATGGTTACAATTTTCTCAATGTTGCATGCACCAATTAAAGGTGAATTTCTAACAAGTTAAACGACCTTACTGCTAGGTCGTAAATGTTTATAGTTTACAAAGTTGCGAGTAATAACTTCCAGTTCCAGTGGACTCAGGCCAAAGTGAATTTGGATTTATTTTTTTTTGCATAAGCGGCCTAAACTGATTATGTTTAGGGTTACTTGTGTATTGAATAGTGACGTAGGCTGCATTGACTTTCATGTCTTATATGAAATTTGGGTTCATATGAAATCTGGTTTCGGACTCTAACCTTTACAGTTACACTCGACCTGTCAATGCCCTACAAGTGTTCACTAAGGCTTGCGCTATATATGTGAACACCAATAAATCAGTACCAAATTTGATCACCACTAGGCGTAGTCACGGCTCAAACATCCATAGTAATATGCATGGTTACATCTTTATTGCGCAAAGTCTGCACTATGGTGATGATATAATGATGTAGCGCCTTGAACACCAGTCATGGTGGATATGTGCGCTTTAAATACCCACTGTTATTATTATACATGTATTAATATCGGTAAAAATGTGAAACTTTATTTATCCATGTATTGAGAACACACAAGGATTTAAACACTATACTGTTCACCAGTCCTCCAACCTAGCTCTAGGCTAGAGCTAGTAGGCCTACGCGGAGTAAAAAAAACCATAAATATAAACATCTAGGCCCGCCTATACCAATCATTTATATGCATGGACAGTGACGTCACCAGACTTTTCAGTCTGGGGGGGGGGCCACGGGGGGGGGCACCAGCATTTGATGGGGGGGGGGGCACTTAGGTGGATACGGATCGCCGTCCTGGGGGAGGGGTCTAAGGGGGGGGGGCACTCGGGGGGCACTAGGTTTTCCAGGGGGGGCACGTGCCCCCCCCCGCCCCCCCCTGCCCCCCCCCCCCCCCCCCCCCCCCCCCCCCCCTTGGCGACGCCACTGTGCATGGATAATGATCAATGAATCTGCATTCTGGATGCGCTATACAGTAGGTAGCGGAAATATGATCACTGATTTAATGTTGGGTTCCCGTTCCTTTCTAACAGTGCAAACTATAAGCTTCTACGACACGTACGCTGCAGGCTTGCTGTGTAATAAATTCTATTATACATAAACCGCCTTTTGTGAAAATGATTTATGTTTGAGCCATGGGGATAATCTATTGTACCACCATCAATCAGCTAGGATGGCGGAACATGTTTAGTGTTCCGGGAGAGGGTGACCCCTTTGGCCTTGCGTCTCGATCTCGATGGCGCCGCTTTTACATAATAATACACATGTTGTGTCACTAATGCACCAATTCATCACAAACTTTGATAACTATAGGCCTACAACGTCATAATTAGTTTCATACACCGTTGGAATAAGTAAGATTTGAGGCTTTGCATGGTGGAATACAACCGTTGGAATACTCCATTCATACGTGGGGCTTCTGGAAGTATGAGGGTGGGGCATATTTTGCTTCAATCCCAGTAGAACACAAAAAAGACTATGCAAGTACATGTACTTCACTATAGTTGGGAACACTTTTCATTAAAATGACTCATGGCTCAGTGCGCGCCTAGCCTTGTTCAAGGCGGTCTCGAATTTCTGTCGGAGGGAGAGACTCAGGCACGCACGCGAACCATGGCAAACAAACCACCGCGTAGAGCACCTGAAAGTTCATCCCTGCTGGTGGCGCGCTGAAACTAGCTTTAACAGTAAAATTGACCCGCTAAATTTCGAAAAGTTGCAATTATTTTTGGTACATTGATTTCTTACAGAAATCACCCTCGGAAAAAAGGCCTTTGTATTAAAAGTGAAAGCATCTCAATTTATGGAATCTGAAAAATCGGCCGACGTGAAAGAAAAATATCGTGCCAAAAATTACTGATCTCTCACTTCCGAAAATCTAAATTACATGTGGACTATGTACTACTGGAACTTGGTGTATGCATATGAAAGTTTATAAAATAATTTTCGGGCGGTTATCGGGTGAAAACTGAAAGTTAAAAAGGAGACTATAAGATTGTCTTTTATGATATAGATTTTTTTGAAATAAACTTGAAGGACTCATTAGCATTAAAATAAATTCTGAAATGACCGCTGATAAGGACTGTATTCAAGCCAGCACGATATCTAGAACCCATCGGCTGTGCTGTAGGTAAATCTTAGCGTCGTTCTCTTGCTTTTATCCATCTCCAACTTCTCATCATTTTTCGTGATGAATACCGAGGTAAAATTACAACATGAATGTTTCTAGGGGTGATTACTGTTAGAAATCCTTAAGTTCTGTCAAAAAATAAAGCAAGAGAAAGGGCAACCTGTGTAAAATGCCCATAGGCGGGCCGGCCGCGCGAGGGTTTTAGAAGCTCGCTGCGTGACCTTATACTTTTATGCTCTATTATCATTATCACTGATGCAGAATTAATACCAAATGCTGTTCTCTATAATACGAATCCTCTCGCACGCACTAGCGCACACACACCAAAAAACATTAAGTTTTGCACGTTAATTCGCATCCGTCCCCGTCACGGTTCAAGTGCAGTGGTCTGGTTAAAATCGTTAGTTTTGGGTAAGTCCATTTTCAGAAAGGTGTTGTCAGGTTTGTCTCGCTGACGTGCTCCACATCATGCGCAATAATGATAATTATGTTCAGTGTATCAAGTCCATTAATATTTAACTTGAACCTTACAACCGTACAGAAGCCGCTCTTTTCTGTCTAACTTGTGGCAAGTCCGAAGGCCAGTGAGTTGCCACTAAGTCCTCGAATAAACACTGATTCAGGTTGTCGATAAAAAGACACAGTTTTACCTACACTGGCAATTGTATCGCAGTCGTGTTATGTGACAGACCACTGGTTTTCAAAGATGTTAACTCGTAAGGTGCATAAAGTCAGTCTCCTAGTTCTTGGGTCGCTAGAGTGTCTGTGCTTTGGTGGGTGGATCTTCGGATGGGCCTCACTGGTTTTTGTCCTGAAACAGGAAGGCTACTTCGCGGATAAATGCTGGACCGAGGGAACCACAGCTGACCCTCGCAGTACCGTACCGTCAAGCGGTTCCACGGCCAACGCGAGCCAACCGACCACCGTGCCGGGACTAGCGGGCTGTGCCGATCAGGACGCCGAGCTTCAACTCGTTTTCACGGTAGCTAACTTCTGCGTTTCCGGTGCCTCGCTGCCACTCGGACTGCTATTCGACAAAATGGGAACTCTTTTCATGAGAATAATAATAAGGTGAGTAGCACAAGTTGGAAAATTACATTCTACTTTCATTATATATCACGAGAGGTCGTACATGAACATTATCAGTGGCAAAGATCTATTCAGTTTTCTCGTTTTACTGTTTTGTCTTAGATTTTCCTTTATCAGTTTATCAAATGACAAAACAAAGTAAGGCCTAACTTTTTTCTAATATGTTTTGAGATGTAGGCCTATATCAGGGAGAATGAAGGGAGTATACATGTACTCTATTTGAGAATGTTGATGATCTTGTTCTTTGCACTGAACTAGTGGTTCAATCATGGAGGAAGGAATCCTCCATGCAATTCAATATACACATTGCCGAAAGATGTATAATTTGAATTGTCGTTATAGGCTTCATCTGTACCGATCATAAAATCAGTACAGTCTTGATATTTGAAGGCTCTATAGAGGATCCGTGCTCTGAGCGATCAAAGAGTTGATTACATTGGTGGTAAATCCCAGTGGTTAAGTTTTCTTCAACAACAAATCTTCCAAATTACATGTGTTGTTTGGTATTTTATTTAGCGTTCTGATGTTGGCTGGGAGCCTGATGTTCGCGCTGAGCTCCAGTAATCCTTTACTAGTCTTCCCTGCAGCCGTATGTGTATCAGCCGGTGGTGTCCAACTTCTCGTGGTAAACCTACAGGTGAGTTTTCTTTTAGGGCGGGATTTGAACCTGCAACCTCGGGCTCGCCTCACTGGAAGTCCATGGATTGGATTATAACGCGGGTCATAAAGGTTAAATGCGAGCTAAGTGCCACTGTGCCAACTTGTATTTCTTATTTTATTTCGACAACATCTAACAGCGCCAGCGCCAGAACGGGATGGGACTTGGTACAAGACGTGGAAGGATATTGCGGTTTTGATGGTGGGAGGAAAACCCCAATTTCCCAAAATGATATTCTAGGGCAAATCCATGCATAGAATCAGGCATGGACTGAAAACCCAGGCCGGGATTCGAACCCGGGTGACGGCGGTGAAAGGCGAGGAAAGAAACGCTATATACGCCAACATGATCCCCCAGTGACTGAGTTCCTCACTCCAAAAACAAAGTCAAACCACATATTAAAAGATAACATGCAACTTTAATAAGCCGAACAACTCTTATTATTGTGTGTTTAAGTGCTTTGTTGTTGTCGAAACCCTGACCAGATCTTTGACACTGAGTTATTAGGCATGTCAAGGTAGCTTTGATAAACTCTTACCTTGTGTTGTCATTTAAAATCGATTGTAACATGGACATTATGAATACAACTTAGAGTTTTGAAGAGTTCCATATTTTTTTTTACTAAGCATTGTTGCACCTCAGTCCAACAGTTTGATATTATTGGTTTATTCACATGTCAGCTTCCATCCATAAATGTCAATGTGAAATATACAAACTTATGTGTGATATTATATATTTTTGTTCCGCAGATTTCAAATCTATTTGGACGAAATAAATGGATAGTAATGACCATATTCTGCGGCTGTTTCGACTCATCCGCCTGGGTGTTTCTGGTTGTGAAGGTAACCTGATGTATTTCTTTCTTATGACTTGTCATTATTGTACTTTGTAGTTAACCCCATTTTCAACAATAACATTTGTCAAACTCCCCTGATTTATTTGACTAATGATGCTCACAAGAAAGTTAAACAACAGCAAAATTATACAAAACATTAAAGCGGAAACTTATTTTTGTTAAAACAATTTACGATAAGACATGATAAATTATTACAATCGGTATCAGTTGCAGAACTTGAAATACGATTTGGCAAACGACTCAGCAAACAGTAAGCTCAATGCCACTTGATAAATTATCAACCCGCTTTTTGCGCGGCTCAATGACAAAAGAATGGGCATAACGATGTTTGCACACGTTTATGTCTGTGCACTTGTTTGATTTCCTCCGGGAGTCTGATACACATCGAGTATCCCATAATATATCACCGCATGACGGGGCAATCTTTCTGAAGAAATTCAGGGGTGAACAGAAAAGCGGTGAACAATATCATACTCTCGTGTAGGAAGACAGAAAAACAAGTGTATTAATTCGAAGTGTTAAAGTAGAAAGTTACGCGGCAGGAAACCTTTGGTTTAGCTGTGGGAATCTTCTTCAAATTCTGTACCGATCGTTAGTTCCGTGATTGAAAAAAAGCTATGGTTTTAACCACCACACCAAAACTTGATTTCACTGAACGAATTCTATCGATTTCCGTCTGTTTTACCAATGACCATATTTCCAGTGTCAGTAAATGGACCTTTGCCTTTTTACTATTTGTTTGCCATCAACCTGTTTTTGAAGTGTAGGCCTATATAATGGAACTTTATCAGTTTCTGAAGTGCTGTTTTAAAGATTGTCTGAATGGTAAAATTGAATAGGTCAATAACACACAGTCAGATGACACATACACATGACCTCAGAAAATCAAAACGATAGCCTCCAGTGTAAAAAAAAACCCCGATTGTCCAGCACACCAAATAAGCTTTTTCTTCAAAAACGAACGAACTTTATTGTACATTCTCTTGGCAACAAGGGCATCTCCTTGGGTGTAATACAATTACCAATTGTTAGTGAAATTGCAAGTTGTAACTTGATCGCTCGTCGTAAAAACCAAAAAGAATTTACGTGCAGTATCAAACGTAAGCCTTATTATGGATAAACTGCACTGGCGGCGGAATGGACCCACATTCTCCGGAATTTAACACTGTTAACCTAAAAAGTTGGGCAAGATTTGAGTAAGGCATTAGTCAACTCTCAATCCGCACTCCCGGACTGCCCAAAGGCAGCACTTTGCTTGTTACTCACTGCCTTCTCCCACGTTATATGACCTCTGTTTTCTTTTGGACCCTTATTAGATATATTTTAATCAAAACTGGGCTCTAGTTCAACATACGCATGCGCACCATATGCACGTGTATTGGTCTTTGCGCAATTACCCCCAATCCTTTGCGTTTGCTCCACAAATGCGCCTTTAGATGCGGCGTCAGGTACGAGCTGAAGCTTAGCTGAGACAGTAAAACTAAAAGGCATCCAAAGTTCATTGCCAGCCCCTTCTACAAACATGACACATAAACGTTCTGTTGTGGGAGTGACCCTAGGCAAATATGAATTGCGATTCCATGTACAAAATATAAGTGGTTCTAGAATAAAGACATTGGTTGTTACTGTATTAAAATGATGTACTTGACGTGCTGGCGACACCTTTTGCGTCCTTGTTTACCAGCCAGCATAACTAGTGTTCTGCACGTACCTACACTCACGCTTCACTTGATCGCACCCGTTGGGTGTGTTTGCTTAACACCTTTACAAACCTGTCAGTCATGATAACACACATTGATATTTTGGCAACAGAGCGCGAGTATGAATTTGGAGTGATTCCATACACACTGTACAAGGGCGAGGACGGGTCGTCAACTTGACAACTTGATAAATTTCATATTGTGTCTGAATTCGGCCGTTGGATCATGGAACTCATCATGCATGCAACACGATTCTAAACAGCCTCAGCAACTACAAAAGCGCAGTGTCATACGTGGGCTTATAATAAATCAAATTATAGTCTTAGTTCAAGACGGGATTTTTATTTCCCCAATGCACCCTGTAAAATTCAAAGCCGCCAGTAAAGGGCGCTACCAAAGCGCCCTCTTTCGGCGGATATGAACCGCCGTGCATCAGGCAAGGGAAATGCTTGAACTTGTGTCTTCCTTTGACCGAGACTATAGTCTATGTTCTCAATTAGGACTTTGTCTCAACGAGAAGTTTGAAAACAGGCTGGGTACCCCACAATATTTTGCGCGTAGGTTGTACGACACATTTTCGACCGTGTCATAGAAAGTTACAACCGGCGGAAATGCGCGTTGAACCACCTCGGTACGTATGGTGGTTACCGAAGTAACAATCTTTAATTTCATTTCCCTTCTCCTATCCTGAATTCCGCAGGTCCTCTACGAAAATTTCGGCTTCCAAGTTCAAACCTCTTTCTTCATTCTGGCGGGCAGCACGTTTGTCTTCACTCTGAACACATTCGTCTTGCTGCCGAAGAAGGGGCACATTCCATGGCCACTCCCACCGGATTACTACACCAATCAGCGGTCGGGAAAAACGTTGAATATTCATGAGGATGAGACGCTGCACGCGTACAGCAACGCCATCAAGGACACAGAGGGAAAATATCACCCTAAAAGTGAGGACGATGAAGCACTTGAAGAACCTGACCCCAGAGAAGCCAAGAAAGTTGAGAATAATGGTTGGTATAAAACAGTTTTATTTATATATGTATTTTGTACCAAAAAAGATAATGGGACAAAAAGGCTTTTCAGGTTTTGAACAATGTAGCTCATTTTCGCAGTTTGCTCATTGACTAATAATGTAATCAATTTCCGTTTCATTTAAAGAAGTCTCAGAATACTACAATGGTGCGTGTGGCAATGGATTACCGAATGGAGTCAGCGGTGAGTCCGCTGACCAAGATGGCGACTCTACTCTCGCGTCGCCTAGCAACCCACTGTCGAAGGATTTCCCATCGTTGAGGGCGTGCGTCATGTCGCCCCTCTTCGGCCTTTTCTACTTGTGGTTTTCCATTCTGCAACTGGACGTATTGTTTTTTGTCAGTACGCTGAACCCGGTGCTGACCAAACTTGCTGACAATGACGAACAGCTCGGTAAGTCAAGTCCCAATTCGCATGGCCTACAAACACATAAATCATCTTCGAGTTCATCCGGTGTGGTCGCCGCGGTGCGCACAAGCGTCGCTAGAGGAGGTGACGGTACGGACCGGGGTGCAACAACCACCAAGTGCGTCATATTTTTGTTGGCCGACAAAATACAGAATGGCCATCATGAAAAGCGCCTCCAGTCCTAGTGTAAGATGGTGTCTAGTCCCATCCGTATTGTGTCATGACACCAAAACGTAATACATAAAGTCGGAGAAAATGGTGAACATTATTCCAAACGAACCAAACTAATACTAATTTTGGATGATGATTGGTTATTTTTAGTTTTACTAAACATATTGAATGTTTTTCCCTCCTGGGTTTCAGTGAGTTCCTACACCAACGCACTTGCCTTCATTCAGCTAGGAGGAATCCTGTGTGCTCCATTTAGTGGGCTGATTGTCAGCAGGAATAAACGCAGACACCGCTGCTTAAATAAAGACAAGGAAGAAGGTAAGCTTCATTGGTCCAGAGGGGTCACGTGTCAAGTTTTCCGAAAAGTGAACGTTGGCATCCAAATAGCGTTTATCAAACCTTGGCGTCGATCCGGTCTCGGCTTTGGGCTTGAGCCTGAAACCGGTTTGGTACCCTGACGCCAAACCAAGTTATCTTTGGAAGCAGACATTCTTTCGCTCTGCCTGTGACTTAGGCCCGGTAGCCTTGCCTTTTCTTTGTCAGCATTCCAATTGGCGCTCAAATGTTACACGTGACTTTTTGTTCTCCATAGAGAGACTCGAAGGGCGTGGCCCATACAGCGATCAGAAGGACGCCGCCCTGGCCTACGCCACCTGTACCACCATTTGTCTTATCTTCGGCGTGTGTGGTATATTACCCATACTGGAGGCCCAGTATGCCACCTTCGTGCTTTCTGTAATGAGCAGATCGTTTGTGTACAGCCTGACAGCCTCAGGAACTTCACTGTTGTAAGATTTTTGTTTTAAACTATCGACGCAGTTTGTGTTAGCTTGTTTATTGTTAGCCCATCGTTCAATCAGTTCTACAGTATTTTTACGATGGTCATTAAACAGTCTGTAGTAAGCTTTCGACTCCATTCAGGGACAGTAGGTGGCGCTGTGCTGCCTCCTCATGAAAGCAGTAAAGGACACGGCGCGTTTACGTTTGCGCACTTGTACATGGTTGGCGCGCTTTTGAAACAAAGTACGCACGACCGATTTTTACCTGAATGTGGACATAACCCGTAGCGTCTTCGCAGAAGAGCGCGCGTGAGTACACGGCGACAATGGCATTCCAGTGTCCTTCAACTCTATTTTTGGTTTGGTCGTAGAGGGGGTTTTCCCTACCGAGTTCATTGTGCAATCACTTTTTTTTTCTCGTTAATTACTTTCTGATTGTGTCTAGTTTTCCCATGGAGTATTTTGGCACACTCTACGGTCTGCTGATCTTGCTGTCGGCAGTTTTCAGCCTTCTGCAGTATCCGCTCTTCATCATCACACAGAGACTCTTGAACGACAATGACTTCTGGGTAATAAGTTAGTTCCCATTTCCCAAGTGAAACAGTCAAGTTCACACAGTAAAACGATTGGATTGGTGGGGGGAGGTCTGTTTCGCTGGGTTCCGTTCATGGCAAGGTGGCGGAAATAAAAACTGCCACAAACTGCTCACTGACTGGAAAGACCTGAAATATAAAACTCAAACAATTGACTTTTGTAATTCTTAATTTTTTTTAAATTTAATCACATTACGTCAAAAGCAAACGCATTTCAATATGCCCTTTTCTGATGGATGTCGGAAGCGGTAGTTAAGGTATAGTTGTACTGCGGCCATCTGGGAGATGTGTGCTTTTGTTCCACATGGATACGCACAGCGCCCGGTAGTGTTTATTAATTAATATATCAAAATACACGTCCCAATGGCTGATGAATACAATCTATATAAGATGTTGCATTGCGCTATCGACTAGGAATTTAGCCACAGTGTAAACGATCCCCCAACGTAGCAATAATACAGCGTGAAAGCATTGCATTCAACCGGCTATTAGTATGCCTAAACGCACGCTACGAAGCGTCGTACTTTAATTTAAAACAAGTTTGCCGCCTTTTGAAAGGACAGGTTGTTTGTGATTCTTATTGTTTTATTGCTTTTGTTTTGGTGATTTTCAGGTCAAGATTGGTTTGCTGTCTGCTAGTCTTCTGACCTACTCTCTTTCCATCTACGTCTTCCTTCATGCAAGAAAAAAGGAAAAAGCTTGGCAATGTGGGGATCAAACAACCAATCACAGAACGGGCCAAAGGACGTTAGCAGACAACCCGCTTTAGAACAGTTTTTGTCACTGTATTTGGCCAAGGCTTTACTGCTGCCTCTAATTGCATATACAATATTTGTATCATTTTGTGAACATTATGTATTGCATATTCTTTAACACAATTTAACTTTTTGGGGTTGAACACCAAGTTCTCAGGTCCCGGGCAATGCAGGACACACCCATTTCATTCTACTTCGAGTGACAAACTATAACTAAAATTATCATTACTGTAAAGTTGAACAAACTAGTCAACAAACACAATAATATACACTATTAAAAGAAAGAAATAGTACAAAGGCTACAGAGAAACAAACCATAGAATATAATGCCGATTGACGGAAGAAATATACTGTTAATAGAAATTCAGTACGAGTGTTTAACAGTGTATAATGTAGAGCTTTCAGAGAAAATAAAAAGGAATATATGCACCTTGGTATTCGTTTACATATTGTTTTAACACAAGAAAACTTTGTTTTTGTAAATATATAAGATAATAATTTAGGCCTATTTCTTTAACCTTTAATCTTCCTTATAAACGTTATTCTTTTCATACAATGTCTTTGTTCATAGATACATGTAATACCAAAAGATGATCAAAGAAACAAGCTATTAAGAATAAAGAAGGATTTGTCGCAATCACCAAGTTCTTTATACATGTAAAAGTTTCCCAGGGCACGGTTTTAGACCAACTTCTTGTGGGTCTTGCTCATAATTCATTGTCTTGTTAGATTATTCATTATCAATGCTGTGATAATAAAACAAACTACACAAAATTGTGGACATTTTACTAACTTATACAATCTCGAATCCCGTATACACTACTGTGCTACATTACAAATTTATTGGTATTATTATTATTAATTTATGGTAATGAAACCAAGGATTCTTCAAAAGCGCCCTGGGCATTATAGCTCGCAAGCCTGAAGAAACCTGTGGAGAGAAGACAACGAGAAGAAGTTACAGTTTTAGAGGTGGGAGAAAAATCCCAGAAGAATATGCTGGGGAAAACCCACGGAATCAAGTAGGGACTGAAAACACAATCCACATATTGGCCCAGGCGGGATTCGAACCCGGGTCAAAGCAAATCAAATCACAATTATTTGCTCTTCATGACAGAAATGAAAAAAATGATATTAGTATTGAAACAAAATACATGTATAGGCCTAAAGGCCACTAGAGGTGGCAAAACCTTAAAAGCATAGCTTGTATCACATCGATGGAAGGCAAGGAAAGTACCGCTACGCCAACCTGACTCCCCTAAATAGTGCAATGTGCTTTCGACGTGTAAAATGAATACAGGAGAGTTTTAAACGTACTTAACTGAGTTTAAATGAGTCTTCCAACTCTCTTGAACTAAATTTAAAATGCGATTCGCTGGCCAGCAATGTGCGCTTTGCAAAATTATAAACAGACAGTTCAAGCTGCATGCCTGGTATGTTTCTGCCCTCATCAGAACATTTCTCGACACGACTTGGTTTATTGTTTTCTTCGTTGCAACCAAACAAGAAGAAGCAAAACAGCGAAACCAATGAGGTGAGCGCCTCCCAATAGCATGAAAGTCAAGGTGTAGCTCCTTGTTAGGTCGTAGATCAAACCTGCATCATGGAAAAAATTGAAACAAATCAATTTGAATACTAATATGACGTATGGGGGCGCCAGGGGCAGCTTTCCCCATGGTGACATTTTTTTTTTTCGAGAGACGAAAGTGCCAGCTCTATATCGTTTTACCAACGAAAAGACTGAGGGGCCAAGTTTTCAGAAATACTACCCACTAAAGTAAAGATATTTTCGGGTCATTCTGACCAGAAAATCTTGGCAAAACTATTACTTTGACCCCAAAAAGTGTTGTTTTAGTGAAAAGTCGGATCTGATTCGACCGATTTTTAAGAGTGTAGGCCCTATACAAATGATAATAATAATAATAATAACGGAGTCTTATATAGCGCACGTATCTACCAACAATTAGGTCCTCAAGGCGCTGGAATTATGTCTATTATTAAAGACAGGTAAAACGAAGTTTATGAGAAATATGAGACCCATTATGTAGCACCTTATAAGTTTACAAGGTGCTGCGGCGCATATTACAGCCACTGCCAGAAACACCGGGGCAAACCCCTTCTCTTAGCAATAAGTGTTACTGTGTTCTTTAACGTGCATTACACAACACACGGGACCCACGTCCCATCCGAAGGACGAAGCAATAATATTAAAGTGCCTTGCTCAAGAGCACAAGCACCATGTTCCCACGGTCAGGATTCGAAGCCAATGTACCACGGCACACGAGTCAAACACCGTTAAACCACTGGACCACAGCACCCCACGATGATGACTGTGTAAATGATGACTATGTAAATTATGTTATCAAATTTGATCAGGGACCAAAACAATTTTAAAGTAAGTTACAAAGAGTTAAACTTTCAAATAACGGAAAAGATCACAACGGAACTCACCTGGCAGATACAGCAGCGAAAAACGCAGAATGCCAGACTTCATTGAGATCCAACCAAAGGCGCTACCCAACCGATCCACAGCGATGGCTTCACATAACAAGACATCTGCCAGCAGCCATGCCAAACCAATGGCAAATCCATACACGCCTTGATTGACAGCTGTCGACCAGAAGGACGTCAGCCACGGGTCGATGAGGTAATACAGAGCTAGTAATATCAAAGTGATTCCCATGAAGCCTTTATTGCCAATAATCTTGATCTTATCCAACAGAGGTCCGAGACTGAGACCTGTGAGTATCCTCGTCAGCCCGGAGATGGCGGTAAAGATAGTGACATCACTCAGCGAAAACCCCTTGGCCTGAGTGTGAGGAACATAATATACCAACCAGGCAGTATATACAAACTGAATTATGATGTAAATGATCGCCAAAAGCCAGTATGTCACATCGTAGAAGAGCTCGGTGTGCAAATTTTGCCAAAAGGATCGTAAAGCTGATGTCTTAGCTCGATTTTCTTGGTCACTGCTTCGTCTAGACGCGTTCGAGTCCGTACTGCTTTGAGTTCCTTCCTCAGCACCACTCACTAAGGAAATATAGTCTCTACCCTCCTTTGTGACTGTCGCATCGTTGTCAGAGGGGAAACGTAACAGGGCACCGCATGCTGTCAAATGAAAGAAGATGGCACCCAGGAGTAGCAATGTGCCTCGATAGCCGTAGGTATCCAAGAACAACTGTGACAGCCATGGAATTGCAATGTAAGCAGCAGGGGTCCCGGTCTGGGAGATAGAGAAAGCTGTAGAGGTACCCCCTGATTGGAAACAACGGCCAATTAGCTCTCTTGATAAAACATGCGACAGTCCGATTCCAGGTCCTGAAAGAAACAAAAAGATACGGAAACACTACACATAGGCCTAGGGTTGTTTGCAACTAAAGCCTACTATAACCTTGCTCAAATCAATAAGGTTTTTCATAATTCAAAATTAGTTCTCAGTGAGGCGGTCAGGGTTTCCAAGAGGGTCCAGAGCTAAGACACTAACCTGCCAACGCTGCCAGCACAACAGCCATAACCAGAACTGAAGACGACGCGGCACTGACGATGAAAGCCACTGTGATCATGACCCCACTCACCATGATACATGCCCGGATGCCAAAGCGTCTTTCAAGAGGAGATGCAATTGGACCTGTAAATTACAACATTAAAAAAAAAATGTATTTACGGTGAGTATTTATGGACTAGATTAAGATTTTGACGATCATTTTTGCTGGAATTTTTAGTGAAATGTTCCTTTTAGAAAACTGCCAGAAATCTATGCCAAGCAGATTTTTATTCTACTTCTACTTTATTTCCTTCATCAAAACCTGCCACATCAATTTCTGCCTGTTGTTCACATACGCACAAACGTAAAAAGAAAACCACAATGCACGTTGAAAAAAATCAACATAGTAAATGATAAACGAAATAAAAAAGGGAAGGAAAACCGTATTTGTACAATATAAAAAAAAACACTGAGACATATTATACCTGTAAGATCAGCAGTAACTTCCATGATGACAATCATCCAGCCGATAACCCAGGTATACGTATCCGCCTGGCCCTGTAGGGTTGGTAACAGCACAGCTAGACCCTTCATTGCAGCGTTCCAAACAAAACCACTTGTCCAGGCACATAGGATTGCCAGTAAACCGACGTACCGGTTCTTTTCCCAGTGGTCAAACCAACACTTCGCCATTTGTATTTACACTATTACACCAATCCACACATAACGATCAACCAACTTTGAAACTTGATCAGCGTCAACAGACACTGTACAACAAAATTTCCAATGTAAGATGAGCCAATAAAGACCGCAGCCGACCATGCACTTAGGCCAAGTTCGGGCAAGGACCATTAGTCGACTAGTGGTTGATTTGTGACGTACCTTACGCCTGCGCACTGATAGCAACGTGCGAACGTCTCTAGTCAAACGCTAGCCTTGACCAAGGCGTTGGGCTTATCGATTCGCCGATAAAAAAAAATCACCGATAAGAAAATCCCTAATCAACTTGGCAAGGCATAATTGCGTGCACATATCGATGCCCGTACGCTGCTAGTGAGAAAGTAACTTGTACCATACAGCGAGGCTATGCTTGCACGTACGCACGTACACACACGTACTCGTACAACAGCCATGCACACACAGTACATGCATGAGCTAGTCCGCGTAACCCAACGCGGCGCGTATATCCCCCACACGTACGTACGTACACCCACACGCAGAACACAGTAGGCCTACATTTACTGCCTTTAATATTACACCATGCGTACAGTCCGTACTCACGTGTGTGTGCTTGCTGGTTGTGTTAGCCGTTCGTACGGACAAGGGTCGTACACGCACGTAGCCGCGTTGATTGTGGGTGCAGGGCCCGATTATCTCCCTTCGACAAAAAGCCGAGAGACCGCATTGAACAAGGCTAGTCAAACGCTGGTCAAATTGTCATCGCAAAACTTCTGGATCCTGGCTTTCTGCTAGCGTTATGAATGCGCGCGGCTATTGGTTACCAGCGAAGCAACCAACCCCAGTAGGCTGGTTCCAAATAGTCGACTAGCGTAGTCAACCACCGTCGACTAGACAGAGTTCGGGCAAACGTTAGTTAACCATTGGTCAACTATAGTCCTTGCGCGAACCTGGCCATATGTTCGATTGTCGTCATTGTGCAGCAATGCGATAAAGTGCCAAGGTTGCTTTATGTACACGTTCGTGACAAAATATATGTGAACGGATCGTTGAAACTCCAAAAAAAGTTACACAAAGACTGCCGTGCTTGCTAGATGTAATACATCTTGCACCGCTTTGCTCACGAAGTGACAAAAACCTAAAAATTCGACAAATGAAAGTTCATTCTGAGATAATCGCATTTGAAGTTATTTATTTTTTCAAAAGACATTTTCGACCACTTTGCAGTAACAGAATTCGGAAATTTTTGCATTGTCCGATAGGATATGATTTGCTCTTTGTTAATTCATAGTTGTTTGTTAAAAATAGTTCGTAATTAAACTGTAATTCATTAATAAAACTTTTTTGCACTTCGTGAAAACATCTAAACTTTGGGTCCCATATTTTGCCAATTACTTTGTACACAGTTTTTGTCACTTCGTGGGATTTTTTCGACGCAACAAACTTGTTACTTTTGCGCGTCACGACAGTTGAGCGCGCGCGCGTCTGTTCTTTTTCAACATCGTTCGTGTGCGCGTGTATGCTCCCATCCTTCCGCGTGTAGAACATTGTATAATTTCTGGCCCTGCTCACGAAGTGACTTTTTGCCACTTCGTGTGAACATTTTACACATTTTTACACTTGGTGAAAATTAAAATCACCGATTTCAGGCTCTTTGTCAATTGTTTGTTTACAATAATTAAGAAAGTAAACAATATTTTGCCTTGAACTTTGGTCAAATTGTTCCTTGAGACAACTATAATAAAATGGCTAGTAAAACTCAAAATCGAATAATTATCGATTTTCGAGGTTTTTGTCACTTCGTGAGCAAAGCGACGGTACGTGGTGTATACGGAAGGACGTCCCTCAGGATGCAGTGAACTAATTCAAGTGAGAATTTCTACGCGAGCTGATTAGCATAAAAAGTGACCCCACAGTTTCTTTTGAAAACGGAGACCGTTTGGCTTAAAAAACGGTGGAATTGTGAAAATATAGCCAAGGATCAACTCCCTGGTTTTTGGATGACGTCATCAGACCGGAAGTTATAAAAAAAAAGACATTTAAACCTTAAACAATTGCTAAAAAATCAACCGTGACAGATATAATCAAGATGTGGCTATGTATAGCAGAGTAAATATAGCTCTGGAGGTTTCTGGCGATGACGTCACAATGACGTCATCAAGTGTCATATTACTAGCAAATAAATATTTCCATATTTAATCTTTGAAAATCAATATAAAATCAACTGCTACAGATTTGATTTTGTTTTTTATGGCAATCGATAAAATATTGCAGGGTCTTCATTTTTGGTTTGAAGTGCAAAATCACGTGACCCTTCCATCCGGTCAAAACCGGAAGTGCCTTATTAATTGAAATTGGCAGAAGATGCGAACTTGCTTTCAACGATTCGAGTGTCTGCCTAGGCAGTACTGTACAAAAAATTTACAGGTGACGTCATCAAATGTTAGAGCGCCTTCTGACGGCATGTTGAAAAGTCAAACATGGATTTAAACATGCATATTTTGAGTTGATGTGTGTGGCAAAGTTTGCGGTAATCCATGGCCCAACACCGTGTGGTTGTTCCTACAACCTCTAGTTATGGTTTGTTATTTTTTTCCGTTTTGAATAACTGGTATGAATAATAACTCAGGACCCATTCAGTTAATGGACATATAGTGTCACGGTTTGCAGCTGTTGAATGCAGACTGTTGAATGTGTGGTATCAATGTGCAAAGGATCGGCTGCGCTGCAGTCGGCCATCATAAATGGCTATTAGGGGGTCAGACATGGGGCTATTAGCTTACCGTGCACTGAGCCACTATCATAATTTTCTTCACTCATTCACATTGTCGTAAAAGTTTCTATGCAAAACGACCCTACACTGGGGGTTTGTGTATAAAATATCAGACGGTTATTAATTAACAGCCCATCACGCTCATATTTACTTCGGCAGCGGCCGCAAGCCCCTTTAAAGAATCCTGCATTGATCCACGGAGGTCACGGCCAACTATTACAACGTGCTTTCAGCTGGTTGTAATTTTATGGAACTAGTTTGGGGCTTGGCTATGGAGTGTATACAAGTTATTGCAAGGGATCTGTGGCTTCTCCATCATAATTGCAACATTAATATGCAAATATTGGCATGACTTGTAAAGACATGTTATTATTACGACGAGTGTATGTACTGTACCCGTGAGTAGTAAACCTGAGGCATTGCACTGTGCATGTGATGGCAACTTTACAATATAAAGCACACTGTAGTGTAAAAGTGGTGCTTAGCATTTAAACACTATTTTCGTACCCATTTTTTACATGTCATATTTTAAGACATGTTCAGATTCTTTGCACAGCATGAAAGCCTGTTAGTGCTATCAATAATAACTTATAAAAAGTCAAATTAAGTTCGTTTTCGGACACATCACCTATGGCTACGGGCCTGGCTACAGCGCCCTCTGTGGTCTGCTGATCGCGCTCGCAAAATGTGCACTCAACATGGCGACTCCGATATGCGCTGTCTGTGCAGTTTGAGTCCGAAGTATTTTTTGCCGCTTGTGGCCTAAACTACCGAGATGGAAAGAAACAAACAACTTGGAAAGAAACTGCCAGGAAGGAGAAGTATGACTGTAGTTCTTATTTCGTTAATTAACATTTGTATGTGACGGAAATTTAGATATTATAGCAGTTGTTTTTGTCGTCTGAGTGATTATTCCGATTGTTGCAACGAAATTAGGAATCTGCTGAAACTAAACAATAACGCCCTCTATCGTCCAGTTTTATGTTTCGTTACCGTATTTACAAATTCGTTGGACCTCACTCAGCTACGGGAGCTTGAATACCGCGTTACCGTGATAATTTATCACAGAGATGCGGAATTCAAAGATAGTGCTTTCCTCGATACCACATTACTGAGCCCCTTGTGGCCAATTAACTGGACTACCTCCGTAAAATAAAGGCCACACTGGGAACATGATGTACCCGAACTGCCGAAAGTGTAGAACTTTGTCAAGTTTTTATTTTTACACTTTGTCTGTAGTTTATTTATGCTTAGGAACACACTCGCCCTCTTTAAAGTGATAAAATATTAGTCCCCCCTTTTTCAGACGTATATTTTCGTGTAATTTCAAGGTTCATTTGCGGTCATACTAATCAGTGTCAACACAGCGTCAACACACGGAAGCGTCAACACACCTCCAAAACGCATTCAAAATGACAAAACCAGTGTTCAACTGAACAGTATGGGCAAAAATGAAATTGTGGCTTAAAATCAATAGGTCAAACATCTGAAAATTGCAATTTTCATAGGGGACAACGGCCGTGCTGCTTAGACATATTTTTTTCGCGAGAAAAATCTCCATTTCTGTAAACGAAATGTAACCCCTGACCCACCTAAAATCTCTGTTCTATGCCTTTTTTGTCAATGTAGAATGCGTTTTGGAAGCGTTGACGTTGTGTTGACGCTTCTAGAATGTGTTGTCACTGTGTTGACGCTTATTTAGTACGACCCTTCATTTGCACACATTAGCGTAAATTCTAACATGAAATTACATTTGATTGTCTGTTCTCCCTAGCAACGGGACCTTTCATAGGTTTTGTGGCTGATAATATGGTTTTAGGCCTAGTCCAGTATTTCAGCCACATTTATGGGGCTAAGAAACCCACCTCGTGTTTAGTTTTAGGACCCAGCACCCTTGGATGTAGATGCCCTTCTTTTGTTATTGGGCTCATCTGAAATAGCTTGTGATTTAGTTTTTGAAAGATTTGAAGGTGAGATAAAATGAAAAATAAGAGACTAAGACAAGTAAGACAATTTACATGAATAAGAATAGCGCTTAACTTAAGTCTTAAGAATAGATGCCAGATTCTGCCTATAAACTTTAGGCACTTTAATCTGAACAAGAGTGGAGGGATGCTGTCTAAGACTTATCACATTCCAAACCTTTTGGTATATAAAAAAAAGGCTTTTCACACTTTGTTTTGCCTTAACTAATAGTAAGCTCAGGCTCTTGTGTGACCTCAATCTAGAATGCAGGATGCACTGCTAATTAATGCCATGATCATCTCGATATGTCATGCTTGTCATTACAACTAGGACTATGAACACCATGCTCTCTAAACAACTTTGATGTCCAGGTTGAATATTGTCCCTTTTTCTCTTTTTGGCCAGTCCTACCGGCAGGCGAGATTATCGCTCTTGGGGCCAAGTCCCGCCCAGGAGGAGGGCAAGATGGCTCGGAGCTCCGCGCCAACCCAGAATGGAAGAGGGAAGCACCAACCACCTCGGCTGGACCTCCTCACAAGATTGCCAAGGTCTCTGGCCAGACCTTCACCCCTCTGGGTCGGGGGGTGCCTGAGAGCAGCAAAGGAGGGGCTGGAGAGCATGTCATCAAGCCAGGCATCAAGACAATCGAAGGTGAGAGACAGGCAAACTTTCTTATCATTAAATATGCTTCTATTTGATCTCCTTGTTTTTGTTAACTATATTTAACAAGGAGGCAGCGTTAGGCCAATATCAAATACAGCAGAATGTCACTGCATGTTTCATATAAGGCATTCAGATGTGGAGACAAATTCTTAATCACAATAAGAATGGTGACTCAATTTGTCTGAGGATTCAAAACTCAATTGTAGCCAATTTTTCTTTCTCTTAAAAGTCGATTTCCGGTAGAACTCAGGCGAACTTTAACATACGTTTGACTGTTGGACACTAGAATTGAGGAAGGAGGGAGGGAGTTACGGGCATTTTCTGTTGAGTCACAGACCTCTAAAATTTGCAACATAGTTTCTTGTGGTTGGGGGAGGCGGAGAATAGAAGGGTGGGGTGTAAACTGGGAATTTATTTTGTGGATGTATGTCTCCAGCTCCCCACACCCTTGAGCTGAATATTCACATGCTCTCATTTTTGCCCGACAGTGCCAGCCTCGGAGCTCTTAGATCAAGTCCTAGATGCTGACGGGGCAGAAGATGACGACCGCATCGACGGTCTGCTGTGTGGCGCCCTCAAGACGTTGAAGAGCACTCGGGCCAAGCCTGGATCGCAGCTGTACCTCAGCTTGATGTACCTGGCCAAGATCAAACCCATGCTGTTTGAATCGGAAGACGTTGTGGATGTAAGATGTCAGAGAAGGATTAGTTGCAGTCAAGTTTAGGCCCATTGAAAATTCCACGAATGTTATTCAGAATTCTGCAATAAATAGCAGAATCTATGCACACATTGCAAATAAACTTGTTATTATTCATTTCCTGTTACTTGTGACTCTACACTACTTGACTGAACTTAGTGATCACGATGGGCTTGTAACTGACCCATTTCCTTGTGTTTGCATTCCAGTACGTCTGCAGCCTGCTCAAAAGAGACATCAGCTTGAGCTTCAAGAGTAAAGGCAACCCTCTGGTCTCCGTGCTAGCCTGTAACCTCCTCATGCATGCCTATCTCTATGAGGATAACTGGCCCATAGCATTTGTCAAGGTGAGTCCCAGGCTATAAGACAACAGAAATTCACTTTTTTACGTTTTATCCTGTTGAATAAGCAAAATTACCTTTTGGAAAGAGGGCAGGACTTTGATTTTTGCTGAACCACAAGAGCCAGCTTACTGTCCTCTGACTGTCTGAGATCTGGCTGACTGATTGACTGAGTCACTGAGTATAAATATTGTCAAAAGCTGTGAAATGTTCAAGTCCAGCTGAACAAGGCAAAAGTATAGGCTTAAGTGGCAATAAACAGGCATGGGATTTTTTAGATTTTTGTTTAGAAAGAAATGCGTCACTCGGACCTTTCATCCAATTTCCAGACTGCAAAATCGGGGAAAGATTACTAATTTAAAGATTACAAACTTAATATTTTGAAGTTTTATGATCCCCCCTTCCCCCCCCCTGCTCTTTTTCCTTTGTTTCCTCACAGGTCTTCCTCGAAGACGCCATGGGGGAGAGGGTTTGGGTAGACCATCCCAGCTGTCGTGAGTTCTGCAGTAACATCCAGACAGCGTTTGGCACCAAGATGCCACCTCGTCACCTCATGCTGCCCATCGACCAGCTACGCCATTCCACCAGCACTCCCGATCTCCAAAGTAAGCTTTCCAGATGTACCTACCAAAAATTGGCACCAAATCGCCACATAGGTGGACACAATGTGGTGGACACAATAGGATTGCGCTATTTAGTCTGGGCAAACACTTTGAGCAAAAGCACGCATACTGAAATTTGTATCCTTGTGGAGACATTTTTCGTTGTTCTCCTGTACTAAAGTTTTCGAGTTTGAAAGTACAGTTTCAAAATACTCTTATTTTGACCAGAATTAAATTCCTTGGCTGAAATTCGGACTTAATATCCCTTTTCTAAAACTCGACCATTTGCGACAGATCAAGCCACCTTGAAAATTCCTAGTTTTGAGTAAAATCCATATATCTATTTCGTGAAAACCTTGTGGAGACATATTCATCTATAGAAATTGTTCTGTGGAGACGTATACAATCTTTTGTTCCCTATTGTGTGCATGTCTCCAGAGGGCACAGTGTATCAGATCAATGCTGCTCATTAAACACAGTGACTCAGTCATGTTAGTGTGTGCTGAGGTATTAAAAGAGTCGAATTGAAGTGGCATAGTATGCATGTACATCCTCTCTCTCAACTTTACTGTGTCAACGGGGTATAGACCTACTCAGGTGACACTAACCTCCTGCTTACAAACGCAGACATCTTGTCAAGCACTCCCCAGATGCTATAACATCACATCAGTGACGGACAGAACCTAATTTTACATCAACCTGAAAATTCACCAACAGTTTTTGAATGCGATACCCTTGCTATTTTGGATTTGAACCAGCTCGATGGTTGAGTGGCAACAAGTCTGCAGCAGTAAGTTAGAGGTTTGAGTCCCACCCAAGTAAGTGCAGCTATTATACTGAGCATAATGTTGGTGATGGGCTAAACCTTGCTTTGATTTGCTCAGGTGGAAGTCCACTCCGGGACGACAGCGATCTGTCTTCAGAGTCAGCTGCCAACCAAACGAGTGAGGACATGGATTTGACTGCAGACGTACAAGCCGAGGGGGTGACTGCAAGGTATGGCTGAGCCGGCACAATATGAACAACTCACAATACCTTAGCATCTCCATAACATTTCTCAGCTTTAATTTCTCCTATTTTTTTTTATTAAAAGACCCTCATGTGATTTTTTGGCATGCAGTCCTTGTTAATGCACCTTTGTGTCCAATTTAACCTTATTTTCAATTTCATCTCGCCATTTTTAAGGGCATTTTGATACTAATGCAAATTTGCATATTCATGAGCAAAAGTGATTTCAGGTAGAAACCTCAAAGTAACTGCTATTTCAGCACCAACATTTTCCAGAATTTTGGATATTTTGCTGTCGTAAATGTTATTTTCTTTGGTGATTCGTTGATGTTTCAGTACATGACAGGCCAGTGAGCAAAGCTTTCTCACGAATATTTTCATTGAGCAAAGTTTGGGTTCACAATTTGAACAGAAAACCCCGAAACTGAACAGTGTCTTCCTAAAATGACATCACAGCAACAGCGCCCTCATTTGTCAGGAAAAGCATTGACAATTTTAATCGTTTAAAGAAGTGCACTTTTTACCAGGATCAACCAATAAGGGGATGTCAAGTAGTTTTCATACATTTAAGAGGAGTAGAAATTTGCACAAAATATGTTCCCAAGTAAAATTCATTTCATGGACCTTTTAAAACAGATATAGTCTTCTGAAGGACAGCATAGAGACATACGTGGTAGACTTTGTTCGTGACCAGCTGACACGACGGCAGGGAATGGACACTCCAAGGAACCTGCTGCGCGTCTTGACTGCGGCATGCGGCTTTCCTGAGGTCCGACTCCTAGCAGCGACAAGGCTAGAGATGTGGCTGCAGAACCCTAAGGTTAGACAGTAGAGCTTTTTGAGGAATACTGTTTAGAGACATTTCACAACGAGGGGATGATGCACCAGTCAAAATGGCAGCCATTCTGTACAAGATGCTGGTAGTCTTGGATTTTTTTTTAATTTTTCATTTGGGAACCTGTAGAAACTGCAAGTATGACAGGTTTAAGCAAAAATTAATACAAATGCTCAACAGCAAAAACTCGGCTTTGGTATACTCATTTCAGTATGGTGATTGCCTCTGCCAATTTTATGGATGAAAAATTGTTTTGGAACTTTTAGAAACTAAAAGCATAAGTAACATTTGCATATGTTTTGCATATGCATTTGCATATGTTTACAGTCATTAGCAAAACACATTTCCATTGTTGAGCAGCAAGCAGTAAATACAAATGCTGAACAGAAAAAACTTCTATGTACTCCAGTGTTGGAGCAAAGGCTTTGACCCTCAAGGCCAAGGCCAAGGCCAAGGCTTTGACCCTCAAGGCCAAGGCCAAGGCCAAGGCTTTGACCCTCAAGCCTCGAGGCCAAGGCCAAGGCTTAACCCTCAAGGCCAAGGCCAAGGCCAAGGCCCTGTTTTATGTAATGACCACTGATATAGAACTTATTATAGTCACATGAGTGACACATCATCACGCAAGGGCGGATCCAGAACACAATTTTTTGGGGGGGGGGCAAATAAATGTTGGTCCCCCCCCCCCAAAAAAAAGTGGGTCAAAAAAATACGGCTTGGGCTTTGGGGCCCGCTTAAGGGTCCCGAAAAATGTTTGGATTCGAGATGCTCTGTGGTGCGATTTGAGGCAATTTCTGACCATTTTAACCGATGTTTTTTTAGGAAAAGATGGTGGTGTACTCATTGCCTGCCTTTATTACGACGTCACATAAAAAAAAATGGTTTCGTTTTTTTTGGGGGGGGGGGATGGCCCCTTTTGGCCCCCTGGATCCGCCCTTATCATCACAAATTGCTCGTTACGAAGAACAACATTTCTTTAATTGCAATCAACATGCTCGCATAGGCCTACACCGTTTTATGACTGCACTGTATCTATTAAAGTATAAGTTCAGGTCTTCGATATGGTTTAACTAAAACAAAATAATGATTTACTTCTATATTGACACACAATTCTCCCAAGTGTAACAAAAGGGGGATCCAAGAAACTGATTTGGGAAATTTGTATTTGCTGGCCCAACATGGTCAGAAATATCAGCATTATCTAAAACAGATACATGCAAATCTTAGGCCTATACAACCAATCAGATCTATTCCATTGTTATGTGCAATTAAAGTGATCATCTCATTAGCCCCACAAGTGTACAGAATATTTTTGCAGCAAATCTACTACAATGGTAACAAAATGTGATGCTACAAAAGTGGAAGTGTGCCCAACACACAAATCTATAGGGTGCTTCCCTCCTCCATGGTAATACGATTAAAATGGTAACAGCAAAATTTCGAACAGATTTATCTGGAAAATGCAAACATCTATGGGCCTTGAAGAGCCTTGACTCAAAATTGCAAGGCCCTGAACCCTCAAGGCCAAGGCCAAGGCCAAGGCTTTTGCCCTCAAGCCTCGAGGCCAAGGCCAAGGCCCTAAAATCCAGCCTTAAGGCAGCCTTAAGGCCAAGGCCCAGCATCAAGGCACCACATCACTGGTGTACTCATTCACATCACTTCAATGGTCAATCTGATCGGGTAATTCCATTCAAAGACATTAACAAATGTGCTGAATGCCAGCATTGTGCTTGATGTCTCACCTGGCAGAGCTGACTAACTGAGTTGGTAGAGCACCGGTACATTATTCCATAGGTGACAGGTTCTAATCCTGCTTCAGTTGATTTTCTTTTCTTCTACTGAAAATTTGATCACACGGCTGCTTATTTGCTGATTTGAAATCAAACAAAATCGGTATCCTCTTTTGAATGATCACCACAAACACAGGATTCTAAAGAAAAAGTTGTTACTTGTTCGAATCTCACCTCTGTCAATTTTCTGTGTCCATTGCAGCTGACTCGGCCTGCCCAGGAGCTCCTGATGGCAGTCTGTCTGAACTGCGACACCCACGGCCAGGAGGATGTAGAGGTCATAGGTCATCTCATTAAGATCCGTCTCAAGACCAAGCCTCTCATTAATCACTACATGCTCAGCATGAAGTAAGTATGCATAGAAGTCTCTGCTAACATTGTTAAACTTGCATTGGTGTTAGACTTAAAACCTGATCTCACACATATGAGGAGAGACAATGGCCTGCAAGCTTCCTTTGAGTTCCCAAGCTCCAATTCTAATTAGCATAGTTCTCAAGAGTTATGTTGACCTGCATCAGAGGTCATTAGGACAATGAATCGATTGCTGTTCCCTGACCCTATATCTGAGTCAGTTAGGACAATCTTATTAGAGGCTAGAACTGGAGTGATTCTCTGTCCAAAGATCAGATTTTTGATTGACCAGTCCGTTCAAATCCAATAAAGCAGTGGAGACTGCCGCCAAAAGAACTTCGGATGATTGTGAATTTCAATATTTGGTTTTGTCTGCGACTGACTAGTAAATTGACTTGTTGTATTGTTGGTGTGGTACTTTGCCTTCACAGAGAGTTATTAAACCAGCATTCAGACAACCTGTCCACCCTTCTGAAGCACACCATCTACAATGAGTTGTCTAACTCACGCAATCCCAACAACATGCCGCTACTGGCGACTATCTTCCAGCATTCACCGGAGGCATCAGCCAAGGTAGGTGGTGGGTGGGGCATAGTGTGGAGGGAGCTGAGACTTCATGTGAAGACACAGAATGCCAAAATGTAACCTCTCCTCACCAAAAAAAAAAAAAACCCTCATTTTATGTCCAGCTTATCCCGACAGTTCTTAGGAATTATGGAACTTGAAAGTAAACTATTTTGGAAAAAAGGCACTTAATTCACTTTCCACTTTTTAGTCTTCCAAATATTGTAGCAAATATTGCTACCCGTGTACATAAGTCTTAGGTCCAAATGAAAAATTGTTAAATTAAATTGGTAAAAGTTGTTTTTGTGATGATACCAATAAAACTATTTGGAAAAAATCTGTTCTGTTTACTTTTTGAACAATGTTCCAATTACGCCTGTTGTTTTGTGTTTTTTCCTTGAAGTTTTTGGCCAATGTATTCCAAGACCTGCTGATGAACAGAGACGACTATCTACGAGCTGTGAGGGCGCTGTTTCGAGAGATTGTCAAATCGTTACGCTATGACCTAGACTTCCCAGCGTTCTGCAGGGGCCTGATGAAGGAAAGAACTGACAAACAGTTCATTGACATGGAGGCCCAATTCAAGGTACATTTACTTGACTCTTAGATAACTGAGCCAATACCTGTTTCAGGATCTCTTAGCCAATCTCTTTGTGAGATTTCTGAAAATATCCTTCGAGTGAGATTTCTGGGCAGTCCCTTTTGATATACCCAACCTATTCCTTCATTGCATTTCGAGTTTATTGTACATTAAAACAATTTTTGTACTGACTTTTGTTGTTGTCAAGGATCGTATGCTGCTTTCCCTGACTGACCTGATTGTGTTAGCTGCTCTTCTTAGTGTCAGCCCAGCGATAAAAGAGGCTGTGGCAGCATACACCAGGGGTGACAGGAAAGGTATGTCGTTAAGATGAAAGGTCAAGAAAGGTATGTCGTTCAGATAGATCAGGAAGGATATGTTGCTGAGATGAAAGATCAAGAAAGGCATGTTGCTGGAAACAAAGATCAGGAATGGTATGTTCCTGAGATCAAAGATCAGGAAAGGTATGTCGCTGAGATAAAAGATCAGGAAAGGTATGTCGCTGAGATGAAAGGTCAGGAAAGGTATGTCGCTGAGATCAAAGATCAGGAAAGGTATGTCGCTGAGATAAAAGATCAGGAAAGGTATGTTCCTGAGATCAAAGATCGGGAAAGGTATGTCGCTGAGATGACAGATCAGGAAGGGTATGCTGCTGAGATGAAAGATCAGGAAAGGCATGTTGCTGGAAACAAAGATCAGGAATGGTATGTTGCTGAGGTGAAAGATTAGGAAAGGTTTGTCACTGAGATCAAAGTTTAGGAAAAGTATCTCAAGATCAAAGATTAGGAAATGTTTTGACTCGGATCTAAGATCTCTATTTTTTCTTAACACAGACATGGATGTACTGAGAGCCTTCCAGAACCAGGCCTCCGTCATGCAGAGAGATGCAGTATGGTGGCTGCACACCGTGGCGCCTAAAATGTTCAAAGTCAACCAACAAGACTTCAACCAATGGTAAGATATCCGTAGAACCCAATGCTGAGCAGATCCGTAAAACTAGCTCCTAGTCTTTAGATCAAAAATAACTGAAAAAAATTGATGTACAGAATCAGTTTCTGAAATGCTCAGTTGTTTAACCTGTACCAGATTGAGTAATCATGTGCTTCTTTCTGTATGCTTTGTAGTTTGCAGAAAGTGCTGTTCATGGAGCCGTCCGAATCATATTGCAGCAAAGATAACTGGCCACCAGAGTCCGACAGATCGTAAGTAACCAACACAGTCATTTCTCAACCTTTATAGCCTCTGATTTTTTCTACAAGGACCTTTCTAAGTCCTTTAAAATCCACTGCTGTGCAGAAGCTGAAGTACTGTATGTTTAACATAAGTATTTGATAGGGAATCTCTAGATGATACAGTGGTGGCCTAGTTGCTGTCTCCGTAATCATAGTCCATGATCTTCTTTACTCCAACATCTTGTTGCAGGTTACTGCTATCCCTCCTCTCTGAGGTCCCTGTTCAAGAGGATACATTGATGAGGGTCCTAGTGATGGGCTTATCACGTGAGCTACCATTAACAGCCGCAGATGGCTTAGAGCTAGCGGACAAGTTAGTCAAGAGAGCTGCAGTGCTGTATGCTGAAGGTCAGTAGTTCATAAACCTACAGAAGACAGATGGGTTCCCTGAACTAGGTCTGTGGGTTCCAAGCAGGTTTTTACTTTTAAGTTGATAGCCTTCTCACACTACACTGAAACCAACAGTGTTATGTTCAAGGTACTTGTGATGGATCACAACCATACAACCAAGTAACAGGGGATGAACCAGAACAAAGAAATGTCTTTGTCACCGTTCATTTGAATAGCTTGTGAGTTGACTTGGGACTGGAGGGCTTAAGATGGACTTGTGAAGAACTTATCCATCACAAGCACCTTGTCTACAACGCTGACTTCCAGTCATCGCTTTGTTTACTCTAAGACAAAACAAAACTGAGGGGCACAAAATCCCGAGATCAAAGTTGGGTCTGCTGACTAAATTGTTTTTCAAATCCTGTAACACTGTTTCTAATTTTCTCATTCACATAGATTTTCCAGTACTGAAAGTGGAGCGGATCCAGTTAATTGATGCAGTGCTGAACCTGTGTGCCTACCATCACCCTGAAAACATCCAGCTACCACAGGGGTATGTATGTCCTAAATCCTTTTTTTTTCATGAAAATTGCCAATTACAGGGCCAAAGACCAATGAAGGTGGATGTTAAAAAAGAAAAACAAATATTCCCCTTAAAAAATTCCAACCATTCCAAGTTTTGAATCATTCCCTTGGGCAAATTGACTGTGTGATTTTGGTTTACCTGTGAGAATAACTTGGTTATATTTGCACAGTTACACACCGCCCAGTTTGGCCATCTCCAATCTCTACTGGAAAGGCTGGATCTTATTGGTTGTCATCACTGCATTCAATCCAACCAACATAGGTAAGGCCAGCTGTTTAAGTCCATGAGTTGTTGGCATTCCTTTCCCTCAGATCCAGTTATTTTCCGAAGTCAAATTTAACAATTTTTCTCTGATATTTTCCCTGTATTTTTTCTTCCCTTTACAAAGTGTCTTTAATCTTTATAAATTTGAAAAAGAAGAATTTTTTAGTAAATGGGGAACAAGAATTTTAGATTGTTGAGTTTTGATTTGTTGAACTCACCTTGTTTGCCTTGATATCGTTAGGTCTATCGGCATGGGAACGGTATCCAATGCTGCGCTGTTTCATGGAGATGGTCATGACAAAGTAAGTAAACAAATCACAATGAAGCCAAGCTGCGTTACATTCCTGGAGACAAATGAAGAATGAGAAAATGGTATTCCCCAAAATGTCACAATTTGCAAAAAGACTTGATTGAGTTCATTTTACAAATAGTTTCATGTCAATCGCTATGTGTTGTTCCCCAAGTCCTACAAGTGCATTCTTTTCGTATACCCTGCCTGGCTCCCAGAATTCATCTGAGGACACGTTGTGATGAAGGACACAAACATTAATGCATGTTGTGATCTGTCACCACTCATTCATATTGCTGTTTTTTTTTCATTTCCTCTGGCAGCAATTTCAAGTACCCACCCCCTACAGCAGCCCCCGACGAACGTTCACAGGAGGAAGTCAGAACAAGGGAACTCCAGGTCAGAACTAGCACAACACCTCAAAACTGTCCCTACCAAGTGATTTCACATAAGCTCTATGCTTGCCATTGTTAAAAATCCTCAACAAACTAGTTCATTTCATTGCTATATTTGCTACAGTCCATTTTGCGTCTGATTCACTGACTGACTGTCACTCCTGAACTAGAATGGCTAAGGTCTCACCTTGACCCAAAAAATAGACTTAGATGACTACCTAGACCCCTTGGACCAATTATGTTCAGGACCAGATTGACTAGACGTACCTGGTTATGGTCTTCATTTGTTCCAATCTTCATACACTTTACTGTCATGCTTATGTGTCATTTTGTAAATTGATGAGATTTTAGCACCAGCAAGAGATTTTGCTGTTGTGCCATAGTCCGTGATGCAGTTTTTTGTTTGTTCTTCATTGCAGGTGATTGCGCTTGAGAAGCAAGAGATCTTGGAGTTTGAGAACCACTTAGCGAGAGTGGCCATCACTGAGGCTAACAGCCTACTCCTGTCACAGGTCATACGTATGGACCCTAAGTAAGTCAACTTATAGAAGAAAAGACTGGGCCTGCCAAAAACGTTTGTTTTGTTCTTCACATAAACAAAGGACAGATGACTGTCTGGATTATTTATGAATTAATCATTGGTTATTACTTATCAGTAATTGATTATTAATTGATTTTTTTTTCCAATTGTATCTATAGTGGTATAGCCAGGCGCCCCCCTGCTCAGGTGCTGGAGCAACTCCAACACTTCAATAAAGTTCTGAATCTCGGTCACATGCTCTGCCGAAGCCGGTCCCCGGACTTCCTATTGGATATCATACAGAGACAGGTACAGTCTACCAGCTACAATGTTTAGACAATCAAAATGTCCATGTTTAATTTGATGAACAACTTCAAGACGGAATTTCTAAGCTCCTTTTAACATGTTTTGAGTTGAACAGAAATATATTGTCAGAAATGGGATTTGGACCCGAGACAACTGGATACCATACCAACACTCTTTCAATTGGATTTTTTTCCTTCGTTGGACAGGGCACGTCACAGTCCATGCCCTGGCTAGCCGAACTGGTAAACTCGGCTGAAGGTTCCCTGGACGTTCTGCCGGTGCAGTGTCTCTGTGAGTTTCTGCTGAATGACAACCAAGACAGTGACGCTGGGGAGGAGAGTAAGAAAGGAGATGCCAAGAGAAAACAGGTAGGGTGGATGGAGCTGCTGGAACTGTAGTCAGGTGGTGGGGGTTCGGAACCAAGAAGGGAGAAGCTGTGAAGAGGTGGTAGATTGGGTGGGTCTTTATGAACTGCAGTCTGACGGTTTAGGGTTCAAAAATTGCAAATGAAAGAGGAAATTGTAAAGTGGCTCGGGCTGCTAAACCAGCAGTCCGGAGGTTCGAGGTTCAAAACGGAGATGGGAGAACCTACGAGGAAATGGCAGCGTGGGTTGAGCTGCTGAAACTGCAATCAGAAGGTTGGGGGTTCAAAACAAGCATAGGACAAGCCTTTCCTATCTTATCATTGAAGAGCAGGGGTTTATCATGTCTGTTCATTGGGTGTGAGTGGCTGCATGATACATGAACCTGACTCTTTTCAAGAAGGCTTCTGTAATTGTTTTTTTGTATGATTAGCGAATTGACAAGCAGGAGCAGTTACTATCCCGTCTTCAGACCCTCGTACGTGGACCAGACTCTCAAGCATCTACCTGCTGTGAAGTCATGGACTACTTCCTGAGACGACTCAGCTCACAACAGCAAGCCAGTCGCTCACTGGCTGCTAAGGTAAGACTGAAAAGAGGTCTTTGACTGTCACTTTCACACCTTGATTCGAAGCAGAGTTGCAGTCAAGCCCATCACTAACTCATCTCCTGTCAAATACAGCCAAAATACAACACGTCAAACGAGAACTTGCTGATAAATCTCAAACCCCTGTAGATATCTCCTGATTTCTGCAGTTCTTTCCAAGGCCAAGCCTCAAAAAGTTTGGTCTGATGTCTTGAACATGTTTCAACACCAATTGTATTTATAAACATTGCAGGGGGGGGGGGGGGGTTTGGGGGGGGGGGAATAAAAGTCACATTTTTTTAACACAAGCCGGCTTAAAATTGATAACTTTTGAATTGCACAGGAAACAGCTGTACTTAACAGACTGCAGCCAAAGTATGAGTAACAGTTTTGATTGGAAAATTTAAAGTGTTAGAGCCAATCAACTGTTTTTTTTGCCTGGGGCTTCTGAAATGCATTACCACTGGGTTCTGCAGAATGATTGATTTTGAAGGACTAGGGAAAGTTTAAAAAATACCTCAGGAGTTGGAGCTACTGAGTATTGTTATTTTATTTTTTCACAAAGGGTCTGATGATGGTCTTATCCGTGCCTGAGGATAAAAACACAACGGAGGAAGACACGGAAGACCCGCCCTGGGCTTGCCCTACACTGATGGCATCACATGAATGGCTGTTGAAGAATATGCCCTCCCTCCCTCACTTTGACCCTGTCAGGGCATCAGCCACAACTGCCCTCAGACAGGTAGGATATTTTCAGCATTAAACTTTCCACTCCAGATACCTAAGCCTCACCCCTACCCCCACTCCCACACCCACCCTCCCCCAACTCCACCCCAACCCCATCCCCATCCACAATTTTGTCAGGCAATTGTATGAGCACCCCTTCTAATGATGCCACATCTTTTGTTTTGTTTATTATCGCCAGGCTTGCCAGATTGAGACAGACCCGTTAGCACTCAGTGCCTACGTCGTCTTTCTGTCGCAGTTTGCTCCAGTCACTGATCTGAACGACTTGGCAGTGGTGAGTCTGTGATATCTTCTGTCCAATTTGTTCTTTTACTGTTTGCGTCTCGTCAGAAAAGGTGTGACCAATGGTTTTACATATACAAAATTGTTAATGCACAGTGATCTGGAAAATTTATTGGTGTGTTGTTTTCTTGACAAAAATATGAATGGTCCAATGGTTGCAGTGTCCCACTAGTAGTGTGTGGTTTCTAACCCTGACGGGAAACATGGTGCCTGTGTTCTTAGGCAAGACACTTTACTACAATTGCCACTTTCCATTCAGGAGAATAAATGGATACCTGAGAGGGTATAGATTACATTATGCTTTAATATCTCAAGCTGCTGCACAAATCTGGTCTCCTGGCCTGATGAACAGGGGTAATAATCATGGAGTACTTTGAGACTCGGGGTATGAAGCACTATAATTATGCTCACCACATTTTTGAATTATTATTAATACCAAGCATTTTTAATACCAGGATCTTGCCCAGTTGATAGTGGAGCGACCAACCATCGTATCTTGCATCCTACCTCGTGAGACCTACAACGAAGTAGCTGACGTCACCTTGGCAGCTATGATCAAAATATTCAGCCGCTACTTGCTCAAAGCTACCAAGCCTAACGAGGAAGGATATAGCTGGGTAATAAGTTGTATAGTTTAAATTAAAACCTACGCTGACCATCAGTTTTATTTGAAGTAATTTTCCTGAGATGTTGCAATAAAAGAATAAGGCTAAGTAGTGGTGTTGTATTTTCCGATTACTTTTTCGTATGATTCCGGGGGTAGTCAGTAGTACCTTCCCTGGACCCAGTGAAACTCTCCGTGACCCAGGTTCGATTCCCGCCAGGCCCACCTCTAGATTGGGATTTCGATCCGATCTAGATTCCTTGATTTTTTTCATACCAGTATTCTTCCTACCTTTAAAACTGAACAGCTAACATACATCATCATTTTTCTTTAGATTTATACAGGCCTCCAAGCAATGATGTTTATACAATTTCGAGGATGTCTTGTTGTCATAACCAAGAAAGAATTGTAATAAATGAATAAAAAATACTGATTTTGTTGTTTTTGTTCTTCCTTACTTGACAGTCGGACACCCAGGACCAGGTATTCCTGTACTGGCAGACTGGTGAATCAGCCACAATGCATATCCTGATAGTCCATGCTATGGTCATACTGCTGACCTACGGACAACCCAAAGGTAGGAAGATTCCTTTCAAGTTACTTCAATCATACGCTTACCAGTAAGTACCACCCCAGACTGCCCTATATGTTCCTCCCTCTTACAGATTCATTAAGGATTAAGCACATTGTAAACAGTAAAGTACAGGTGTGAATTAACTTCCACTGGCTTGTTTATTTTGCAGGGCTAGTTGTGGAGTACCTGGGCTGTTAAAACTTTGAGGTGCATAAAACCTGGCTTTCTAAATGCTTGTAGTGCATCTTCATTTTGCACTGGGCAAGAAGTTTTAGCACTTTTTTTTAGTCCCATTCATTCAATTTTAAAACATGGATGATTTAAAATATTGGCAGAAGTTGACCATGAAACACTATGTGGTAATAACTACCGCTTAGAAGATATTTAGTTCTGAAAAGAACTTTTCCTGCTTTAAGTTCTAAAAGAACTTGTCTTTGGTCTAAGCAGTAGTTATTAACACATGGTGTTACCTCAAACCAAAACGTATCGTTTTGGTTTGAGATACTCCACCATGCAAAGCCTCAAATCTTATATTGACCATGAAAGCTGTCTTGAACGCCCCAAAGGTTTTGATATTTTAATAAAAAGAATCTCTTCAATATCCTCTCTTCTAGTTGACAGTGATTTCCAGCTCTTGTTGCACTCTTGGTTCCCTGAGAATAGCACCCCACCCCAGGCCTACCTAGTAGACACCTCAGAGGATGCCTTACTGCTCCCTGACTGGCTCAAACTCAGGATGATCCGATCCAGTGTGCCAGAACTCGTCATTGCAGGTTGGTATAGTGTGTTGTCTCTCAAATTTCAAAGAGCTCTGGTATGGACATAATGGATTCAGTGAATGAAAAGCAGAAAACACTTTGTGACTATTCATGAGAGCAAAGCACTCGTACTTATTCTTAATGTGCAGTTAGATCAGACTCAAACTTTGTCGCCGCATAGCTGCTTTGGCAAGTTTTGGCCACTCGAAATGTTTTTTTCCTACTTATAAACATTCAAGATCTATTGCGTAATATGTTCTCTGTTCCTGCAGCTTTGCAAGATCTGGAACCAGCCCAGCTAGTTCTCTTCATCCAGTCGTTTGGTATTCCAACAGCCAGCATGAGGTATGTCCATGATGGCCATTTTAAGACAACAGTAACAATGTAGGGGGAGGGGGAGGTGACACCCCCAGCCCAACTCAAATGATAGCTGTTTTCATTGCTCTGATTTGAATCATTTTTGCCTGACATTCTGTAACGAAGACATCCTTGTCTGTTTGTTTGTCTGCCTCTCAGTCAGCTCTTGGCTCACCTGGATGCAGCGGTCGTGCAGGACTCTCAAGCCATGGAAAACGCGGTAGTGGACAAGGCCTACATGGCTCAGCTGGTTGAAGTCCAGCAGATGAGGGGGGCGTCAGGAGGGGTGGAGTTCCACAAACTGCTGACCGAAGGGGTGGAAGAGCCTTCGGACAAGGACAAAGGTAAGATTCATCAGCCCACCCCCTTGTTTACCTACCATCTCACTCCGCCCACACCACACCTTGGTCAGTTACCCTGTAACATACTTAATTAATTATAAGATGGAATTTTGCGTCGGGGTGATATACTTAATTAATGTTTAATTTTTTTTGTAGACAAAGTTGAGAGTAAGAAGGAGGAATCTGTGGAGAAGATGGACACTTCTGAGTCAGCAATGAGATTGCCTGATGAAGACCACCAAGAGGAATGGTGCAAGCTACTCATCAAGGTAGGACAGTCTCAGATGTTGGACAAGATGACGTCTTGAGCCATTTTTGAAATCTAGGCTGTTCCTTTGGCTTCGGCTTCACCTCTCTAACATCAAATGTTTATTTGTGGACATTTGATTGTTGAACAAAATGAAAAACAGCAAAAAATCGCAAGATGGTCAAACGCTAAGAATTAAAATAAAAAACATTTTGAACGGAATGGAAAAACCCAAAAAAGTCTGTTTGCTTATTCAAATCCAACTGTGATTAAATCAACAATTACGAGATATTTTAACAACACATCAGGATGGAAGTAAGAAATTAGAATTCAATAATTAAAGGACTAGATTAAATACTGGTAAAAAGGTAAAATGAACAGTTACAGAAACAAGTAAGTGTGTAATGGTTTGTGCAATACTAAGTAGTGGTGGAATCGTAAACTAAAGAACATGAATTGATACAATGTATATACATCTTGTTACATCCAACTTCTCATTTGTGTCTTGCAGTTATTTAAAGATGAGTCGTCAGAGGAATCTCGACAGGTGTTTGCTATTGTACAACAGGTGAGACAAAGCAGACCATTTTGCTTTTTTATTCTGGTGCATGTGTCAACAACGGCAACATGTTACACTTGACTGCACAATCTCAGATTTGCGATTGAAGTCGATTAAAATACAAAACGTGTCTGATTTGTTCAACTTAAAATTTTTCCCATTTGAAACAAATTGCTTATCGCTGTTGTATCTACTAAGGAGATTTTGAAGGACATTCGGAGACTGAGAACAGATCCGCTACACAAACCCTCTGAGATGCTTACAAGCAGTTTGCTAAGCATAGTGAAGGATGGCAGTCTCCTTCCAAGTCAGCTTACCAAGCGGGCAGACATCGGCGGTCCACTTCTCAGTCTGCTACTCACGAGAGAGGTAAGCAGCAAAATTTTCATTGATCTGCTAAGCATACGAATCCGTTAGTGAACTAAGAATTAGAATAAGGCCATGTCCAAATCACTTGGCTATGCCCGGAAATAACACACAAGTCTATGGGAAGTGCCTGCAGCCGCTAGCCAGTGGCTTTCATGAGTATGTACCAAGTGATTCGGATACGGCCTTAGGGCGAGTGAAGTGCACATCAATTTAGCTGGTCCCAATGCACTATTCACCTGGTCAAACTTATAAACTGATGCATGCCTACCAGGAAAATGTTACCTAGTGATGAGGGTCATGTAAGCTGGTTCCCAGGTCTTTCTATTGCATTCTCAACTACACAAACAAGACGGAAACCAGCCTTGGACTGAGAGCACCTATCTGATGTTATCCTATAACCATGGCCCAGTTTCATAGCGCTGCTAAGGACATAATTTTCTGCTAACAGAGCCTCCGTCTATTTCATGGAGACTGTAAGCAGTAAGCACAACAAATGCCAGCTTAACCCCAGAGGATAAAATTGCTTAAATCAGTGACGTACAATAGAAATCTCCATGCACATTCAACCGCTAGCACATCCACACCATGACATAGTGCTTACAGTTAGCACAATTTTCTGCTGTAGTAAGCACAACTTTTCTGCCAACTGTTAAGCAGCGCCATGGTAAATTGAATATTTTGCTTGCTATTTTTTCCCCCCAGAAACTTCAGCAGAAGTATGGGTCTCCTTCTACTTTCCCTGAGCTGGTGCAGTACCTATGTGAAGCGCTACCTACCAAGGAAGGCACATTGGCACAGACTCTGATCCATTGCCAGAAGGAACTCAGTGTCAGCTCTGTAGATGTCAACGGTGAGTTTGAATGGCTGAATCCCACAACATCTTCTAAATTCTCTGGTTGATTTTAAAAGATCTGAGATTACCTGAGAATGCTGTTTTGATTTGGCAAGTGACTGGGGTCCAAACATGCTTAGGATTAAGGAAATGAACATTTTTACAATTTGACATTTCTGTTTTCTTCTAGTCGACCAAGCCCTGAAGGAGATGACTGGGGATTCACAAGAAAACAAACAGGAATCTATGGAGAAGGTTGTGAAGGCATTCAGACATGGCCAAGCCCCTGCAAACGATGAACTACTAGAGCAAGGTAAAAACTCTCAATCTCTGGAGTGACCTTTACCTTTACCAACTCAATCTATTGAGCTTTGGAGAGAAAAATTCACAAGCTTACCACTGTCATTTGTTGTGGCATATGGTAAAAGCTGGAGGTCGTGGGTTACAGCCCCACCCTGATTTTTTTTTCTCTCAGGCAGAGGAGAAATCAAAATTGTGCATGGGAGAAATTCAATGTCGAAATTGAAGGATTACTCTTTTGACATCGTTTGGACATTTTTCGGCTTTAAACTTCCCTCGTTCTTGAATTTTTTTCCAGTTTGTAGGCAGCTCTTAGACAGCAACGCCAACCAGATGGAGAAGTTACTGACAACCAGCCTGACAGCTAGCCATGGTAGAAGAGCGCCCTCACAGGCCAGCCAGAGGGTAGGCATGCTGAGCAGACTACTAACACACCAGCAACAGAAGCACTCATCAACGTCTGGTACCCAGACTTCTAGGTAAAGGACAGTAGTGCCTGGAATATTTTGCTGGCAAAACTAGCTAGGAACTTGAAGAGAATACTTTTGTGCTCATTTTTGAGTTCTCTGATTAGAAACATATTGATTCTTTCTCTTAACTATTTTTTCTCCTATTGCAGTCATCCCCAACTCTTAGCCTCTACCTCCGGCCTCCTGACTGACTGGCTGGCTCTTCTGGATCCAGAGGCATGCCAGGCTTGCCCTGATTTACAGCAGCAAGCCATCTTTGCCCCAGCACCCCCTGGGAATAGGAACAGCCCCAGCAGCAGTGGAGACAGTCAGAAGCGAATTGGCAGCGCATATCTACTGGCGCTACTGACCCATCAAGCTAACTGGGGCACACTACACAAGTGCATTGATAGGTTACTGGGGCCTGCTAGAAATGCATACAGGTGAGTGTTTCAAATGAAGTTTTGCCTTAACATTGTGGCATTTACAATTCTTATCAAAACTCAAAGTTTTGACCAAATCTGAGCTCGATTTCGTGGTCCTGCTTATCATACGCTAAGACTTCCTACTAATTATGGCAGAAAATTTGGTTAACAAGGAATTTTGTCTGCACGCATGTACATTCTAAAGACTCTCTGGGTACAAAATTAGCACATTGTGAAAAATCAAACACTTTCGATCTCTGGCTGTGCTCTGTGGTCATATATGGGTCGTAAGGTTGGCTGCCAAAGGCACCTTTACATGCCTGCGGCTTGACCACGTTGAAGCCGCGTCCTTCACAATTCAGCTTCTCAGCTGCCAGTAAGGATGATTAGCCCCCAAATTATTTGTTATGTATTTATTTATGCTTGCACTGAATGTTGATCGTAAGTGTTGAATTCAGTTGATTGTGGAGCTTTGAAATGGATCATCTTGGTGTCATTTTGTTTTGTTAGTTTCAGTGCAACGGCTGTATTGGATTTCTTGTGGGCGTGCATCCACATACCCAAGATCTGGCAAGGACGGGATACAAGGGCTTCTAAGGTAAGCAAACCAGAAGGCAACCCCATAGCGTATCTGTCAGGGATCCAGGCTTGATTTTCAAGTGTCTGTCATATCTGTCTTTGTCACTGTTGAAGGAATAAATATGAGCAGACTCCATAGGATGAGAAAACACGATAATTTGTACGTTTTTGGTCCAACTCAGAGACACTCTGAAGAAGATGTCTTATGTCTGTCGCCGGACCAGATCTGCGCATTGGCTGATTACATCATCCAGGAAGCGGCCGATTCATCAGGGCAGTACGGTGCCCCGCCTAGTGCCACACCCAATGCCTCGCCCATTACCACGCCCAGTGCCCCACCCAGTGCCTCACCCGATGCAGATGAAGGCCTGACGGAACTGGCCTCTAACACCATCAAGGCCCGGCTCTCCTTGCTCTTGACCAGTTTCCATGGCAACAAGGGTGTGGCGGAGCACCTGATCAGATACCTTGGCGACTGTAGTCGCGAGACAAAGTTTGTAGATTTTTTTGCTCTCTAAAATCTTTCACGAATATCACCATTGTAAAAGTAGAATTTTACTTCTCTGATGAGATAAAAATGTGATATATGAAGTAGGTTTTAGATTTTTTCTTGTACATCAACCAAAATAAACCATTTTGAGTTGGGGATTTTCTGGTCCAGTTTTGGACAAATTTGCCATTGAAGTTTGGGATTCAACTTTTCTTAAACATCAAACATAATCTGCCGTGCAAGAAATAACAAGTTGTGTTTGTATTTTCCCGTTTTTTCCAGCCCGTCCTCTGCCCTTTACCAGCAGTTATTATTAGAGCTATACCTGCAGGTCCCTGAGACTATACAAAATCTCTCCTTCATCAGTACCAAGCTACAATCACAAGACACTAGTAATATACCCACCCCAGTCGACTGCCTCACACACAGGTAGGTGCTTTCTTAAAAAGTATTGTTCAAATCTTGACTTCTTCTGAGGTTTGACTTCATTTAGGCTCCAGAAAAATTGTAACCTTATAGTTTGAGCCAGTTCAAAAATCCTCCAAACTTACTTTTTTTTAGAATTAATTAGAAACGTCACAATTTCTGGGGCGGGCATTGAAAAGTTTTGAAACTAATAATTGCCCTGCTCACCAGCATTCAGATGGCGTATGAATGACTCAGATATTTAAAAAAGACTATTATTTTTCATGAGATGGAATTTGCGTCATGGTGATGTAAGTTCAAAATTAGGTTTTGTTCGGCACCCATGTGAAAAATAATTACACAATACATCGGGGAAGGGCAAAACCCAATATTGAAAGAATATTACGAGTTCATCTGTTGCCAAATCACAAGCCAATCACAAGAAATTTCCAATAACCTACTTGTGGATTTCTTCTCTCCAGGTTACTGTGTGTGTTAGCAGACAGCAAGCCGGGAGATACCAGCAAGCAGAAGGCCGATGACGCCAACGTAGCATGCCGCAAGCTGGCTGCTGAACACCCTGTACTCATACTCAGGTAGGCGGAAGAATTGAGGTCAACACACTGCCTCGATGTCTCACTCAGATATAAAATCAGAGAACACTTGACCTTTGACACAGGGTCAACATATATTTTGTATGGAGGGCGATGCTGTCCTCATTTTCATGTATGAGGTAACATCTGCAGTGTCTATACTAATGGATATTGATAGGATTAGCTCCATTCATGGAAGCTGTTTATCAGTATTAATCATGTCATGTTTGCTCTCCGTTTCCTGAAGGCAACTAGCCATGGTGACCGTTCTGCTTCAAGGCCGGACCCATCTTAACTTCAAAGAGTTCCGCGTCCGTGGTCACTTACGATTCTTCAACCACATCCTCGGAATCCTACAACTTCTTGAACCTCAACTTTTTGCTCAGCCCTCTACAGTTCTGCATGGCATCATGGAGGCCTACTTCCCTATCCTACCGGTATGTAGTACTTAACAGGGGAAATATTTTGTATATTAACTGGCAGTGAGGGCACTAAGTGCATGATTTTATTGAAGCCGAATTTCTTATCCTACCAATATGTGGTAGTTGACTTAGCATGGCTAATTGTCTGTCCCTATTGCCACAGAAAGGGGTAATATTTTGTTAGTGGCACTGAGGGCACTAGTGAATGATGATATTGAGATCGCTTCCCTGTCCAACCTGTATATAGTACTAGCATGAATAACTGCATATACCGTGTCTCTCTGAATGGGGAATTTTTTTTTTATTTTGACTGGCAGCGAGGGCACTAGTGCATATACTGTGTGCTAGCCTATATTACCATACTGCATAAAAGTAGTATTGGAATAAATATGGATAATATACAGTTGGGTAATATTTGTGTACTATTGTATCTTTGACTCATTATAGCATTCTGTGATTGCTAAGAAGCCTCTGGAATCCATCATTACCAAGTTCATCCAGCTTCTGTATCAGTACTCCAGCCACAACCCAACCCAGGCTCAGCCGCTCCTAGAGAAACACTCAACAGCACTCAAGTAAGTAACTTCACTCTTGTTTCACTATACTCCTGGGGACAATGCTTTGTGTTTTCCTTTGTCCCTGTAATATAACACTCTCCCATAGACTAAGCACACAAACCTACTACAAAGGACCGTTTTGAATAAAGGTCCCAACTCTCGAGGACTGAAAGGATCCGTTGTTCTCCCTTTGTGTGTCTGTCCTCGGGGTTAGGGAGAGCAAGTACACCCTAGAATGACACTTACCGAATTTGAAGTACAGAAGTTATGGGCTGTTCAAATCTCATCCTGTCAGTGAAATTTATAACTCTATTGTCCCTCTCCTTTATCAAAAATCTTCCCATAGCAACCTATCCCAGGTCTACCCAGACATCCAGCAGCTCAAGTCCCTATTGGCCAGCATCACGCTGACCTCATCCTCCAAGGACCAATCAGGGCTTGGCTCCGCCCCCAACCAGGCGGAGCCAGCCATGGATGAGATCCCAGGGGTCGGAGGTCGGGAGGAGACTTACTCGCCGACACTCGCCGCCATGATGGGGGCTGATGCATCGTGGGATACCGAGGACGTCAAGTCGTTCGCTGAGAGACTTTCTCAGGAAGAAGATTCCGAAGGTATGTATCTGAGAGTGAGACATTTGGAAACTCAATCCAAATGTTGTCTATGACTGGACTTAAACCCTTGTCGCTGAGCTAGATTGCGAGGAAGTATTATGGTAGTTGAGTAGCAAGATCTCAAAGATCTCTTGACGTTTTCATCGGTCTCCTCTGTTTTGTTGACTAGGCATGGCTGAAGCCTTGAATGAGCTGGAGGAGAAGTCTAGCAGTGCTGTGGGAATACTGCAACATTTTGTGGTAAGTAACTTCAAAGGTAAAACCATAGTGGCCAGAACTAAAACGTACATAGCAGCCACAACTGACCAGCCTTTCAACCTGTTTTGAAGAAACTCATGAAAAGTTTCGGTTTTTAAGATCTGAACGTACATTTTGGGTGTAGAACTTTCAAAAGGCAATCAGTTTTAATATTCTGTGCTGTCTGATATTTCACATTTGCAAAAGTCCAAAGTGGTGCCTCATAAAAACACAAACAAACGGCATACTAATTGAAATTGCCTGAAACATACAAAATGTCTCAAACATAATGATTGGAATTTGTCTCATTGAGGGAATACTTTTAAGTATACAGCATTGGAGAATGAGAAAGTGTGGTCACATAAGTATTAAGGGGCAATTTAAATTAAGACATCTAGTGGAAACTGATTTTGCCTTGTTCATTGCCTTTCAGACTGAATTGTCCACTCAGATGACATCATGCAACAAAGACTGCAGGCAGACGGCGTTTGTTCTGGTCATCCGATACATCAGACACGACCCAAGGTATCAAACAATTGCTGGCACATCCTTCAGTAGAACTTTCCTTTTCAAGAATTAAATCTCGAATAATTTTGTCCTAATTTATCCATTGACTGTAAATCTAGCCCCATCAAAGTCAACCTTAATTCTTTGTCAAGAACACCCCAACATTATCTCAGATGTGCGTCCGGATTAATCAGAAACACAAGATGCAAAGAAAAGATACAAAGATGGCCAACCAGAATCTATGGAAACTCCATGTTTGGTTTTACTGAATTATTATGGATTAAGGAGTCTATAGCCGTGCTGCATAACTCAACAAGAGGTCATAATGTTGTACTTCCAAGCCAAATTACCCTGGTTTAAGAATTCAACTCTTAGTTGTGTTTATTTTTTGTCAGTGTTGCCAGCAAGTTTCTACCCGCCTACATGGAATGTCTGAACAGCATGGATCAAGAAGTGGTACAGACAGCTTTGAAGAATCTTCCTGAGTTTACGCTCCTCTGCCAAGGTAAAACAAAATATTCAAGAGCTGTGCAACAATTTGAATTTCTTTCGAGATGTTCTCCTTACAACCTAAAACAGCTTGATAAATTATCTACATTTTTACTACTTTGAAAAGAAAAAAATTAACGAGTAGCACTGGGGAGGTAATACCTAAAATTGAGGATATGATTTAGGAAATCAAAAATATTTAGCTTTTTACTTTAAGCCTAAAAGAAATCATAAAAACAAATCCTAATTACCTGTGATGTCATCAAACATTCTTTGATAAGATACCAAAAATGATGCATCACAATTTTGGCTCTCATTTGCAAGGCATACGAACCAGGATTTATCTTGTAAACTATTCACAATAATATGTGGCCTTCGTTCCGACAGAGAACGCTGAGGTTGTGCTACAGAAAGCCTTCACCGTCGGAGTCAACAGCAAACTGTCCACAGTTCCACTCATAGCAGAGACACTGAAACTACTCAGCATGGATAGTGCCTCAACAACCTCAAACACTACGACGCCAAGCTGATGATGGGCATTCCTGAAACTACGATGACCTCTTCAGCTTCAGCTCCAGGCTTGGCTAGCATCAGCCATGTTTGATACAACTGTCAAATGTTTGTATTGCAACACAGATGTGTTACATTGTTACTGAATGCGGACTGTGTCGATACTTCATCAATCACAAAGCTGACGATGCCTTTTCTGAGACGTGGCTTTGTCTCCAACTTTGACTCCAGGCTTGCCCAGCATTGGATGAAATGAACAGTCAACAATTATATCGCAACACAGACCGCATACACTGTTACTTAATGTGGACTACATGTCAACACTTCATGTACCGTTACAACACATAGTTGATGATGCCTTTTCTGAGACTTCGGCTTCATCGCCAGCCTTGGCTCCCAGCTCAACTCGCATCGACAGTATTGGATGAAATAAAGTGTTAATCATTTTGCAACATAGATAAGAATATTACATTGTTATTGAATACTCTTTCTACTACTTTGGCTCCAGACTGCAGCTTTGTGATTTGGAGTTCCTTTCTTTTACGATTGGGGCTTAAAATATATGTATATGTTGATGTTCTGCTAAAAAAGCCAACACTTTGAATATTTCCATTTTTGTTCCTACACATTTTTGAAGGACCAGATAGTAAGCCAAAGTCTAAAAGGAATATAGGGTTTGAAAAATGGCTATAACAGTTGTCTTTAATTGACCTACCACCATTTGTGAGTTGGTCACGACCATTAGACAACCGTTTGGAATTTCCATACGTTGAGTTTTGTTTGCCTCAGATTTTGCGCGTCCTGCACCACTTGTATATCATGTAATTGGACAACATTTCACAAGCTGCATTGATGTGATTCTACCGTGATTGGTTAATTGCAATAAAACAGTAAAAACAATTAAAATGTTTTATATGACATAAACTACTACTGTAATTACTCCACTATATAAATATTGTTGCTTTGTTCTTGTTCTCATTCTTGTACATTGTACTATAGATTGAAAAGAAACCTCATACTAGTGTACAGGGTGTCTTAAAAAAGTAATCTGAAAGTTGTGGTTTATGAATGTCATGAAGTTTAATACATCATAGTGCTCCTTTAAAATCATTCCAAAGATTTAAAAATTTACATTGAGCCATCCCATGCCATCAATTTCAAAACATACTTCGCAATCAGAATAGCTCAAATCTTGGGCTGATGCCCAAGATATGTGTTTGGGTGCCTTTTGGCATGGGGTAGTTATTTTCAGGAATGAACAAAAGTCTTTGAAATGATTTATCTTGTTATAGAAAAGATATTTAATTGTATGTACCAACACCCTACCTTCAACCTGTTTACATGTTTGCATATTTTCATTGACATAAAAACGTTTATGGATTTAGTTACTAATTTCAGTTGCATGCTGAAATTGTTGCAAACAAAATCTTACTCTCAAAGTGAATCTGTGTAGAAATTCTACAAAAAACTGTAAAAAATCCTGGGGAAAATGACCATAAAAATACCTTACATAGCAGCAATGCTGACCATGTGCAGTGTATATAGGAATGGATGTAGTATTTGCAACTAATTTCACAAATGTAAAAACCTATGTTTCATGGAAAATTTGGAAAGAAAAAGTTTAAAAAGGAAGGCCTGGCTTTAGTTTGGAGTTAAGTTGGGGCCTCATGAAAAGAAAATGATTCACGTACCAAGAAACATGAGTCACCTTTAAAACATTGATTTTTCATGTTTAATTACTGTAAAATGTGACAAGCAAAGGTTTTTATAGGTCAGCATACATAAATATTTAGACTTTGAAATTAGAGTTGTTGTATACATGCTCATGTACAGAATAAACCTTTATTTAAAAAAAAAGAAGACAATTTGTTGTTGTCCTTTGTTTGTTGTTCTAGATTTGTTTTCTTTACTAAACCTTGGAATTGGGCCGGGATATATGAAGGTTAAAATAGAAATGGCTATATAAAAGAGAGGGATGGGGGAATATATCACACTATTTACTGCCATCAAGTCTACAAAAACTGTACAAAAGGGGTCATTAATTTCCACACAGCAGCGCTATAAACTGAATATTCATATATTCAAATTCACTGTGAAAAGGCTGAGCCCGGGGCGGCTGAAATTGAATGAAACTGCATCTCTAGCTATACACCGTACACCGCAATTCGCCTTAAGCCGGTTAGTTTTGTCTAAAGGCGTTTTGTAATTCTACTTCTGTGGTGCACGTGCACCTTATACTTAGAGAACGAGGAGGCAGGTGTAACGGATGCAAGGGAGTCTATTTTCTTTGTTAATTTCCTTTGTTGAATCTGGCGTTAACAATAAAATGTTTCCATTGAGGCGAAAGGATTAAACGCCGCTATCTTTTTCCATGCTTGAGTGCGTCTGAATGGGTGTTTTTCAAGCGGAAAATCACGAAATACAGCTCTTATACAACATTTTAACCCACAAAATGATACTTTTTGCAGAGGAAATTGCATACTGAATAAAACTGTAGTTTCAAAATGCAAAAATTCGCCGTATTAAGGAAATCGATGTCAATTTTTTTGGGAGTTTCAAGCAAAACCTTTCCACTTTCCAACGTAGATGGCGCTATATATATTTCGTTCACAGTATACAGTGTGCCTCAAGTACGTCGCCCCTAGCGGTACATCGCCCCTAGCGGTACCTGTACCGCTAGGGGCGACGTCGCCTCTAGCGGTAATTAAGTCGCCTCTAGCAGTACGTCGCCCCTAGCGGTACTGTACCGCTAGGGGCGACGTACCGCTAGAGGCGACTTAATTACCGCTAGAGGCGACGTCGCCCCTAGCGGTACACGGTATACCGCTAGAGGCGACGTACCGCTAGAGGCGACGTCGCCCCTAGCGGTACACGGTACCGCTAGAGGCGACGTACCGCTAGAGGCGACGTCGCCCCTAGCGGTACACGGTACCGCTAGAGGCGACATACCGCTAGAGGCGACGTCGCCCCTAGAGGTACACGGTACCGTTAGAGGCGACGTACCGCTAGAGGCGACGTCGCCCCTAGAGGTACACGATAGCGCTAGAGGCGACTTACTGCTAGAGGCGACGTCGCCCCTAGCGGACAGTACCGCTAGGGGCGACGTACCGCTAGAGGCGACTTAATTACCGCTAGAGGCGACGTCGCCCCAAGAGGTATATACACGGTACCGCTAGAACGAGAAGGCTTGTGTAACGGATGCAAGGGAGTCTATTTTCTTTGTTAATTTCTTTTGTTGAATCTGGCGTTAACAATAAAATGTTTCCATTGAGGCGAAAGGATTAAACGCCGCTACCTTTTTCCACGCTTGAGTGCATCTGAATGGGTGTTTTTCAAGCGGAAAATCGCGAAATACAGCCCTTATACAGCATTTTAACCCACAAAATGATACATTTTGCAGAGGAAATTGCATACTGAATAAAACTGTAGTTTCAAAATGCGGAAATTCGCCGTATTAAGGAAATCGATGCCAATTTTTTTGGGAGTTTCAAGCAAAACCTTTCCACTTTCCAACGTAGGTGGCGCTGTATATATTTCGCTCACAGTACAGTGTGCCTCAAGCCGGGAATTGGGCCCGGGCCGTGACTAGAACAAACGGGGTTAAACTCACGATAATGTCCATAAAAGGGGAGGCAGGACATTCGAGTATTGGGGGGGGGGGCAAGGGGTATAACACCATACATAAATTCAGTCATAAATTAATAAATTAATTTTTCGGAAGCGTAAAAGGGCCCAATATTGAGCCAGAGGTCCATCTTAAAATAATTATTCTTAAATGGAAACGGGGCCAAGTTTTGAAAAACGCCTCTTTGGCCTCTGCAATGAATTTTCTTGTACGAATATTTGTGGATTTTTTTTGGGGGGGGGGATGGGCGAAGGATCTAACACCAAACATTAATTCAGTCATAACTTAATTTTCCTGAAGTTGAACTTGACTCCATGAGCCAAAGGTACACTATTCACGACCTAAATGCGTCTGCGATATACGTGGCATGCCGATTATGTACCGCCACGTGTTATCTGTGGCGCTTTGAAATAAAATATATATAGCGCCACCTACGTTGGAAAGTGGAAATGTTTTGCTTGGAACTGCAGAAAAATTCGACATCGATTTCCTTAATACGGCGAATTTTTGCATTCTGAAACTACAGTTTTATTCAGTATGCAATTTCCTCTGCAAAAAGTATCGTTTTGTGGGTTAAAATGTTGTATAAGAGCTGTATTTCGTGATTTTCCGCTTGAAAAACACCCATTCAGATGCACTCAAGCGTGGAAAAAGATAGCGGCGTTTAATCCTTTCGCCTCAATGGAAACATTTTATTGTTAACGCAAGATTCAACAAAGGAAATTAACAAAAGGAATGGCCTTCCTTGCATCCGTTGAACACGTTCACCTTTTTGTGGAAATCAAGAATTGTACCAGTTTCAGTTCATTCATTCCCGCGGTATGGTTTCCGTTTGCACCCCCTCCAAATCCCAATCAAATATCAATCTCTTAATTGGCTTTATTTCCTACGATTTTAGAATCAAACAAATAGTTACTTCTTCATAAGACTGCTGTTCGCGTCTAACCGTACACGTGCTTGTGCACGTGTAAAACTAACACACATCCTAATAATCAAGGCCTAACAAATCCACCGTTGGAACAATGTAGTGCTAGCTGCTTTGCGGAACGGCGCGGGACTCACGATCCGGTGACCCAGGTTCGAATCCTCGGGGGTTTACTTTTTTTCCTATTATTTGTTTTATTCATTTATTTTCCTTAATATCATAATATCTGACATTACCAACTTAATGGTGCAAAAAAAAAGGATCTGTATATTATAAATGTTTAATTTAATATGGGCAAATTGAATTATATTTATTTTCAGTATTTTAATTTAATCTAGTTGTTTTCCCATTAGTCTATTCCTTTTCAAGCCAAACCCTTTCTCCTACTTTCCTTTTGGTTCTATATATCCCCCCCCCCCAAAAAAAAATAACAGATGAAAGAAAATAACACACAATGAATTGAAGAACTCCACTTGATATTCAACTGATAAATTCATTCTTTTATTATCGCTCAAACATTGACAGTGACTAACTTTGACTTATCCCTATCCTTAACTTCTGTATTTTTGCTAAAACAAATTAAGCAGGTTGGGATGAATAGGTTAAAAATCTAAAATGTATTATAAATGACATTAAATTACAGAACAAAAAGTTGTTGACAAATTTGACAAAAATAAAAGTTCACTTCTGTAAACTGTGTCGACAATTAATATCATATTCTCAATGTGAATCTTGCTGTTGTATTGTACTGTATTGTATTGTATTGTATTGTATTGTTTTATTTCCATTTGTCATAAATTAATATAATGCAAATGCAACAGATTATTTACTACAACAATAACTAAAATTATCAGAATGCTAATACATGTACAACACTTTGATCAATTAAGAAAATTCAGAGTAAACTGTACATATTCTTTAGGAAATATGACTACAAAAACCCTTAATGACAGCTTTAGACAAAATTACATATTAAGCAATTGATAAGATACCAAAAATAAAATCCAAGTGTCGAGATTTTTCTTTAAGGAAATTGTAAAAGCCATGTTTTCAACCCTGCGTCAACCCTGAGATTTGTCTAGTGTTTTCTGGACTGATCCACATCTTATCTAGGGGTGTGATAGGTGGGGAGAGGGGCAGGCTGACTTAAGCTTGGCAGGGGAGGGAGGAAAAGTTGAGAGGATATTTTTTTTTACAGTATCAAAGGCTTGTGTTTAAAGGGCCCATGTAATTTAATGTTTTCAGTGCAATCCTTGAAAATTCTCATGATGTCCATACAACAAAAATAATTCTAAGATACCTACCAGCTCATCTAAATTTCTCACATCCACCCCTCAAGTTGAATGGATTGGCACTGCATCTTGGGGTTCTCACCGTCACTTCCATGTCTTGAACTTGAAGTTGAAGGGTGCTGCAAGCAGATCCACCGGCCCAGGCCAAAACGGCTCATACAACACCCGCAAACCTGAAAAATGAGAACGTCACAAATTTAAAAATGGGAACAGAAAGGGAAGAATTCCATACATGGACATCACTTAGCTTGCAATGTCCAGCTTTCTAGGCTCGTGACATGGGGAGATTCACCAGGAAAGATGGAACCAGTACTAACCATACTTAGAATGCAGATGTCACCATGGTCACATTTTTTGGCCGATACTGTCCATTTCCCTTAAAATTACAAGCAAAAACTCTCCTATTACAGCCTATAGGCCTAGATCTTTTATGCAGCAAAGAATCCTCTCAGAAAATGACAATAAGATCAAGCTGAACCCGAGAAAAATGGGGGTTTTTTTCAGTGCAACTACCGGTATGTACAACCGCTCAATTTGTCACCATGATGGTGACAGTAATCTCCCCATATCTGAGCCTGGAAAGCTGGAAATTCAAGCTAGACATCACGAAGTTTTCCCTGCAGTGACACATCAGCCATCATGTCCTAAAAAAAGTCAAATTTAGCAGGGAAATATTGAAGTATATACTTTTACTGAGAAAACACTTGGAAAATTTTCACACCAATCATTGGTTTGTGCACGGTGGTGTCCAATCCCAATGAATGATGTCGAGGCATCGCTGCCATATGCTGGAAACTCTTTCCAAAACAATAGGGATCAACAGAAAAGTAGTGTGTCCACAAGCTTCTCGTCTGCTTTATCTCTTAGTCATAGGTAACCAGTGGTAACAAAGTACTCAAATTAGTATAATTTTGGTACAAAGAAAATACAAAATTTTACACGAACGTCACGCCCCCGGCCATACGCGTTGCATGCAGGTTCAAAACACGTGCCAAACTGTCAAAGCGCATCATGCGCTGGCGTCTGAGTAACAATAGAGGGCGCTCTTCACTATCAAGATGGCGACTCGAGCGTTGTCTCCTGCAAAGCAGGCTTGGAAAAGAGGTGTGTTTTAACCATTTTTGTTCATTCGTTTTCATAATTTGATTTTTTTCATTGACTTTGCTATATTGTTCAAAGAGTGTGAGTTTTATTTACGCGAATAGAGTGTTTGGTATAGCTGCAACACACCTACATTGCAAGTAAAATGCAAGTGTTCAACTTTTTGCAACTAACTTTGCAAATTCAATGTTTGCAGTGACATGTAAGTGATTTTTTTACATATTTTGTATTTTTTTCCACACGCATCAATCTGAATACACATGTAGGCCTAGGTGTGTGCAACATTTTGACCCTTTTGCGTTTTGTATGTTTGTTGGTGACAGGTTTCGTACCATGGCTGAAGTATGCATGGGACAATGAACCGGTTCTGGTAGCATCTGCAGTCCTGGGATTGGCTTGTAAGTTTCCGTTTTGAATAGTCCTAACAACAAAATGGCAATCTTCACATTCTAGCGTCTACAATTGCCAAGCTCTATCTCCTGATATGCTGATTAAATTATAACTAGCACAGGATTTATAAGAGCATTTCCAAAGTGAACAACAAAAGGTCTCAATTCCATTTTTGTAAAGTTGTGGACAAAAACCTTTTTGAGTCCTGTATTTTGACATTTCCAGCACCCCTCGTGTACTTGGCATGGCCGTGGAAGGACAGGGCTTCCGAGACGAACAGACTCATGCCGACTAGGTATCCCAGTAAGTATACAAGACACAAAGTAATATTGTGATTCTGGTTTGGAAGTATTATAGCATTCACAGATGTCATTGGTTTTGAGGGTATAATGTGCAGGAAGCTGTGTTACTTCACTGGCTATTTCATTTCTGGCAATGAAGCAAGAATGCCAGAAAGCAAATGGTGGTGGAAAAGTACTGTCATATAAAAGAGTGTTCAAGAATTTAACCAAGAACTCATCAGGAAAGTGTTTTAACCTAACCACCCCAACCCTTCAAAATCCAACTGCATGTTTTGTTGAAATCTGTTGGAGTGAGTACTGCACTAGTAAACTGATTATGCTTTACATGGGGTTAGGCATACCACCAATAATCAGTCCAAAATTGTGGGTGTTGAGTTTACTATATGGTGTCGGATTTTGCAAGAGTGAGGAAGGTTTTTAGTATTAAAAGCACTCAAGGGGTTTAGGGTTAAAGACAAGACACGCACGGTATATGAAGTCTGTCACGCTGGATAGAAACTTGATGAAAATGTTGTAATTGAATTAATCACAAGACAAGCAAGCACAGGTCAATGACGTGTGATCACAAGTAGTGAATGATAATCGTTAAAAAATGACAGAGGAATGCCCTTGTCACAATTTAGTTCAACAGTTATTAACTCCCTAGCATAATTTTATACTAGGAACCACACCCATCCTGGCAAATTCCAACACCATATGGGAAACTGCACACACACAGTTTTGACTTTGATTCTGGAGGCGTGCCAACCCAATGTAAAGACTGTCAGTTTAGGGGTACTGTACCCATCCTGACAGATTCCAACAAAACATGTTGTTAGGGTTTGATGGATTGGGGGAGGTTAGGGTTACTGACTGGATATGAAACTAAAGTCTTGATTGCAACTCCAAACATCAACATGATCATGTAGGGACTTTTCATAATGCTGTGGATTATCCACATGGTTTTCTTTTCTTTTCATCCACAGCTCCAATCAGATATGTAGAAGGCAAGACTGGACCACCAACATCAATATGACGTTCAGCAAGTGAATTTTTTGAGCCAAGTTCCTCCTCATCACACCGTGCATGACATTTACAGTTTCAATATTTATTTCATAAGAATTTTAATTTCTTTTTCTCTTTCTTTTGTCAAATCATTGTACACAGTCTTAAGGAGCAATTTTTGAACTTAACATGCTTAAAAAGTTTCCATTAGACAACCACATCTTGTTCTATTCAGAAACACACTCTTACTGGTTGTCAGTAATGTTTTTGCATGACAAAAGTTGACTCATCAGTTTGTTGTTTTACACAAAATTTCATAGATGGAAATTTTTTTTACTGAATGCATGGAAAAAAGTGTGTTTTCAAAATGTACATTTTGTAACAGGCTGTGTGAAGTTGGTCAACAATTTTGATTGTTACAATTTTGTGTGAAAAACATTTTGATTGTGTGAAATATATTCTTTAAGATTTAAAGTTTGATGTCTATTGAAGTTTGGAATGACTAAAATATTATTATCTTTGATGACTGACTTCACAAGCACAGTACAAAAAAGGGGCTTCACAATATCCAGAAATGCTCACAACAAATTAGACAATAGGATTTAAATGTAATACAATCAACAAAATAGATTGAAATCAATACATTTCTGAAAAATCCTCGAAATTATTGATTTTAGAGCCATACTCTCTTAAAGATGACCATTTATGAATAATTAATTGTGTTGTTTTTTGGCAAAATAGTCGTGATTTAAATCATTTTTGGTATAAGAATGCTTAATGATAAATGTTTGTAGTGTAATAAAAGCAAAAAGTAAACTTTTTTTTTGTAATGTAGTTCTGTTTCAATTGTGACATTCATTTGAATTGACTCTACCAAAGTGTTTGCATACTTAATTAGAGTCGATTTGAAGGTTTATAAAGTGTCCGTAAAATGAATTTTATATTGGTGCTTATTTGTAGCAATATCGATTCCTCTGAACTGTATAAAAAAAAACCTATATGAGCCATCCTTTTTTTGTAAAAATTGTGCAAAGTACACATTTTGTAAACATTTAAAATGTTTCATGTTTTTCCTGACAAGTGAGGGCGCTGTTGCCGTGATGTCACTCCCCTAGGGACACATCTTTCAGCAAACCCCATAACTCTGGCGACTTTTTTTATGCTGAAGCAGATGTGAAAGTGAACGTTCTGCCTTGAATGAAATCACAGTTTTGCTCATGATTATATAAATGTGTATAAGCATAAAAACCAAAAGGGCACCAAAACGCCCTTAAAAATGGCAATTATGAAAATTAAATAATAAAGGTGAATGGAACACAAAGTACATTTCAAGGATTGCATAAAAGGCAATACAGGTCAAAATGGAGATGATTCTTTTAATCTGGATAAAAAAATGAGGCATGGTGTCAAATTTCAGTGCCCTTTTCAAGAAATGTTTACCCCCAATAAAAATGACCTTGCTACGCCCCTGCTATTGCATATAGGCCTAACCTAAGAGCAATTATGATTCGCATGAACAAACATCAAATAATAGTCACGTTTTCATTATGAACTTTGTCCGCTTGCAAATGGTTCAAGTCCATTGTGTTATACGCCTACCTTCTGTACAAAATAAGATAACATGACCTACAGTTCCTCTGTACATGAACACAATAACAATACAGTATTCTTTTCTGATAATCCAAACTTACAGGAAACATTATTCTTACATATATACTTTGTGGTGGAAATCTTAATCATGTTTCAATCGGTTCGGGTTGCGGTGAGCTTTATTGTGGCACTACTGGTTTCCAAAATGGTTGGAAGTTTATACGGTACCTCTGTGGATCATGACCGTGACATTGAGCACACGATTGGGGAGCTGAATCGGCGTATTGCCGGGCTACAGGTCCAGCGGAGTCACGCTTACGTCCCGCCGGTCTTTTGGGCTAAAGACCGGGGAGTGTACGAGAGCAACATCCGCATCAACACGTACGGCAAGCCGTGGATAGCAGGCTTCCGTCAAGTCGGTGTGTTCGACAACAACGCCTTCGCTACGGCATGGGTGACAATTTGCCTTCTGGAGGCGGGACAGTACGGGAAAGGAGCCCCGGTACCTGGTGACGAGCCGATGAAACTCGCCTTGGAGCTTATCAACTCCCATCATGATAAAAACAGCCCGCCGGGGAATGGGGCCGTCAACTTCTGGCCGCAGGTAAACGTTTAATAAGGAGCAGGGATCAGTAAAATCATGGGGTTCACGGGATTAAAAAAAAAAGCCTGCAAAAAATATAACCAAAACGATGTGACCCTTTTCACTTTCCCCTTCGGTCATGGGTTAGGATGAATCCCTTGCATGATACTACCATCCGACACGTAGACACAATTCGATAATAATTTAGACCTATACTTGAAATTGTTGGAGTAAAAAAAACTTCGTCCAAAAATGGGGATCTAACCATTCAACATTTCAACATGGATCAAGAAGCCAGTCGTTTTTCATAAAAAGTATCATAATCCAACAATGGACTCAATGTAAATATAATATTTTCCCGTTAAGGCCAAGCGTGTGCATTTTGTGCACGTGTTATTATACTTTAATAGTGGAAGCGAGTCGGCAGTTTTTTCTGTATCCGAGGTTTTTGGTGAATGTCTGTTTGTCGATTTACCACACGTAAAATGAAGTTAACAGATGTAAACTTGGTACTTGGTACTTGGTTGGTTCCTCCTGAAATGTCTTCTAGGGATCTTGGCTAGGAGGTAAACGTATAGGTCAACGTTGAAGCTAAAGATGAGCAGCCGGGCCTGGCGTCACACTACTGACATCCTTTTTTATTTTCCCCAAGACGTTGAACCACTCCAGTGGTCTTTGGGTGAGCCAACCCACGAACATCATTTCCATCATCAGTCTCCTTGACGACGCTCTGCCGTGGGACTTGATCGAGAAAGTATGCAGCATTCTCGGCCATTCGTCTGAGGTCTGCGAACTCCTCAAATTCCTCCAAGGCGCGAGGTAAGATGACAGACGTCATTATTTTCTTCTCTGAGATAATACTAGCATACTAGAAAAGAATTTGATGATCTATGCATGGCTTATGAAGATATTATTCACTTGTTCCCACATGAATTAGGCAGTTATGACGAGGTGGTAGCAACTACTATGTGCCACTGCATGACCCCTTCCCCTATATTCTTTGTAAGAGTTTCAGACTGTAGCATTAGGGCGTCCGCGCACTAATATGACAGGCCTACAGTCTCAACAGAAGCCACAGTTTGTAATGTCGACTGCCGTGTGATGATACGACCTCAGTTTTGCTGTGAATTTCCAGGCAGGAACTTTTTCCCGCCTTCAAGATTCCCGCGGATTTTGACGACACATTTGTCAACATTGGCTTGGGCAGCCTCCTGAAGCAGCTCAGCAAACGCTACCCCGCCCTCTACCAGCTGTGGGAGTCCAACAACACAAACACAGGCTCGGCGTTCGAGCTTCTCAAGACGTATGCATACCGCCCTCTATCAGACGACTTAGCCAACGTGATCGATCCCAGGACGTATTACTACGCCCACAGGTTTCTTGAAAAGGCAAACGACGAAGGAAAGCCTGTTTCCTTGGTGACTACATGGGTAAGAATTGGTTGTTCTATACCCTTATCGTTCGTTGATATTTTTCCTCAAAGTCAAACTGCTGAGTACTGAATAAAATTTGAATTACTCAAGTTTCTGTTGATTTTGGCGGCAGATTCAAAACCTAACGGAGGAGCGCGTGCGACACAATGAGGGCGTTAGCATGCCGTTCAACATCAACAACGTGGATTCTACGGTGGCCGCAAATGTCATCTATGGCGTAACTGCGGCTCTGATGGAGAATCTGTTTGAATCAAAAACGTGGTTCGACGCAGATACCAGGGTCAGTCTTGAAGCGAATTCTCGGATTTTGTAAAGGTGGTTCAATTAAGTTTGGCCCACTTATCTTGCCCGTTCTTTGAAAGCAAAATCTTGATACATTATGTTGTCTGTGCCTAACAGTTAAGTCACAACAACGAAAAGAGCAATGTCAAAACTGTGTAGATTAGAAGAGACGTTAATTCTACTTTTTACTCAATTTTAACACCGATTTCATTGGGAACATTACATTCCTTCTTAACGATTTGCATTTACACTCATAATTTATCATTCAGAGAGAGACTGAACTGGCAAGCTTTAGCCATTATGGGTTCTTACTTATAACAGTCATGCAGGATACATGCATGGACGTGAAGGAGCCCATGCTCTGCAAGTTTAGCCTCGCTTTGGTTTCGGTATGACAAATGTGCAAACAATATTGGCACATGTTATTTCGTAAATGTAGACCTTAGGATTTTTGTTAACGCCTACAGATGGTGTACGAGAACACGACGAGTTTTATCGCGTGGGTCATCGAGAGTGGCACGATGACTAGCCGGCCGGACCTAGCTCTGACTTACTACCCGTCTCGCTACAACTTCTACTGGTTCGTAGCTCGCACCAGGTTCCTGATAGCCAACCGAATTGCTAGAGGGGACTTACCTGCGTTCCCATCACTCAGGTAAAGTTGTCTTACCCCCTCAACAGTTACAATGCCAGTCACTGCTGTCTGTGTAGGACACTCCCCTGGTATGCATTGATATTCTTATCGTCGCACGCGCATCAACAAAGTAAGACTTCTTGAGTAAAACAGTTTGTGTGTTCCAACGAATTATAAAGTGTCCTTAACTCAATCCCCACCCTAGGGTAAACAGCGCCCTCTTAAGGTCGTGCACAGAGTTCAAGAGCGCAACCATACACCTTTGATTTACAGGGGGGGTGGGGAAGAGAACTTGAAGGCATTAAAGACATTTTAAAGACCGTGCACCTCATTAAAAAAAAACGTGTACATCATGTGCTGCTGTAACCGTCTTGTAAAGGCAAACATTTTAACCTGCAGCCACTGATAGGGCATTATATTCTCTATAATTAATGAAGATTGGTGTACGAGCAGTTGAACGAGGTGCTTCAGTCGCGGGTGACCACCGATATTTTGGCAGAGGCGAAGACGGAAGGAGGCAAGTGGGCTTACTTTGATGATTTCTTGGGCGGAGCCGACGAGACGTGGGAGGGAAAACCGAAGGTGAGTCATGGTGATTGGCATAATATTTAGAGAGGGTTTTCGATGGCCGAACCTCAAGAGACAAATGGAGTCAAACTGCTGATTTATTTTTTTTAAGTCTTATGATGTTTTCGATTTACATAGAACAGCGCCGATGATCGCCTTTTCACCACATCCATGGCCGTCAATGCACTGATTGCTACGTGGACAACTCAGGACAAAGCGACGGGACAGTTGACTTGGGCAAAAGGTTAATACTACATTTAGGCTGTTAATACTGCATTTAGGCCGACTGACTATGTTTTCAAATAAAAAGAAAAATTGCCGATAACAGCTTGGGAGAAGCTCGTTGTCTTGTTGATGCACTGTTAAGTGACTTATACTCTAGAAGAGAAGTGCGCCTCTGAGAAGGTTAATTCAATGTTTCGACAAGTGTGCTCTGACAGTCATTAGGGGGATCTACTGGCTTGGTAGCTGGTAAGATTGTAAGCGGGCTTGTTATTTAGATGACCAACTTGAGTTCGGGCTTGGGCTGACTGACTAAATTAATGATGGCCGAAGTTGGGCCATGGTTTGGCCGTACTATTAAGGCAGCTTGAGTGGGCAGTGGTAGTTGCTGGATGACCTGTACCTTTGCAGCAACTTCACGCACAAAGCTGCTGCTTCTGATCCTGCTGCTACTGATGTTGCTGCTGCTACCAAAGACCTACTTAACCTATGTGTATAAATTTGGTTCTTTTTCTTCTACAGATACTCCGGTTGACGTGATTCGTGTGGTGGATCAAGCAGTGTCGTGGCTGGCTGAGTTCATCCTGAGTGATGACTACAAGCCTCTCAATGCGTTCTTCTCGGGTTCGGTCAAAGGCACTAGTGTAAGTTTCTAGTTAAACGAAGATCTTGTAATGAGATGTCCTTCCTTTTCTTCAGGATTTCCTTCGCTGATGATGAATTGTTTTAAGGTTCTTTGACATCTCCCAAGGAGGTTGTGTGTATGGAGATCGCAAGAACTTGAATGGCACAACATAAAGTTGTTCCATTTGAATGCCTTTGTCTGCAACCGGCAACGATAGATGTTCCGTTCCAAGTTAGAACAAGCCGGGAAATGCCAATACCAATTACTGTATTGGACAATTTAATATCCCGAACTGTCCATCTCGAATGGCCCATCTAGGCCCAAAGTTTCCCCAATCTTACTGTCCCTCTATCGCTGCAAAATGTTTGAAATTGCCGGCAATTCTCTTACAATTCTCTCATTCCCCAGACGATGCCTTTCTACTACCCAATGAACTTCTTGGAGTACGTCAACGGGACCAAGATCCCACTGAACGACACGCACATCGATCTTGACAGTAGTGTGGTGCTGGCCATGTCCGGTGTAGTACCCCAGGAGCAGTACAAGAAGATGGTCCAAGAGCCGCACTTCGGGCACCAAACACCCACTGAGTTCCCAGGCTACAGTAACAGCGTTTTCCCGTTCTGGTCGTCGGCCGCCTACACCTACGCCTCGACTCTGCTAACGTTGTCACAATTTCTAAACTTGGCAACTTAGCACAATTTTACCCGTCAAATAAATAATGATGCAATATTACTGAATAACGTTTGATACCATTTTAAAATGCAAGTTAAATTATTACTTGTTACTCATTTCATGATCTTCCGAACCTTATGGTGATCTCACTGTACACTGATCTTCAAAAATAGTTCGAGATAAAAATGCTTTATGAATTTTAGAAATGTATCTAACGATCACGAATTAAGAAAAATGTGGGTTTCTGTCACTACAGTAGAAGTGTCAGATGGTATCGCCGTTTCGAATTTCCAACATCGGAGTGTTTTATCAGTATTCTTTCACCACCTCCCTCCACTCATCGAAACAAATCTCCGCCCCTCTTATCGCTAATAGATCCTTGTTCCCTCTTGGCCTGAGGGGCTAGGCGTAACCAAGGATACGGGGCGACTCCGCCCCACGCTCAGTCGATGATCATTGTTCGGTGTGATTGCAATTGCCTGAGAGAATCGATTACTCGACCGTTCTCTAGCACAGAATCGATAACAGATACAGCTCAAGAACAACTTGTCACATCGTCACACAATGACCAGGTCCTTGATAGCTTTGTTGTATTTGTCCCTACGCTGTAGTAATTATGTGTACAAATCGAATGTCATCATGCAAACACAAATCATGTTATGAAATTAACTGCATGCAGGTGCACTTTGAACATTTAAGCTGCAGCGAAATTTATCAATTTCAACTTTTTTTATTCTCGGATCTGAATCATCACAAATTCATCACTTCAAACGTTGTCATTGTTAAGGAATTTTCGGACAATTCACATTTCCTGAAGTGCGCAAAATAATATTATTTCAGTAACTATTATTCATACAACATCGACTTGCCATGGATGAAATAAAAGTAATTTAAAATAGCTTACAATTATTTATTAAACATACGAACACCACGATTTGAGGTGTTTTTTTTCTTAGGGGGGACCTTATTGTGCCCAAACAACCAGGTTTTTCCTACTGTCTTTGCCCCGGGGCGATAGCGTGAGATAGCGGCAGGTGACTCGATGATTAAGAGTCAGAAGGCACCGGAGGTAGGACAAAAGGGGTGTCACTATTATAACGGCGCAAATGAGCTGCCCCTCGGCATCTATATCCAGGTGAGGAGAAAGTGACTAATGGCAATTTATCATCCAAAACTCTGCTTGGTTTGACGGGTTTCATTTGAGCTTAATTTCCTCTGAAGTGTAAAATCATTTCGTACAGGTTGTGTAAACAGAAGTATAGCTGTTAAAACATCCATATGTGCCGCATGTGAAAACGGCGTTAATATTTGCTACTTTATAATGGAATGGACAAGAACTTTAATTTTGTGAGTTGAAAGAGACTTGCTTGTTAGTAAAGAGAGGTTTCTCAAACAAGCTTCAGTAATCTGAATGGATAGTTACGTATAATGACTGAACAAATGTAGCAATAACGAATGGAATTTTTTTGGAGCACAACCTCGTTTTCGATCCAAGATGGCGATGTACTTGGAGGGCGCACTCAGAAAATAAACATCATGTATCATGACCGCGTCTAGGTTTAATCATGGTGCATGGTGTTATTTCCCAAATCCTTCAATAAGACGTTTGTCGGCCAACAAAGTCTTGAATTGGTTCTCATTCGGCTGATGTATTGGTGCCACTTTTATGGGTTCTCCTGAGCCGATTACAAGGTCAATGAATAGAAAATATCGGCAGTAATTCCAAGGGGGCCAACTAAGGCTCACTTTTGGGCTTACATCTTTCCATAGATCGTCATCATTCTTGCACACTTTGGAAACAATTTATTGTTGAAGTTTTTTCTTAGCATTGGGGGAAAGTGGGTAATAATGATGGGACACAATCTTTCCAAAACTTGAAAGTCTAATAATACATGAGTGACAACCCTTTACTGTGTTTAAGCAATTAAAACACAACAAAATAAGGAGCTTTAAAATTGGGCCAGCAACAAAAATGCACCCTCGAGCTATGGTCTGTTTAGAGAAAAAAACTTTATGACAGCAGAGTGATGTTTACCCCCATGAAACAGGTGCTTTCGGAACAACCTTGAGAATTCATCCCAGCTACGGGGAAGTTATCACGGCCCTCCCCTCATACATGAAAGATTTAGGGAGTTCCATCAATATTGGACGATGTACAAGCTCCAGTGAAAAGGGGGCTTTAGAAAACAAATCACGTGCGATTTCATGAAGTATCATCTACAGGCGTTAACAAACACGAAGAAGAAAAGTTTTGAAGTTTTTGTACGCTAGCGATGAGGCTGATGGGAGTGAAGCACTTGAATCATGAGGCGAGAGCAATGGGGGATTGTTGACCCGTGTCAAATAGCTGTGGGGTAGTGGCCTCGTTGCCATGGACGCGCTATTCATTCAACTGGTTGCCGAGCTTGCAATCGTGTGAGTGAAATTGGACACGTACGTTTCGTATATGAACATGTCAATGTAGGCCTGCATGTAAATTATGTAAGGTAAACTTTGCACTTTTCAGAGGGCGATTTACTTGTAAACAACACGTGACGTGACTTTTAACATCATTGTTATGTGATAAAATTCACACGCGTCTGCAAAGTAGGGCCTACTCCCAAACATTACTTTAAAAAAACACTTAAATTTGTAAAATGGTCTCCAACTTTTCGCCAACAATTTTAAACATTCAGGTATGTTCTGCAAATACAACGTGATTTTTTCCATATCTTTTAAGTTATCCTTAAAAGTATTTTCTTGTTCTACTCTTCGGCAGAGTTTGTTTAAATACACCACATAAACAATTTCAATCAAGATGAAAATTACTCGCCGTCTTTTCACAAAACTTATGACCAGTGGCACGTTTTGTATCTCAAAACTTTAATAAATTACAACGTTTACATAATAAACAAAGTAAACGCATAAATAATGACAACAAAGGGCGAGTAAAACACATTGGTACATAAAATATATATCGGTCACCTCCGGAGCTCCTCCAAGTATAAATACTTCATTTTGGCTATGTATTGGACGTTTTTTCCCTAGGATTGTATGTGCCTTTTAAACATGATATCACTCAAAAAGGCTGCTGTTGCAATTTCAACGACTTCGGACAAAATAATAGCCATTTTGTAGATTAAATTTGGTTATCAATAACTTTTAGAATTTGTATACATGTACATGTACAAGTGCCATGTACACAATGTGGTAGCGTTGTCGTAAAGAAAGGCCCGCCCCAACAAAATTTGGACAACTTGAACATTTATACTTCCAAAACTGTTCTGTTCGTGAAATGAATGTCAAAAATATGCACCGATATACTAGCTGTTTCGTAGAATATTCATGACCAATATTCCCGTAATAAAAGTCACTAAAATGAATGTAATAAGTATCATTAACAGTCCTTTTCAATTGTTGGCCTTTGTCTTGTAAAACAACAGTAACATAAGGGTTACCTTATAATCGTCCAATATAACATTATGTATATCATCTACACGTACATGTCTACGAATAAGTAAAAACTTCAAACAATACTCCTTTTCTATTTTGCAAACGGACGGAATTCATGCATACGGGTAAATTTGTATATGGATATCACATATACAAGGTTATTATTTCCTACAGTAAAAATACAAAATGTTAGGATTGCACTATCCAAAAAAAAAAAAAAATCGGTTTACACAAGTCAACTTTTATGAACTTTCTCAGGTTGAACTGATGGTCATAGCTGATTTTGGCTCTCTGTCTTATCAATGAGAAAAAATGCTGAAAACAAAATGATACGATGATAAAAAGGTTATGCTTTTTGGAGTGTTTCCACCAAATACAAATAAGATCACGAAAGAAACGTGACACCAAATCCTGATATATTTTGTGCAACGTTTACAATAGTTGTGTCTGAAAACCTAGACTGTTGATCATCGTAGATATTACAACAAAATACTTAACAGAGCCTTTGAATATGACGTTGCACTGTTACAAGGTTAATCTCTATCACCGTGACGGTACATTGGACGGATAATCATAAAGGAATAATTTTAGATGATTATGCCACAAATTATGATTAACAGTAGTTTGTAATTCCATTCAATTTCATTGATATTAAAAACTCTGCAAAAGTGACCTGGATCAATCTTTTTCAGTTGCCGGCACCTTTTTGGTAAACAAAAATCCGCACAGTCAATTTATACTTCACATTCATTTTTTTACTTAAAAAATGAGGTCTGAAATATAGACCAAGGTCCACATGTTACGAGAGGGTAGCCCAGATTCGGCGATAAACACACATCTACACACAACAGTTTAATGGTTCATTATTGTCCAAATGATAAGCGAACAAATATTTAATCGCCATTTTTGACAAAGGAGACGATTGACGGTTTAATTGGCCTTTAAGCTTTATGAGATAAGACTTTCAAATATACCCAAGGTTTTCTAACCACATGTTAATTTGTGGGTTTGTAGGACACCTGGACTGGAGTCTTGTTTTGGATTTCATCGGAGGGGCGGGGCACAAAGTTTTAGGAGGAGGGATATCAATTAATTGAGACATCATATCGTTATTTTCACGAGGATGAATACAGGTGGCGGTCAACATTATCGTCAAAAGAGTAAGGGTCAGGGTTCGAATTTTGAAAGTAAAATATTTAGAAGTTATATACCCGTATTTTTTTTTAAATGAACAATGAAGTAATAAAATAATACAACAGTTTTTCCATGCGGTTTCATAAAACCATGACAATTTCAAACAATGAAACACATGCGAACAAAGTGATTGGTCACAAATCGGACAATTTTCCGAAGTGTGCTTTCGACTGAAAATTTACAGGAGAATTCAGTGACTTTCGACCTATGAATGGTGGATCAAAGGACTCAAAAAGGGCAAAGTTGCTTTAGAATTTAAACATTTGCAACTGTTAAAATTTCCTAAATAGATGTCAAGACTCATCATATACATGAATTGTTCTTTTCCTTTATATGCATCACACTGGATCCACATATTCAATTCTGACATGTTCCTGATTTTAGCAGCGGTTAAATACAATATTAAGACTCTCTGTATTGTACAATTCATGGGTAATAACGGGGATTATTTCAGAGGTGATGGTTGTTGTCGCACTGATGCCTGATGCGCAAATGACGGCACAGCTTGCCGGGGCTGTAACTCCTTGGCATTACTCCTGAGTACGTAATCCAAGCTCGGTTCCCATATCCTCAATGGAATGGAGCCTAGAGGTTGCTTCCGTAACCGGCCCCTCTTGTGCCCCGTAGGTTCCCTGGTTTGGGGCGGAGGGGAGTTTGGAGGAGGGTCCGGTACGGGGAATGTTGAGGAGGAGGTAGGCAAGGCGCTAGTCGTGGAGGGCCGGCGGTGTTCGGTGGCTTGGCTCTCTATGGTGTAAGTCCGGATATCGTTTCGTATCATCTGCTTCATGCGGTTCATAGTCAGTGGAGGGAACCGTGTTTCCTCTCGACACTCCCCGGTGAGGGAGCCTGGGTTTACGGTCATTGATGAGTCCAGTTTACAGTTCCCGTTGTAATCTCTCTTCCCTGGGACAGGTAGTTGGTTGACGAGGCTGCCTAGCGTGATTCCGTCCAGGTTGTACCCACCAGAACCGCCGCGTCTACGGGCCCTCTGTGAGGCCAGCTTGGCTCGCCGTCTCTCGATGTAGATATCGGTCTTGGAGCGGTGAAGCCAGTTTGGGATGGTATCTGTCTCCTCCCGTGGGTCCGTCTGAGGAAGCTGCCTCAGGTCCTGCTTGCTCCTAGCGTACCCGTGGAAACTCCTCTGCCGAATCACCATATACTTATCCAGCTGCTCGTTGACCGAGCGATGGTTGGCCGGATCGCGGTGGTGGGACGGCGAGTAGCCCGGTAGAGGCTCCCGAGCGCTGTTCGGTACTGACGACGGTAAATCTGGCTTGATCTCCGGCCGGAGTCTGATGTGAGCCACGTCCATCGTCTGGCTGTGCCGGTCTCGCTCCTTAGATGAGCAGCTAGTTGTTGGAGACTCGACAACCGAGTCCATACACGGAGACAGTTGCTGTGGGCTCATGATGTCTGCACTCCCACTGCCGCGGTACATCCCACGGTAGGTGCACAGGCGAGGGGTACTGGATGTCGAGCCCAAACTTCCCGTGGACGCTCCAAGACTCCAGTTTGAATCCCCTACATTGGCCATAACTCCGATCACATTACATCCTCATACCCACACGATCCAAGCACATCACATGATTGCAGATTATCACCGAGAAGTTCAGTGTTTTCTTCTAGGAATCGCTGAACTCAACCACAGTTTTGCGTTAGCAACGCAGTATGGCGTTCCTGTTGTTGCTCTTCACAGCACTCCATATAGGGTCACCCCTTGACCCTCGTCATGTTGACTGTATACGCTTCACAACCAGATTACATGTCCCAAACAGAAACGCGATCACGTCAACTCAGCGAAGATCATCGACTTTAGTACACACATAAGAGTTCCAAACGGACACTTTTATGAGGATCTCACTCATAAACTAACGCGTCCATGGAGCATCGACCAGGATATCAGTTTGTTCACAAAACTTTCCAACTGTGTATCCATAAACAGAGTGATTGAGAAATGCAAATAGCTGTGTGCAGTGTGAGCCCACTTGATCACCCTATTCAAGGCTTGAGTGCCCGAGGCAATGGCATGCCTATTGTACTCTCTATTGATCGCAGGCCCATGCAGCGCACCCACGGTGCACCCTTAGCCCAGCCGTAGAGGCACAAGCATGCACCCCTGTACAGCTGTACCCAATATGAACCCAATACAGTCGTGTCATATCATGAATGGGATCGATATTGAAAAAGCTCCACGAGTGAAAGTGTGGGGAAGTAATCAGAATCCGGAGAGGGCGCTTTTCAAAAAAAAAGTTAAGACCTCATTTTCTTTCAATAAAATGAACTTTCACCAAACAAAATTGCCAAATCTTTATTTTGTGCAATAGAGAGAAGGCAATATTTATATTTCAAGCGGTAGTCAACTCCAAATTTCGTGTTGTGATACACAGTCGGAAAATATCGAAAATCATGTACTAAAGAAAACGATTTACTTAACTTTCTCCTGAGATATAAGTTTGTTGTATTTTTGGGGGGAATAATGATAACAAGGCTAACTACAAGAATTTTTTTTTTACAAACTCACACCAAGAAAGTTACAGAAGTCACGCTGCGAGTGACCATTGTTACTACAATGGCTCCTGTAGTATTTTCTTGAGGGCGCACTCCAAACATCAGTCCTAACAGTTTAGCGGAATATTCGTGAAACAAAAAAGTAACTTTGCGATAGCAAGATTTCCAACACAAAAAGTCGCCTTTTACATAACTCCTCAAGCACGTAATTTTGTTTTAAAAATACACCTTTTACGTGTAATTGAAACGCTTCGCAGTATTATATATCTCAGGCAAATTTCTTTTAATTTTATTTAAAAGTATACTTTCTGGATGGCAGAAGTAAGCCCGCAAGCGTTGTCAACGCAACACTTCCTTCAATCCCAGTAATCTTCTAATCCGCTAAACCAACACAAAAAGACCGCTTACCGCTGCTGATAAATCTGATTAGTTTTCATGAGGCGTAATCTATGCATGCTGTCCACTTTGGAGACACTTTGGAAGGACAACATATCCCGATTTTCTTCCGGTTAGTAGTAGTTGTTTGTATTTCTCTACATTTTGCCTCGCTAATGTGTGTTTAACTTCTCCAATTCACAATGGAAAGGTACACTGTTTGTCTTGTCCAGCAGTTTGTTTCAGCTTTTCATAGGAAACATCGCGTTATTTGACTTTGGCTGGTGAGCATTAGGCCAGAGTTGCAAGTTAAAATCAACAAAGTTTTGGTTACCGATCCCAAGTGTTAAAAGCAAGGAGTAAACAGCCCCCTCTGCAAAGCTTTCTGGTAAATACGCACAGGTTCGCTCCATGGTGAAATTCAACAGTGTTATCAGACGGAGGCTGACTAAAATCACGATGACTCGAACGTGCAGGATTAAAAAGGCAACAGAGCGATTGGGCAACCTACTTCACAGCAGCAAAAGTCTTGATGCGGTGGCTTAATTTCACAGATGATCGACCGGTGTGGTTTATTTGGATGACTTCACCATTGCTCCATCCTTTCGCAAACGGCCGATATCAAAAGCACCGACCTGCGCCCGTGGTTTCACGAAAATCTTCCCGTATAACACCTAGTGTACGACGGTTACGCCATGTACATGATATGAAGGCCACCTTACGGGACAAGGTACCGTATTCATATCATAATTTCAAAAGTATCAGACTGAGATTTGCATATGACAATTAACCTCTTATGTGAATAAATGCTAGTTCTGGCAAGTGTTGCTCTTTAGGGCCAAACACTTCATAAAAGACATTGGTTGTGGTGCATCTATATTCATTCCAGCACTGCACTAACAGCTTACTTAACAGTTCAAAAACAAGCCGATTTCGAACTGCTGTTATTTTACTGTTAAGCACAGACATTTGTTGAGCAAAGAAAATGTTTGCTAAGCTAAAAGCGGTTATCAGACAAAATTTCCTGGGATGTTGTGACTGTTTCTCCTTACTTATGGTTACCACAGAAATATGGTTTAGTATTTTCTGTTATACACCTGTATAAAATTGCACCTGACTTTAACACAATGATGCCCTCTTGACCTTCTATATCTGCGCCTATGCCAAATATAAGAAGTGTCTATTGATAGCATTTTAATTTCAATCCAAATTGAAGTACTCTCAACACCTGCAAACATCGGTTTGAATCATGTTGCGAAGAGCATACGGCGTTGCCCAGAGACGGGCGAGATGGTATCGAGACAGCCTCTTCAACATCTCATGGAATTGTTAATTATAACAACACACGTTGATCGACTCGTTGAAATCGGATGCATGTCAGTGTGTATTTTATTATTAGTAATGACACGATCGTGCGTGAGTCGCTTATTGCTTTGCAATTTGTGTTGACTGTTGAGTTGATCATTGACAAAATGTGCTGTATTGTCAGAATAGGTTTGTGTCATGTTTCCAAGTCATGTCTATTGTCGTGTGATCAGTTCAACACGTAGGCCCCTATCTTACTCTGAATTTTGATTTTATGCAGGTCGTATGAGACGATCATTGCACAGTGTTTCCAGATTCCGATTTCTCTTTGGGTAGTGGAGGATGACATCTTAGAATCTTCGCCATTTGGGGCCGATAACGAGACTGAACAGACATTTCCAGCGGCAGCCGATGTGGTAGCGCGTCACGCCTCATCATGACTGCCCGTCCGCCACGGCCCGTAGTTGAAGTCAAACACCGCTACCTGGCCTGGGATAAGCCGCAGTTTCTCATCGCAAACACTTCCAAGAGACCCGAGACTAGCCCTAAAACGTCCCTTGATTCCAGAAACGCTCGCACGAGAAGGGATGTGAAGTTAACAGTCAGTCGGAGTGCCGACCCACACACGGTACGGCGTGGACCGAACGCGGTGGATAACCGACTCGGAAAATCTCAACAGAGACTTTCTTCCCAACTGAACAATTCTGCATCCACAAGTTCGACACCGGTCATTATAGCTGATTTGTGGAAGCCCATGCAAATACGATACTCAACAACCCAGGAAAAGTTGGACTTTGTTAATAATGCACACACAAGGAGCCACAGCCAACCGGCATTGGCTTTCGACAACTTCAACACCAGACAAGAAGCCCAGAAACTGCTTCAGAATTCTCGCTCCAGTGTCAACCAACTTCTAAAGAATCACAGAGACAGGTTGAGTAGTTCCCGATATCCCGTGAAGAGCACCGAGCCTTCAGACACTGGCTACCGCAATCACAGGGTGGGAGAGATCGCCGGATACCAGATTTTTGGCGGGAGTTTGCCGAGGACGAGCGTGTACAATGTGAACGAGCGCATGGTGTCGTCTGCTTCGGACTTGTCTAGTTTGTCATTCGGCTCGATCGACCACGAAGTGACTGACAACGTCACCCCGACGTGTCCACAACGTGCATCGGAGTCTAGGACTTTGATACAATATTCTCCTAACATTGAAAGCCAGTCTGCATTATTAAAAGATAGGTATTTTGATGTGGAAAATGGGAACAATGTTGTATCGGCCATAGTGTCGAGCGATCATAGTCGGTCAAATGGCGTGGCAAGTCCTGGTAATGATAAGAGAACCGAACTCACGGTTAACGCCGGAGAAAAAGAAAATACCACTAAAGCCAGGTCTGCTTCATCTATCCGTATGCCTGTCGACAATTGGAGACGGCAACACTTTGTCGACAACACGGTCGATTCGGGTCCCTCCGAGGCTGTCGATGCCTTACAACCATTCAGGCTCAATGCCAGACTTCCTTCACCTGACAGCCGGCCAGTGAGTAGTGGAGTCTCGCCGAATTTTGCGGAAGAGATCAGCATAGTGGACCAAGCGAACAGAACCGAAGAAGGGTTACCACCAGATTGCTCGATGTGCCCCATGTGCCGGGCTCAGGCCACTCTCAAGGCAGCTGAGACGGGAGAAGAAACCCGGGAAATCTTGGAAGACCTCCGCAAGGAGGGGAGAGACTTCGTGAGCTTTCCTCGCATGGATTCCAACAATTCACACTTCGTCAGCAGTGAATCACATCAAGAAAATCATCAGCAATCAGTCGTAGAAAACGATAAAAGTCCGGATCAGACCTTAAGGGAGCAAAGAAAACGGACTGCTGAGAGGACGGGCCGCTCAAGCATACGGCTGTTTAATGAAACTTCATACAATCCGCCTTTCCCTCAAAACGACAAAATCGACTCATATGGCAGCAATGAGGAACTCATAGCAAGGAAAACTCATTCTGATTCTGAAACTGTTAAGCGAAACAATGTGGCTGAAGCAAATATGATAGATGTTGATTTGAAAGCAAGATACAGGAGTGAGAAAAAGGCAAATGTCCGAAGCCCAAGAAGAGATTTTGAACCAAACATTCGTAATGGCGCAATTGTATTAAGAGGTAGAGGTCTGACACGAGCAAACAGGCTTGAGCAGACCCAGTACCACACCAGTCCTCTTCACGCGGCCAAGTGGTACATGGACGCAGCGCTACCGACGCGTCAGGCCAGCCCACGCGGTTCCATGACCGTGTCTCGAGGAGCAGCGATCCCTGGATTGGCACCATGTTCCCGGTACCTGCCTCCCGCAGCTACGCCAACGATGAACCACCGAGTCCCTCTCATCATCTGGAGAAAGCTTCAACAACTAGATACACCACATCACAGTGACAACAGAGGGATGGAGTACGAGTACGGATCCAGGTTGGCGGGGGCTGCTGGCTATCACGGGGGTGGAGCGACGCGTTTCACCCATCAACAACCGAGAGTTGATCCTGGCGATGAGAAATTCGCTTCTAAGTCCGAGACATTGACATCCTCGTTAGTTATTCACATCCCGACGGCTGGTGTTACACCTGAAGATGTGGACTGCCCACCAAACAGCCCTGAATGATTTTTTTTAAATTAATTTAAACTTTGTCATTCAGCTTAATGGGATGAAGATGAAATATGATATCATTTAGGCAGTTTGCCTTTCAAAATGAGGGAAACGTACACAAGTGTTATGATTTTTTTTTTGCCACAGAAGAGGAAAAAAAAAGAAATCTCAACTGAGGGACACATTAGCCATCAACTTCGAACAGTTTAGAATGTGTTTTTGATTGGAATTTGTTTTCCCCTGTCGAGAGTGATTCTTGAACGAATTGTTCATGTTTAAAGAAAGAGAACAACTGTGCAGAATATAATTTATTGCATACTTTTCCATAAAATGTTTATCGTTTGTGAACCTCTTCATGCTCAGTCAATAACTGTACATACATGTATATCTAATTTGTTTTGTAAGGTGTTTAGTGTTCAGATGGACTGATGAAGACATATAAATGAACAGCCCCAAATGGTTGGCTATTATGATGTCTTTCATTGATTTCGTTGTTGGTTTTTTTTTTTATTCCGCGCGTTGTTTCAAAGAAATACCCAATACAAGCTCCTGCTACTTGTACATCGTTTATAAAATGTATGAGATAAGCTTGAATCTTAAAATTTGAAACAAAACTAAAAGTTGTTCAAAACACAAATTTGAATGTGCACTGTAACCATAAGATACAACAATATAACTGAGACCGATCGCCTGACCTGCCGACAAGATTTTGTTGTCAGCAACGGTTGCCTATATGCGCCGTTGCTGGGCAAAAGTATCACATTTAGGCGGGAACTTTGGTTACAATAGACATCATTATTTACACGGGAGTTACAAATTAACATTGTAAGGTCTGTTTACACGGATCAGTGCCCACACTAATTTGATGGTAAACAAAAACACACTTCAGAACAAACATCGACATTGTACCGAACAACCAGACGCATAACTTGATCCATTAGAGTGCCTAGGGGAGAAATTTCAAACATTTTTCTTTGGGAGAGGCGTGTTTTTTCACAAATTTGTCAGCTGTAGTGTTGTTTTGGTTGTCAAACTTGATCTATTTACAAGGAGTAATCAAACAGGACGGTTGTCATGCGTGTAATCTGATGCTCTGAATAAATACAACTGCCCAGCATAAGAGATAGTATAGCGCCCTCTACAACTCGCTTCACGTCAGAGAAGCGCCCTCTGTCGGCATGGATTGATTGATTAATTAATTAAACAAAATAACGTACGAAGCTTGTCAATTGCTGTCTGTGTCCTAAAATCTCTTTACTTGGATGTGAAACGATTTGGAAAAATTACGATCAGAAATTGTTTGGCGGTGACAACTTAATACAATCAGTGACTGCAATGCAATGCTAAATTGCAACATGATTATCGACTATAAATATTTCTACAGGGTGAGTCAAAAACAATGTGACCGAATTAGAAAACAAAACAATATTTAAAAAAATATGTGGCTCGCTTCATTTCATAAAATTAATTAGTGATAAACTAATAATATTCACTAGTAACTGTGAAAATGTCACTTAATTTGCATACTCTATTCCCAAGTTATGTGTATTTAAAATAAAATGATGACAACAATCAGCTGTCCACCACTATTTTTTTTTACCGTTCTCCGAACTGACAAATAACCATTAAATACAATGAAACATAGACGTTTTTGCACGTCCACGAACGAACGAAAAGTTGCCAAGGAAAACAGACAAAAATCCCCATTAATAATTCACGGAAAAAAGAGTTCACTTGTTCCTTATATCGACTCAAATTATTGAAATCTTATATGAATGCCTGTGTGTAATCTGTGATTCTCACTCAGCTCACCAGCTTCCAATTGCATTTCATGAACAGTTAAAAAAATAGGTTCTTTTAGTAAAAGTTGCATAACTTCTGATACAGCTGGATGATCAATTTCAGTAATTCCTCTTTTTTCACATGAGAGGAAGAAAATGCTCTGTTAAGACTAAGATCATGCTCTTTTAAGACATACTTCATTGATGTATCAAATGTGATTGACTTTTAAGAAAAAAAAATCATCAATCCATGTTACTTTCTTGTTGACTCGCCCTGTACACACAAAAAACCACCAGATATTAAATTTTGTGGTTAAAAACTGACCATGGGTGCAGTGAAGGTAGATACAAATGAAGACATACTGCATTTAACTGAGTAAGTATTTTTCAGTAGTAAGAGTTAGAATGTCATCATCACTTGGGGCATATTTTTTTTGGCATACGTTTAACCACACCAACTCAAACCACTTGCAGTCCACACCATTCACAAAGCAAATTTGTTGACAATTTTAAATTATGCTCGTACTGAAGCTATGTTCTAACTTCTATTACTTTTAAAAAGAAAGCACTCGGGCGTATGTACCCTCTAAGTAGGTGTGGATTTAAAACAAATTTGATTGGTAAGAAAATCGCACTTTTTCTAACCATTAACGTATCTTAAATATTCATAATAGGGAATTAATAGGGAAAGACAAACTTATCAGCATGCGAATAAAAATAGAAGTCGTCACATTTATCCACTATATTTTGGTATTTGTTTTGTACCTCACAAGATCCATATCTTTGGCATAATTAATAGTGACTCAGTATTCGTTAGCCAATTAGTATGAGGTATTTAAACAGTCATAACATCTCGTCTTTTTTGTCCAGTTGTATGAGAGGAGTGTTAGGCGGGCAAACATGCCCGAACCTGGACGGTTCATACAGGTAGCACATCGGACAATCCACGCTGTGCACCACACTGGACTCGTCAGACGTCCCACTCGACCCGCCTCGTTCACCGGGCGTGCCTCGCCTCGCTTTGTCCGTGAGATCCCCGGCGAACAGGTCGGCACCTGACCTGGATCGCAGCTCTCTGGCCATGTCATCCGCGTTCGTGTAGGTTAGTTGAAAGTCAAAGTCCTCAGGACAGGTTGATCCACCGCGTTTGTATTTCCTCGTCACCATACCGAGTCGTGATCGGGTGTCCTCAAGGCTGTGGTACCGGCGGTCCCTCCATGAAGCACGCTGCTGGAGCCGCTCGTTCCGCTCGTTGTACCGGCGAGTCCGGTCCGTGGTTGAGAGGAACAAGTCTTGGTTTGCAATAGTCTCGGATCTCTTAGCAGCCAGACGTCTGATGACGACCCGTTCCTTTGAGGAAACAGCCCCCATGCTTGCAGCCCGCCGTGTCTGGAAGGTATCCACCGCGTCTCCGATGCTACGGCTGATGAGGGGTGCTCCTTTCGAGTACCGCATCCGTGGAATGGGACGAGGCTCCATGGGTCCGGGCAGGGCCTGGCCCCGCGTCAGAGCCTGGCTGTCCGCCTTACCGATCCGGAGTGAGTCTACAAACTCCGTGGAGAAGCTTCTCTCCACCACCGCAGCTTGACCAGTCGAGGAATCCCTGGCATCTGCCAACCACCGCTCTCGGAGACTACCCGCTGGAATTTCGTCTGGGTTGCTTTCGCTTGAAGCACCGCCTCTGAACTTCGAAATCTTAGAATCAAGTCGATCTTTCCCCTTGCTCTGTTTGCTGCGTCCGTCTCGCCTCTTCCTCATGTCCACAGTGAGGCCACACTCCTCTACTCGTATCCTAGGCAACGGGGCAGAGTTCATCTTCTTCATGGCAACCTCTCCACTTAGGTATGCATCTTCTACCCTCCCTTCCGCTGTCTTATCGTTCGTCTTAGTAGACATAAACACAGGCGTGGTTTTGCAATACATGCCAAATGTCATACTGAGTCCGTTCTGAAATTCACACCCATTGGCAAACTGTTTTGCAGAAAACCAACATTCAGAACGTACACTGAATGAACAGTTAATCAGTACCATACCATGACATAGTAACAACCAATTGACCGATATCTTCGGTTATGATAATAATTACAAAAGTAGTTCATTATGTCCCGAGGTCCTGAACAAACACACTGAATCGAAATGAACTTTGTTCTTCACCTTACAGTCTGCTGTAGCACTAGATTATCGGCGGTTGTACGTGTCTCCTCTTAGACTAAATAGCTGTACAGACATGCTCAATAGAGTCCATGTAATGAGATTCGTCGTCAGTCTGTGTGCAGCTGCGAGTGCGAAGATAGAGGAAATCACAGCATTGAGTCTTATTAATTTTTAATAACCTTACCGAAGATTATCAGCGCCGAGTTATTTAACAGTTATAATGTGTTTTCACGCTGTCTGGCTTGGCTTTTCAGAACTCACCGGCTGTGAAGGACGTGTTGGTTGACAAGCTGTAACAAAATTGTTTTTTTATTTGTGACCCAAATTTCAATTGTGCCGAATTGAAGATGTCGACCTTCGATGCCAGTATAGTGTTCATGTACATATCGCATATCCAGGTCGAAACGGCGTGTTGGTTTCCTCCAACATGTCCAAAGCGAACCGTGCTTCTTCCGAATTTGGCTGGTCTGCGGTCACTCTTTTGTTGCAAAAACTTGCAAAGTTTCTACACATAATTGGAGATTTGATGTAGTGCGTCGTGAACGGTGTCAAAACTGTCACGCAACAATATGGCAATATAACGATGCATTGGTCCTGTGCTTATAATATTAAGTTCATAATCAGCTTTTCCTCACCGTTGCTCAAATGATTCGCTCCATTCATTCAATATCACAATGTCCTTGTGACGAAGAAATCCCCGCTATTGTTGCCTCTATGCCTGCCGTGTCCCTCGTGGAGTGCACGGGCGATCTGGTAACCCCAAATCATTTGTCGCTACACCGTTTACATAGCTTCATATTTTCATCTTGTGTACGCACGGTGCACGGTAGGAACATGACTTTCGTTTTTACCGTCTTCCCCCTCCGGGTGAGTGTAACATTAATGACCGGGCTGACCCGGGTACAAACACTCACCTCCCTTCTGGGGCACGCTGGTGTCACCCGCCGACCGTGCGCGCATATTTTCGCTACGATTTGAACCCTGCTACGTTACCACTCACACTTCAAGGGAAAGAAAAACACCTCAGTGCAAATACGTATCGATTGCACATCAATTATTGTAGTGTTTAATCAAGCTTGGGGAGTTTGATATCAAGTAAGAGCCAGCTTGACGATGGTAAATAAGTCTGTGTAAGGGAAGTCAGGAGTATCCGTTAACCAACACTGGAATTTTCAATTAAGACTCCAAATTTTTAATAAGGAAACATCTCAGATGCGTGAAAGACGAGCGTGCCGCAAGAAACAAACACATCTCACTTTCCTTCATTTAGTTCGTTTGCTTCGAGAATACTGCTTCAGAAGAATTACCCCAGCTTTTCTCTATCATCCGTTGCTGGTTGCTGTTGTGTTGAGTGGTGAGTGTCATATTCGGGTTATCAGAAACAGTCCAAGTTCTAAAGTTGGGGTATGTAACAATGACGTATGCAGTGTGGGCGGGGCCAACTTGCGACCACCACATTTCACATGACAGTAAAAACCAGTACAACTCCTCCCCAACAACAACTGCCTTAAAGATGCATTCCCTGTGATATTTTCGAGAACTTTTCACCTCGATTTTTCTTAATTGCTATTTTCTTACAACTATAAACGTTTTTCACTTTTGAATGAGACATCGAATGAAAAAATCCACTGACGTTTATTTCTTGTATTATTTTGTTCACAAAAATCGACTTATTGGCTGCCAGACAATAATTGGGCTCTCGCAGGGCGGGTTATTTGTGCGCAAAATGAAAGCCCTTTTTAAGAGGGTTTCAGATGCCCAAATTTGGAATAAAGTAGTTTTTTTTTAAACAAAACAAACAAATTGAAAACTCGTTAGGAGAGAAACATCACTTTTTTAAGAGCACGGGATATGCATCTTTAAGGTACACGCACCCCCCCCCCCGAAAGCCAAATACATGATCCTCGAAGTGAAATATCTATGTTTTGACAGTTTAAAGACAGCACCACTTACAACACCTGATAGACTCCCTTTTGTGTATTTTAACATCACCAAATATGTACATAGCAGTACGGTGCAAATATAGAATGCTTTTGCTGGCCATATATACACGTTGACACCATACATTAAACACAAAGTAGTTTGGACCAAAGTCACATCCCTTCACTTAATGATGTCGCAATAAAAATCGATAAACAATATTATTTATCCTGATGTTAAATCTAATGTATGAATGCATCTGCAATTTTGATGACATAACTCTAAATTGGTCTTACAATAAGACTTTGAAAAGTAAATACCTGTTTGCAAACATACGGGTGACACAGCTAAACATCATCTATCCATTAGTATCTGGCCTATGTTAATATTGACGAAGTGTTGATGCCGATAATTGACATACGAGCGCGGGATTTTTTTCTTAAGTGTGTTAGAGCGCCCTCACTTGGTTAGATCTTTTAGCTTTTATTTTGTGGCGGTATTCAGGCTCCGTTGTACAACTGAGCCCTCTCGCGGTGAAATGGTGAAAGTTGTTCTCAAGACCAGTAAATAGACTCCCATAGACCTCATAGTACAGTGATAATTACGCGCACTTTCAAAAGTTATTTAAAGTACTCACAACACTTCAAGGTGTTTGAGACACCAATCATTCGTAAAGCTTATTTCATCATCTTTCATTTTCTGTTCAATTTTTGGGTGGTATTCCGATGACTTTTGGGAGACATTTCCATCTAAAAAATATCAACCCTAAAAGTAGTCCTGTGGCCCATCGACATTCAAAAAAAAAAGATGCCTGCGCTCGAATGCAAAATAGTGCAATTTTAGGGCCCAATTTCATCCTAATTTCACAGAAATACGAGCTCGCAGTCCCGTGCATGGCTTCCACCTATCATTAAAACCTTTAAGCTCATGGTCCACAAAATGATCTTATTGTCGGCATACAAATCGTGATTTGGCCAGCGTATACCATTTTGGGCCTACATCCACTGGTCTGCACCCTTAAGCTTTATAGCGATAGTCTGCACGTCTACAAATATTACCACATAATGAGCTACTAAAAAAGTAAAAATTCGCAACAGTCTTTTCATCTTTAAGGGTCGAAAATAACTTTCTTAGGAGCAACCAGATGGTATGTATTCTCGTGAAAACGACAGTGCAAACCGCCAAATGAAGAAATCAAAACAAAAATAACTTTTTTTTTAAACAAGCGAGGTTTTTCACAACATTTCACACTCGTCCGTTCTATTTCTCAGAGCATAATGGAAACCGTGACGGTAGCAAAACATGGAAAACATTACCGAAGGTTTATGCACAACACAGGTAAATTGTAAATAAATAAGTGTACAGCAAAATATAACGCCACATTTACGCATAATTTTGACAAAACACCTTGACTATATTGCCTTAATAGTGGGGACATCCATATAGAATATGAATATAATCTGGTTTTAAAACAGGTATTTTGAGAATATTGTACATAATTGAAGTAAAAATCGACGCATTTGGTGAATACAACAAAAATAAACAATTCTAGCTCAATAATTAAGGATTCTCGTGAATGATCTTCAATAACAGAAGTACCTTGGGAGAGTTAATGATTCCTTTTCACCTCTTACGAAATGTCCGCTTTTTGCTTTTGAACATGTATTTTCGCATTTACGAACTGTTGACAAAGCACCTTATAGTGCGAATATCAATTTCTATAGACTATGAATATCATATTATTCAAACAATATTTTCAGAATAATTTAAGAACAAATCTAGCTGAATTGTTAAGGATTTTTAGAAAATTAACTCAATAGAGGAAGAAGTTTTGGAGAGTTTGTGAAGGCGCAGAGCTCGTTCAAGAAATGTCCGCATTTTGCTTTTGAACACAATTGAATTTATGTTTGCCAGTATTGAAAAAAATCTTTAAATGCGAACATTTTGAGCCCACTCAAAAAGGCTGTTTTTTGTCATCAGCTATAGAGTACTACAGAAGATTGCCAATATCAAAAACAAATTCGGATGAAGTCTTAGTCTCTACAGAGTTGTCTGAATTTCTTAATGAGCATCTCCATTTTAACCTTGAGGTTAAAAGCCTCAAAATCGTCCAGATATTCCAGGCTGTCCGTCTCGCTAACAGGGGGTGTGACGGTGCCAGGCAATGACAGTCGGTTGCAATTATAGACGGAGTTTATGGCAGCTAGATGCAGGTGAGGGTGGTTGGGTCCGATGGATAGTCCGTTGGATTGGATCTTGGTCACGTCCAGAGGTTGATTGGGTAAGCGGGAGGTCAAAGGGATCGGCTGACCGGGGTCGAAGCGGCGCTGGGTCGGTGTGACTAGCCAAGGATCTCGGAACTTATCTGGGGTTGGTTCCTGATGTGGCGAGGGTGGCCTTCGCCCAAGGGACCGAATGTGCTGCAGGTGACGGCTACAAAGTCGCGTCGTTTCTTGCGGCTTCCTTTTGGACCACCGCGAATGATTCCTTCGCAGAACGAACGGCCGCGGTACGTGCAGAGTCCTAGCGAACTCGATGCGGGTGTTTTTGGCCGTGTAAGCGGCCGAGTCCCAGGTACCCTCGGCGCTGGATGACTCGGTGCTCTCCAGAAGTTCATCGTGCTCGGGGCCGGGGAAAGGGTCTGGCTTGGATGGTCTGACGAGTAGGTCTGAAGTGGAAAGGGAAATGGACTCCTTACTTCCAAATGACGGGTGTTTGGTCAGTTGTCTGTTGACTGGGCGCCTCCTTCTCTGTTGATGGGTTTTCTGGCCCTGTTCCTCCTCACCACTATCCGCTGAGTTTGACAAAGGTTTGAAGAGAATATCAACCCTGGTCACGTGCGGATGCATACAGTTGCCATGGATATCATCAAGTTCTCTTTCTCTCTTTCCACCCATGGTATGGATTTGAGAAAATGATTTTGAAGTCAAATCTGAGTCTTCTTTCCGTTGTTTGTCAGCGACGGGTTCGTTCCGCCGATAAATTTCGGCCAAGGAGCCAGTTTTCCGTAGGTCCGGTCTCTTCACTGATTTGAACCGGTCTGCTTGGAGCTCGCTCCCAAGGCGATGACCAGGACCGTCCCGCTCGGTCGCATCGGTTCTCCCAGGGAAGACAACTTTCACCGTGGTCGCTGTGGTGCCATTTCGCTTGACTCTTTTTCCCATCTCAAAAGTCAGCTTCTTATCTTTGGTTTTCGGACAGCCTCTCTTCTCCGCGGAGGCTGATGAGCAGTATTTCTCTCCATACCTGCCCGGGGCCTCCACGCCTTTCTCGGGCGCCATGGTCGGTAACGGTGTCAGCGGTTTTCGCGTCACGACAAACAGGCGTTCGCTGGAGTTACCGACCAGCTTCGATTGCTGGCTAGTGCCCAGAAGAGTGTACATCGTCTCCATCAAATGTCTGACGAATAATAACCAAATAATAACCAAAGTTCTCTTATTTTTTTGCCGAATGATTTCCGGTGTTGGCAAGTGCTTTGCTGCTGCTGGCGGCGTACAAAGTTGTGAAGATCTGGAAGGAGGTCCTCCCCTGTAAGAGTTTCCACACAGATGCTAACAATGCAGGTTTACATTCCGAAGAAAATTGAGAAGTGTTTGTGACAATGCCGGTGATAAGGGAGTGCCATGTCCGATATTGTCTGTCCGCAAGACCAAATATGAGTGGACAATAATAGAAGGGGTGCGAAGTGCCAAGAGGGTCCTATTGGTCATTTCACGGGGTGTCGAATCCAATTTGCTGAGTGATTCTCATCCTGATGCCGGCTGGATGGCTGAGGCAGGTGTCATTGTCAGAAGAGCGTGTACTGCTAATGTTGAAACAACTCTTGTTTCCGTGGTTCATCACCACAAAACACTAACCGGTCTGTGCCGGCACGGCGGTCCGCACCACTCGCTTACCAAAACACAAGTACGGCAGCAAAGCGCCCTGTCTGGGGCAATTAATTTTGTTCCAATCCAACCTTTATTCCCGGCGAAGGGTTGCCCTACTGGCATTATCTACCGCGCTAATTGCACCGCATTATCATGCCAATGAGGGCAAAGAGTACCTGGCTTTTTTTTTTAACCCTTCTGGCTCCGGGCCGACGACAGTCATAAACCTGGCCCGTTGTGTGACGCTATTGTCCCCCTTGCCTCCTCCCTCCAACACCACTACGTTGCCCAAACACGCAGGACTTTATGTTAGTCTATGAAACTGTGTAAACTAGTTGAGTGACAGCTAATGGGGCAAATGCCCCTTAAAACTATCGTAGGACGATAGCAAACATGGTGTTAGGGCGCAATCTGCCTTGTTTCTAAAGCTATTTACCAACATGTCATTTGAGATTGGTTGTCAAGCGACCGGAATAATGAGGGTATTTCTGAATCGTAAACAGTGCTTAATGATATTCAACCAGCTCATAACATTAATAATGTTTCAACTTCGAGAAAAAGATTCTTAAAAGCAGTAGTGAATGAGACCCGTTATCTCCCTGCGCCCCGACAATTCTGTCATTTTGATTTATGTTATGCAGGGAAAAACCAAGGGAACAAACATGAACCCACATAGGCCTCAGAAGAACAGTTAAATGTGGACAATTTTCAGACCTTTTGCACGAAGTTAAATTGTAACGAAAAGACTCAAACACACGGTAATTGTTTGCCGTCGGTAACAGAATTGGAAACCTTTCAAGCTACCCTCGGATGCCTAACCAGCGGCCGGGAACAAAACGACGACTCCTGGGTAAGAATCCAAAAATAAGTGGAAACCTCAGGCCAACAACAGGAGGAGGGAAGTGGGCAAATGGAAGCCAGAGAAGTGAGTGAACCAAAACCGCTGATGTACAATGTAAAAGATACTGTGATTTGCTAGAAACAACAAACTGATTATTGTAAGAATTCGAAAAAAATGGGTGAAAGTTTTTGAATGGGTCATTTTTGCAGCTTCGGCATTACCAAATAATGTGGTCAATTGTTACAAGTGAGAAAGGTTTTCCAAAAGATCTGTGTGCATTTTGCTGGCATGAATTCAGAGGTGAAAATGTGGATAATTGAGGGGTGTTTTCACTGTTTTGTGGAGGTTTGGACTACTAGTTATCATGTAAACACTGCGAAATGGATACCAAAACCACAGTCCGATACAGTTTTACAGGATACAGTTTTCACAGTCCAAATAAGGCTCGGAGACTCAAATCTTAAAAATGAATAAACAAATTATTAAAGTAAACATTTTGCATAATTTGCGTATGAGGTGAGCATTGTCAATTAATTTTTCTTCTTGGGGCACAAAAAAACAACATAATGCTATTTCAGAAGTTTATAGAAAAAAACAACATTGCTAATCAATATACACTCTAAAAGAAAACTGTGGCTCTGAAAAGAACCAGCTTTGTCATAGGGAATATGTCATTGTTTTAACTCCACGTTTCGGTCAGCATACTCTGCCGTCATCTTAAGAAGGCGGATCTTGCAAAGAACCATCTTCGAAGGCATAGGCCTATTATCATGAAAATGACTTCGCCAACTTCTTATATAAAGAATTACCAAGTATCTTATTGGCTAATATGGCCACAAAGAAGCCCATCCTGGCACAATGAGTTGGCAGTCATGAACCCAAGAAATTCCAAGGAAACAGCAGACACCATTTCCAAAGAAGTGGCGACTTGGTCTTGCGCGGAGACCTGTCAGTCACGGATGATCCGGCCTGTGTTTGCACCACATGGACTCTAAATCCCACTTCACAAGATGACCACAAGCTGCCCTGAGCTGCTTAGTCTGGCTGTGGTAAGGGGATCAGGATTTGTCATTCTCCTCAGTACAAATGAAAAGCTAAGAGATGAACCACGACTGTTGGGTAAATACAAGATAGATATATCAGGGTGGGGACGGGGATCCATACTCTAACCTGGCGGAATCAGTGTTGCTCCAACTTTCATCATAGTGAGAGAGACGTCGTCTTCTTATGGGGAGTCATGGGCGTATACAGTAATCTTTAGCATTAAATTGTGTGCACCGGCGTTTCACTATGACTACATTTTCATGATGAGCTGTAATTTTGTCAATGCTTTAATTTAAAAAAAATCATTTCATGAATATCTTTTAGCTAATATCGAATTGACGATATTTTTAACCAAAGATAAACAATTACTCAGGCGTGCAATCTGCGCCATTTTTGTCTTCCAAAATCATTGTTTTAGCATGAACTAAATTCAACCTTTGGGGAATTACGAGCGGGACTCTCGGTTTTCGTACTATCAAAATTAATAAACTGTAACCATTTGTGGACCGACTTTTTTCCGGGGAAAAATATTTGCTGGCAAAAAAAGCAACTTTGTTTAACTTTTTGGCTCAAAACATTGAGCAGAAACATTGTGCATAGGCCCTTATGGGATGCAGCGAGTACTCGCTGGGCATGAAGCAAACCTACCAAGATTTATCGAAATATCGGGAATGTTTTTGATTTGTTGTTGACCGAAAAGACAACAAACCACCGACAAAGGGACACCTCGACATCCGGGATGTCGATCTGGTTCCTCGACTTCTGTGTATGTAAATCAATGCCAACGAGAATAAGCAGCCAAACGCTTGGTCATATCTAACACCTGCATGCCATCCTCGCATAGCGTGCATTCAATTTATAATGGGATGCTGCAAATCTGCTAATTTATTAATATCCAAATACACCTGTCCACAGTTTGCTCACGATAACAGCGTTTAATATCTCATTTACATGATTGATGACGCGGCCGACATCAGACTTTGAAACCATTGAAAATAAAACACGACGGATAAGAATTAAGAACACACACAAGAGGAATACCCTGACATCAAAATGAAATGCCATTATAAGGATCGTTAGTTCCAGAATGTTTTGATGCAATAGCTCGTCCTCGTGGGCATTAGTGCGCTTATAATCAAACACTTCTCAGAAAATTGTATGGCTGAAATCACACAAAAAACTGTCACAACATGTTCAGATTTTAGGATAGGAGTGTAAAGTGATAGAGTTGTATCGACTGTCTTTTTTTTTTTTAAATAAGATTTAAGACATGGTGCTAGTGTATAGTAGTGAGGTTTGCGGTAACACCATGTGGAATAATCTCTCTTTAGAAGAAGTGTGGTTCTAAAAAGAACCGGATTTTTTAGTGTTTTTTTTTTTAGTAATCTCTGGCTAAGTGTTAAATCTTTTGAGGTGGGTGTTAGGTGGTGGCAAAAGTCGTGTAGTTTCAAGGGTTCAAGTGGTAGTGGGTCTTTTACTTTTGGTGGCATTAAAAATTGATCTCAAACACAGTTTTCCAGTTCTGACTTCACCGTACATTGCAACACATTATTGGGCTAAATTTTTTCTCTGACCAAAAGGCTAGATCATGCGCTGGTTGTTGACTGCTTGTGGTGTCTTCTCTTCAAGGACCTCACCTTTGTCTTCACATAAAGGTGTATCACGATAACAACCCAGAAATCCCTTAATCCAAACGCGCATTTTATGGGGGAGTATCGTTCACTGTTTGGTTTTCTGGCTCGTTTCTCTATAGATGTAAACCACTGCATGAGTCTGCACAAGGCGATTTCACCGCAAGGCCATTGTCTATACGGCAACTAATTTCCTGAACGGCCCGTTTGATAACCAGTTGGCTTTTCTCCGGGATGTAATGAAGGACCAAAGCATCCATGCGTTTTATGGTCGCCCGGGAAACGAAGAGGCAACGTCGGTCGTTCTTTTTCATCGTGACCGAACTTCTTCCATGGCTCGTGGGGGTTCTGTTGTCCTCTTTCCACCCCGTTCAGTACCCGGTTCTTATCAAGTGGACGTGTGACGTTCCCGGTCTTTTGTCAGACAGTGACGAAAATAAAAGCTTGGCACCCCTTTTGTGGTCCGTACCCCTCTGCGGGGCCCGCTGTTGCCGTGAATAGCCCAGCGCTCCGAGACAGGCCCATAGCCACTCACCTACACCATCGATTTTATCTGTTTTGCTTTCTGAGGAAAATTGGCAAGACACGGGCAAGCTATTCACGGCTATTCAGAGGAGTTTACTTCAAGCGGGTAGCAACAAGAGGCAACAAGGACTAGTTCGATCTGACCAGCTTATGTACATGTGCAAAAACTGTGAACAACAAGCAAGTAAATGTACGAATTTAATATAATCAACAAACTGTCATAGATTTGTTGGTGTACAAAATGTGGAGATGTATACATTGTGAAATATCAACAGCACGATGACTTGTATGATATTCAAGACTTTCAACCGGCTAGCATGCATGGACGTCACATCATTCGTTCAAAGACATTTTCACGAGGAGCTGGTTCTGTGAAAATCATTTCCCTTTCGGGCTAATAATTAATGAACTCCTTTATGAGTTGAAAAGTGTGCGCGTGAATGCAGACATCTCGAAGGGACTTCAAAACGCACCGGCCTGCCACTTGTCGGCGAGAACTCGGTGGTCGTTTTGCAGCTGGTGTTTGAGGGCCGATTTCCACAGCAACGCCGGTTATTTTTTCCAGCCAGAACAGAGCTGTACCAGGCGGTCGTGAGAGCCAGCACACGGGGAGACTAATGCAGCTAATGACAGATGACGTGAGGTTGGAAGGTACATCTGCAGGTACGGTACGCACCTTCAGACCCGACCTAGGAGGGTTCTTAATCATCGGTACATCTTGATAGCAACGATAGACTTTTCACCATTTTAGGTACGTCCCCATCGATTTAGACTAAGATCCATTTTACTTTTCTTGAAGAACATCTCATTATAGGCATGCTGAATAATTAGTCAACGGCGGATTTAGTTACAGTATTATACTTGGCTCGGCTCTTAAAAGCTTTGATTTTCTCGGAACAACAAAAGAGCTGGAAAGTGATTTTTTTCTGGGAAATTCTGTGGCCATATATTTGTTCCATCGTCGCTATGTTTAGGTAATTGTTTTCGAGGTAGGAGGAAAATATAGTGTGGAAATCGTATTGTTTATTTTGCAGAATAGATCACTGATGTAGGATTTATCTATAAGCAACAACTTCCAACTCTATCGGTCATAATGTTATGTGCTTAAAAATGTCATTAAGGATTTCACATGAATAGAGAGTTATTAAAATAACTTTATATTAAGCACCCCCTTGGCTTAAGAAGCTGACCAAGATGACCGTTTTGCGTGAGAGAGACCAGGAGCAAGTTTCGTAGATGCTCAGCTCACAAATTTCTGATCATCGGCCGCAATATCATGCGATGTACAGTCGAGCCCTGATAAGAAGAGCACTGTTAATACAACATCCTGCTTATAACAAGCACAAGTTTATGTCCCAAGTCTTATGTTTTTCTTTGTTTACTTTTGTTTTCCAATACTGTTAAAACAAGGTACCTGTTGTAACAAGGCAATTTGTAAAGTCACAAGGACCTTGTTATAAAGGTGTTTGACTGTACATTGTTGCAATGGACCTTGCAGGGCGCGTACATTTTGCATATGGCGACTGGAAATTAATATCAACATGTGGTAAGAATTATTGAATCATCAATGGTTAACATTTCTCCTCTCCTTATTTCACAGCTTTGAGAGATCGAGCATGAACAAAGTCAGAAGGTGAGGTTCATTCTGACCACCATGCCAGTCAAACTTCTTGCCACCAACCCGTTTGCTGAGCCGGCTCGTCTGGAGTATGAACCGTCACCCTCCCCGGCCATGCGCGCCTATCGTTGGAAGAGACCTCTTGGGGTACTACCTCAGTACCTCAAACCATCCCCCACCGGGCGGGATGCACCCAAGGTACCGGGGAGAACAAACACTCGGGGAAGGCTGTATGATGCCCGGCAGCTCTTCACCATTACACAGGCAGCTACGGAGCATCTAAGAGCTGCAACTCAGATGGGCTACCGGGAGGAGACCAAAAGCTGTGATTTGGAGCAGTACCGCATCGGCGCACCGGCACCGCCTTTCGGTGCCAATAACAACAGTAATAACACAAACAATGCTAGTCCAAAGAGCAAGACGCAGCTGCCGAATATTAAGCCCGAAGAGAGCTCCAGATTTGAGCACAGGTTGGGCAGGCATTCTTACAGCCGAACCGAGGTTCTGCTGAAGCTACAAAGACGGAGGAAGCCAAGAGGAAAACAAGGACCGGCAACGGGCTCCGGGAAAAGCGGAGCCGGTTCCCAAGACTTCCCGGTGATCGACTCCAAAGAGACAAACACATGCACGTGTGAGGCAAACTACGTGGCTAGAATGGCGACCAGGTCTGACTCTGGCTACCTCAGCAAAGACTCGCCAGGCAGCAAAAGCCAGAACGCGTCCCGGAAGGGAAGGCGGGTGAGCAGCTCCGTTACCAGCAGCACGACCATCGTCACTAAGATGGCACCAGCAAGTCGCAGTGACTCTTCCCCTTGCAACTCATTTGGACTGGTAACCAAGGAAGAACTCAACCCGAGAACATCGTGCCCAAAACTTGAATTTGATGAGGCCCAGGTAGACAGTGAGTCTTCTAAACGAAAACTTGGATTCGTCGAAGTTGCGACACCACTGCACCGGGATCCAGACACCAGTGGCCCGGAGAGTGATGACCAGGAGCGGTCGACTGGCACCTCCAGCCCGGTGGTGTCCAACGACGCCGACAGCGTCTGTGAGGAACTCCAGAAGATCGTCCTCCGGCAAGCCAAGCATGACCCGACCTGCGCCACTCCCTTCGGCGTCCGCTGGCGGGAGGATTTGGACGATACTCCGGGCTCTGACGACTCTGACAAAAACCGCTTCGACCGGGCCATGCAGGCCCTCCAGCCGCGCGTACCTCACGTAGTCTGGCCGGAGAACAGATATTACTCCCCTCATACCGTGTTTGTGTACGCCAGTCCTTCCAGGCTTGCTCCTGTAGTCATACCGTCACACAGCGTGGATTGCCCGCAGTGCAAGTTCTACCAAGCCTCTCCTAAGGGGGATATCTGCCCGCCGAATAGCCCGACTCCTTGGATGGAAAAGGAGTTTGGATTCTATCCCGTCGAAAGACACTTCGGATCAAAAGCTGAACAGTAATCTTATCTCAGCTGATAAAACATGTACCTGTACATAATTATCTTATATGAAATTAACTTCACGTCTTTTCTTGAATAGCGTAATCTTACAATGACTTATAAACATACTTAATACATTTATGTGTCTCTGTTTTTGTACTATTTTTGTTTATCATATCGCCACGGATTTGATCAAATTGATAGCATAATTCAGTCTGACACAAGCCGTTCATTCATCAGCCAAAATGTATAATTTTAATCAGAATAGGAAAGTCCTGTTTGCCGAAGTATTTTTACCAATTTTTTTTTCGAAAATGGTGAAGTTAACATTTTGCATCAATCGATACATGTACATGTAATGAGTTTCTGGAATTGATGGGTTAACTTTGCCACTTTTAACCATAATGTATTATGGCGGTAAGCAATACACTGTGTTTCCTTCAAATTCTGTGAAAGTGATACAGAGTCATTGCGATGTGATGTAAACATGTACAGTCGACTCTCGTTAGTACAAACTCTGTTAATACAAAATTCTGGTTATAACAAACACAAAGCCTTGGTCCCGACTGTGCATTTGTGTGCACAATGAATGGGACTGATTTTCTTCTTAATACAAAATTCTGATATAACAAACAATTTGGCTAGATTCGAGCGAGTTTGTTATAACGAGACTCGACTGTACACATTTTAGTCTAATGGGGTAGCGTCGTTCACTCATGCCCACCGACTGAGGGCGCTCGTTCATGCTAATCTCTTCACTCGTGTCCACGTAGCACTTCTAACGGCTTATATTCTTAACAAAGTACAGTCGAACACCTTTATAACATGGTCCTTAAGACTTAAAAAAATACCTTCTTATAACAGGTACCTTGTATTAACAAAGCAAAACAAGGTCTTGTGACCTAAGATTTCGCTTGTTATAAGCATGACGTTGTACTAAGAATGCTCTTCTTATCAGGGTTTGACTGTATTGTGAAGGAAACGCATGGCATTATGGGTATAACTAGATGTCAGGAAGTGTTGACACCAGGTCATGAAATCAAATCTCCCATAATGGCGGATACTAAAAGAGTATTAATGAACTGTCCCGTAATTACATACGTGAGCTCATCCCACAGTTCAGCCCATCAACAATTCATTTACAGTTCTGTACCTCAGGATTTTATTTTAAAATGCTGCATAGCTATTTTTGAAACATTGCTAACAATATGTTTTTTTTAGTGTGGAATAAATATTAATACGTACATGGTGTATAGTTTATTACAAAAAAAAAGCTCATTAAACAACAAATAAGTTTCTAAATTATTGCGTATTTATCTTAAATTTGGACAGGTAGAGTAGCCTAATGAGGCAACAATGTTTTTTTTTTCATATCAATGGAAAAAGAAGCAGTGTGTGTTTAATTGGTTAATAATTATGACTTGTGCTAAAGTAATTTTGTTGCATTATCTCAGCTCAGTGAGGTATTTGTGAATATAATGCAATCAGCAATCGCAGATTTTGCAGAAAACCTGTCCGACCGTCCTTTTGATGCACCATTCGCCCCAAGTTCAAACAAAGTAGAGTTAAGTGGGATGATGACGTTATCGCACAAATTAATAAAATCCAATAATACGCTATCGCCAGGCTCAATACCAAGATTTTATTTTCATGCAAAAGTGGGACTAAGTGAAACATGTGCATCAATCTATTTTGTTTGTAATCTCTCAAAATGCTGCAAATTCCTACCCTCTAAGACAGAGCATAATTGTGTTGCAAGTTGATCTGCTGCTTTCATTCCAACCGCTTCACTTTCAACTATAAGCCTCGGGACATCTTGAATGAGACCTTTTCTTGGAACTATTTTAAAACACTTATCTCTAATTGTAATTCAAACATTATAATTGTCTTCCTCAGTCCTTAATTTAAGTATCGTAACATACGCCCACAAGTGTTCGACGTTTACCTAGAATTGACAAGATGAAAATGCCTTCAATTAAGGTAATTGTCTTGACTTCCGACTTCCGCGCCTTGAAGGCACTACTTATAAGGCAACTTCCTTTACGTCATTTATGCTCAAATATTTGATTTATCATTCGTGATATCATAGAGTAAAAGGTGATGACGTAGATTGGGCAATTAAATTAGATTGTCAGCCATGGACTCCTGTCGTCAACGGACAAAAAGAGACAATAATGCTAAGAGTCCTTATAGAAAGGATTAAGATACGGTCATGTAATTGTGCCAGCTACGATAAACAGCGTGACGGGACGCCCGCCCTTACACACGTCACCCATTCATAAAAAGTTGACTGGCGTATTTTATGAATGAACGGATAGTGAGTGACAGGTATTCAGCGCATGTGCAACAATTAATGCTTGATCGTTTACACTGCATGAAACAATACTCAGCCTAATGGTACTTGAAATACAGGGGTGGGGAAGTCCAGATGAAATGAAGGGGTTGACAGGTCAATAAAAACTGGGTGTTGTTCGGGGCGAATAAACCGGAAAGACGTTAAAGAAGATGATCGTTCTGTTTGTTTCTCATCAGCGAACAACGGAAAGACACGCCCATCAAATCAGCAGGGGGACACCTTACGTCAGTGGGCTTCCAGGTTGTAATCGTTGAGATTCTTAGAAGGTGGCTGAAAGCTTAATTCTCTTAAGAAATTGGAGGTGCATCAGCTGATGATGTGACATTAACTCAACAGACCTCTATCGTGCAAGACGTTTGCATGCGTAAAGATGTCATCACTGTACATGTATAAGTGAATAAGTTATGTTTCATATCGACTGAGAAGCTGATGGAGAAATAGAGGAAGATTCAGACATCGGACTTTGCCAACTCTATATAATTTCCAGTTGACCTGAGACACTGCCCACTTATCGTCGCATTTTTCCGCTCGAGTTTCATCATGCCACCATCTCAAAATCCAACCATCAGGCTCCAACTCGTGGAGGACTCACCAAGCCCACCACGTAAAAAGTTCAACAGGAGCTTTTCTCCGGCTTCATGTATCACGGACACTAGAAGCTGCCCCGAGCTGGGCGGCGAATCACGCTGCCCGTCCCCGCCTGGACAAGACATCGATCGTCCCACCCAGATTAGGGGAAAGTCCGCCTTCACCAGGTCTTACACCGACCTGAGTGGCGATATTTTGCCGACACCGTACGGCCACAACAGCATGATGAAGAGGGTCGTGATGACCGGCAACACCAACTCGCAGAAGAAACTGGAGATGGAACTCCACAAGCTGTCCATGCAACAGGTGAAGAGGGCTGAGGAACTGACTCTGAAGAAGTTGGATTTCCTTGAAGATGCGTTCAAGAAGAGCGTGGCGGTGGTTGAAGGGCTACAGAGAGATTACAAGACTTTGGGGCGCGGGACCAGGACCGGTGGGCAGGAACTGCCTGATCTCTCAGTACGCGGTAGCTTGGTGTCGTCGCGCTGCTCAACGGCCAGAGTCGGGTCATCTGTCGGGTCAGTTGCCGGGGGCAGCCCGGGGAGGCTTCGGAAGGCCTCACACGCTTCAACGGACGTCAAGTTCCCAAGAATCGCCGATGCGAGTACCTCACCCCAGCACTCACCCAGACCCACCAGGGCTAACCTGTCTCTCCCCCACAACCGACGGCTACTGAGGACAGGTGAATCGATGCACGACATCGTGGAGCACAACATGGTGACGACCATCAAACATGTGAGCGACCACCTGTCAGTGAGTGAGGCCCAGAAGGAACCCAGTCATTCCCCAGAGGCGAGCCCCGCGACCTGGAGCTGCACCCAGGACGAGAGATTCACCCGGCTACAGGACTCGCTCGTACCGATGTGGCGGACTACGAGCTGGGAAGAACGGGCCAAGCCAGAGAACGGCAACCACACCTTCACCGGCGGTGACAGACTGAAGCGAGGAGCGAACGGAAAGACGAGCCGCAATCCCAACGGGCCAAAGGACAATTCAGCACAGGACATTAAAAGCAAAGACACATTCGGCGTCCGAGTGTATAAACTTTAAGATAACTACATAAGCTCGCTGAAAAATAGGAGTGAAACCACATTACCCAAAGTGAATTCTCTATTAAGAAACTTTTAGTTCATGTGATTCTTGTGAGCTCAAGCTTTCTCCTTTAAGTATCGATGAAGGTTTCACAAATTACTTGTTTCTTTGTGCATTTTTATCTCCTGTGGACATCGTTGAGAGAGAGAGGTTTCTGCAATACTTTTTGTACTCACAGGGCATCATATAATGTATGATTGAAAACTGAAGAGAACAAAAACGGAGGAAAAATAATGTTAGGTTTGTAAGGATCTTAATTTCCATCACAAATGCGAAACTTGACTTGCTTAGAAATCTGTGTTTTTTGGCCTATGAGTGTCCAAATCAATCTTTTCATTGACCCAAATTTTCTAATTCGGTACAATATTTATGGGCCATATCCTTAAGAAATGACGAACGTTCTGATTTTGGTCTTGTGTCTATGTTCATAAGTGTAATCAATGTAGAATTTGTATCATATTGTACAAAAGATAGTTAAATGTTATTAAATATTTTAAGGATAATATAATTGAGGATTTCAATATCATGCTTAAAATGTTTCATGTTGTTGGTGGCATTTCGCACATTTTGCTTTTAATCCTTACTGATAATTTGTTGGGGTGTTTTTTGTAAAACAAAACAAAAAAGACAAAATATTTTTAGTAAAAACAATAATGTTTTAGAAAAGGTTATGGGTCTTTTAAACCAGTTTGAAATGATGGGGAAAATACAGAAAATTAGAATAATGCACAGTGTTGCACGTTATCGTGACGCAGATTCATGTGAAAGTTGGAACAGTCCAGACTATAGTTGCCGCCATCTTGATTTTTCCCATTCGAATCAACGTAACCAAAGCGAGGCTGGAAGGAAAATAGTTTGGTTCCTTTTTGCCCAAAAAACATTATCATTCAGTACTGTTATTGGATACAGGGAACATGCCTGAAATGGTGGCAGCTGATAAAGGTCTATATTGCTCCAGCTGGCAACAAACAGTCTGGTAACAGAGTCATCAATCTGGTCAATATAGAGGGCGCTGTGGTTATTCATCACAGGAACCGTTTCCTCTGGTTGTTTCTTTCTAATCAGAATTTTGGATTCTTGGAATCTTCATACTCGACCACAGTGATTACAGAAACATTTTATTTCTGTAATGCAAATTTGAACTCCCGCCTTCCTTCTCCGAAAATAACGCAATGACATTTCGCAGCAAAGATATCACTTGACATTTTCCAAACTTGTATGACTCAGGCCGCGTGGTGGCGCTATAACCACATCTGGTACTTCTAGTTTTACGCTATGCGCGGTCAATGTAGAAAAGGACTGGTATTAACAGTATCCAGTTGTAATAAATCCCAATTTAGCTTAATCTTACACGTAGTTTTTGCACATTTCCAATAAATAACGGGCATTAACGTAACCGGGTGTTCGAGGGAGGGGGGGACCTAATGTTTTCAAGAGGGGGGAACTGAAGGTAAATGATACATATTTTTTGCAATTCAAGATTTTAAATGGGGGGGGGGGGGGAACGCGGGGACATGGACATCCGCTGCCCCCTCCCCGTAGTTACGCCACTGATAAGGGATACTGGGATAAGTGAACAATGGTTGAAAATCCGTAAATTCTAGGACCAATTTATTGTGTTTTATCAACTCAACCAAACGCAAACAAGTTGTACTTTTTGGATTATAGGGGCAAAGTAATAATAGAAAATATAATACTTTGATATAATTTCTTTTTGTTTTGTTTTCAGTTTCTGATGATCGTGTTGGAATTGTTTTGGATTAACAAGTTTCTAATAAACAAGTTGACATCACCATTGCTGCAGACTTTATTTCGATCATTCCAGTGCAACGATACTTGAACTTCGCCACCAATACTTCAAAAATCAAACATGATAAAAATCCGATTTTGTGATCAAACTTCAAACTTCTTTTGGCCGGCTTTAAACCCATAACGGTGCAGCACACGGCTGTTATCAAATACTATACACATCTGTTCGAAGTGTCGCACAAAATAAACAGTGCGTGTGAAATGCTGTGATATACTAAACTGAATTGACCCAACAAAAAAATGTCGTGCAGTTGTGAATTTTGTGGATACGAATGTTGATGCAGCATTTTGCCAGTCGGTTTTGTTTTGATTACGACATAGACTGAGAATCCATGTACATTGTAAATACTTTAATCGATGCCAATCGAGCTTGATGATCACTCTTGCCCTTCACTAAAAAAAAACAATGCACTGGTAGAACTTCCAATGAACGGGCAAGAAAGCGTGTATTCAATTAATATGAAGATATAATATACAAAGATAATCAGTTTGTATTTACAAATAAATATTTCAAAATACGAGTACATATCCAGAGAGGAGTTTATTGATTGCAATCTACTTGACGAAGTACTCTAGGTCTCTCCTGCTGTGTAATTTCTTGGGATTGCAAGTCATGCCGTCAAGCCAGCCAGCCACGGCCCAGGACCGGGTGGATTTGGCCCGCTCCTCCGTCCGATGAATGAGCTGCTCCACGGCCATCAGATCGGTCTTCGACCTGGTAAGGGCAAACAGCTGGTTTGTGGTCCGAATCGTGTCTGTGATTGCCTCTTGATTCTCCGACAGTTTGTTACCCGTCTGGGTTTTGTACTTTGGGGGATGGATGTTTATCAAGTTTTGGTCCAGATGGACGTGAGGGAACTTGCGTTGATAGAAGTCACCGGGGCTCCTGTGAAGAGCTGCCTTGGAATTGGGCGAGATGACCAGGCGGGAGGTGCTTAAAAGATGGGGGTCGGAATTCCGAATTGTCTCGGAGTGAGTGGACCAACGATTTCCAGTTGGTTTGAGTTTCTTGCCGGTGAAGGAGGCAGGGTTCGGGGTGGTTTTGGAGCGAGGTGTCATCAGTAATGTGGTCAGGGACAAGGGTGTGTCGCCCGCCACTGTCCCTTCCCGCTGCAAGATGTTTGGGGGTCTCTTCTCAAACGGGTGCTTGATGGAGGGGATCTTAGGCAGTGCCACGGACTTTGATAGTTGCTGGCTGCGATGGTTAGCGGTACCGTCACCGCCGAAATGCCCACCGATTCCTGGTAAGGTTTGCCTCGTCAACTTAATGTCCCTGTTCTCATCTACATGCCCAGCACCCTTCGATGTTAACGGAGACACTTGGAAGTTCAGTCCAGACACGATGGAACCCTCTTGGCGGAGTAGGAGTCCCAGTGAACGGGCCTTCCGATGGAGTTCGAACTCGCTCGGGTCGCTTTGTGACATTTTGGTTCCGTGTGAAGCACGAGTCTCGGTAAAGTTGACGGGAGAATCAATCTTTGGACTGCCGTTTGTAGCTGAATCAACACCGGTTACGTAGTACTCTCCTGGGACGCAGATTGAAGCAGAAAGCAACATTTCCTCATGATTACGTTCCAAGAGGACAACATTGTGCAGAAACCGTCACACGGGCCTCCTGTATAAATTCTGTTCAGTTACACGGCTGCCATGATTTTGTATGACAATGAAAATGCCCGCGGGCTGACTCTCACGCGATCTGTTGTGCCGTAGCTATGACAAAAAGTTCACTGGTGGTCGTAGCATCCTGTGCCCAGAGAAAAGGCAAAGTTTTGTGTACAGTTGGTGCATTTACTGAACCAAATACACAAGCGAACTCTCTGATCCAAAAGCCCGCGAGTCAAGAGCAAAAATCAAGCAGCAACCAAAGTCACTCCCCGGTTTTAAAACCTCTGCCTAGCAGAGATAGATGAACGAGGCGAGGCCGCAGGTGGCCAGGAAGGTTTCCATGCAAACCACCGGTCGATACTTAGCAAACTACCGCTCACAATTGAAGCCGAGCCGACATCAATATTTACCGCTTTGAGTGATCCTTGCAGTGGGCCGTACCGTGCTTCATCCCCGTTGGGTAAACTCTGCTACTGTGTTGGGGGTATTTACTGGACAATCGTCTTTTACAAAACGGGGATTAAGTCATGAATAACGGACAACGAAGTGTCCCACAAAAAATGATCGATTCGAAGGCCAGGTAGAGTTTGCACAGTCCGAAAAGTGGTGCAACAATAACAGCTTACAGATAATTAGATTAAATTTTCATGTAGCGTTGTCGCGCCGCCTGCAATAAAACAGTTAAATTACAATTAGATTAAAAAAGAAATAGCAATTTTAGCTGAAGAAATACACAGAGCGGTGTTTCATTAGTATTGGTGATTGGTGAGTGGTTCAAGATTTGAGCTTTATCCGATCTCAGATCCAGGGTGGATTATACACACAGGCATTGCTCAGGGACCAGGCAACCATTGCCATCTCAAGATAATCCACAATGAAATAACACATTAATTTGTCATATTTCCTTTGTTTGACCAAAAAGAAAAAAAAATCGGCACTAACTAGGTCGTGAATCACACAAAAATCGGACCCTCCACAGAGAAAAAAATAATTAGTGGTGCATAGCATATTACGCTTGGATGAGTTTGAATGATAAAGCGAAATACACTTCACTTTAAAAGTTACAATACCAGCATGGAAGTGATTTACACTTTTGTTGGTTGTCAGTCCACAGACTGGTGATTTGTGGCACCAATCACGGCAACCTTGACCAAGGTTAGATATCAACAACTTCGATAATGCCGTGACCCCGAGCACTGGGTCGAGGTTTTATGGGGATAGGATCAACTTGATTTTCACACCTCTCCCACGATGAAGACACAATAAGTGGGAAATAAGGCCCCGGACCTCCTGAGGTTGGCCTTTTCAATTGACCCTTTAAACTGAATCATTTTTTTAATTACGTATTCTGCGTGACGTCACAGCCAATAAACCCAACAGGCTTTGGGACAGCCTGGTCACAAAATAATGTATAAAATCACCCGGAGCATAGCATTGTACTTAAAATCACCATACCAAATTAAATCACAAAACTGACAAAAACAGATAACATGTCTGTGAAAATACTTCGAGAAAGTAGGAGCTTAAATTATTATTTAATAAAAAAAATCGAGTTACATTTTAATTTACAAACTATTTGGGGTCATTGCGGCGTGTGAACAGCGTGTAAATAATGTGTAAACAGCGATTGAGCATGGGCGTGGGATATGTAAACTTGTCTACTTTACAGACACCTCAGCCTTCGTGACTTTGTCACCCTGAGTCCTTTACAAAAGTGAGGGAAATAACATACATCCGATAAGATAAAAATAGCAAAATTACATCAATGCCTATCCATCCATGCGTCTTTTGTGTCGCATGTTTAAAAATTGGCATTAAGCTGCTTCAATTTCCTCAACCAGCTGGTGTTTTCGTATCACCAGTTTCCGTCAGTTTCTATTATGGATAATTTGGGAAATCAATTTCTCATTTGTGATTTGTTTTAATGATATTTACGACGTGGCATCAGAGAGCAAAACATACACCTGCTCTATCCACCTGTTCATGATTGATTGCGAGTGATGGAAAGGGCGCCCTCTTGTGAAAGCTTCCCGCGTGTCCATGGTTGTTATGGTAACCTGTAACAATCCGCTGTGTTTCCAAAATACAACATTTATCCCCATTATAGCAATTTATTTTTCAGTAATTATACTCGATTCATGTACTATCTATACTTATGGATACTTTTCGCACAGAATTGATTAAATTTGTGACGTGTATGGGTGAAATAAATGGTTTATTTTTATGCGGTCTTCAGCGGCGGAACGACACCGATTGTTTAGGGTGTTGCAGGTCACCGGCACACACATGGTAAACATTGCCCAACTTTATCTCGCAGTTCTATTTACCGTTCAGTTTAGAAGGAGCCTTGCCAAATAATACCGTTTCCACTGGTTTTACGCATCGCACGATAGCAAGAAATGTTCAGGCACGACAGAGGAACAATGAAAGTACAATAAATGTGATCATTTCTGGTGTAAAGTAAGTGCATTTAGTCATGGACCTGGTAATGCCAATGTGACTGTGTGTGAACTGACATGACTGAATGAAGAGTCTACAAAAACTACGAAACAAGAACTAGGGGGCCAAAGACGAGTGCAAATCTTATTCTAACAAAATCCTCCGTAGGAAAACAAATAAACAATGACCACAGAAAATGAGACTCGTCCGACGGAGTCCAAAACGTCACCGCAGACTCGCCCTAGAATGCTGCAGGGACACTCGGCAGGGACAATCTTGACAAACCGCTCCAAGAACATCACGGTCATCACTCCCTTTGACAAGAGGAGAGGCGAGCCTGCTCGGTCCATGCGCAAGGGGACAAGATGGATGCACAGGACAACTCTGTCGTTGGACGAGAGGGGGTGGAAGAGGGATTTCAACACATCGGCAAAAACAGTGAGTCGGAAGCAGGTCTAGAATGTAATTGTCATCCTACCCAAAGAATCTCGATGTAATTATGTGGGCACCTTAAAAAAATTTCCTCTGACTATGTCAAAATGAATTATTGTTTGAATAATTCAATGTTGTTTTTTTAAAGCCACAAATACTGACAATCTCCATTTGTTCACCAAATGCAAAATCTCAGGAGTATAGTAGCGCAAAAACAACTTGCAAAATGTTACAAATATTTCATTCAAACTGACATCCTCGGCAACAATATAATGGACCTATAAATGACTTGAAAATGACTTGATGATCACTACTAAGTGATCCTGACTTGATGATCCTGACTAAGTAGCAGTCACACTTTGGGTCTGTTTGATTGGTCGAAAGTTTTTTAACAGGGGAAAAGCAACACTTAAAGGTGGGTATGAAATGGAAGCACATTGATTGAGATTCAACAACAACAAATAGTGGTACTATGCATCGTGCAAGAGGTTCAAGCCTACGGGCCCTTGAACACCATGTACCTACAGCCCATAGTCCAACCTGGTTTTTGTTCGGTCCAAACAACCAAGTAAAAGAAATGATTAAAATACACACTGTTTCTGTGACAGAGGGTCAAACTGATATAAACTGATAGCAATGACAATACATTTTGTATTAATTATTGACCCAGTCGTTAGGTGTGTGTTTGACTGACACGGCCATTTTGTATTTAGAGTACTATTACAGGGCCCACAAATCACTTGAGGGGAATAATCTACAAGCTGCACAACTGCTTTTCATCGTTGCTTTAAATATTGTGCTCATCAATGGTAACGAGAGCAAAAACTGAATGAAAACTTGTTTCTTTGGCTTTGATTTTCATAAAGGCTACTTTGATTTTTAGTTAGTTACGATAGCTACGTGCATCATTTAGTTAACCACAATCAAAGTGGCTGGCAAGTAAATGTGAAATCACTGCTGTAAGTAGTGTGCACTGTACAGTAGTGGAGCACCTTCATGTGCATAGTGTCTCTCATTAATGTGAGATGTGACACACATATTCTCTGGGAATTTCAACAACGTTGTTCTGTTTCTGTTTTTCTCAGGCATTTGGTGGCAAGGATTCCTTGGAACCTGCAGAAAGGCCTGCACAGTGCCCTACGCTACACACATCACATTTTGATATCGGCTGGAATCAACAGCAACACTTTGGCACTCGCTACGGCAGTGAATTTGTGGAACGTTCGACAGAACATGTGAGGCCATAATTTGATATCGACTGCCGTATTTCAAGTTTTTCTTTTTGTTAATGAAGAAAGCCAAATTTTTTGAGGAACTACTTTTTAAATGGTATAGAGAAGATATTTTAAAATTTCTTCAAAAGTTTTGGAATGTTTATGAAATCCTGACCTCTTGAAACATTGTTTCAGTAAAAATTTGAATATTGCTATACTCCCATATCATAGTCAGTTCTATACTTAAAATGTTGGGGTAGACATTGTACATATTAATTTTCGAGGACCTCATTTTCAGATCATTCGGGGAAAAATTTGAAGGGGGGGGGTGTTGCATGTTCTTCTGAACTAGGGATGACATTGGTTAAAGTGATTATCCCTGGTTGGAGTTTCCATAACTACAATACATCGGTCTGCAAAAAGTAGTGAAATATCCATCTTACACTGAGGTAGCAACGTGATTTTTCAAGGAAGAATTTGCCTACATTATTTGATAACCATTCTTTACTGATCCCTTCCTCTTCAACAGCCCAACAGGTTACACTACCCCTCCCTAGCCAACTGGTCCCATAATGTGACAGGCCAGGACATGCAGAAGGTCTTAAGCAGGGACAACAACCAGCTAGACTACTGGACGTCTTATGGGAGGGTGCACTCCAAGCTAGGACTGGAGAGGGGTGAGGGGGTCCCCCGGCCAGAACAACCCAAGCAGAAATACGACCTTTTAACTGGTGAGCGTTGCAAGATTTTGTGTTAAAACTCCACATCATAGGCATTTTTTAAAAATTGGAATCAATCCATATTTATTAAAACTGTGCGACCATTGACTATATGCACAAATTAAAGATGGATTTTAATAAACTAGTAACAAGTTAGTTTGCTGAACGACATTTTAAGATATTTACAAAAACAACAGAGCAGAAACAAGTTGATGTGTAATGGTACACAAAACATCCGTTGTTCATGTTTTGTCTTAAAACGTTTGCAAAACATGTCAAAGTTAGAGAGTTACAAGAATTGTCTGAAAGGAGATACTTGTAAAAAGGAAAGTGATGAATTTTACTTCCATTTTGGTGTAAAATTTTATAAAAAAACTGTTGCAGCAAGGAGAAAATTATCTCACTGTGTTTATTAAGATTAATATAAAAATTATAAAAAATGACTCACTGTTCTTGATCTCCCTCTCCAGGAAAATCCTTAGGTCCAATGGAAGCCAGGGATCAGCATCTGGTGTCTGGAAACAGGGTGCTCCATTCTGCCAGGAGGGATGCACAGGACTACTTTGTGTTAGGGTGACACAAGGCTACAATTCTGAAATAAAATAACTATAGTTTTACTTAAGTTTTTTTGTTTCAGTATGACTACTTTTTTTCTGCAATAATTTGGTATTTATTCAACGCTTATTTACTTTTAACTGTAACACTACAATAGGCTATGCAATATGGACATTCCAAATGAAAATATATCCCATTCGTAAACACACAGAGACCAAAAGTTTTAAGTGAAGTTTGTTACATTTTATAAACCATTATCCTGTTTTAAACAACACAACACTTTGGTGGCTTATCACAATGTGTAAGCATATCTATTTCCCATAATCCCAGATAATTGTAATGACAAGGACCTTGGAATAATGTGATACATTGTACCCTCAAATTGTAGCACGGTCTATATAAAATCATGGTTGGAGACGTATGCATATAAACTGTGTGGTCACAATGATACTTATAGTGATGGTATTTTAACACAACTGTGGTATTTTGTGGTGCCAAACAGCCGAGTCCAAAACTGCTAGTTCAAGGTTGTGGCCTTGAGGCCGGCTCATGCGAATGCGAACTTGACGTCACAAACCATTCGCTGCAAAATTCGCTGGAGTTCAAATGTGTTCAATTTTTGCGAATTCGCAGCGCGAATTCTTGCCCAGACATAAAAAATTTGCATTTGCGTTCACATTCGCACCGAGAATGAACCGGCCTTTATGGTATAAATTCCTTATTTTGCTTACTGGAATGGGACGGTCTGGTACCCGAGGTCGTGTTCTCACTAACCCATTCTTATCCCATCCATCACATGTTCTCAACACCTGAACTGTTTGCTGCGTGTCTGTATCATGGAATACAAATATTGATGAAGTAAATACAGAACTGTGGTTCAGTTATCCCAGCATTAGCAGAGACGTTGTGCCAATATTTGCTGTGGAGCAGTGACACCCCAGCAATCCATCCACTGAAGATGAAGTGCGCCCTCGTTCATTTGTGAAGAGCACTTCATTGGTTCAGTGGTTGCTAGGCTATGCATGGGACCACTGCACATCAGCATTGGTTGAACACAAATAATAAATGGAAGAAATACTATTGAAATTGTAGTCAATGCAATGTAGATTTGAGGGAAATGCAGTAATTTCGCAGTGGGTATCTGTACCTGAACCTAGGCAGGATTTATGACACACAGAAATTTGTTTAAAAATAAGAAAACTTTTTTAAAGTTTTACACTTTTTAATTTGTATCATGCTTGTCCTGGAATATATTTGGATGGTTTCAAAACCTAAGAACACATTCATTCTTTTCTTAAAAATGCTTGTGGAAAATGAAATCTTTTTTGTTTGTGTATATTTCCAAGGTTTTTTACTCTATGCATCGTATCATGCAGATACATTTGTACATATTTGTATGTATATATTTTCTTAATGCATTCTTTATTGTGTCTGAATAAAGTATTTGAAAAGTTCAAATTTATGAATTATTTTACGTACTATATGGATTCTGTGCGCATGTTTGGCTTGAAAGCCTTAATTTAGATTTGAAGTAATATTTGGTACATCTTATAGATTGAACATCATGTCGAATTTGTCTTGAGCTTGGGAACGTGAGTAACATACAAAATATGTTTTAAGTAGCGGGGGCGGGGGGGGGGGTGGTAGAGGATGGGGGGGCCGAGTACCCAAAAAATTCTTAAATTTGTTTGACTGGAAAATTGGAAAAGGTGGGCTAGGGTGTAAGGTAGAAGGTACCTTCTGAAATTGGGATAAGGACCAGTTCTATACAGGATTTTTGGCCCCTTTTAATTGATGGTAGTTCCCACTGTACTGTGAAGATTGTTATTATTCACATAAAAATAATTATATGCCTCAATTTGTTTTCTTCCCCTTTCATTTTCAGACTTTGTCAAACAATTTAAAATTAACACAGGAATTTACAGTGAAAAGCAATACACAAAAATTGTGATTAAAATTATAAATGACAATTTAAAAAAACTGACCCATCCCCTCCAAATTTAAAAACAAAATCCTACACAAAAAAATACATTTTTAGATTTTGCACATTAGTCCATAAAAACTTTTCCAAAACGTTCTGACGTTCGAGACTACCGAACAAGACATTTGTTTGTAATACCCTTACCCTTAATTAGAGGATTGTATTTATGCAGCTAAACTCCAAAATAATTTACTTACATTACACAACGCAGTTGATGTGAAATCGCACCGATGCGGTTCTACTGTCATGACAGGCTAGGTTTTCCACGAATTTAGCTTCACAAATTCCTCAAAAATGCCCTACAACGTCACGAACTGTCTCCTAAACTTCACTTCATCATGTCAGTTTGTTTGCTCCACATCTGCAGCTCAAAATTCACTACAAAATATCAAATAAAGCTCCACAAAACACAATAAAATAGACAGTGTTCAACAACACATTGTTTCAACTCGTGCAAAGTTCCCAAATTGCACTTACTCGAATTTCGCGCCTAATGCGCAGGTACGGTGCATAAGCCACGCCCACAAACCGTAAAACAGGTTAATTAATATTCACGAAAATTACCGTGCTGGACGAAGTTTTGCATCATGTGATTATCTCTAAATATTTTTAAACAGTTAATTACCGTTTGTATTTACGTTTAAAACAAGGTCAAAAATATGATCTAACTGAATACAGTGCTATTAAAATCAACAATATTACATGTAATATTCATGAGGAATTTCTGGACTCGATGTCGCTAGCTATAGCAGACGACAGCATCACAAAAAGGGCAGTAAAAAGTATCATCCGCTAAACTAATCTACCACAAACATGCTGGAGTTTAAACAAAATAGGAACTACGTTTTGTCATAAAAATAAGTTTCTGGGTGTTTAGATGCTGTAAAACTTTAGGCCAATCCCAACTTTTTTTTGATAAAAAGTAAACATTACGCCAACTGTTAGTGCGCCCTCTTTTGTCCACAGGTGTCTTAATCAAATATGGCGGCGCCCATGTTAAATAACTTGATTACTCAATGACAATATTATTTACAATTACATCAGTCATCATACCTTAAGTTTAACGACAGTTTCCTTGCTGTATAATTAAACGTTATCTCATACCTTTGATCTGTCAAAATCCAGTCGTGCTGACGCAGGTAAGTGAAACAGTGCATTGGCATGATTGGAAAGATGAAATTTGAAAATTGAAATCAACTTTATCATGTTTATCAAGTTTAACAAAAAAAGTCAAAGATCGCAAACAAGTTAACATGAACTGACAATCACAATGACATCCGGGCCGATGATCCGGGATTTTTTTTAGGAAAGAATACTGCTTCCTGACGCTCTTTTTTTCATCATATATTAAAAAAAAATACTATAATCTCAAAATTGAGGGTCGGTTATTTGCAAAAATGTTGAAAAAACATGAATTTGGGACTGAGAAACATTTCTAATTTTGTTAGCAAATACTTTGCTAGAATATGCACTCAACTCTCCATAGACTTTGTACACAACCTGAACAGATACTTTTTACTAAATTCTCTCCGTTGAATGGTAACTCATAGCTAGCAACCGATGAAAACTGGTGTGCAAATGAATAGATGTTTTCATCGGATGACTTTATGTTTGTTGGCATTGCTTCCAATAATTAATTTTTAAAAATTGTTTTGCCATTTTGATTTCATTTTATTCCTGAAGCAGCATCCTCTGTGATCATGCAAGCTTCCCAAGTCCGCTCACTGACCTGTCTCGTCTGCCGCACCCATCATCGTGCGGTACAAACTACCAGACAGTCTCCCATCATACGCCATGCAAGCTCAGAGGCGAGCCGTCAAGCTATGATTGATAAGATCATCCGTGTGGATCATGCAGGGGAAGTCGGCGCTGATAGGATCTATGCTGGGCAAATGGCAGTGCTCGGCAAAACATCCGTAGGTCCCATTATTCAGGTAAACTAGAAAACTGTTCACCCTCCAAAAAACTAAGATTAGTAAGAAGGCAGTGGATATTCTGCAGGCGGCATTTTTTAATTTTTTTATAAATGTTAGTTTGCCGAAGGTCACCTTTGATTCCTCCGGCAAACTAGCATTTACTGAAAGAAAGCTGACGCAGCCAATATGACAGAACTTTATATCAGTCATTCAGAGAAAGACTCTGTGAAAATAACATTTACTAAAAGAAAATGGTTGCTGGCAAAGTATCCACTGGCAACTAAGAATGCCAGGGCAGCGTTTACCACTTTGTAAAAGGTGCTCAGCAATTGTTCTCTTTTACAAAGAAAATTCAGTGTTTCATACTTGCTTCCCTGTGTTGAGAAACATGCAAAACAATTGTCCATTAATTCTGTAACCAATAGAACAATTCAAAATTATTGCGAAGAGAAGCCCGAGTGTGTTGAACCATGCAAGTTTAAAGTCTCTATTCAGATGCTGTATTGTAAATTTACCTCAATAGCCCTTTCTCTAAGGAACTGAGTTGTATCTTGTTGCAGGAAATGTGGGATCAAGAGAAGCACCACAGGGCGACATTTGAGAGGTTGATTCCAGAACACAGGGTCCGACCGACAGCGTTACTTCCTATATGGAATATTGCAGGCTTTGCATTAGGTAAATTTAATACTTTCCATCAGCTGTGACACGACTGTTCCTCTAATCTAAGAAAGAGGAGAATTGCTGCCCATGAGAGGAGTGTACTCAGTGATGCACAAGTGTTCTCACTTGTTGATGTGAAGGGACAGATGCTAAACATACTGTCCAACTTACACAAAAATCTTCAGACATCTTTGGGTTTTAAAGTTTCTGTAACTTGTCTTCTGGCTATCCAGCTTTAAAATTGTAAGCAAACAGTTGTCTCTTATTCCAATCATATTTATTTCTATCTTTCCATGTGTTTCATCCAGGTGCTGGTACAGCATTGTTAGGGAAGGAGGGTGCAATGGCATGTACAGTGGCTGTAGAAGAGTCTATAGGAGGACATTACAACAGGTAAATCTTATCTTGAGGAAACAGAGCTCCAATGCTTAAGTTAAATAGAATATTGGCTGTCAACATTATTTTAGTTTCATATCAGCAGGTTTTTACAAAAAGAAATTAAGAAACCTGAGGCATTGTTCAGGTTCACGAATGCTCCTTGGATTTATCAATTTTCCTTCCTTTTTCAGGACTTGTCTCTTATTTGTTCGGTGAAGATTAGATAATCGTGTCCCATTTTACTGATTTTCAGTCAAATCAGGGAACTTCTTGAGGACGATCCAGAGAAACATGCAGAGCTGCTCAAGATCATTAAGCAATTCAGAGATGAGGAGTTGGAACATCTAGACACTGGGCTGGAGCATGATGCTGAGCAGGTGAGACTGTCGGTTGGGTGTGGTCAGGGCGTGGTCAAGGGGTGTGTGGCCTTAGTGGGGAGGGGTGTGGTCCGGGTGGGGCAGGGGATGGTACATTGTCAGCGGGCAATGAACAATGTCTTTTTATGTTCCGTGAATTGAAAACTTTGTAACGGCTGGTTATTCTTGATGTGATTCATTCAGGCACCGATGTACTCGGCACTCTCCACAGTAATCAAAACCGGATGCTCTGCTGCTATATGGCTATCGGAGAGGATATGAAGATGACATCATGGAGTGGGCGCCCTCTATTGACTGCACCTGTTAAACTGGCAGGCACATAATCCAGATAATGAACACCAATTGAGATTTAAGCATAACATTATGGACATAGTGTCCTACGTGCATAGATAGTTTAGGGGATTTTCCCTGGATAGGATTGGACACTCCCTGTTGTGGTCACTATGAAAACAACACAACAACATGCAAGCGATTTTTGTTTATTTATGTACAGTTCATGTTTTATTTATGTCTTTTTTTTCATTAAAAAATTTGATCAGTGTACATTGTGTTCACCAGCAGGCTCATAACAAAGATTGGAGTAGAAAGCATTTTGCAAATAAACTTGGACTTGTACCAACTGAATGATGTGTATTATGAGTTACTGACTAAAAGACTTCATCTTAAAGAATATTTTGGTCAAATAATCTGTAGTATCACAAGCAGTGTAAGTTTTCAATCGGGGGATTTAAATTCATGAATTAGCCTAAATCTCCAATTTAATTTGTTCCAAGAAGAATTTAAAAAAAATTAATAAATTTGTTGGTAAATGTGAAGTCACCATAAGGTTAAGCACCATGATTGATGGTTGTTTTTTTTTAGGAATATGACAAAAAAGTTTGGAGGCTCCATTAAAATAATCTTTTGTGAACACGGCTTATGGCATTTTACAATCTGCGATCTTATATCAATTTTTATAACATACAAAATCATTTGTTTTTATATTCAATTAAACTTCTACATAGTGGCCAACTTGGCAGATTACACAGTACAATACAAATGTCACAGTGACAAAGACTTTTGTTACTTTGATCGGAAATCTTCAAAATGGAAAACAAAAAAAAGGTTTTTAAAAACAAAAGAACTTGGCATACGACAAAGTCAACTCTAATTTGAATTTCCAAGCATAACCCTGCGGTTGGATAATGAAATACAGAACAGGTCTGCTGCCTACTGACAAACAACAATGCAATTCAGTTCAACTCGTCATGCCAAGATTCTTCTTTGTCGTTAATAACTAATACTGCACTGAAAATAAGTAGTATTTATCTTAATTAAATGCGGTGAAAATCTTTACAAAGTAAACAACACTAAATGAAAACAGACTTCTTGGTCTCATATGTACAATGTACATGTTCTTTTTGGCTGCCTGCAGCCGCCACTTTAAAAGCTTTTGCCATCCCGTGGCTATGCAGTTTTCTTTGTAAATTTGAAGGGATATACAGTTTTTACGTATACGGTTATAAATGTACTGAGAAACTCTGTTACACCATTTCTCTGGGTGCAGAGAGGAATAACCCCCCCCCCCAAAAAAAAAGTAGTGGAGTAACAAAAAGGTGAAGTCTGTCATGAGCGAATGTGGCCCATCAGGCCGGCCTTTATCTCCGGTTTCAGTAGCATGAAACGACTGAGAAAATTTCTACTCCCCCTGGACGGGATGCTAGTCCATCGCAGGTTACTCCCCAGCTTATGCCGGTACCCATTTATACTCCTGGGTGGAGAGAGGCAAGTGGGGATGAAGTGGCTTGCCCAAGGACACAACATATGACCAGCAGCTGGATTCAAACCCCTGACCCTCTGCTCATGAGTCACGAACCCTAACCACTAGGCCACACTCCCCACAAAAAAGTAATGGAACTTTTCAGAAACGTATTTAATTATTCATCCATGTTCCTGAATTTGCTCCAGACTAAAGTCTACAAAAACTATTTTTCCTTGGGTAATTGAACTCAATACGTTTAAACATTTGTAACAAAACAGATATACATGTCACTATATATTTGTATATCCAATTCAAAGTTCCTCCCCCAAAAAACAAATTCTGTAACAACAGTTTTAAAGCCTGTTGTCAAGTCTGAGTTGCATAATAAATAATTATAACAAAACCACTTATACAAACTACCTTAATATTTAAACAGTTATTCAAAAGATGGAATTTAAACAATAATCTTGTATCACATCACAGTCGACGACAAGTGGTGGTTTTAACTTCTTTCACAGCCAATTTGTACAATTTGGGTACAAATATTGTACAATAATGCTGATACAACCTTTCAGATGATAACTACAAAATAATACACTTGTGTAATTACCATCCAAATAAATATTCACGACATCTAAGAATGTACAGAGCTGATTCGTTGTTGAAAATCACTTAAAGATACATTTTTTATACAAAACAACATAAAACACATTTCTTTTTACTTTTTAGCTTCCTTGATTTTGGAACACAGCACATCAGCTAATGTTACTTTTTTTTTCAAGTAAAAACCCAAAAAGCCAAGTTTTCGTCCTGACTTTCATGGTGTATTCACAGTACATCATGGTTAATTAATACAATATATAACAAAATATTTAAAATGCTCTTCTAGTTTTAATGATTTCTTTTTTACAAATTTTGGCAACATATCGAAAAAGAATTTAGCAAAGAAATGGAAGCTCACATCTGTCAAAATCAGACTTTTTGGTGTAATGACAAAAAGAACCAAAATACCTGCCCCCCCCCCCAAAAAAAGTGGTTATTTTTATTGATTTATTGACTAGTAATTTTCTCTAAATAATAAGAATAATCCAACATATGTTTTCATCATTTTTAAGTATTTAATTTTTTTTTATGAAATACACCTATGCTTAAAAAAGGATATATCTTTCATACTTGACTTTTTTTGGCAAAGTCGACTCATAATTCCATTAAAGTTTAGAAATCACATACGAAAAGTAAAGTCTTAATCATTTTTTAAACACCTAGTTTGCGTGTGGAATCCACACACATAGGGATGTTGTACTGTATCATTTTCCCATTCATGTTGTGCTATATGGAAATACTTCTCATCAAGTTTATGGTCTGGATATTTTACATATTTACATGGATGTGCTTAGTCCTGGTCCCACGTTCTGCAGGGGAGTTCTAGGTGTCCTTCATGTTGGAAGAAGCTTTCTTCTTTCTTGCTGCCAACATATCGTAGAAGGGATCTTTGCTGATACTAGCCCTGGGGTGGAGAAATATACCAACAAACAAACAAACAAACACACAGGTGAGAATCGTACCAGAGCAATATTACAGATGAACCTAGGCACCTGACAACTGTACATTCACGAGGCCCCCTTCAATGGCAGAAGCATTGTGCATACTATTGTACAAAGCTACTACCCCATGATGGATTATCTGAACAATAGCTAGCACAATGCTTTCACCATTGAAGGGGGCCTTCGTGTTAAAATTGTTGGCTTGCCGGGATTGGTCTTTGGCAGTGAGTGTTGCAAACAAGGACTATTGAAAAGGAGCCTGTCGCAAAACCAGTGTGGGAATACGTTATGCTATGAATTCTTTGTTTTTGAGTCAACCTCATCAACTGTTGACTGTTTAACCCTTACTCTCTGAGGGTAGTTTACTGCATGTCAGTTGGTTATGCCAATGCCCTCCAGCTGCAGTTTATTGGAGGATACTTTGATGTAGCAGTGAAGGCTCCAATTGGCAGGAGTTGGAGGCCCTGGAGGGTGCCTGATACTGACCAGCTGGGGGCACTTGATTGTTATCAGAGGACTCTCATTGTTCTCTGTGGCATGTATTGGAGTGCCTGTCCAGTTACCCTTGAAATGACATGGCAGATATTGGAGGGCCATGCAAAAAACATAGGAGATTTTCTTGAGGCACATATTGGCATGCGTTGGAGGGTCTAGTAGGGTAAGGGTTAATCAAGAATACCGATTTAGGGCTTCAAAAGGAAAACAAGTCGGCAGAGGACTGGAATTGTGGTCCAAAGACCTTGGGTTTGAATCCCGTTGAAGTGACTTACGTGATAGACTTGATCCAAGCCTCTTTCTCTTCCACCGTGGAGGCGGACATGCGGTAGATGTTGTGCTTGCCTTCTACCACCTTGCCGTCTGCGTCTGTCTTGCAGGCCTTGATGATGTCGCGTCCGTCTGCTGCAAAGAGCTCAAAACAGTGCTGTGGAACAAGAAAAAGCCAACAAAAATCAAAATCATTGTGTACGGAAACAAAAGTGTAACGTTTATTTGATTATTTCTTAAATTACAATTTGGAGAATTATTGACGGAATGAAGAGAATCAAATGTCTACTTACAGGTTTTTTGCTGTCTTCCATTTCCCGAATTTGTAGATTCTCCAGCGGGATGATGCCACGTGGTTCCTTGTCCTGCGAAAGAAAAGTGTTCCAATATGACGCTGAAAAAGTCGGTCACTTGTTCTAGAAACTCCAAAAAAGTTTTCTCAAAATTCTGTTCACTTTGTTCCAGGCAAAAAACATTAGTGTAATCCCTTATAATCGGCTCTTGAAACTTTCTTTAAAACTTTCACAGTTTTGAGAGGATTATACAGCTCGATGCTGCTGCCCTCACAGGCGCCCATTTATTCCTGTTTGGAGAGTTGTAATTGTGACATAGTATCTTGCCCCAGGACATATGCACTGCAACCCACTGGCTGAACTGGACCCTGCACTGGACATATCAAGATCTTGAGTTGAGGTACCAGACCACAGCACTTCACACTGATAAAATTCTTTGAGAATTTACAGTGTAAAATCAGGACCTACATGTACTTGTGCCATTCACAGTAAGCTACATAAGTTCCAAACACGACCAAAAAAGGTTTAAAACTTGCAATCAAAGTATGAAATGTCACTTACAGTGGTGTATTCAAAGTAATACAGGCAGTTATCTGTTAGGATGAACCAGCGACGCTTCCAGTTCTTGTAACGGCCACCTGAAGTTTGAAAAAACGAGAACAACAAACATTTTGGTTGAATAAGTGTTGCCTTTCATTGAAAAATCTGTCACTGGAAAATAGTCATTGCAAATTATGAATGGTTTCTACAGTAAAAGACATTATTATCTCTACAATGTGTTCTTATGATTGGCTTGTAATAGTTCAACAACAACAAAATGGGAAAACCTAATTTGCCTAAGTGTCTATAAGGGCGGACTTAGCTAATCTCAGATTGTTTTAAGACTATCGTAGACACAAAAATGTCATCATAAGACGTCTTTGGAAACGCATAAAAATCAAAACAAAAATTATGAGTACATGTACATGTAGTAGGAAAGTTCTGTTTGCTATCAACACCATGTGTCATAGCAATAAGTCACAAGAGTGAAACCTCAATTTGACGTAAGGCATAAAACATATCTCTCTAGATCTATAAAACATAAAAAGAAATGTTTGGAATTTTGTTGGGACCAAAACTGAAAATAGTCCCAGTGGTTCAGGAAAGCTTAAGGGACGGAAAACATGATTAACTTTTCTCCCAAAAGTCGACTCAAAAAAGTAAAGAAGGGGAAGAAGACACAAAGTGGGAGTTGCTCGTAAACTGGAAATGATTAAGACTCATCACATTTCTGGAGGAGGCAATGACGTTGATGGATGTTTCATCCAGTGAATTTCATGTGGTTCGATTCCCTGGAGAATTATGCATCATCCCCTCAAAGATGGCGACTCATCCACTGCCGTCCCCGGGGAATAGCGGTTAAGGACATTTCTTTTTAATCTAGATCCCCACGCTCGACAATATTTTTTTTTTTTCCTTTTTAAAGCTGCAGCTAGACCTTACTCATGTTGAAAGATTTTACTGACGTGCAGATTGCCCTGGACCCGCTTTGAATGCTAGGTTTTTGGATTGGGGTTGACAGCAGCTGTGCAAATTTACTTTGCGATTGACCCATTCTCCAAGGTTATCAAATTTAGGGAAAGGTCAATGTTAATTGGAGGGGCTGGGTGTCTTGTTGAAACCCCACCCCTCCCAACCCCCCTAATTTAAGACCATGATACTGCCCTAGATGCAGTTTTGAAGGTAAAATTCTGTCGTGTGTGCTACAAAATTATGATTACGTCAGTTTCATGAGCATTGGTTGGAATTTAGTTGATCCTTAAAATGCTATCATTATCATCTGTTCTGCCTGTAATTTGCTTTTCTCGATGTCATATTCTCAAATAAAAAAGTCTTTCTCAAAAACTCACAGAAAGATTATCAGTATTGACAAACCTTTACCATCCAGCAGGCATAAAAGAAAAATGTATGTTAGTCCAGGACAAAATATAGGAAGGAATGGCAATTAATAAAGCAGAATAAACTACCTATTTGAACTTGAAGGAAGTATTAGAGGGTAGTTAGTGACTGAAAACTATCAAGAAGAAAATGTCTTTCTTTTTTTAAGATAACTTTGACAAGCACATGCTTTTTCAGGCACTACACTACAAAAGCAGTTCACAAGATTTTGTACATGCTCACAATGCCAAAACTAATGCCACAATGACACACTGTTTACACGGACAAAATTTAAGTGAAAATCACAAATTGTGCAAGTCTGGATCTGTGCCTATACAGCTCTTACAAGGCCCCACATAACACCTCCATTAGGCGTTTGACTAATTAGATTGCAAAACAGAGTACAACGCACCAGCCCAATGTTAGGGGATTTCCTCCAATTTCTCCGCTCAAATCTTTTCTAAATGCGGTTACAGCATAGCACCTTGCCCTCGTACTGCAAGAACGCTGGGCTCACCGAAAGGCTCGTAAAAACCCGGCATTAATTTTCTGAGTTTCCGTGGGTTTGTTTTCTTAAGTGGGCCGATGACAAAGAGGAAAGCACTGTCTCATCTAATTTGCTACAGGCCGCTTTTATGAGATACATGCCTTTTTTTCTGCAAAATTAAATGATAGAACGTTGTGCTTCAAGTTCAAATGTCATCGCACAATGGTTTTTTTGGACAAGGTTGCACCAATTACAGCTAAAAGAGTTCTCAGAGAAAATATAATTCATGAAAGAAAACAGAATCTGCTGAAATGAGTCTTTATTTACACTACATGGCAAATATTGATTGCTGTTTTGCAAGATGAGGCAACAGGAAGCTTGTTTGGACTTTTGAGAACATCCCTGAGGAAAACAAATCAGTATTTGTTTCTCGCTCCATTGGATCCATTCTTGTTTCAACTCAGTAGGTTGGTTAGGAATTGTGTTTTTTTCAAGCACCGTACGGTGATTCAAAAATTGGGTTTTGTGGAAGGTCAAACATAGTGTTTTCACCTTTTTCTTGCTAGAGAGGGCGTTGAAGTGAGAGAATGTTTCTTAAAAAAAAAAAATCTGAACGTGGGCTGACTCATCTGAAGTGTGGTTAAGTGAAATGAGTTTGCAATTTTTGTTACGTGCCACGAAAAAAAAAACACCCAGAACTGGGGGCGACAGGGAATGCGTATGAACAAAAGAAACGAGAAAATGAGAATTGGACCGAAGACTGACAGGAATAGCAAGGAGTCAATTTTGCACTGGAAAAACTTGTCAACATGATTGTTTTCCTTTTACCAAATGAAACTTGAAAACAATTTTTAAAAAAAGTTGTAGGGTCTCCATCAAATATACCACAGTTCAAAGAAAGAAAATTCAATGCAGCAAGAGAAGTTGATACAGCACCGATGCAGTATTTTTGAGGTCCCAGGTTTGAATCCTACTCTACTCAATTTTCTGTGCATACTTAAAATTTCATCTAGCACTATTGAAAAAACTTAACTATTTTTGTCTGAACGCAATAATAGCACAGGAATAGCAAAAGATGCAGGGGTGTGACACTGAATCATGCTTGAAAAGTACAACTGCAGCATTTTCAGATGACAAATTTCATTCACAGAGGAAAATGGCAGCATGAAAAAGAAAGGTACAAAAGTGGTAACGTTTAAGTTCACAAGTCTTACAAAATGCATTAAAGGAACAGAGACAAAAGTATCATGCTGTCGTTTTGTGTGTGTATACAAGATCTCAGGCCACAGTGTAAACAACTTGTGAGGAATCAAAACACAGGAAAAATATTACTTTTGCAATATTTGCGCTACAATTTCCCCCAATTTAAACACAAGATGTAAAAATACAATTGTGTCTGTCTGCTGAACTGAGAAAGGTACAACATAAAATAGAATCAACTGAAATTAACTTATTAGTTGATTAACGAGCGCAAAGTAAAGGACACGAGACAAAGTTGTTAGACACAAATTGGACTGGAAAATTTTTGGAATTTCAGGTTGTGTGCTGTGCCTCTGAGATGAAGTAACACATTCAAAAATAATGAGCTGTTTCTTGTTCCCTGGGTTATATGGGGAATAAAATGTATTTGTTTTTTTTGGAGGGGGGGGGGTTGTTTTTGATAAGATATTACGATAAATTCTGAGTTATCTTTGTCACAGCTGTATTTTTTTGTTTTTTGTCTTTCCCTTTATATTTTGGTTTTGGTTCTAGTTAAAATAGTATGAATCATTTATCGGTGTACATCTTAACAAGAAGCGATGCCCACCTGTTAAAAATATGTTGGCACATCACCAACTCTCATGGAAAGCTTCCAGTTCAAATTCTGGGTTAAATGGGAGGGACTCTCTACTCAACATGGATAATGCCGGCAATTGTTGACCAAGTATTAGATTCGCCGGAAATCAACCCCAGGGCTCAGGAAACAAGTCATTACTCCGACACGGCAAGAAAACACATCACAATGCCCGCTTCTCTCTTGAGGAAAACTGTCAGTTTTCATTTGTCTTAACAATGGGGTGAATTGCAATATGGTGTGCACACAGGTTTTGTGTACCTTAAAACATCATATTTTGTTCCATTTTGTGCAATGTGACGTTCCCTTTCTCAATTTTGATAACTTTTCAAACTTGTTTGATACTGTGAGTAATAACATCACTCACAAGTAATATCACGCTTTTTCAAAAAATCTATTAATTTGACATTTGATGTTCTGTGTTTTTGGTATCCGGCTTAAAAATGCTCCATTCAGTGCATGCACAAGAGAAAGTTGGCATGTGATGGTTGCCATGGTCACAAACATGCATTCTAGGGTCAAAACAGAACTTAAAGAAAAGATGGAGGGTCGACGGACATTCCAAGAGTTTCCACAAGCATGCAGCCAAACTGACCTCCTATTGGTTGAAAAGTAGCGCACCACAGAGGCGAAGCACAGTAAAGTAGGGGCAAGGGGTGGGAGGAGCCAGGGGGACACATTTTGGAGGATGCATTTGTTTGTGGGATTCCAGAGGGGGTAAAAAGATGAGGAAAAAGGGGGTAAAGAAGAAAGCAAATAATTGTTACGTGTGAGGATTAATTCATGATGTTTTTAATTTGGTCAAAAAACAGCGAGACAATCACATAGCAACACAAGGCACTGAAAAATTTATCAATTAACATCTGGTTATTGGAAGGTCTAAGGTCATGAAGATTGAAGTCAAAGTTCATGAAGATTGAGACGAAAAGGAAAGTTTAATGAACCAAGTGTTTCCAGTCTTCATCCAGCCCATGTTTTTCACGATACAAGTAAGTTTGAAATCTTCACTGGTTAGTCCACATACATGTAGGATACATAATTGTATGGCCTTCATTTCTAATTCTACTAATATCTTGCTTTTGGAAACTGAACATATTTTTCATGATATTTTGAAAGGCTCACCATATGAATTTTTACACTGGTCCATTGAATTATTTGAAGAAAGTATAAATCTTTTTCCAGAGGGAGGATGTAACTTCTACACCCCCTCTGTAATTTACACAGCTAAAATGCTGTTTCCTGTACATATGTTTAAAAACCCTATAGGCCAATTGGCTGAAACATGTTCGTATTTCATGCAGTGCTGTATGCATCTAAAACTACTGCACTCTTTTTTTTTCTTTTTTTTTGTAAAATACCGGTACAAACATATATGAAATGTGACTCAAAAGTCGACATCAATTTCACAGCTAACATGGGTGCATATCTGGCAAACGTGCACACCAAATGCACCATGCACTGGCCGGACTAAAAACAAATGCTCCAAATTGACTGTTTTTGAAGCATACATTACAAACAAATTGCAGTGACTATTTCTAACTTGCTGCCTTTTCATCAGCGCACAACTGACATACATGTTCATGGTTTACTTAACCTGATTAAAATCAGACTATTTTTGTAGGACAGAAAGAAAAACATGTACAAAGAGCTAACAGAACATGTACATTTGGAAAAACAAACCAAAAGATATTCTAAAGTCTGTTAGTACAAATACAACACAGGACATGAATATATTTTTCTGACCAAACAGAATAAACAAGTTGACATTTGAAGAGAGAAGTTTTTGAAGTAAATTTTATAAACTGTAGATGTTTTCAAGCCTCCGTGAATATGTGGGAATACAATCCCTCAAGAGCACTTTCGCGATACTTGTGGTTTCGGTAAAAAGAATGGATACCCAACACCTCAACTGTGCTACATGTAAATGCACTTTGAGGGTTTATCGGAGTGGCATGCTTGTTTCAACTGGACTGTACTGGCAGCTCAAGTGTGGAGCAAATACTGAGACGAAATGAGATCTTAAATAGAAAAAAAAATTACAAAATAACAAAGCCCCCACCCACCCCCCAAAAAAAAGTTTCTGAAATTTTCCACAAGAAAAAAACTTGGAATCTTAATTCATAGTCCTTGAACAGTGTTGCTCAGGCCTATACCTGGTGACAAAGATGTATGCTCCACAACAACATGTAAATGCTGATAAAAAAGAATCCCGCATGGGACTTTGTTTGCGCTGCAAGAAAAACATTTGCTCAAGACAGATGAGGATGATGCCTTGAAGATGTTATTAGACACGTGCCGAGTGATAAGACTGTCTCTGAGGCTCAATTCAAAGTTCAGCAACGTGGGGGCAGATGCCGTTTGGTGATAAACAGATTAGTACGGTGGGTGGCGGTGAATCCATAGAGATCTTTGGTAATCCTACGGGTTTAATGTCACCAACAACAGGCTTGGAAAACAACAGGGTAGCTTCTACGAAACAGCTCAGGAGAAATAAGGCCCAGAGAAAACGTGAATCTCAGGATTAAACTTTTAATTGGAGGCTTGAAACCTGCCAGTTTTGCACTGGGAATGAAAGAACACATGTGTATTTATAAAATGTAAAACAAAGTTGTTGATGGAGGAGAAGTTCCATACATTATTTTATCAAATTGGTATTTATGAGTTGGTGTTGAGTAAGCTTTAATTGCACAATTCAGGAGTGATGACGTAGGTACATTGTAACTAAATTCACCGGTTCGGTTCTGGTCTCCAGTGAGCAATAACAGGAGCCAGACTACTCACAATGCGTCATGACAAATGTGGAAATGTCCTGGACCCTCCAGGGGGGATGTTGTACTCTCCAAGACGTATGTCTCAGAAGACGAGGCTTGTAGTGCATCCTATGGGATGTCAAATTATCCGCAGCAATCTCAGGTTTTTTCCCCAGGCTGTATGAAATCTCAATTTGACTTTAATTAGATTTGGACAGGGCGAGCGAAGATTTGTTTTTAATCCACTCTCATGGTGGTTTTAATTTGAATCTTGACATGTTCCAGACGTGCAACTGTAAGCATTATACTCACGCTAACGAAAAGGAAGAGTTCACTGCGTCATCTTATTTCTAAGTTGATGACATTTTGACTATTGAGTGCTGCAGAACTTTTCAAAAATGGAACAATTTTACAAAGAATTTTTTTAGTTTGTGCATGGAGTCGTTCAAATCAGGTACAACTACAAAAAGTCACGCCATCTCAATAGCAAAAACATAAGTCTTTGAAATTCCCAAATGAAACCTTGTAAAGATACAAGTTTTTTTGGCATCCATATTTTCTATATTCGCCATCTGTGCCTGGAAAAATCTAATATTTACTTGGCAAAATGCGCACATGTTCTTGTTGTTACAACTTGTTTGTTTGCAGTGAAATCTGTTGAAGAACTCAAGTAATTACGCTTCACTGCGAAAAAATTCCTGCCAATACTAACACCTTAGAAAACAGCTTTTGACATAGAAGCGCCCAAGCAAAGTGGAGAAGCACTGAATGTGAATCATCGGATTCTCAGCTTTGGCGTAAACAACCGGCAAGAAAAGGTTAGAAGTTATCGCCCTAGAGTGCCAATCAACTTGGATCTGGACAGAAGATTAGACGGGGAGCATACGTGAATTAAGACGGAATGTGCCCTAAATACCTAGTCGCTGTGAAGTAGTGGCCCAACAACATCATCAACAGCCTAGCCAGATCCAAGGGTGTTTTCAAATTTGAGGAATGTTATTTGTTGCAGGGGTGACACATGTATTTATTCCCACGACATCTGCCGTTGTAATTTTCTGGTCTGTCAAAGACATCGTGGATCTTAATGGATCAAATTAAATTCGTTACTCAAGCAGAACTCAAAGATGCGCCAGTTTGCACTGAGTCGTAAACACCCACTTATGTGCATACTGTTGATGACCTCAAGTTCAACGAAAAATTTGGACAAGTAATATTTATCCCAGTGATCATTAAATATGAGAAACAGTATCTGTAACCAGGAAAAAAGAAATTGTAATTCTACAATTTCGTAAGCAATGCCCTAAACATTGGCAGATATCATTTTGAAAACACGTTTTCTTAGTAAAAAAGAGAATTCAAGAAGATGAAAAAAAAACAGCTGACACCAGATACAATTTTAGATCCTCTTGTTCATCAACGAATTTAGTCATTAGTTAGTGTGGGTCTTCACTGAGAAACAAATACACAACAATAGAGAAAAACAGTGACAAAGAACAAGCCTTTCCAAGGCACAAAACAGAATAAAACATGGACTCGAACCCCTTACCAACTGGCTGATAGTCCCACAACCTCCCAAAATCCAATCTTCTTAAGATTCTTCTCTCGAAATTTGCAGACTTAATCCTTGAGCTCAATTCCTTGGGTATTTTTAATTCTTATTCATTGCTTGCACAGGATTTGAACCATAACTCCACGGGTTGCCAATTTTCAAGGTTGCAAAAATATGTTACCAAACCCCATGCCCGAAAGTAGTGGCTGCGGCCGGCATTTACATACGCTTCTATGCAAAGTGGCTTAGCCATAACTTTCAGATGCGGCCAAATTTTAACCCCTCCTGTTTAAGATGTATACACAACCCTTCACTTGCACATTCACAAGCAGTAGCAGAAGCTGGATTCGAACCAGAACCCACCAACTCTAGGCAACACACCCTACTCTGTGTAGCCCAGACTGAAACAACAACAACACATCAAGGAGAAAGGTTTGGGCGTGATTCATACCTTGTTTCATTAGCCACCCCTCCCGGTCCGGATTAAAGAACGTGTGCGTCAAGTCGTTCCCATCATCCTCCGGGATCTTGAACGGTTCTTTCTTGATGCTGTCATACAGGCTCTGAGAGTGACAGAAAAACCAAATAAACAATAATTTAGCAGACTTGGCACAGAAAGTCCCATTCATTCCTATTATTCAAAACTACAAGAAAAAGGATGGGCATCCGTTATGAGTGTTTCATTTTAAAGATTTCTTATTTTTGAGAGCCTGATATTCAAAATGATTCAAAATGTTGGGACTTTGTTGGAAATGCTGGGAATAACTCTTGATGCTGTAGATAAAGCAATAATATGCTTTTGAGAGATAAGTGTTGAGGAAAAGTACTTGCGAACCAACAATCAAAAACTATTTATCAAATGAGTTTAAAAATAACACAGAGTTAATCACCGTCATAAATCTTAGAAAAAGTGAAATGGAAGAGTGGAATTTGAAGTAGGTCGTGGTTGGAATGGACTTGAGTCATCCTAAAGGGTGATGGCGCTGAACGATTTGGTTTCACAGAACGTCCGTTACCGCCGCGCTACTAAATCTAATTACGCCAATTTGCGCATGGGGTGATGCAGAAGCCACGCAGCATGACGGAGGCAATATCGTGCGGGGGGTCAAGTCGTTGAGAGACGCGGCGCAGCCTGCCAGCGCGGACCCCGGCTACGCGTGATGCATCATCGTTGTCAAAACAAACGCAGGATGTATGGGTGCGACTCAAGTTGGGGTGTGACTAGAGGAAAGAGGGAGGGGGGGGGGGGGTTTAATCAAAGACAGATTGATGTCCAGAAGCAATCAGTGTAACTTTATGAAGGAAGTGAAAGGGTTTGCTTGTTATTGTTGATGGGCTTGGCATAAAGACAGGAAATTTAGACAAATGTTAATAATTCCGCCATTGATTCCATATGGTACAATTTATTCCAATTAGTATTAAATGCTAGATGCAGCAAATGACTCAATACTCATGTATTCACAATCACAAGATTGGTTCGGGCGGTGTGGGGTGGTTTGGGGTGGGATAATTTGTCCCCACCCCCCCCCCCCTTACACTTGGGGTCCCTATAACAAAAGTCAGACAGATGTAGATGTACAACAAGCTGTAAAGCATGTACACATTAAATTCAATTTGTTACAAGTGAGATGCAAAACCAGGAAAAATTTCAAAAAGTAAACCAGGGGTCACGGAACTACACTTTTCGCACATATTTTTCTTTGAAGTATCTTTGAAAAGCAAGTGATACAAAACAATGCAATGTTACCAAAAAAAAGTAAGAATTTCTGAAGATTTGAAGAAAACTGCGACAACTTTCTTGGCTCGACAAGGTCGACAGACCACTCATTGTAACTTAGGGGTTATTTACAGCTGTTGAAAAGCTTGTTTATGATCGAATGGGAGGATATGGGAAGGCAATAAATGGCTGAAATAACACAGGGCCTCACACAGGGGATTAGTGGCTTCATTCACACTTGTGGCCCCAGACAAAATAGGAACTGAAGCAGGGCACGCTACGACCCGCACAGCGGACTTTGGATAGACGCACAAGCATGGAGACTGCCAGCAAAAACTTGCCAAATGAAAGATGAAGTTTATCAACGGGCCAAACATCAAGTTTGATTACCAGGAAGTGTGGCCCAGAAAAACAACTGGTCAAAAAAACGGCCCAGTTAGGAATTGGGAGGAAAATCTGCACCAATGGCGAGGCGCAGTTGCCTCCCCATTGGTGGAGACAAAGAAGGGGAACTGAACAGCAGTTATCAGAAATATGGATCCATTTAAAAAAAAACTTAAACAATATCCTGGTTCTGCAAAGTTCATTATGTCAAGCATTTAACGGGAACCCAAAATTGTTTTTTTAACTTGTGAACATTTTTGGATGCCCATTTATGGTTTAGAATATTTTAAAGGTGCCTGATTTCAATGGAGAAAGGAGGTTAACAGAACAAATCAGTGCAAGTTCAATTACAAGATTCTATTAAAATATTTTATCTATTCTATTGGGTTGCCCCTTTAAGGTCTGCTGTGCAACAGGAAAGATGGGTCCGATAAGATGCATTGTATGAACATCCTTCCTAGTTTGCGGCTAAAATAATACTCCAACAGGATTTTGAGAAGGCCAAAAAAATAAACTACCCCGTCTAAATAAATCCCAAAGTAGAAGTTGAGGAAATGAAATCAAGTGGATAGATTAATATCAGACTGCGAACACAATACACGACTTCTTTCTGTGGACGAATAGATATGAGTTCCGTAAAAGTGAGGCAAAGACATTTCACACGGAACCCACTAGAGTATAAAAGAGACAAAATTTGACCAATCAATGCCCAAGAAAGGGAATATACAACACTTGCTTTTGCTGTAATTTTCAGACCTGGATGGATTTGGGGGTTAGTATTTTTTTAGCAAATACTGTTACACTGACTTGTTTGAAGTTTTATGTTTGAAGATGCTTGAAAAACAAAAAAAACAATCACGTTCTGTAGTCTGGTTCCCTGACCCCACTTATAATGAAACAGAGCAATTTATAGACGTCGGGAAATTGTAAGGTCAGAGAACCAGTCTGGCTGGCTTGTACGTGTTCATAGGTGTGTAATCGATTGCAAACAAAATGTGAACTAACTACATATGGTAAATTGGGGTAGTATTTAAAAAAAAAAAAACATTTCTTTCCGAGCTGGTTGCCCGACCAGCATTGGAAATTGATTTAAAAAAATACCACTTTTGTTGAAAATGACAGCACACCAGGTGCCATGATTTTACAGGATGATTGAGACTGTCATTCACTAACAGTCCAGTAAGGTATTTACAAAACTGGTAGTTTTGTAGTTTTGATGTTTGCAAAAATTGCATATTCCATGTAATACAGGAATTTAACAACAATAACTTGAAATCATGTTTCAGTAGTAAGTACATTGTACAACTCCCCCAAAAGAGTTGACCGAATGAAGTGAAACTTTGTATTGGATTTATCATTTTGGGCAGGGTTACTAAAGTAAGTTGATGTACCTTGAGCAGTTCTTCCGGCAGATCACCCCCCTCATTGATCCCACGATTCATCAGGATGAAGCGCTCCAGGGAGGGTTTCTCCTTGACGCTGGCATTGTGTAAGCTGGTGTTGAGCATGATGATGGAGAACGACAACACATAACATGTATCTGCAAAGACGGTGGGACAAAAAAAAAAGATTCAAGAATCAAAACATTTTGTTTGTCACATACAAATTGCATGAATAGGGACTATTAGAAATAAGGGACGCTGGGGGCTTGGAAAAGATTTCGAATATATCACTGTTTTGTGTGGTTATTTTACTGTTTTGTGTGGTTATTTTACCAGGGCCACATTCACCTCAACCTTTGTTGTGAGATGCATATAGCTGATACCGTACCCCATAAAATAATCCTGCAAAAACTGGTCATTTACAATGTAGGGACAACTTTTTTGCCACAACTTTTTTGTCTGTTGAATCAAGGCTATATCTAAAATGGACGTTCCTGTCTCCCAAAAATAGATACAGAATAAGAATTGAAAACCATGGCCACAAAAGCTGATTTTGACGCAGCAAAAAAAATTAAAAAGTAAACATAAGGTAGGTCTAGAGGTATCTAGGGAGCCTGACTATTACAGAAGATCTCAAACTTTACCTGTAGATTCAAAAACTCCTGGATTGGTCTCACAGTAACGCTTGGCAAAGCATTCCATCATTCTGTCAATCTTCTGTGCCTCGCCAGGAAGACGAAAACTCCATAGAAATTGTCTGGAAAAACAACAATTACAACCCAAAATTCATTCCCTAATTCTGTATCAATTGTTTTTTCAATTCTACCACATAAATTTGTACTTGGTATGTCAACTTCCAGAACATTACTACAGTAGACAATTGGTTCTAACTGGAAACAAGTCAATATACTGATAAAAAAAGTTATGAATGCAGACAATAAACTTCATTTGGAAAGCTAAGAAATTGATGTTCTAATTTATGCAAAATATGCATGTATGCAAATACCAGTATATGCCATGTGCCTTATACACTGAGCAACAATGTGAAAGAAATATTACAGTTTCCACCATTTCCTTAGGAAAAGTGGCACTAAAATGCATAAAACTGGACTGTCTACATATAACCATAAGATCACAGTACGGTTCACCTTTACAAGAGCACAAGTATATTTCTTAAGTCTTATTTTGACATCTCTTTTCATCAAATTTGTTCCCTCAGTGATTTACTTTTTAGTTTACACATTTTCTCCTGTCGACAATTTAAGTGGTTTCACTGAATTATTCCCGAATTTATTGCACTGGAGGCTTCTGTTGATAACATAAATACCCGTTTATTGAAATATTTATTGCATGATAGTGTCATTTTTTTTTTAAAGTTTATTTTGATCTTTGTGATAAGCCAAGGTGATATATTATATACAAGTATATACGTAACAAAAACGTTCATCAATTGTCATTTCTAGACACACTTATGATGACTTATGAAAACTTTAATAATTTGAGAACTCATTTTTAGACAAGTTTGTAAATTTCTTGAAAAACATTTTATTGAATTTAAAGGGGAAGAATTGAATTGATATATTACTGCTTTTTGGAAAGGCACTTGATTTGTGTGTGTGTGAACGCCATTTTTAAATGTGCTACTTAAAGCACCTTCATGCTTTAAAGTCTGACCTAAAGCATGAACAATCGACAGACAAGAACACGGAGACAAACAATTTCATTCTGTTAAAAGACATTTTGTTTCATTGAAAAAACACTCCAAACTTCAAGTAGGGATCTAATGTTTTTCAAGACTACCCTGGATTGCCAGACCCACGCAAACTCCTTTATGTCCAATCTTCCACCCGACCAAACATGTACTTGTGCTATACATGTACGTGTTTGTACAACGGCAAAATAGTCACATTGAAATTGCCATTGTGTACATATTCAAGAGAACACAGTAGCTTCAGGCAACCATGGTTTCTCTTTCAATGAAATCAACGGGTCACGGAATTCCCACTGTTCAAGTTTGCACTTTTTTTAACACAGCGACATGAACATGTACATATTTGGACACCGAAAAGAAAAACACTCCATGAGTACTTAGGCGCATTCACCTCATGTGAAAGTAATAACGCCGAGCGCTTTTGGGTTTTTCCCTCCATTTTTGTTTAGTTTTTCAGTCGTATGCGGAAGGGACAAAAGGACTGTGTTCTACTGTACAATACGTGAAAGTATGCAGAAGTGATGCATTCCGCAACCTAAGCAACCGCATTCTCAGAGCAGACAAAACCTAAAAAGAATTCTGTGGATTGGGTACTGTGCACAAGTGTTAGCTTACAAAAAGGCCACATTTACAAATTGCTACACATCCGGAAGACAGGAATCTTTTGCTGCGACAGACCTTTAGCCAGGTGCAAGCAGACACGCCAGACAGTCAATGAGACCCAGCCCCCCTACCCCCAACTCAGCAGGTTACTACCCACGGGCGACAAGTTCTAAAGAAACCCAGTCCCCACAAGACAGGGCCCGGTGCTCAAATGTACTTGGAGTCTGGTCAAACTTATTTGAAGTAGAATTGGAAGGGACGTTTTGTTCCAGGTGAAGGGGAAAAGGGGAAGTTATCAATAAGCGACGTCTCCCAATGTGGCATTTATTTACTGTTCAATTGTTAGAGTTTGTGTGGGGTTACTACACATTGTTGCATGTACATATATGTACAAATGTACATGTACACTGTATTCCAGTGAGTAGTTCAGCATTGTTCAGTTGCAGAATCTATAAAACTTTATATGGTTATTTTTTATGAGGAACTAAAGATAGTATAAAATATCTGTTGAGCTTCTTAAACTCTTTAGAAGACTAACCCAACCCCATCCATGATCCTATTCAATTTGTTCTGGGTAGATTTGAGGGATTTTGTAGGATTGAGGAAGAGTTCTCCCAAATCTCTTTACATGGGGCTTGATATCTCTTGAAAATGGAAGTACAAGGAATGTGCTATTGTTTTTTTATGAAGTGGAAGATTTTGAAGGATTTAGGATATTCCTAACACAAATGTCTTAACAGTAAGAAATTAATAATGTAGGTAAAACTAAAAAAAATACAGTTACTATGATGTTTAAAAATAACTTGACTACACGTACTTCACAAACATGCAATCTTACTGTACTAAACATGTTCCACTTTGAAATTATCACATCATATATCTTGCAAAAACATATCTTGATAAAATGAGACTAAAACGTGTAACAAAGATGGGATTTCAATCAGCCAAATTTGGGGGAAAATGTGAAGCAGATGGTGTTGGATGAATCATTCATTTAATGGCTTGGGTGCATCAGGATATTGTCATCAGTCATGGGGTGATACTACGGTAACAGATATGGATGATGAGGACAAGCAAAGGCACATTTTGCCTTTCTTGATTCACTTCACATTTTGTATCATTCTACTTTTATGTACAGTTTTCAGTGTGGTCTGTTTGTGTTATTCTTCCTTGTTGACATTTAAAAAAAAAAGGACTTTATTCCAGCGAACAACACTTGAAAAAGGAACAACTCTGCAAATATGCCTCCAAAATATTTTGATTATTATCATTATCAGAGAACGTTGAGAACACACTAGATGTCCTGTGTACCTTACGTGACTAACTCATGATTGGGTGTGTCCCCATCATGGAACGAGTTACATGAAACCCAAGCAACAATGAAACATTTCATGAGAGCGGGTTAGGGCTGATTGACACGTTGGTTGCGCTTACGTAAATGTGCACTTTACACCTACGGAAGGCTGCTGTCATAGGAAAACTCCATTAATCGCAACATTACGATTGCCATCTGGGGAAATTGCCCGCATTTCCTCGGAGGAAAAAATTGAACATGAACATTTGGTTGACCTCATGTCAAATGGCATCCTCGGGGAAATTTAATTTCACAGCAATGGAAACAAAAGTGCATATCTATAAAAAAAAATATAAGCGGGGCAACATTCAGCAACCTGTACAGCAACTGCTACATTTGTGTCCCTCAAAAAATAGCACGAAAAGGGTTTGGAGGAAAATTAGGACAATGGCCGACGCTGGAGTCACTAACCTGAGAGCTTGCACCAGAATCATGTCTTTGAACTCATGCCGTTCCACAAAGGCCTCCAAAACCTTGATGTTGAAGTCTTTCCTGGAAGATAAAAAACGAGCCAGAAATAAATCAGAATTGTAAGGTTCATGGGAAAAAAAACACATGTATTTGTACTTTTAGATTCAATTCTGGTGCTGGGAATGTGGCCGTGTGTATTTGGTTTGTGACTTATGATCAGAGGGTTAGGGGTTCAAATCCAGCAATCAGCTGTATATGTTGTGTTCTTGGGTAAGCCACTTTACCATTCTTGCCTTTTTCCACCCAGGAATATCCAGGTGATTATGGAATTAGCTCGGGAGTAACTTACAAAGAAAAGGCACCCCATCCAAAGGGAATAAACATATTTTAACTGTTCCATGCCAAAGATTTTTACATAAACACTGGCGCAAGGAGCCATATACATCTATAGGCCTATGGTATTTTTATACAGTGTAGTGTTTATAAAATCCAAAAATTGTCAACATAAAATATGTAAAAACTCTTACTTTTCTCCAAGATAGTCACCAATAGCTGTTTTATTGAGTCCCTCGCCTTTATATAGAAACTGTGCCACATCTTCTGGCGTGTTCTTCAACAGTTCATTCTCTATGAGGTACTCAATACCCTGTTGGTAAAAGAACAGCAGAACATCCCCAGTGAGCAATGCGAGTATGAGGACCACAGGAAAATCTTTTCCCAGAGGGTTAACACTGTACCGTATACCCCATACAGTACTTCTTTTCATGAACACAAACACCAATACTGTACTTCTACAATGGCAATAGCTTCTCATTCAAGTTTCCACCAAAATACCTCCAACTACGACAGTATCATGATTGAACATTTCTGAATGAAAAAATCTGGATCAAAGCCTCCTGGTACCCTGCACATATCAGGTAACTGGCACCCAAAGGAGCCAGTCACAGAACAATTCAACATAAAAGGAGAAGTATTTTCTTTGGTTTCTACAAGCCTTCACACATCTGTGAAGACTTGTGGTGACTTTAATGAACAAATACCCCGGTACACTGAACAAGAGTTTCTACCTGTACCTTTGAAATTTTTTAAACCAAATTTGAATTTTGCCAGACTTATTTTGCTATGAATCTGACTACATGTACTAACATGTTCTTTGTTCGCTTAAATAGAACAGATTCCGTACTTGAAAAAAGCAATATTTCACTTTCTTTCTAAAATTGTGTTAACTCCTAGTTTTGGGAATACAGTTGAAAGCACCTCCCTGCACTTTCAGAAGTTAACTAAATCTGACAATTAGCAAAAAAAAAGCCATGTTCCCCGATGACCTTTTCAATATTTCACCAAGTGTTAATGCTTTCAAAGTTCCAGGCAATATGTTTGGGAGATAACATTTTGGAATGACCCGCAAAAAAAAAAATCTCGCAGCAGTCAAAAGAGACAGCCCTCTGCGATGACCTAGCAAATACAGCTTCGCGGGGAAAGCGTTAAAAACGTCTTCCTCCCTTGGGTTTGAGGGACGCTGAAGAGAGAAGGACACGGGAGTCTAGACGCGGGAAAAGACAGGGGACCGCACTAGGATCCCTAGATGATTTCCCACGTGGGGTTATTTATGGAAAAGGGAAGCACGGCTGGAAACGTGGGTCAGCAAGGGGGGAGGGTTCCTGATCAGGGAACAGCGAGACCAGAGCAAACGTTAGCACGGGATTTGCAAAGTAATTCTGACTAATTGTGCTTTTTTCCCCCCTCTTTAAACTGATACCATGTGCGGTACACCGAAAGGATTTACACAGGAGAAAAAAAAACCTAGGGGAAATTGGATATGGATTGGGAACAAGCCCACAACCTTCCGAGATATTATTAGGAAAATTCCGTGGAGCTTTGTCGAAACACAGTTAGCGTTTGTCAGGAGTTTCTTTTTTAATTCTAAAATTGGAAGGTCTACTTCATGACTTCTGCATGCAAAGCACATGTCACGATGTATCAAAACATGTTGAGAAATGTTTTTAAGATTTGTCACAAGACTTAATTCTAGACTTTGACATCCCAGCATATAACTGCTGATTTCACTCCAGGTTTTCTCCTGATAATTCCTGGACCAGCTCGGCATTGTTCCTTGCAGAATCTTGGCATGTATTCTGATTTGTGGTTGAACCCTAGATTATTGCAACAGTTGGGTGCAGACTGTGGTTTGTCGTTGCATCATGCTATACAGGAAGTCACTTTGGGGGGATTTTCCCTGCATTTTTCCCTTTCAGCTGTACTCCAAGCCAAATGACCACAAAAATAAAAATCTCAAAAGGCTTCACTAATGATTCCATCACATTTAAATGAATATCATTCTATACTCATACGATTTTTACAACACATTAAGTACCGGCGGTACATGTACATGTACTTGTATACATGCATGTACAACAAAGTAAAGTTCTCAATTTCAAAAAGCAACACACTGTTCATTACCGCTTGTTCTTAACACAATTTTCATAACTTTCTGGGGGGCTACAAAAGGGGAGGGGAAAAGGAAGCTTAGGTATTAATAGCCGGTTTCCGTTCTTGAGGTCTTCAATGAGCCTGCATCCACCTGGGAGCAATTAAGAATGAGTCAGCAGGGTACCGGGCAAAACCAGTAAGATTATGTATGAAGCCATGAGCCTTTGTCATCGGTAACTTCACAGGAAAATGGGCACTTTTTCTAAACCGGGATTTTTTTCAGACCAAAACTTCTGCAACTGGAGTGTTATAGTTGTGGGAAATCTCCCACAAGAGAATTAGCCATTAAAAAATCATAAATCATTCAATTAGAGACTTTTTAGTCCAAAGGCTAAAATTACTCCCCAGATGGAACACAATAGCATACATTCTTTGAGCTTTGTGCTTTGAATTAGAGGAGGCATCAAGCCTCAAGTGAAAAAAAAGTTTAAAAGACTCCCCCAAAAAACCCAAAAATGTAGGATTTGGTTGACCCCTTCAAAACCCCACCCTCTCCCGTCCTCAACTGGATCCTTCAAAAGCAATAAGGTGTTGAGAATTTTGCAAGATTGAGGGAGATATGTGCTAAGACCAAGCAAGTTTTTTTACACTGTGGTAATGTTCAAACCCCTTTAAAGCTTCCAACTACAAAGAGTGAGCCACTGAGTTCCGGCACGATGACTTTTTGAAAGTTTAAAAGTTGAAAAACTTTCGACAGGAAAAAGGAAAGAGGGTTTATGACAGATGTTGAACGTTTGTTGTCTTACATTTTTTAATATTTAAAGGAGGTAGTGAACTCTAACTAGAGTAAAAATATGAGATGCCAACAGCCGCTCATCTCCCCTAAGACTCAGCCAGACACGCCATTCTGTCTTATTTTTCAGTGAAATCATTCTCAGAAGCGACATTTCTCGGGGCTACCTGGGGATTTCCGAGCGCGACTGCTGCGACAACAAATCAAAGATGCAAGCGCCTCTCTCGCATCTGTCTGACTGCCATGAGGATCTCTGGAGAACCGCTAGCATTTGAAGTATTTTTGACCCGCGACGCGAGATCAAACATCTCAACAGGAGACGTGAAAGGACAAGATAGGGGTGAAAACTAACTAGGACAACCATTAAGAGAGGCAAACAAGTCTTGATGTGAAAGTGCCAAAAAGGTAAGCATGCGTGACGACCGCGGACAGAACTCACTCCGAAAATGGACACTTGTGATGGAGTGGACACTTGTAATGAAAGCCAAAAATATATCTGGATTTAAAAAACATGAAGAGACTGCCCTTTTTTTCCCTTAAAAAAAGGGGGGAAAAAGCAAACTGGAACAATGAGAAAACTGAGACTTGATAAGTACAGAAGTTTAGCTTCTTAGAAATAGGGCAACAACTTTCACAGTACAATGTCCACGCACACACACATCTGTTTCTTAAAAAGGCACAGCAAATTTGTTTTGGGAAATAAAACAGCACATCTGACAGGCCGATGTTGTAAAGGAAGAATATTAAATTTATTTCAAAATTGCAAATTATTTGAATCTTACCTTTTTGGGATCCATGTTGAACTTCTTGCGGCCTGTGTTCATCTGCTTACTCTTGGAGCCTGTTTTGTTGCTGAAAAAGAAATTTCCAAAAAAAAAAACCCAAATGAAACATGCCACTTTATTTATCCGTTCAACAAATTTCCTTGATCACAACTGGGGAATACTGTGGCACAACAACAAAAATTGATCAAAAATGACAAAAGTGTTCAAAACATAAATGTATAAACCTACCTTGGAATGTCTTGTTAAACATTGTTAGAGCACACATGAACACAATCCAACATGAAATCCGCATCGTTCCCAATGCTTACATGTACATGTACATTCTTCTCCCATTGTTCGAATGCGATGCAAACAAATGCGACACTCGTTTTAATTGAAGATTTAGGTTTCACAACTGGATCGAATTTACTTCCTTGAAAACTGAAATATTTAGAAGACTATGAGTATGATCCACATATACACATGACCCAGTAGTATGTCCAAGTTTCTAAACTTACATAAAACATACATGTGAAGTTTTTATTCTAAATGATGATGGTACGGTGGAAATTTGGTCAACATGTAGAAAATCACTTCATACCAGTACTTGGGAAGATAGAACACAAAGTTGAACTTCAATCTATCTTGCGCAATATTCCTGGGGTAAGTTTATTACTCGCCATTCTTCTGTTTTGTAATGAATGTTTGGTGTAAATTTACCAAATTCTCACTGTGTGAGGATTTTGAAACTTTCGATAATTGTTATCGGTAATTTGTATCTTGTTCTGGTGGCTAAATTTGTCAGTTGTTTTCTGGCGATGAGAAAGTGAAAGTCAGTCAGTACGACTTTCACTTTCTCTTCTGCCACTAAAAACAATTACTGTGTATGTTGTTGAAGATTTAAAGAAGCGTTTGGACTACTGTACATATTACAAGTGTGCATGTATTGGAAAAGGCATATGTATGTACACTGTGTAAGTGCCTAACTCTTTGATGTGACTTATTAAAAGAATTGTTCAATATTTGGTGAACACTGAATATTACTAGCAGTACATTTATAAGTATGCATAAATTTAATGTTTACTGTCTTTAAATCCAAATGTGTACCATGTGCTGTCTTTGGTATTAAATGCATGTTTGTACATATCCAAGTTGGTATCCTGCCCAAAACAAAGCCAAATCAATAGTGCATCACGGGAACCCTTAAAACACCGAGATCCTTTTCTTATCAAAGCAATTCATGACATTTTGCAGTTAGACTTTCTCTTTCTTCTTAAAGAAACCTGATGCCCACACTCAGTGTACATCATGAACCATGAGGTACCGTACATGTATTTTTGATCTTCGTAATTTATTCAGGATAAAAAAAAACCCTGTGAAGATTTGACCCTGTGACCCAGCAATGACTTGCCAGATCACAGCTTGCCAAGCCCCGGCTATGATTGAAGGCTCCGTGTGAAATCAATATGTGATCTAACACAGCGTCGCCAATTACGCAGCATTTACGGGAACAGGCTTATGCCATATGTATGGGGGCTGGGTGGAAAATTCATCCAGGTTTTTTAATTTGGAAAAATTTCCAGATTGGAAAACCAGACCATTGACTGGAGGAAAAGTATTCTACAATCAGAAGATGAGACCTGGTGTGAAGTCTGCTGGAAATAGTTTCCCACATTCGAAATTATTGGGAAGGGGGAGGGGGAAATTTACAACAAAGAAGTTTAAGATACTGTACTGCCACCATACCCGTGTCACCACAGAAAAAAAATTCTGAAATGTTTTAATACCTGAGAATAGTCCCCTTTTTGAAGGAACATTTTCTCATCAATTTCTTTACAAGTAGTGTATTTTCCTATTTCATTGTCAAATATAATCTTTTCCTTTTAAAGTTTTACAGGCCCGTGCTTGTAATGCACAAACAAGGAAGTATTCTGGTAGATAATCTAATGATTGACAATTCTTGGGCGATTTTTTTATTTCCTGAACTCCTAGAATTTGATGCATATAGTCATATATGTCCGTGTTAGAAACATTTCAATTTCATATGTGGTTTATTAAAATGAAACTTAGTTTGGTCATGATGCTACATGTAGTGTACAATTTATGTACAATTGTGGAATACATGTATGTAGGGTTTGAACTCTGCCTTGGTACCAGTATACATGTATCTGATGAGTTTATTTCAGCCGCCTTTCTGTTAACATATAGCATACCCCCCTCTCATGGCTGTCCAAAGTCAGTTTCCACGGCTGTTATAGTTTAAGAAAGTTACTCAATTTAAGAATACAATAAAGCGAGAGGACAAAAGTTTTCAAAACAGCTGTTATAATGTATTTATTCTTTAAAGTTTCATAACTGTGCACATTTTCCACTTTTTTGAAATGGATATTTTGCATTTTGGAAACAACCTCTTCATTTGTATCACTCAGACTCAGAAAACACAAGCCTGACAGTAACATGAGGTCAACTGTTTTAAATTTTCATGAGATTCGTGTCATGGGCCCTTAGACTTGTAAAACTACTCCAAATTTTGAGGGCCCCTCACACGAACATGATTGAATATAGTACGTAGCTGCACGTGCACCGTATCAAGTTTCATTCCTAAATGTCTACCATGAGGAGAAAAAGGGAAACGTAACTACAGAACCTGGAAACACATCTTCCTGGAGTAAGAAAAACACATGAACAACGGCACATAACCTGACCAGCTTTTCTGACTCAACTTTTCCTGAACGCGTCTGTTCGGCACGTCTGGTATTCTTATCTGGTTTCCAAGTTAGACCATGCTGACTAATGCATGTAGTCCCCATCACTCATACATTGTTACTGGTCTGATTTGTTTTATTTATCTGATGGAGTGAGATATAGCAGAATTCTGTGGCAAATGTTATTAGGAGTTATAAATTGAGAGATAAGTTTTGAGAAAAATAATTTTGAGCTTTGTTCGATGGGGCTTCAACATGAAACATATCTTGCTAGCAGTGTTTAGTTTCGATATTAATCAGATTAACCCTGGTATTGGTGTTGACTTTTTTCTGACAATTTTTTTTAGTATGAAAAGCTTTTTCAATAAAGATAAGTACATGTGCAGGTACATGGTTTCTTTTTCTTTATTTGTCACGTGCTCTTGCGAAATCAAGCTGAAATGGGTAAAGGCCCTAACCGAGACGACTAACGCACCAAAATCGTTAGTTTGAACGGAATTATCTTTGAAAGTCAACCAATAATTTGCATTCAGCCCCTCCCCTCCTTGCTCAGTTTTTCGCCGGATGTTGCAAGACAACGATGCATGTTTGTTTGTTTGTTGTTTCATTTCTTACCTCCCATCATTGTCCATACTCTCTAGGTCTGCTGTCACATTGGCGATCTCATTTTCAAGCTCCTGAAAAAAAACCCCGAAAAACACATAAATTATTTCACTTTGTAAGTACCTGTACATTTCTTTTTTTCACCTTTTTGTCTCTCTATTTTTTATACTCTTGCATGACACTCACATCCAACATGTCCAACAAATTATTTTATTACTGCAACCTACCTTATGCCCACTGCTTTAACCCAAATCTTAATCCATTTTGGGGGGAACAAATTAAAATGAACTGGGCTTTTCTTACGACTTTACTCACTTTTTGGTTTTCCAAGGCTTGGTATGGTATCCCACCTTTGAGCAACTTCATGCTCTGTGCGATACGGTTGCGAAATGACTCAATACTGCAGTTTTAACAACAATCATACATAGGCTCCACTAATCACAGAGCAAGTATACAAAGCACCAGATGCAGCTTCCCTGCTGTCACCATAAGTCAGTCCTACATGTATTGCGTGCATCCAAGTATTTTATGGCATACTTGTACATTATACACGTGTAGGCGTTGAGCAGATGTTACATGAAATACGATTCATAAAATCCACGGAAAAATCCAAACAGCGATAATCCAGGTACACGTATTCCACCAAAGTGTGCGTATCAAACATCACAAGACCAGCTCATCTCATAAACGGTACACCTTAACGTCTAAAGAAAATGCACACGCCTTGCTAAAAACTCGGTTTCTTTTTGCCTATCCGTTTCTCGTCTGGCTGATCTGCCAATATTCGGTCCAACTCCGACCATGGAAGAGCAGAGGCAATGCTTCGCTAACACTCCTCAGTCGACAAAAACACATGGACAGAAACCCAAATCCCCCTGCTCAATTATTCCCGAGTAACTTTTCCACGTGCGGCTTGTGTTTCTGATCAACTCGTAATAAGGGACATATTAGCATGTCCTACCAGGGAGTCTTTAATAACCGAACCTCTCATGCGGAGCCAGCCAGACCAACCGTAGATTTCATTTCATTTTTGCGCCGATATCAACCCACATATTAATGTCAAGTCTTCGCTGCATAAAAGTGCACTGTGTATGTAGCTGTTTCAGCTGCCTATCGAAGATTTACATTTTCAGTACTTCCAGTACACAAACAAAATTAACAATTGATTTTTTTCCCTTACAGTCCAAGGACACTACTGTGTTTATTTTTTTTTTGAGAGAGAGAGTGCACGTAAGAAATTAAATTATAATCGATACAATGTGATTCCAGAAAAAAAATATGTATCCATGTGTTTAAAGAACTACATGTACTGTAGACCGTAACACCAACAGATTTTCTCTAGACACCCTGCCAAATGCAACAAAATGCAACTTGGCTGATTTAAAGAACCCTGCTATTTATGCAACAAATTGCAACAGTGGATTCTGTTGCATTGTGGAGTGGAGAGAACCCAGTGCATACCAGCCTTGTCACCAAGCAGTTACCCTGCTAAATGCAACCAAAATGCAACAGTGGACTCTGTTGCATCGACTTGGCACTATGAGCAGGTACCAGTACCTTGCTAAATGCAACAAGATGCACTTGAGTTGCCTGCTAAATGCAACAAGATGCAACAACCTTTTTACCAATGTTGCTTTCTGTTGCATTTAGCAGGGTTAGGGTTAAAGTCCGGTGATATGTTTACCATTAAAAATTACAACCATCCTTAATCCATCCCAATCTGACAAATGTGAGGATTTCGATAGATTTGGAATATTGAGCAGATGCTTTTCACATATTGGACTACCAAGTTAAAAGACTTACAGAGTATTCTACACAGTATACACTGCCTAAACGTCCCATTCAGAAAGACGGGGAAATGAAAAATATTTTATCTTTTCTGTACGTACCAAAGTGGTATACCATGTGGTATTTCCTCGACAGTATGCCAAATAATTTTCAACACCAAAACCGTCCATTCCCTGAATACTGCGTAATTGTTCTGACAACAAATTTAGAAGTAAATGCCACTATGAACGTTTACGAGAATGGACATCAATACATTCAATTGGATCAACATGTTACTAGTTTCCTTTGTAATGACCGGTGTATTGGGAAATGGCTGCTGAAAAGAATTTTTTGCTTGTATATTTGAAATTTGATACTTTGTCAGAACACAGAATACAAACAAAGAAGTGTACAAATTACAAAACCAGGGAGATGAAATTTTTAAAGGGCTCATGTGATTTGCCAGATCTAATGCAGTCGTTGTTATCATTAATGCACCTTTTGTGTACCTTTGTGAGCAAAGTTTCCCACAAATGTTTTCAACGAGCAAATTTTGGTTTCACAATTTGAACAAAAAACCCCTAAACTAAACAGTGTCTTCCTGAAGTGACATCACAGCAACAGCAAAGCTTGGTTTATTTTTTAAATGTTTAAAATTAAAGAAGTGCACTTTAAAATAAAATGTACCAAAAATGGATGTTAAATAGTTTTCGTGTACATGTATGTAAGAGGATTTGGAAGTTGCCTAAAATGTGTTCCTAAGAACAATATTGGGTCATTGAATGTGCATATTAATAACTGGCCACCCTACCTCACAAGCCGTTCCTCACATTAATATCTAGGGAGTAAGATAACACATTTCACAACTTACCCTGATTTCTCGAAGGAGCTGACTCTTAGCTCTACGGATGTCACTCAACAGTTTGATCTCTTCCACAGTAAGATCTACACAAAACGGGTAAAATGTGGCAGGAAAAGTCGATTTAATCCTCAAAACGTGAATCGCAGAAAAATAATGACATCTTTCTTTGAGATGGGTTTGGCATAGTGCGACACGTTTCCTTGTAAATTTGGGTGATTAGGATCTTTTAGGACCAAAGTTCGCGGCGTGGCCTTAGCATCCGTAACAACAGGTTCCATCTCGGGAAGCGATCTGCAACGACGCACTTCCTGGGATAAAACACAATAGCCGGCTGGAAAAAGAACAGCACAGAGACTTGCTACATAAGGGATCCATAAATTACAAGATACTACAAGCAATGTACATTTGCAATACGTTTACGTGTACATTTGTGTTTGTATCAGTATGCATCTGTGACTGTTTGAAATAAAATGTTACACACGTGTATGAAAACTTTATACTTTACAATAAGACAAGGTATCGGTAAGGCTAGTAGAGCTGGTCCCAGAGTGCACACAATTCTATTCAATTGATTCAGAGTGGCTATTCACTGGAAGTCTTTTCATGCATCTGGTCTACACAATGGGTAATCCTATATGATAGCACTGCCCGGCTCATGAGTGACAGTCAGTCAGGTACACAGAGGACTGTAGTCTGGCCCTCTGGGACCAGCGACAGTAATAGCCGTAAACTTCAAGAATTTATTAAGTTTGGAGTTAACAGGAGGACAATATAGCTCTAAAATTGTTTGAAACCACATACACTGTAGCACCACAATTCAGGGGTTTTGTCACACTTTGTAAACGTTTGCATACCACATTATCCCACACATGGTCAAGCCCTTGGCACCACACTACATGTACATGTCATAACGGGTAAGTTACAGCAAGGCCATGAGGGTTTTTGTGGCACTAATTACTCTAAACACTGCCTTCTAAAGGATTTAGTCATAAGAGTCAAGCCAATTTGAAAGACACAAAAACATTGTATTGTTATTGATGCATACACTTTGAAAAAAAAACAATTTAAAAACATATTTCTCGGTTATCAATACCTTGACAAATCTGACCCAATCATACGAAAACCAAGTTTTACAAAAGTAAATATTTGGCACATTTGTACAAACATATTTGGCATACTTGTGGTTGTTACAAAGTATTGTTCAGTTGATGCATTTTTCGTATCAGAAACTATCCTAAACAATGAACAATGGTGTTTATACACATACATGTACATGTGTAAGATGACATTTGATGCACTGTACTGACTGTTTTTTAATTTGTGCCTCCAATTTCAAGTGAAGTAGAATTCCCATTGAAATCTGACACGTAAAGTGCACTGGCCAGAGATGACTTCAGCAAGTACTGCCAGCCAGAACTCGTTTTGTGCACTTCCTTCGCCTTTCCTGTTACTGAGGACAAACTCCCTTCACCTGGTACATGTATGACGACAACCTCTAAAATTAACACTGTGATCAATCAACTGGATGAACATACTCAGGATCAAGTTGATTCCATCAATGTATGCAAAGCTTTAGTCAGGATCTGGATTGAAAAAAGTAGGCATCAAAGTTGCTGCAGTTTTTATACTTCTACGTATGATTGTATTTATATCAAATTGAATCACGCAAAAAACAAGTGTACAATAAATGGCTAAAAAATTATTGACAATAAAAAAAAAACAGCTTACAAATATGACAGGCCACCTTTGAGTCATACATACCACTATATATATCACTTGGATTCTAAAAATACAGCAGAGAAACTTCAGAACATTTACAGCTTACTTCTATTTACACTATAACCACAAATTCCTTTTTTCAAAGACAGGGTCTGTGCTCCACTGATTTCACATACAATTTCAGTGATTTCTACTCAAGCCTATCCTCCTACCTTACTTTTCATTTCACATGGTTGACTTCTTGCCACTGCGCTGAAAGAAAACAGTTCACCATCTTGACTGATTACAAAGTGTGCTATGCAACTGGCTACTGTCCTTAAGCAGGACACAATACACTCAATTCTGCGGTGGCTCAAAACAGTACACAAACACTTCAATTTATGCAAAACTGAAGAGGTTTGTTACTTGTCAACAACCCTCTCAAACTGACGATTCCTCAAATACAGGTGTGCCAAGAGACAACACTACATGTAGGTCTAGGATAAATCTGTGCGCATACACTTGTAAAGCACTTCCATACATTACTATTTTTAACACCTGCAGTTTGCGACGCATTTTTGAACACTACTCCAACGCACACATCACTTTGTTGACAGGCGAGAAAGATTGGCACCCTTGGGGCATAATGGTGTAGTAACCCAACCCGCATAATTTTAATACTTTCAAAACAGGGACGGCTGTCAAACTTGGGATGGAGATTTGGCAACACACGGCTCGGGTTACTGATACGAACCAGGTTCTGGCAGGGCCTCAGAGAAAAACTGAAAGGGAAAATTTCAAAGTCACCATGACAACGCAAATCCGAGAGGGGAACGGAATACTAACGAGTGTCTATTTTGTAAGGTGTTGCTAAATTGTAACCGACTGATTTCTTTCACTTTAGAATTGGCAAAACCTGACCATTTATTCTTTAACCACTGTGTCTTAGAGCCAACAATCTGCTGTGAGTCATATGAGTATACTCACTACTCAATTAATATACTGCGCATGATTAAGAAAAACCACAAAACTCTTTAAAGCTCAAAAAACAAAAACTACAAATACATGAATCGCCTCCAAATTTTCCTCAAAAATGTCTCAATTTCAAGAGATGGACCGTGTTATTAGTTGAAGTTCCTCCTCACTCTTTCTCTAGAAGATCTGTCAACTATTCATTTAACAAGAAGCACTTGCGCTGAGTGTACACAACAGAAAGCATTTACGATACCACGGGCACAAGCCTGTAGGTAAACCACAAACACGCAAGCAATCCAACATGCAACACTCCTCCAATCCTAGGTCTGTTTTAATTGATCCTGTGCTGATGCACACAGGGCCTACAGTGTGTACTTTGCCCCAAGTAGGTCCCCCTCCCTGGGGATCTGACCCTTCTAATCAGCGGTCTGACCCCACGCCTTACCAGGCACACGCCAGACTCTGTTCTGTTTTCCCCACAACACTGGGGCTAGTCAGTAAGCAATTCCCCCAGAGGCGTGTCTGGCCGGAACTTGTGGAATTTACATCCAATTTACCCAACTTTTTACTATTTCCTCCCAAAGTCCCAAGGATGAAGGTTAATGGATTGTTACTTTTACACACTTATTTGTACTTGACCTTCAAATTAGCAACCATTAAAAAAAATAAGCGAACTGGAAAATAAAAAGCAAGGACCAAACCAATGTAAGAAGATAGATTAAGACTAAAACTACAAATTGAACACATGAAAAGAAGTAAACTAAACCACCACAGCCAATTATGAGTTAGACCTTACATTTGCACAAAATGATTCTTTTTATGTAAAACAAGGGGCCCTAAATTCACACGTAAACTGTCTTTTCTTAGGCAATAACCGCACTAGGCTTCAGATATAAATGTAATAGCCAAATTATGAAAAGGTTCGGGACCATTCGCAACTTTTTACAAAAGTGAAGAAAATTGTAGATCTCCATTCATATAAGGATCCACAAACATTATTCTTTTAATAAATTAGTATCAGCATTTGGACAAGGAAATAACAACTTTCACACAACATCGGCTCTTTGAGTCAACAGTGGATTTTCCAGTTATTATGCTGTTTCTCTTTCACAAGTTCAATGCTGCAATTGCAATGGGTCATGATGATTTGACAAAGTGGTACTTCCTCATTGGTGGGTGGTATGTTCTGGATGATTGGCGGGACCCTGCACCAGCACTGAAAGCAGTAAGAGTACTTAGTGAACAAACACGGCTCTGTTTTGTTGGAGGCGTGCCAGGGATCACACTGCGCCACCAAGGAAAACACGGTGGGCAGGGCTTTTCTTTAGCCTCAAGGAATAAGTGCAGCCTCAAGAAAAAAGTGCAGCTGGCATTTCTTTTAGTATCCTATCAAGATAGCTGTGGTGCAAGCATGGAGCAATACAAATTCCATTACTCCATTGTACAATGTACATGTACATGTATGTACAAGCTACACATGCCATGTCTGCTAAACAGGGAGGAGTAATTTCAAGATATTTGGGGACACTCGTACTCGGTAAATAACATAAACTTGAAATGCATGTTTGGAATCAAATTATTTTTAAAAGTTGTATTAAATATACTCAGCCATTAATATCAATCCGTTAAAAAAATGAAACAACTGAAAGTATTGCTTTGCCTTTTTTGTTTGCTTCAAAAAGTTCAGTCTAAATACCATTCTTGACATGTACAATGTACATGTATGGGTACTCTGTGTCCCTAAAATATGCTGCCTCAAAAAGTAACGCAAACACACAGATGTCGTAATCTCAAAGTTGCATAGTTCAGGTAGAATATATTTACTTTAAAAAAATCTCATGTAATACAAATCTAAAGCAAGTCAAAAGTCATGTATAATACAGTATAAACATGCGTTATGATTTGTTTCATAAAGCATGGGGTTTTTTTTCATAAGTGTTGCTTATTAGTATGTAAACCCCAATAAATACATGTATCTGAAGTTAAGTACTTATTTGAGTCATCTACCAGCAATCCTTATCTACACTGTAGGGATCCTTATCTACACTGTAATTCAATGGTTGAAGCGAATTTCTAGGAACTGCGTGGATTCCCACAAAGTTGCTACCATAAAATCTGATGAGTGATAAAACTTTATCTTGCTTGCTAATAACCACATGTTGGTAGTTGATTTGGGAGATAAGATGAACTGTAGATGTTTATTCGGATTTTATTTTATGGCCAACACACCCACATAATATTTTCCATTCAGTGCAGTTTGTGGACATGGTACAACAACATGTAGGCATTTTGAACTCAGAGTTTACCGACAAAGTGCGACTCAAAACACATTTATCAGCACCACAATCCATTTGATTTTGAAGTATCTCTGTATTTAATATTGGGAGCTTTGAAATCATCTGAAACTCTGGAAAACTGAAAAAAAAAAAACAATTCTGATTTTAGGCCAAAAAAATAAAAAATTCGGTCTCTGGTCAGACCAAAGTTCCGGAATTGACGCAGGGACGCGGCTTTTTTTTTTTTTTTTCAAGCTTGGATTGTACAGACAAGGTGGGGTATTATTTTGCTATTTGGTGTCCTCATGTACATTGGTGTCCTCCATAATTTGCCTTGGTGCTCTCGATCATTTGCCTTGGTGCAATTTCCCATTCCTTGGTGCTCTTTGGTAAAAAAAATTGAGGAGGTGCGGCAATAGAGGGCACTGTTGGAGCTACCGCGGAACATTTTGGAAAAAAAAAGATTGACGCGCATGATTAAAATCGACGTGCGCGCTGACCAGAGACCGACTTCTAAAATTCCGAATTCTAAATCTAATGCAATTTTCTTGTTTCTGAATACTTGTTTCTGAAAGTCCCCGATTTTCTACACAATGTACATTTTTGTGTACATTAGGTATTGAACGTTTCACTGCCAATTTTTGCAGCCATAACTTTGCCATAAAGTTTACTATGTCACAATGACATCATAACCAAACCAGAACTGCAGAAGTCATGAGTGCAATATGAATGCGGAAGAATTCCATATTTATATACGTACGCCACTTGACACCCTGTGTACAAACCCTATGACATGAGACTGGTCTGAAAACTTTAAAGTGTTTTCCAATATTTTCCCTGCTAAATTTCACTTTTTAGGACATGTTATCCCTCTCTGAATGGTTGATGATTCATTGCAGGGAAAAACTAGTGGCGTACGTATACATGGAATTTTTTCCATGAATGCTATCAATGACCCTTGACATCTTGAAATTTGCTCGCATCTTTGAAGGAATACACACGTACTTGCTATACCCAATCCACAATGCAGCGCAATACAGACAACGTTGATATCACATGAATGTGTGCTACACTTTACACTCAGTAACAATTCCGAATAAAACATAGCCTACATCATAACTGCAAACTGGATGAACTGATGAATAAAAACAACATCTGCAATCATGACAAAATACAAATATAGGGCCTAACTAGTTATATTGAAAATAAAACTATTGCACTGCTAGAAAAAATCTCACACTGACTAATGGCCAGTCAAGATAAATATTGATCAAACATACATTCAGCTTTGGGGGAAATTTCGAAATCGAAATTAAATCCTACTCTACATTTGAAAATTAAAATGGCAATATCCCCTCGCAATGTACAAGTCACATTTTGCACAAAATAAACGTAATAAACAAATACAATTGGCATTTGGAAACTAACAAACAGAAACATTACAAAAAATCCAACTGCCGAAATTCAACACAACTTGACTCACACAATGTAAACATGGTAAACATAGCAAAAAGCGTGGTTGAGTGAACATCAACTTCTATTCTCCTCTATTCTACTCTGCAATCACATGCCCTCTTAAGTTAAGATCAGATTAGTTTGACCAAGATTTGATAGGTCATAAGCCCTAGGCTTCAACCCGACCCAAAATTTCAAGCTAGATTCCTCCATGATTCAAGCAGATTCAAGAATATGTAAATTGATCCCTCAACATTTGCTCAATCACGACACCGTGTACACGGGCGGAAATTGTAAATTGTAAATCACAACCGTTCGCTTACCGTGCGGATACTGCTGCTCCGAATCCATACAAGAGTTGGTCATGTCGACCGATCCAGTATCCTCATCCTCCATAATGCCGACGATCATGAGATCTTGCCTTGGTGGAATAGAGAAATTCAATTGGAAAAGGAGAGATCTAACTTTCTAAGTACTGCGTAGAACGATGTCAACCCGGCCCGGAAGAACGATGAATTCCCCCCACGCACACAGCAGAGCGCCGCGCTGTTGATGAATGTGTCATCAACGGCAATCTGGCATCCACCGACAATACATGCGGAAGTCGCCGGAAATGTATACGGGGGCCAGACTAATTGATTTCGCTGCCTCGTACAACCTCTATCTCAAGTGAATGCAAAAGTGATGCAAATTCACCAGCACCCTGAATAAGAGGTAGAGTTGGGAGTTTTTATTCGCCCAATCAGGCTACCTTATTTATTTTATGCGCACTTCTGATAGTACGATTTCCTGAAGCGCCTCATTGGGCTATTGAAAGCGCATGAATCATTTGTCAACAAATTAGCTCGAGATGGCTGCAGTTTGTCAGCAAGTTTTGGCTTTAGACGCCAGATACAACACGTATCGTGCTCCAAATAACCCTCAGTTTAGTAAGTTCACATACTTTCTGTTATGTTGTGTTTTGGCATTTCATGAGTTGTGTATAGGTGGATTACAAATGTCATTTTCGGGAGGGAAAAAGTGGGTTTTCATTCATTGCGACTGTATACGGCCTACGCCCCCTTTAGCTAAGCCACGCCCACCCTGTTATTGTTAAGTGTTATTAATTTGTGTGACACAGCTGATGTAAAAAGAGTGAAGGTTGTTGTGTAGGCAAGGTTTGTATCATTATATTTTGGCAGGCGTTTTGTTGTTTGGTTGTTGATTTTCAATATGTTTATTTGTGTGTTGATGAAGAATTTGCAATAGCCTAAACAAATGTTTCATCTTAATTTTTATGCCCCGCGGCGAAGCCGAAGGGGCATACTGTTTCCGCCTTGTCCTTCCGTGGGTGGGTGTGTGGGTGGGTGTGTGGGTGGGTGAGTTTGTCTTACATACGCAGTGTGGACTTCCGAACAAAAGACGTCCACATAATGTAGGTAGCACCGACGTTGTGTGGACTTACCCCACGTCCACACAGTGTTTCCCCATTTCTGGAAAACAGGTTTAGAGGCATTTTTGGGTTAGGTTTATCTGTAGCAGAATGAAGAGAAACACTAAAGGGAATCATAGAAAAAAAATTGGGTTGAAAGAGTTTTCACAGTTTGAGAAAAATGAGTTTTTTCACTGGTTTTTCTTAACTACACGAAAGCAATGGAAAGTCCACACTAGTCATGTGAAACAAGTATGGGTGTGGGTGGGTGTGTGGGTGGGTGGGTGTGTGTGTGTGTCCGGACAAATCTTGTCAGCGCGATAACTTGAGAAATACTTAACATATGAACTTCAAATTTGGTTTGTGGATTGTTCTTGGTAATCCTAAGAAGCCTTTTGCATTTGGGGCCAAAAGGCCAAAGGTCAAGTTCACAGTGGCTAAAACAATAGAAATCTTGTCAGCGCGATAACTTGAGAAATACTTAACATATGAACTTCAAATTTGGTTTGTGGATTGTTCTTGGTAATCCTAAGAAGCCTTTTGCATTTGGGGCCAAAAGGCCAAAGGTCAAGTTCACAGTGGCTAAAACAATAGAAATCTTGTCAGCGCGATAACTTGAGAAATACTTAACATATGAACTTCAAATTTGGTTTGTGGATTGTTCTTGGTAATCCTAAGAAGCCTTTTGCATTTGGGGCCAAAAGGCCAAAGGTCAAGTTCACAGTGGCTAAACAATAGAAATCTTGTCAGCGCGATAACTTGAGAATTAATTAACATATGAACTTCAAATTTGGTTTGTGGATTGTTCTTGGTAATCCTAAGAAGCCTTTTGCATTTGGGGCCAAAAGGCCAAAGGTCAAGTTCACAGTGGCTAAAACAATAGAAATCTTGTCAGTGCGATAACTTGAGAAATACTTTACAAGTGAACTTCAAATTTGGTTTGTGGATTGTTCTTGGTAATCCTAAGAAGCCTATTGAATTTGGGGCCAAAAGGTCGAGGGTCAAGTTCACAGTGGCTAAAACAATAGAAATCATGTATTTATTCTGAGATTATAGGGATTAGGGATTAATTCATATAAAACCTACAGAAGACACTAATGCTGTCAATGAATGTTCCATGTGACCAAGGTACATGTAAGTTGATGTTAAAAGAGTGGTGTTATGTCATGGGAACTGTCACCGTTGCGGGGCATTTGTGTTTGTAAACACACCTGACTTGTTTAAAATGGTTCCTTTTCAGTTTCACATATTTGGTTGTGAGAAATGCCACTAGACATGCTAGACCTATGCCTATGTCTTCTTGTGTTATGCTAATTGTTATAAGTATGTTGCCATATCGGAAATGTCTCTATTCTTTCTAAATCCTTGGAGTTTGATGCAAGAAAAGAGAGTCAAAGAGCTACAAATGTAAGTCTCGGAAGCAGAAGCTGTGAGAGATTTGTGATACTGCTTGAAGTTTGGATGCACTTATATTTTACGAGACGGATTAAAAAATGCAACATCAAATAACAAAAAGTGATAAATAGAGTAATTAAAAAGAAGTGTAATGGCCTTCATAAATACCTACATACCACTCTCAGGAAAAGCCTTCTATTCTATCCTGCTAAGTTACTAAACAAACAAGTTAAGTAAGCATTGATTCCTTACCTACCGATAAGTGGAATTCCTGGGATCTTCAAGATGAAGGGGTGAAAGCCCTTTCTCAAGATAAGAGCCAGGCTGCATTGTTGACACACATTTAAACATGTTTTCCCAACTCTAATTCCCAGAGCACTTTGCTGGGAGCTGGCTGAATCCCCCACAATCCTCAGTTTAGGAACCCAGTGGCCCATTCTTGCGTACTTGAACTATTTTTTTTTCAAAGGATTGAATTGATGTGTTTGTGTGATGTTTGATTTTTATATTTTTTTGGTTCACACAGGAACCCTATACATTCGGAGACGTAGTCAGCTTCTGAGAGATACCGCAAAAGCGGGGGTAAGTAAGATAGAATTGCAAAACAATAACCTTTTTGGAAAAAACAGTAAATTTGTTTCGACTTTTCCCATTCAACTTACAATTCGATAAATGAAGTTGCTGAGCAATTCCAGCGTTATGAAGGAAGTGTAATGTCACTGAAGCAACCAATTAACCATGATAGTTAATTAATGATTCAGAGAAATGATCCAAAACTCCTAGCTGTAAATCTCCGCGATCATTGCTAGATGATGGATTTATAAGATTTGAAAAATTTCATTTTCAGGTTTATTCACTGAGCTCTTAAAAGCTCTGTCACAGGCATTACACAATGCTGAAATTGCCCTCTGTCATTGACTATGATATAAATAATGAATAAAACTGCTGCTAACTGCTTTCTGACTGGATTGACCTGAAATATATAAATCTAAAAAATTAAAGCGGTCTGACGTTTGGATCTTAAGAAGATCTTGTTAAGGTCCAAACAGCAGGCCGCTTCAATTTTTATGCCCCGCGGCGAAGCCGAAGGGGCATACTGTTTCCGCCTTGTCCTTCCGTGGGTGGGTGTGTGGGTGGGTGTGTGGGTGGGTGTGTGGGTGGGTGAGCTTGTCTTACATACGCAGTGTGGACTTCCGAACAAAAGACGTCCACATAATGTAGGTAGCAGCGACGAAGTGTGGACTTGCCCACGTCCACACAGTGTTTCCCCATTTCTGGAAAACAGGTTTAGAGGCATTTTTGGGTTAGGTTTATCTGTAGCAGAATGAAGAGAAACACTAAAGGGAATCATTGAAAAAAAATTGGGTTGTAAGAGTTTTCACAGTTTGAGAAAAATGAGTTTTTCCACTGATGTTCCTTAACTACACGAAAAGAAAGGAAAGTCCACACTAGGTATGTGAAACAAGTCTGTGTGTGTGGGTGGGTGTGTGGGTGGGTGGGTGTGTGTGTGTGTCCAGACAAATCTTGTCAGCGCGATAACTTGAGAAATACTTAACATATGAACTTCAAATTTGGTTTGTGGATTGTTCTTGGTAATCCTAAGAAGCCTTTTGCATTTGGGGCCAAAAGGCCAAAGGTCAAGTTCACAGTGGCTAAAACAATAGAAATCTTGTCAGCGCGATAACTTGAGAAATACTTTACATATGAACTTCAAATTTGGTTTGTGGATTGTTCTTGGTAATCCTAAGAAGCCTTTTGCATTTGGGGCCAAAAGGCCAAAGGTCAAGTTCACAGTGGCTAAAACAATAGAAATCTTGTCAGCACGATAACTTGAGAAATACTTTACATGTAAACTTCAAATTTGGTTTGTGGATTGTTGTTGGCAATCCTAAGAAGCCTTTTGCATTTGGGGCCAAAAGGCCTAAGGTCAAGTTCACAGTGGCTAAAACAATAGAAATCTTGTCAGCGCGATAACTTGAGAAATACTTTACATGTGAACTTCAAATTTGGTTTGTGGATTGTTCTTGGCAATCCTAAGAAGCCTATTGCATTTGGGGCCAAAAGGTCAAGGGTCAAGTTCACAGTGGCTAAAACAATAGAAATCTTGTCAGCGCGATAACTTGAGAAATACTTAACATATGAACTTCAAATTTGGTTTGTGGATTGTTCTTGGTAATCCTAAGATGCCTATTGAATTTGGGGCCAAAAGGTCAAGGGTCAAGTTCACAGTGGCTAAAACAATAGAAATCATGTATTTATTCTGAGATTATAGGGATTAGGGATTAAATTCATATAAAACCTACAGAAGACACTAATGCTGTCAATGAATGTTCCATGTGACCAAGGTACATGTAAGTTGATGTTAAAAGAGTGGTGTTATGTCATGGGAACTGTCACCGTTGCGGGGCATTTGTGTTTGTAAACACACCTGACTTGTTTTTTTATTGATATCAATAACGTTAGCTTGCCTTTTTTTTCTTAGAATGATCCTCAAGTGCGCAAGCAGTATCTCAAACTTCGCTCGCAATTCCTCATTGAGAGATATGGAGCAACGCTATCAGATCAAAGGTAACAAAAATATCTCAACTGCTCTCCAACTCAGCATCATGTGAAGTTGCTCCACTCAGACCACAATGCAGTAGTTATTTTGGCCTCTTCTTATAAATTCAAGCAGCATTTTTTTCATCACATATATCAACATAGATCACCCTATTTGCACTATCAGTGCCCTGTTTTCCCTCAATGCAGCTACTGTGTGGTATCTTGGCATGTGATGTGATACCATATATCCCTGACACTTCTCACTGACACTGTGTGGATAATTGGTATTGTAATGACCTTCAATTGGCTATGCTATTGGCTGGTGTTTATATTACACAGACCACCCAAAGTATAGGGCACTCAAGGGGAGATTGGTGGAGGAACGCTCTCTTTATTGTGGTTTTAAGGTTTAAGAGCCTTTAGGTTTTTGTCCTTTTTCGAAATCACTACTGCACTTTTTATTTCTCAACAAGCCTTTATACATGTTTTTCAATTTTTAATTAATTAAAGCATTACCTGTGGAGTTCTTTGTCAAATATTTTACGACAGATTTTTAAAAATCTGCTTTGAGCAAGCAGTTGTTAGTTTCTTACGAGTTACAACAGAATTGGGCATTTTTCCTCTTTACTTTAATTCTCTTAATTTTGTCAAATAACCTGAAAATCTACATTATTCATTAGACTGGAAAAGTCAAGAAGATTTAAATTTTAAGTATGTCATTTGCAATCAATTAATGAATCTTTCAGATAATTGCAGTGTAGATTTCAGGATTTTAGAGATTTTTAACATTATTTTTTGGGCAACTTGACCAACATTTATAGGCTCCTGATGCGATTAGATACACAGAATTAACTTCAATTACATGTAATAGCAAAGATTAATGGTCAAATTTTTTTATCTGCTGGAGTTTTTTTGAAGAACTATTTTAGAATGACTGATTAACTGCTGTTAGTTCAAGGATTGCAGTGAACGTTGAGTGATCGATTCCACATCAAGTTCTACACTTACATTTGATATTGGGGAACTCTTATTTACAGAAGTAGACAAACTTTGACATTAGGTCCGTGCAACAGGAGTCATCCTCGACACTCATCACTATAATTTGGTTGTGCGAGGCAGAGGTGAATTTAAGGTTGTTGACGCACTGAGGGCACAAGCTGTGTATGACATGTTCCATTCAAATGCACTTTAATTTCTTCCACTGACCCCATGATGTGTGCAGTCTTATTTCGTCATTTGTTGCAGTATTGGAGGGCCTTGTTTGGACATTTAGGGATTAAATATTTATGCCCTGCCTTCGATAGTCATGACAAAATCAGCCCTTTAAAAAAGGTGGTAATTTTCACACCATGGTCTAGAGTATTTTTGGAAATCAACGGTGGACAGTAACTGAAAAATTAGAATAGAAGACCAAGATGTCTTCTTTTATTACCATTGATGATTTTATTTATTTATCTCCATTTTCTTTTCTTTTTTGAGATTCTACATTTGTTCATTTATTATCCACTTCAATAACCTCTTTGTGCAGGGGTGCACTTTTTGTGAGACTAATATCGTGGTGGACCATCTTTTCTATATCGTTGACGGATATCCTAGCGGGTGGCCTATCAAATTCAAGAATACCGGGTCACTCCCTTAAGTTATTCTTTTCACGCATGCTCATTGTTCATTTTCTTTGCCACCACCAAGTTGTTTGATAAAATACCACAATTATGAGAAGCATTTCAATATTTGGGGTTGAAATGCCATTAAAGGAATGCCCTTGAGGTTTTAAAAACTTTGAGGAGCAAATGCTGAACCTGTGTTGTTGAATGCCTTAACAGTTTTGAACACCCCCCCCCCTCGAAAAAATAAATTCTAAAAAAGTAATACACCTTTGACTATACTCTTTATGTCCTTATATTTAGTTTATTCTGATAAAAGAAATTTGTACAAATATTTGCATAGATTAGAGGTTGGCCGTACTTTACTATTTCAGTTTCAGAACAAGCTTGATGAGTTGACTATTTACATTGAGTTAAATATTTACATTTTTCTCTTCTTTTCCCTGTCCCCTTGTATATTTTTTGTTCCTTCTCCATTTCGTTTTTCTCCATATTCTGTCTTTTTTTCTTTCAATTTTGCATGTTTTCTTTGTTTATCATGTTTTCCACTTTGGGTTTCGCTCTTTGTGGTCCTTTTGGTTTTTGTTTTTGTTTTTGTTTTTTTCTTTGTTGGCCCTCTCATAACAGCAGCGTTTGGAGTCGCAACAACAGCGGTCGGGGAAGCAAAGGAAATCTGGATGTAAGTCAAGTACAATCAGTTTTTCAATACTGTATTTTTCATTTCAATTTGAGTAAAGTTTGTTATTGGAGGCAGAAATTCTGCTTTGCCTAGAGTGAAAAACAGGAAAAATTTGTGGTAGATATACACATTGCTTAATCCATATTTTCTTCTCCATATATTGCCAGAGCCTGGATGATAGCTACATGGACCCACGAGGTTATCTGGATGTCAGAGGTCACAGGCGTACCCAAAGCCGAGGGTCGTTCAAGCTGGACCCTTTCCACTTAGAGAGCTACGGCGTCATGCCAACAAAGAACGCAGAAGCCAGCAGGTATGTTAGTCGGAGAGAAGTCTCTCAATGTCTTTTTGCACATTACTGAAATTTGTGGTTTATTGGCATTGTATTCAGGAAGAGATAAAAGAGATCCTTGAGAAGAGACTACAGTGTAGCTGATGAACTTGAATACAATGTTTTTGTTTTGTGTTTCCCACAGAGCCATGGCTGGAGGCAAGTCTATTGGCGAGAACTACGCCTTTGCTGGCATGCACCATATATTTGATCAGCACAGCCAGGCTGGTATGAAGACTAACTTTACACTATTAACAATAACCCCAACTCCTTATTTTGAGTAACATTATTTGATCCTCCAAAATCTGCCAGTGTGCAGAAAACCAACAGCACAGTCTTTCTTATTGAACTATCAAGAGGCATCATCCCCCATGTTATAGCAACTAGGCTCTACCTTCCTCAATCCTACAAATCCCTTCAAAAACCATTTTGATGGATCTGGGACGATTGGTGAAACATAGAATTCTTTCTGTTTCTTTCCGTGTAGTGACGGCTGTGCAGTTTGCCAATGAAGACAAGTCACGCATGGCTTGCAGCTCCTTAGATGGCACCGTGTCTATCTGCCAAGTCTTACCCAGCCCAGCCACCGTGGTCTGTGTGCTCAAAGGTCACCAGAGTGGGGTCACAGGTCAGAGTTCAAGATAGTTATGACATTAACCCTAACTCCCTAGGGGGTGTGCAAAATCATATTAAAATTGGAGGATTTAGGACTGTAAGGGCTATAAGAAAAAAATCAGGGTCCACTTTTTTCCTGTCCCTGTTACATCTGACATCTATCATTTTATAATTCTGATGTACTACTTAATGCAAGTGTCCTCCAAGAGAGATTATGAATAGCAAATTACCTACTCGACAAAACAAACAATTGTTTGAAGTCATTCTTAATGATACTTGTACGGCAAAATTACAAAGTACCAAGGTAAAAGGGTCAGGAAAAATGTCACCCTTTGGACCCTAAATTTATAAAATTACCACTTTGCCATTTCCCAAACCACTGTCTCACCACCAATGTTGGTTTGATCCTCGGTTACTTCTGACCTAACTTATTATAAAACTCATCATTTACTTGATCATAACTCTGTCTCAGGCCTGGACCAAATATTTGCTACAAATGTATTTTCAGATTTCTGTTGGTCGCAGTCCAATGATCAGATCCTCTCTGCATCTCTTGATGGCACGGTGCGTCTATGGGCAGTCAGCAGTGCTAGCTGCGTACGGACTGTAGAAGACCCTGATAAATCAGCCATCCGTGCCTGCAGATTCCAACCGCTCAACAATAACATGATCGTCGTATCCTTTCCTCACTGAAATTCATAAATTCTTTCCTGCAACAAAAGACATCTAACAATTATTGTAAACACTTTTATTCACTAACCTGGGGACAATACTTAGAAGCTGTATTATTGCATTGCTACTTCACTCGTGCATTGCAGTTGTACACGTACACAAACTTTCCAAGTGCACGTGTGCATGCTTCCAGCTCAGTACTAGCCAAGTCAATTTAGATATGTGACATCCTCACAGTGTGCCCTTTTTATTCCCTTTTTCTTTCCTTGACCATCTTCCTGATCAGACCGGTAACAGCAGAGGCCACGTGAACGTTCTCAACGTGTCTACAGGCAAGGAATGCAGAGGAGGTTTGGGGAAGCTGTCTGGTCAGGTGCTGTGTCTGGAGTTTGATGATAATGGAAGCGTGCTTTGGGCCGGGGATGACAAGGTAATGGAGGCAGCCATCTTGGTCTGGCAATCTGTAACTAAAGTGTTCAGGTTCCCTATAACCAATTTGGTCTGATTCCCTTTAACCATTTCAAAAATCACAAAGGTTGTCACAGCGTAGATGCTGAAATCCATTTTGACTGCGGCCATCTTGGTCTAGTTCCTGTAACCATTTTGAGAATCACATAGGTTATTGAAGAATATTTAAATCCACTCAGACTGCAGCCATCTTGGTCTTCGCTGTAGCCATTGTGACATAGGTTATTGAAGCATTTTCGAATCCACCCAGACTGCAGCTATCTTGGTCTGGCTCCCTGCAACCATCCTAAAAATCACAGCATATATGCTCAGTATCTTCCTTACTTTCTCTGCAGGGAACCATATTCTCCTTCCTGTTTGATCTTGCTACCGGCAAACTCACCAAGGGCAAACGGTAAGTATTATGTTTCAAAACACTCTGTCTTTTCTCTCATTTATGTGCCAAATAGTCCCCTCTATAGTGTGTGCACAAAGCCATTAAAAACTTTTTAATTCTCATCAAGTGATCCAACTCTACCAGTTTTCGGGTTTACATCATAAAGTTGGAGCATGACCCCTTACTATACGCGCCATTGATTCATGACTTCTGGTCAGCATCCACTGAACACAGACATTGACAAATTAGAATATCAACAACAAAGAGCAGCTCAGTTGGTCAAGCACGTGTATGGTGTTCTGGAGGTCACAGGTTCACATCCAACCCTTGTCAATTGTCTTTGTTTCTCCAGCGTCTTAGTGCGTGAGGGTTGTCCCGTCACCAATATCTGCTACCGTGCCTGGGTCAGTAGGGAGGCCAGGGATCCCACAGTGCTGGTCAACTGTGCAATGGATTCTCTCTGCATCTACAAGTAAGTCATCCACTTCATCTCTCATTGATAACAAATTAAAAAAAAAAAACCTGCCCTTCCCGCATGTAACGTACATCGGTAAAGAACAAAAATGTGTATTCAAATTTAAGCTTATGAATATTCACAGAAATGCCAAAATTCTTTAGGTCTCATTGGTTGCTTTACCGTCTGGTTTATCAAATTGAATCAATCAACCCTGACAAGCTTTAGAGAAAGATTTGTTAAGAACTTTGCACTTGAAATCTTGCAGTCTTTGGTTCGAGTCCCACCACAGTGACTTCATAAAGTTTTCTCACATAAAGCTTTTGGTTAGCATCGACTTATAACAAACTTTCAGTGAAGGCAAAAATCCTACATCATCAAAATATACATCACCCAGTGTTTCAAAGTTTCAAGCAAATGTTGAAGGTTATTTTATTGACACATTTATCTTTTTTGCATGGCTCTGCAAGTTTCTGTTTATAATCTAAAAGTGAATTTGCCAGATCTTAACTGTAATTCCTATTTGTCCACTGCAGGGTTGCAAGTCCAGATGGCGGACTACGCCTAAAGAGAACGTACCCCATCAAGCACAAGACTGCTCTCATCAGGAGTACCTTCTGTCCTCTCATGTCATTCAGAGAAGGAGCTTGCGTCGGTAGGTACACAAACCCTTAATCGCAATTCAGTTCATACAGGGCTCCCAATTTCTACTCCACAAAACACCACACCTCTCTGTTGCATAGCCAGTGACTTTGGCGTTTACCTTGTGTTTTCATGGCTTTCGTGGTTGCCTGATTTATGAGTGGATTTATTACCACTCAACTTTTCCCCTTGGAAATGGACAATCACGTTATGGTATCATGCAAGGATCTGAAAGTTCCTCCTGTTTTTATTGAATTATTGTGTTGTCTTCATGCTTGATGTAGTTACTGGCAGCGAAGACATGAACGTGTACTTCTTTGACGTTGAGAGGACCAGCAACAAACCCTGTCTCAACAAGCTGCAGGGTCACTCCGCGCCCGTCTTAGCTGTCAGCTTCAACTATGACGAGTCATTACTTGCATCGTGCGATTCTGAAGTACGCACTTTCATTCTCAGTATTCATCCCATTATTTTGTTCTCAGTATTTCTTTCTCAATTTGAATACCACAAATTGTGGAATACCACAATGCATTCACCTGTTTGGTCTGTACATCCCTGGTGAAACGAATGCCTTTTTTTTATGAAATGGAAAAGTTACGTATTAGTCCTTTGCATGGACGAAAGAGGGCGCTATAGCCCAACCACAAAGGTGCATTGATGGCCCTTACAAGTTGCTGGTCTGTGAGACTTGTTCAGCTTTTTGCATTTGAGAATTTGGTATACCAGACAAGTCAGGGTAAAACCAAACAGCAGGAGAAAAGGCTTGGGCCTGGTCTCTCTGATATAATTCCAGAATTGTGAAGGAGGAGGGGCTAAATTTGGACATGTGCCAATGCCAACCTATGTCAATCTGAACCATTCTCTATTTGTGTTTTTTCAGGGCCTTGTGATTGTCTGGAAGAGAGAACAGCAAAAGACAAGGTAGCAGAAGACGTCTTAAAAAAGAGACATGAAGTACAAAGAACTCCATCATCATTAATTAGGTCCACTGTGTAAGAAAGGTTAATATTCTTGTATATATTTGTTTATAATTTATTTTGTATATTGTGTATTCAACCAAATGAATATTATATCATTGCAGGTCACAGAAATTTAGATTCAGTGACATAAAATTGGAGGAATGCATTTATAATATATAACCCAGTGTACAAGAAATTTCACAGTATAAAGTTTGCTTTGAAGATGCCACTTTCCCGACTTCTATCCTGCACACATTATCCTTCAGGTTTTCACCTACAAGTTCAGAATCAATGGGTTGGGGTGGGGGGGGGGCCAACGGGGCCATTCCCCCTTCCCCCCCCCCAAAAAAAACCGAACCAATTATTATTTTTTTTAAGTGACGTCACAATAAAGGCAGGCACTGCGTACACCACTATCTTTTCCTCGAAACAAGTGGGTTGAAGTGGTCAGAAATTGCCTCAGATCGCACCACATTTCCAGATCCAAACACTTTCAGGGCCCTTAAGCAGGCCCCTAATGTACCTAATGTAATTTTTTGGACCCACTTTTGGGGGGACAAAAATTGTTTTGGCCTCCTCTCTCCCCCCCCCCCCCCCTAATCCCCCCCCCCCTCCCCCGAATGCCAAAATGATTCCTAAAATAGAAAGTTATTGATCAAAAATGTTGCAGATGTAAATATTTTTTCCCAACAATATGTGGTCAAATCTTGCTGCCTGCTGTATTCTGAAAAGCTCCTATTAACTACTCATTACTGTATTAAAGGTAGGCCTACCATATTGGGTGTGGGTTTTTTTAGGGGGGGGGGGCAAGTATAAAATGTACATGTTCATTAACTTATTTGATTTTTTCAGTGGTCTGTTTTCTCGTCACTTTTTTGTCTTTCCATAAACTATATTATGACAGTTTCTATTTAATTATCTGATCAGAGAAAAAGGGGGAAATGTTATGTTTGATAGTTCACGTTATTACACCTCATAAATGTTGTTTCTCTGTATGATGGGGAAAAGCATATATTTTATGTCTTGATAAAATTGGAATATTTAGCTATGTTGTGTAGGCTGTTGTTTCAAGAATAAGTGTATAAAATCAAGAACAAATAACTGATTAATGTCAGCTCCTGTTTACATCGGCCGTCTCTTTTCAAAAGTGAATGTTTTTCCAAGTTTTCTAAATGAAATTGTATTACTTTTTGCAAAAAATAGATCCTAATATTTAGCGCCCTCTATTGGCAAAACGAACAGCGCCCTCTACGAGCCTATAGACAGCTTTTTAATAATCCAATAAATAGCGCCCTCTGTTGACAAAATGAACAGCGCCCTCTAGTGAACACTAAAGAAGGATTTTTTATCCACTAAAAAGAATAGCGCCCTCTACCGACTTAATTTTACCAACGCTCACACCAACTCGCCCCAGCATTTCGCCCCATACCAACTCGCCCCACCTTTTTCGCCCCCGTCCAAATGGGTCAATAGAGGGCGCTGTTTACTTGATCAACAGAGGGCGCCATTTACCGCGAAGTATAAACAGAAGAATGTGAAGTGTGATGATACGATGAAAACTGACAGGTAAATCTTTAGCAAATAAACACTTAAAAGGGAACAATAATTATTGATTCGTGAATCGCGAGTGTTTTAACGGATTGTGTTTGGGAATGTTTATGATGAAATAAGGTTGGAGACGAAAACATTGGAGGGGTAGTATTACTATTTTCACTCATCTGTTGCTGTGTTCATTTTGCACACGACGTTTGCGGCGTACCTAAAAGGGGGGATTAATTTTCTATCGTTTTAAAGAGGGTGAGTGTGCATCTAAAGCATAAAATTGCAAACAAAGTCTATATGTGAAAATAAAGGAAAGAATGTTGCAACCTGACGCTACTTCAGCGACTGTGTACAAAGTCTATGGAGCGTCAAGAAAATTTTCTTTCCAAAATAAAAACTTGACAAAGTTCTACAATTTTACATGTTCCGAATCCAAGTGTGGCCTTTATTTACGGAGGTAGACCAGTAAATTTGGCCCCATTTATGAGGCTATGTCCAAGTCATTTATTCTCACTTTGGGCATCCTTGGCTGTTTTGACTCAGTTAATTTCATATGGGCCTAAGGGGATTTAATCATTTAACATGATTGACACTACTCTCTGAGAACCCTTGAAGAAGCCAAGGGTATCTTAGGGCTACTAGTCAAGTAAAAAAAAGAAATGAATTCATCAAGTTTTAGTGCTTCATGTAAGCCCAGATGAATTTTTGTAAAACGTGACGATTATGTGGAAATTCTGTGCATTGAATAAACCTCAGTGAATATTTGCCACCTTCTTTTCTTTCTTCTTTTCAAAACAACGATTGAGGAGAGAATATGAGGAGAAAGCAGCTGACGAGGCGAGACAGAGGGAGGAGGCAGAATGGCAGTCCAGATTGCAGGATGAGTGGGCAGCAGACATGGCTGGGATGTCCGACCACGCCCTGTGGGATGACACAGGTAGGCTAAGCAATTTTACTGATGCTAGCGTTGGGAAACAGGGTAAAGCAATCATATTTCATTTTCCATAAGTGCAACTGAGTAAGCATTTAAAAAATAAAAATAAATAAGGAGTTGATGGAGTTTTTGTTCAAATAAAGTTTGTATAAAGAGAATATAAGGAGCTTGTCATGAAGTGTAAATATCTTCTTTGGCTGGTAATCGAACCAAGACCCTTCTGCCTAGTAGTGCAGATGCCTTAGGAACTGAGCATCAAACTTTCCTTGGTTGTTAAATAAAGTCTCGCTGTAACATTTGATGTTTGGAATGCCTCGGATATGTTGCAGATATTTGTATTTTCACAAATTGTCTTTTGTGATGTAATTTGTTCAGGTTACACTGGGTTAAATCAGGAGTCATTCGATGACTGGGCGACCAGAATAGCAGCAGAGCAGAGACAGAAACAGCAGCAGCGATACCAGGGGCATCAGCCATCACGTAGCAGTCACAGCAGAGAGGATGCCCAAGACAGAGAACGGAGGCAAGAGGAGAAACGCAACTTCCAAAGGAAACTGGAAGAAGAGCACGCGAGGTATCAGAGGAGACACTCAGAACGACTCCGGCAGAAACTCCTGAGGCAGAAGGCTGAGCATCTACAGCGATGTGCCGAGGTGTTCAGTGCAGAGAGTCAGGAGTTGAGTCAGCTGGGATTGGAGGATGTGCCCTGGCCGGGTCACCATGGCAACCCGGACAAGATGATCCAGGTGCTGACATGTGACATTAACCGTGAGGATGCTGCAGAGCTGAGGAGGTTTGTACGCTCCCAGCAGCTGCTGTGGCATCCGGACAAATTCCTGCAGAAATTTGGCAGCAGGCTGGTGGAGAGAGACAGGGATAAGATCATGGAGAGGGTCACCCAGCTATCACAGGCACTCAACCAGTTAGGAGAGGAGGAGAAATCGGATTGATCCCGCCTTGAATCAAACCGTGTGCAATTCAGACTGTAGTACCTCTCTACCAGTGCAATCAATGTGGTTTGGGCCAGGGACTGAGACCTTGTCTTGATCCCTAGCTTCTGCTTTTGATACTTGCTCCAGGATTTCAGGTGCCTATTTTTGGACATTAAGGCGCCATTTTCTCTTGAACATCAGATTGAGCCCAGTTTGTGATGTTTCACGGCTTGAAACATCAACCCCTTTAAAGAGACTTTTGATACACTCTCAGAGGAATGGATTGACTGGTTGCATTGTAAGACTTTCTTGGTGAACATAGCTTTTGTTAATTCTTTGCTGCACAAATAGGCCCAATTTTGAAAGAAGGACTTGTCAGCCGTTTTGAGATACGGTGGACACAATTTGAGAGCGCTATTTGGAGCCTGTGAGTTTGGGTAAAGGTTAATGAGTTTACTCCCTCAGAATAGCGCCCTCATAATCTCAAGAAGGCTAACTGTAGTCAATAATATTGTACAAAAGACTCCGATGGAAAAAAACTGCATACTTCTCCAAGATACCTTCACTAAATCAAAGCCAGAATTTAAGTTTAAACATCCACCCCTTTGTTTCCAGATGCACAAATATTCACTCCTTTGTGACATTTTTATCAGAAAATTGATCTATAACAGTTTTATGCAAAAGAAAATATGCAAGTTGATTCAAAAGTCATCTAATGCCGTCAGTGCTCCATTGTTTGAATTACACTAACATTGTAGATAAATTATGAAAAGAATAAATGTCTGATAAAAATGCATTGTAATGGAACGTTCTTTGTGTCATTTTCACTTTGTTGGTTCGTCTCCAGTTTAATATGATATTTGTGAATGTAGCATATCCATTTCAAATTATTATGAGCATTAAAAATGAAATAAAAACAGTTTGGGAAGTGGTTGTAGCTCTGTACTTGATGAAGCCACATGGACAATTTTTTTTTCAGTTGTGCACAAATGTAGGCACTTTTTTACTACATAAATAATGGGGGTTTTTTCAAAAGCAGCCACGAGCTGTCGTTTCTAAAAGACTACTCCTTTATTTTTAAGAAAACAACTCCATCGCCCCCAGCGGTACGCGCAGTAATATTTACCGCTAGGGGCGACAAGAAAGGTCGCCCCTAGCGGAAGTTCCTCTGGGGGCGACAATAACGGTCGCCCCCAGCCGTACGCGCGTTAAGATATACCGCTATGGGCGACAATATCGGTCGCCCCCAGCGGTATATCGCTAGAGGCGACAATAATGGTCGCCCCCATCGCGCGTTAATATATACCGCTAGGGGCGACAAGAAAGGTCGCCCCTAGCGGAATTTCCTCTGGGGGCGACAATAACGGTCGCCCCCAGCCGTACAAGCGTTAATATAAACCGCTAGGGGCGACAATAATGGTCGCCCCCAGCGGTACGCGCGTTAATATATACCGCTAGAGGCGACAAAGGGCGCCCCCAGCGGTACAAGCGTTATACCGCTAGGGGCGACAATAGTGGTCGCCCCCAGCGGGCCGCGGTACGCGCGTTAATATATACAGCGCCACCATCGATACAAACGGGTAAAACGTTAGTTTGCTTCGAAATCTAAATATTCATTTTTTCAAATTGGTGCTGAAAAGGCCAAGCCCTGGGACTGCAAAAGCTGAATGAAATGGCGTCTCCAGCTAATACCACACACCAGGTGCTTCTTACGCCGGGTACTAGGCTTGTTTACAGGCGTTTTGCCTGTCTCCTTGCGAAGCGCACGTGCATAGACTAAGCTAACAAAATAAGAACTCCGGTTCGACGGATGCAAGGGAGTCTATTTTCTTTGTTAATTTTCTTTGTTGAATCTGGCGTTAACAATAAAATGTTTCCATTGAGGCGAAAGGATTAAACGCCGCTATCTTTTTCCACGCTTGAGTGCATCTGAATGGGTGTTTTTCAAGCGGAAAATCACGAAATACAGCTCTTATACAGCATTTTAACACACAAAATGATACTTTTTGCAGAGGAAATTGAATACTGAACAAAACTGTATTTTCAGAATGTAAAAATTCGCCGTATTAAGGAAATCGATGTCGAATTTTTTGGTTGTGCCAAGCAAAAACTTTCCGATCTCCAACGTAGGTGGCGCTATATATATTTCATCGACAGTGCAGTCACTGAGCCAAACAAGTTATACACCCACAAATTAGTTGAGGAGGGACACTGTCTTTTTTATGGAGGGGGAGGGGGGGGGAGGGGGAAGGGGTTAGACACCAGATATAATACAGACATCAATTCATAAATTATTTGTTTCTGAAGCAACCATGACCCCATATTGATCAAGAGTCTCACTAGTTATTCAGGATCTACAATATTCTGAATTGGTAATGAGGCCGCGTTTTTTCAAACACCTCTATGATGCACGTGTAGTATAATATGCACGAATACTGCAGTTGCTTCATAAATAGGCTACATAATTGAATGCACTTAATTTCTATTTTATATATATCCCCCTCATACCCACCCACCCCCCCCCCCTCCGTCCAAACAAAATACAGTTTTGTAACCCCCCCCCCCCCTCCCACTTATCAACTCCGCCATACCGTGATCACGGCCGGGTCGCCGGTCCCAAGCCAACCCACATGTTCCCCTACGCGCGCACAAAACTGATAAAATAACTATCAATAATAATAGTGTTACATTAATTCTCAAACAATATTTCTGTAATGCCAATAGGTCTGTCACGGTACTCTCAATACGTCTGTACCCTTCCCCCCTTCCCCCCAAAGAACCCGCCGACCCCGCCCCTTCCCGAGGTAAAAGTATGCTGTGGCAATTGCCAGTTTGATTTTCTCTGACACACGTGTGAATGAAAAATGTTTAGCGCCACCTACGTTGGAAAGTGGAAAGGTTTTGCTTGGAGCTCCAAAAAAATTCGACATCGATTTCCTTAATACGGCGAATTTTTACATTTTGAAACTACAGGTTTATTCAGTATGTAATTTCCTCTGCAAAAAGTATCGTTTTGTGGATTAAAATGCTGTATAAGAGCTGTATTTCGTGATTTTCCGCTTGAAAAACACCCATTCAGATGCACTCAAGCGTGGAAAAAGATAGCGGCGTTTAATCCTTTCGCCTCAATGGAAACATTTTATTGTTAACGCAAGATTCAACAAAGGAAATTAACAAAGAAAATAGACTCCCTTGCATCCGTTGAACCAGGATTTATTGGTTCTGTAATAGACAGGATAAGGTGTACGAGCAGTGCATTTGTAGATAAAACGCCATAGAAAAGACTAGCCGGCTGCAGCGGAACAGCGTTGTTGGGTGACGCCATTTCCATTAGGCCCCGCCCACTAGCCACGTGGGCAACAGCACGTGCACCTCTTCAATTTCACACTGCATGTCGGGCATGGATCCAGCCGACATGTGATTGGTCAAATACCATGGGGCGGGGCTTATGTGTATCAGCCAATATTTTTTTTCAGGTAACCTGATAACAGCGCCCTCTGTTATTAAGAGAGTCATGTGGCAGGCAAAAATGCTAAATAAATTAAACATTAGGCTTCAAAACTAAAAAATGAGGTAGGCTAAAAAAAGTATAAGGTGATAATTAAGCAGGTTTTTTAACCTATCATTTTCAGAACCATTTGGAAATTCGGTACAATTTTGAAGAATTGTTTAAACAGAAATGATGAAATCAAACGATTCATTTTGAGTTCCAATCAATTTTATTTCATTGGCTGTGTGACAATTCATCATAAATTTCATGACAAAGAATACATTTAATGTAGTCATGTACCTGTGATATTACATAATAGGCAGATTTAAGAGTACATTGCATATTGACGATATGAAGTAGCAGAAATTAATTCACAGTACTGGGATTAACACGAATAAATGAAAAATCGAAATATCAAACAGGATATCATGTAATGAGATACATGAGACATCGATTACATTTTGTTGTTCATAAATGCATCCTTTTGATAAATGTATCTTTTTAACATTAAGTACAAAACCTTTGCACCGGGACTAAATCAATGCTAGAAATATTTTCGTAATTGATATGATTTGTATATAAACCAAATATCAAGTAATACTGAAATTTAATGAAATTCTGATGAGTTTTAAAATGTTGAATCACAATAAAAATATCAGCAATGCTGAGTCATGTCTTGGGTTTAGAAACACTGGCCTGGCTCAGTGACTGAGGACAAAGCAGAATTTTTCTTAGCTGGAAAAATTAAATTGATGCTGTTTTTCTTATTACATTTATAGTACATCAAAATGAACCTATTTTCAATAATAACCTCCACATAACAATTAGAAACAACTTTAACAATGCTTTTAACTAATACCAACACAAATACGTGATGAAGCTTTAGTTTAGACATAATGCTACTGAAATTGATCACGAAACAAAAAGTCAATTTGACAACATAAGCTGGAATGTTGGCTGGGAAAGTTATCATCTGCAAATACATTACACGAAATATCTAAAACCACAATAAAATCTCTGCATTTAAAAAAAAAAAATTGTTGATAGATTGTTTAACAAACATGTCCTAAAGCTATTTTCTACCTCTCTTCCCAATGTTTAAAAAAAGTGATTTCCTAACAAAAACAAAAACAAAACAATCACTTGTCATGGGACCAATTTTTACATGGGAAGTATGAAAAGAGCTTTTGAGTTACCCCAGCTCTTTTGTGTATATCTAAAATATTGACATTGATGACACATTCTATGTTTTAAAATGCTTAAAATACCAAACATATTTTTCAAAATAATGATATGAATTCGCAAACAATAATCTGAGTATTACATTAAACAGTGGTGAAACTCATTGAAAAAATCCGACGACAAAAATACATGTACGCAATCTAGTACTGCATCATATATAACTCTCTGAATACAGTTATTCACGAAAATACATTTTGTTTATGTTCATAAAGATAATGCAATATTTAAGGCTGCTGCTTGTCGTATTTTTAAAAAAAATCTTTGGAATACAATGTGCAGGTTTGCAGCTGTGGTTGATCTGTGATATACCGCACCGTGCATGTGGAGGCAAATCATGGTCAAACGCTATCACTAATCTGATACGCCTGGCTCCCCGCTACTTATTACCAGCTATTTATTGGCTACTCTAACCAGCTAAAGGGTTAACGTCTTCAGGAGGGTCCCAAAGAGTCAACGAGACAACTCTTACAATCAATGAGAAGCATGCGATCGGTGTAAGTTAATCTAACAATGGTTAGCCACAGTATTAAAACAACCTTCCTTCTGCCCATACTTGACAATGCTATTCTGAATACATAATCTTACAAACTGAGTTACAAACAGTTTTAACAATTATTATGGCAATTTGGTTTTCAACATACATACACCAGAATAAAGTTTCAATTAATTAAGTTGTGTCACTCTAACAAAAAATTAGCTGGAATAAACACTTGTTTACATGTCTCTAATTCCCTCATCCGCATTTTACAAAAATAGTTTAAAAAATTGACAACTGTGTATACACTTTGAATACCAGTACCAGATTTTAACAATTTCTATGCAGTAAATGTATGAAAAATAATGAATACGCACAAAAAGTTGACTCTGCTAAAATAAATGTTTTCAAATAAGCTCTATGTACATTGTTATTCAGTTGTCCTAAAAAAGTATTCTTTTGATTTCAAATTCATTTACACATAGATTATTTCTGAATACAAAAATACAGTTTTTTCAAAGCTCACGCAAAACTCCCTAACATACGAGTACAAATCACAATGATACAGTACAGTACAATTTCTCATCAATTATTTTTTTTTGGTTATTAACATTAATGTGAATGCAAATGTGATAAAGCTGCAAAAAAATTGAACATTACATCTAAAACTTCAAAATGAAAAACTTTATGACTACCAGAAAATATTCACCTTTCACAGAACGTAAAACTACACTTTGTACATTAACCCTAGCACTCCGGACAGCTTTCTCCTTGGAACAATCCTGAATCTTACGAAATCCAGCATTGAACAGGATACCAATGGCACATTCATTGTAACAAAAGTAGAATTTTGGTGGTGCAGTCGTCAAAAACTATCAAAATACTTTCAAATCCTATGGGTAGACTGTGATAGAATAAGGATTATCCAACTAAACCTATGAGTGGCAGTTTCAATTGAATTTTGATGATCTGAGGTATAATAAGACCTCTGGTCTATTTGTTGGATTCTCTAGGATCTAGAGGGCCTCACACTCAATTTATTAGATTCTGATGGGTGTAGCTGGATAATGGTAAAAATTTCTGCAGGAGCACTTAAAGCAACAAAGCTAATTTAATTCAGCAAAGCAATACACTAAAACGACTACCAAAAAAAGGATCCTAAAACTACAAAAAGCAAGTGGCTACACAAATCTTAATTTCCCTCAGAGGTAGAGTCCCCCTCTGGCAAAGTAACGGCGAGTTGACTAGACTGGCCCGGCAGTCCTTCAAGCTGACCAGATGATCCATCCGTTGTGAACTCCGTCGAGAAGACGCTGTGTTCTTGTTTTGCGGCTGCTGAACCTTGCCACTGGACGGATACCTTTTGAGGAGAAATGAGAAAGGAAGTGATGCTCTCCATTTGTAAACTTTTTGCTAAGGAAAATTAGTATTTTAGTCAAATGTATATCAACTGGCGAAAGAACTGAAAGAAATAGTAGCTCTGAGTTAATATAGGAACCATTCACAATGTACCATCAACTGATTACTGCTTAGGCCACTGTCCGCAGTATAGAAAAGTGTGGTTCTGAGAAGAACCAGCGATGTGAGCTCAATGTTTCATACAGCATGCTCTGATCATCATCAGGAGAAATGCTTTGCTGCATTCTGACCAAAATGTTAACAGCTTTGAATCTTCCGAGAAACACATTTCTCTCTTAGAGAACTTTGCATATTCACCATTTCCTCCCAAGTTGTACTCTTGCAAAGCCTACACTCACATTCAATGACACTCACATTGTGAATTCCTTTTATTATTGAAGCCGAGAATTCATCATACCTTGGTTCCATTCTCCATCTCTCTGACATCAGACCCTCCGCCCTGCATGGTCATCGCCTGACCCACGCTGACCTGCCCCGGTCCAGTAGTCACCTTCATGGTCTTCTGTACGGTGGTACCGGGTTCACCTTCCACCAGGGAATTTCCGTTGGCTGCGTCGAGACTCAGTCTGTTCAGGTCAAAGGCCACGGGTTGCTGGGCATTGCTTGAGCTCTGATTGGAGAAAATTAAAAAACTGAGATTTTGAATCATTCAAAATATCCCCATAAAACATTAGGTAAACAGCTTTCTCAATAAGAGTTGCAATGCTCATGAACTGAAAAGATGAACTTGCTCAGTGGTGTATCACACGTTTTCTTTTAAGTTCTAAGCTCATGTTGAAATTGGCACATTTTCTAGAATTGTTCGGTGCTCCCTGGAATTGACTCTTGTGTCAGTTCCTCAAAATATTGCAGGCACAACTGATTCCAAGTTTGGAACTGATTCTATTCAATTCTGGCACAGAGTTGCCCAAGCCTATTCTGGATTGTCCACCGTTTTTATTTTTTCTTCGCATATTCTGACTTAAAAAAATTATTTCTCAGTAAATGATACCTGAGTCATGATCTGTACACTTGAGGATTGCTGCTGCTGGCTGGCTGAGGCACTCATGCTACGGGACACTGTGACGTTGCTTGGAGCTTCCCCGCTTTGCTCCGACGACGAAACAACTTGGGAGGACATCTCGCTGCGAGACAGACTCTGTGAACTGGAGCTGTGACTGACGACTGACGTGCTGCTGCTGCCCATCTGTTTCAATGCGTTATCGCCGCTGAGCATGAATGTTAGATCTCCACTGCCTGAGATGGCGTTGTTGGAACTGCTAACTTGCTGCAGTGCGGATGCTTCAGCGACGGTCTTCTGGGAGGTGACGACTTTGCTACTGCTTGCTGCAGTCAGGCTGCTGCTGGAACTGCTGCTGCTTAACTGGCGCGTCATGGATGACGTGCTTTCGCCGCTCATCTGCCAAACCATGGATGTTGCCTCTCCACTCATCTCGCTGGTTAAGGATGAGACCTGCTGACTGCTCACTTGTCGTGTGACTGATGACGTTGAGGATGACGATGACATCTCACCGCTCATCTGTCTTGTGACGGATATCGTGCCATCGCTGCTTGTCATCTCGCCACCTGGGGTGACTGTGAATGATGCCAGCTGCTCGCTGCCGCTAGTTTGTCTCATCATAGAGGATGATGTTTGCTGAGTGGACTGGAAACTACTTGATGACGTCTGTAACTCACCACCTAGTCATTTACAAAATACAAAATTGAATACCCAAATATCCTGAAATTGAAGCAATTCCCGATACCATGCACCATGGTATCGGGATGGTAGTACAGAGGCTGTTTTTTTACACATGGGAAAAAGTGCACCAAGACTTTTTGAATGACTTTGCAGGATAGAAGAAGGTAAAAGACAAGCTGTTAATTTTCATGGGACTTGATACCTGAGAAAATTTAAATACAAATAATAGGCCACAACTTACCTGAGAGTGTCTGAATGACTGTCCCATCCCCGTCCGCTCCAGGAACCACTGACACAACACCGTCGCCCTCTATAGTCTCGCCATCGCCCTCCATCACAATCTCCTGCCCTCCGACTATGCGGACCTGGCGCACCGTGCGCGTTGTTTTCATAACACGTGTGCTGCTGCTAGACGATGATGATGACGTAAAGCTGTGGCTGACCGTTCCATTGCCCGTCCCGGAGTGGACTGAGAGGGCGCCCTCTAGAGGTGAGCCGGCTCCATCAGTGCTCATCGTGATTGTGAAGGGTGAGGAGACGATTTGTGAGGTTTCCGTTGAGGGGAGGAGGGAGAGGCTGGACAGGTCCCTTGGAGCTTGTTGAGGAGTTGCAAAACTGGAATCTGTTATAAAAATTCAGGAGAAAAAGGGGAAAACTAGAGGTTACTCTCCAAAGAAACAGCAAAACAGAATTTATTGTGCTTGAGCTATTTCACTATTACCCCAGCATGTCAATCCCCTGAAACATTCCAAAAAGTTTCACGGATTTTGAAGTATAGAGCCTGACTTCACATTGTAAGGGATAGGCATGGGTGTGGCTACAACATTTAAATGTACAGTTTAGATACATGTACACTTGCATCCAACAAATATAAACTACTACATTGTACTATAGTCTATGGTCATACAACTAAAACAAAAATTTGCTTTAAACAAGTAGATGAGCATGTGAATCTTACCAGATCAGATAATCAAACTTTCAAACCCAGATAATGTAAGAGTCCTTTTTGGATGCTTCAGTACTAGCTTTAGAAGGATACCTTTACCATATACTGCAGCACATCAAGGTTACTCAAAGTAGGGCATTGAGTGACTAGTGGTCCATGAAATCACTGAATGCATTCCACAGTGGACATAGCTTTTATGTATACTGCTGGCCTGTTACATAACCACAGATGGCAGGGGGGGGGGGGACTATTTACGCTATGTAAGCATAATCCCAGCTAAATCCAGGCCACTATCTAGGCAGCAGCAATAGATAAAATCTCAATAAACCCAGAGTGCTCTAGCTTCTTTACAATTCCAGTGGCTGTGATTGTGTATGCAGTGGATACAATGAATCTTGATGGACACAGGCTTATGGCAATAACTTATGGCTACTCATCAGGAATAATTTAAGTCATATTTTGTAAAGATAAACCTGTATGCCAACATTTCTTCAGAACAATTTTTCCTAGAAAATAATGATACATTTTATTTGTTGTCAGGTATTCTCATATAAAAGGAAGTTTACGGAGAAGAAAATTGATGTCTAGTATAAAATGCCAATTGATAGCCCTACCGAATTCAACTATGATTCAACAATAACGATTCAGTGGAACGAAAAATACGTTTTTGCTGTGGTCTTTTGATTTTGGTGGATTCAGCTAGTAAAAGATCTGAAGGGGACTTATATTTAAATGGTGCAAGTGTAAAAAATAAAAAGAATAAAAAAAGCTGAGATGCAAAAAATGTTGAGAAACACAAATATTCATTGTAATGAGTACATTTGCTAACCCTTCTGGTGCACATAGTTTCAACATCTGTTCTTGATGTAAATTCAATGCCAATTGTTTGAATATAAAAAAAAATGGAAATAACATAGTATTACGATATCTCTTTCCAGAATATGTCCAGAAATAATTAATTTCTGAAACTTTCCTTTATAAAGACGGGAAGGTGTCCAGATTTTTGCGATAGCAGTTGGGATAGTAGTTGGCAAACATTGCACTGTTATTAGGGCTGTTCGGAATATACCGAATATTCAATAATCAAATGAATAGTCGAACAGCTTTCTACCCGTTCGAATATTCGAAAGAAAGGAAACTACGCACGTACATGACTGTGATGTTATTTTAATTGTAAAGTTGTAGCGCTGTATTGTTGTCAAATGCCACATTTCTTCTTTTTTTTGACAGTAACTTTTTTGTCGACGGCGGTTCATTGATCCATGGTTAAAGCTCTTGACAATTATAAAATACCTTCTGCAAAACACTACAGTGGCCCATAACATCGATCGCTGCACGCAAATTTTAAGTGCATGCTTTGCGTGCAACTTTTGACGGGCGTGACACACAGTTGCAGCTGTCGCGTGTAAACTTGATTGCCGTGTTTCGAATATTTGAATATTCGGTCAAACGCAGTTTCAAATACATGTAATTGAATACTAAATTATTCCGAAATGGACAACCCTAACTGTTGTGGGATTTGTTGATAAAGCCGCCTGTCATTTTAACCCACACATCAAAGTTGATTATCCATGCAAATATCAAGAAAAAAACAAAATAAAAACACAGATGTTTTCTTCTTAAAGACTGAGGAGGTACTACGGAAGCAAAATCGATCACAAATCTTTACACTCCCATCTAAAGACAAGAGAGAATATCCCTGAATTTCCCCCATCAGAACACCTTTCTGGACGAATATCACTATCAACTATTCATGACTTGCTCTATAATTTCGTTACTGTAAACTCGTGGACCAAAGTTAGACTTGTAATTCTCACCTGTGCTGTCGAAAAAGCCGGACTGCATGAGTGTATCTTCGCCCGGGGGTTCCACTACCAAACTCTCATTGGTCTCTAGAGGTGTGGCATCACTTGATGGAATAGCTGCAGCAGGCTGGTCTTCTGCTGCCAGTGGGTGTGCCTCTCCAATCACAAAACTGGTGAATTCTGTCGGGGAGTGGTCTGCTGGCGTTGGGGTACTTAATTGCACTACCAAACTATCATTAGTCTCCAGAGGGGTGGCATCACTTGATGGAACAGCTGCAGCAGACTGGTCTTTTGCTGCCAGTGGGTGTGCCTCTCCAGTCACGAAAGTGGTGAATTCTGTCGGGGAGTGGTCTGCTGGCGTTGGGGTACTTAGTTGCACTACCAAACTCTCATTAGTCTCCAGAGGGGTGACATCACTTGATGGAACAGCTGCAGCAGACTGGTCTTCTGCTGCCAGTGGGTGTGCCTCTCCAGTCACGAAACTGGTGAATTCTGTCGGGGAGTGGTCCGCTGGCGTTGGGGTACTTAGTTGCACTACCAAACTCTCATTAGTCTCCAGAGGGGTGACATCGCTTGATGGAACAGCTGCAGCAGACTGGTCTTCTGCTGCCAGTGGGTGTGCCTCTCCAGTCACGAAAGTGGTGAATTCTGTCGGGGAGTGGTCTGCTGGCAATGGGGCACTGAGTGGATCAGTGGACTGTACGTCAACTGGGGTTGTGTCTGTTTTGATTATGAATGTGGGTTCCTCATCCTGAAAGCTTGTCGTGGTATCAAAGGTATTATCCATGGTTGGTGTGTGGTCTTTGGTTGGCGTTAGGTAGTTGGTACTTGGGGTGGTGTTAGCTGTGTCAAAGCTTAGGAACTCGGTTTGATCCTTGCTGTCCGGTGTGGCCATTGAGTGGAATGTTATGGAGTCTTCATTAGGGGTGGGTGTCTTGCTGAGGGACAGGCTGGACGTTGAGATGAAGGTGTTAGGATCGTGGTCTGCGGCAGGGCTCACCATGGAGAAGTTGGCAGAGGGGTCATAATGCTCCTCACTTACTACTGGAGTGCTGGTGCGTTGGACTTCAGCGTCCAGCTCTGGCTGGGGTTCATCAAAAGAGATTTCTTGTGGAGCTTGGAGAGAGATATCTGGTGATGTCTCGTCGGTTGGTGCGGATGATGGGACTAAATCTGATTGTAACACTGGTTTGGGAGTTTCGTCCTTGATGTTAATTCCACCATCTTGTACGAGAAACAGCGGGGCCGACTGAGTTGCTGGCACTTCCACTTGCGTCACAAACTCTGACTGGAATTGATCAACCGGGACATCAGGCTGTGGGGCAGCTTCAATGGTCGGCTGCACGACGGCTGTCACAAAGTCATCATCAAACAGTGGCTGGTCCCCGGCAGTACCGGTTTCCGCATTCATGTTCCTGTTGGGGCTCGGCATGTCGGTAACATTCTCCGGAGGTGATTTGATGAAAGCCACTGGTGCTGATCCGAAATCGGAGTTGAACCCGACTGTTTTGGCAGGCGATTCTTGCTTTGCTTTAGGGGGGACTATCACCGGGGATTGTTTTGTAGGCGAAGGCTTCTCATTCTGCTGCTGGGAAATGAAATCATCATCGAATCCAGGTGGGTTTTTCTGAATTGTTGAAGGGGGAGCAACCTCATCTTCTTTCCCGGACTCTGACGATTCTTGTAGGGCTGCTGGCTTTAGGTTGTTCCAGCGAGCCTCAAAGTCAGGCATGTCAACCCGGTCCCGGTGGTCCTTGAGGTACTGGATGAGATCGTGTAGCTCCTTCATGGTGGGGCGGATGTCGGCTTCCAGCCAGCAGTACATCATGATCTCAAACCTGAACGGAAAGCAGCACAACAGTGAGAGTCAGGTTAGCAGTGGTACTTCCATTGCCTTCCAAATGTGACCAAGGTTCGAATCTACCCTAAGACATGTTGACTGTTTTTTGGTGTGTCCTGCCCAACTCTGTGCCATCAACCATACTCACCATCTAGCAGCATAGTGAATGCTGAGGTTGGGTTTATCCACTCGTATCTCTTGTTCTTTCACCACCTGCTGAAGCACCTGCTCGTCTGTCAGCTTGGCGTACGGCCTCTTGGCACCGGTGGACAGCTCCAGCATCATAATGCCAAACGACCTGGCATGTCAAAGAAGAAAAAACAAGAAGACATATAAGTTAGAAGAACACAATTTTCAAATGGACGTTCTGGACTCAACTATAAGCCCCACCCACCTTTGGCCATTAGCCCTGCCACTTTTGGCCATAAGCCCTGCCCGGCTTTGGTTGTGTGTACATTTCTCACAGTGCTTGTGACTGAGTTTGACTGAGGTCTCATGGTCACCTGACCAAAAGGTGTTATCTAATTGGTAAATGTGCACTGTTTGAATGACAGGCAGGAAGGGTCCATTATCTATAGGATCTCAAGTTTGATGCAACAGGCCAAAGGCACTTGTGGGGACTGTGGCCTAGTGGTCAGGGTTTGTGACTCATAATCAGACGTTCAGAGGTTTAAATCCAGCTGCTGGCCACATGTGTCCTTGGGCAAGCCACTTTACCAAAACTTGCCCCTCTCTCCACCCAGGAGTACAAATGGGTACTGGCATTAGCTGGGAGTAACCTGCGATGGACTGGCATCCCATCCAGGGGAATGGGAATTATCTCAGTCGTGTCATGCCAAGGAAACCGGATATAAACACTGGCCTGATGTTCCATAGCGGCTCGCGACAGACTTAATATGCTTACTAGAAGTACTTTACACAGTCTGAGAAGACTGGAAAATGTCTTCTAACTACTCACCAGACGTTGGACTCCTTAGTGATCTTCTTCGTCTTGACTGTGCCGTCCTCTGCAAGGTCAATGACCTCCGGGCCCAGCCATCGGATGGGTATGGCTTGGGTGTTATCCTTGGTGATGTAGTAATCATCCTGGAAAGTGAAATGGGAATAAAACATTACAATGAACCATTTAGGGTTGTACTTTTCCAAGAGGATGCGCTATCTTTTGGCTCAAATATTATCAAAATTAGAGAGAACCTAGCACTTACTGGGTACTTCTCTAGGGCAAGGCCGTAGTCACCAATCTTGACTGAAGTGTCTGCACTGACTTGACAATTACGAGTTGCAAGATCGCTGCCAAAGAAAATAGAAATGGACAAATTTCAAACATCAGGAAAAAGGCCCAGTTCGTCAGTACAGAAAATGTCCTTTCTTATTAGTCATTTGTTTAACTGCAATTGTTAGAACACAAAACAAGTAATAACAACAGGTTATGATAGTGTCCATGTAAAATTACAATTTGAAAACAATGTATCACATTTACAGTAAGGCAGAGCTGGAAAATAAATTAAAATCAAACAAGGGAAAAACAGGTTTGCAACCAATACACTCTCAGAAGCTTTACGGACATATTGTCTGTCCTTATGTATGGAGACAGATCTCAAGTCTAGTGACAAGACTCCAAGTAGAATACTAACATGTAAATGAAGTCAGCCTGGTGAAGCCACATCAGACCACTGACTATATCGGCGGCCATCTTGAGCTGGATGTCTTGTTGGGCCATCTGCTGGACGTCGTCGCGATGCTTGCGCAGATAGGACTTGAGGTCACCCTAGAATCACAGATATTAAAGATCTACAATGTTAGTGAAGGTTGAGATGGGGGACGTAGTTGAGTTCCTCACAAGTCCTCAAAAGTCCTTAACAAATCCTGCAGTCCCAAGTTAAGTCACAAGCTATTCAAATGAACTTTGACAATGGCATTTCTTTGTTATTGTTCTCCCCCGTTACGTTTGACTGGACTTGTGAATGGACTTGTGATTTACTCCTGACTGGACTCGTGCTGGACTTGACTAAAACACCGGAATGGCTTGTTGACCCATTTGCTTTATGCTGATTAATTATTGATATAATCTACAAATATGGATACTTACAAATGGCGCATACTCTAAAATGAGCAGTAGTGGCATGCTATCAATGCACTGGCCTAGTAGCAGCAAAACGTTGGGATGGTTCACCTCCCTGAAATGTCAACAACACACGGACATTCACGGATTAAAGTTTGTGATAACAATAGAATTTTTGTCATTCTACATGAACCCAGGATGACCATTTTTGTACTGAAGATTCAGAGGGCATCAAGCTTGTGTAAAGTAATACTGGCTAGGGGTGCCTTCCTCAATCCTACAAAATCCTCCAAATCCTTGTGGATTTTGTAGGATCTGGGAGTGTGAGGGTTACCTGTATGGCTGGACTTCTTGGAGGAAAAGGAGTTGCTCCTCTGGCGTGGCTGTATCCCTGAGTTGCTTGATGACAACGCGGGACTTACGCAGGCCTGGGTGCATCCTCTGGGCCTCACCCTGTAAAACCTGTCATCGCAAGACGGTAGAAACAAATGAAATCTCAGTTTTAAAAGCTTGTATTATTTATTTATTAATTGATTTAAGTATGGTAGGACATGTTATTGACTTGTGATTGCTTGTGATTGACTTGTAATAACTTCTGATGACTTATGATAATTTTTAAGGACTTGTGATGACTCCTTTCTTGTGGTGGCTTTTGATTGACCAACGATTGACTTGTGAAGACTTGTAATCACTTATGATGACTTATGATGACTTGCAATAGCTTATGATGGCTTATGGTGACATTTCTTACACTCACCTTGCCAAACCAACCATTGCCCATCTCATCCACATAGCTAATCTGCCCTCTAGGGAACTGGAACCTGGGCGAGTCAATCAGCTTGATGCTCTGCAGGGTCTGTCCAGGGTCCAGCCCCCCACCAGTACCACCGCTCACCCTTATGACGTTCACCCACTGGTTACTTGTACGGCCTGGTAGCTGGGGTAAGGGTTCGATGGTGACGGTCTCAGGCTCGTGGGAGCCTGGTGGGCGGCTTGGCGTGCTCATGGTCGGGGGGCTGAAGTCAGAGAAACGGGTGTACTGCTCACCAACGACTGTGGTCTCTGTGGTGGTGTCCTCAAATTTCTGCTGCCAAACCAATGGTCGAGAAAAGTGTGATCAAAGTTTGTTAGTTTTACAATATCTCAATTTCTATGTTTGTGACAGTGTGACTTTAGGGTTACTCACAGCAAATCCAGTTTTGCAGCAGGAGGCACATCCAACAAAAGCAATGATCAGGCAGAGACAAGACGCTACAGAGAGGATGCTGATAACCGTCATGTCAGACAAACCAGTTGCATTCATCACACCTGTAAATGATCAACAGATATTAATTAAGAGTCAGATTGACAATGTAGGAAAAAGGAACAAAACAATTGTTCCGGGGTTTTTTTTGGTGGGGGGGGGGGGGGTAAGGGGGTTTAACACCAACTCCTGAACATTTAGTGCTGAATTCTTTGAAATAAGTCACTCTGCTAAAACCAAATGGCACATTCATTGAACTCAAACTTCCAAGGTGCATCAAGACTCCCTCATGATGAGTCCTGCAAATCCTGGGAACCTCCCAGTTTATTTATTGAGAATCTTGAAGGGTAAGGGTAAAATGAGCCTCCAGTCGGAAAAAATGTTGCAACCTGACGCCACTTTTTTCTTCACATATCATCTCGATGAAGGTCAGTCATTGCAAAAATGATGAAAAGACATGAATCTGGGACTGAGAAACATTTTCAATTTTGTTAGGAAATACTTAGACAATTTTCTTGACTCTCCATAGACATTTTACACAACCGCTGAAGTGGCATCAGGTTGCAAATTTTTTTTCCCTGCAGTCTAGTCCAGCCAATATAGTTTGATTCAGAAATAAAGACTGGACTAACTTTCTCTTGTATCGGCCAATGACGCTGCATCGATGAGTTCGCAAACAGCCAGGATCAGCACAGCAGCCAATAAGCCGTGTCGTACCATCTTGGGCAGGGATGATTGGACCTTCATGATTAGTTAGGTGTTATTATTTCACTTGCAACATTACCTGTAGGGAGGATGAGAGAAATAATCATTAAAATGGCAACATGGTCAAAAAATATCAAGTCTGAAAGTAGAACAATACAGACATATCAATATAATGCAAAGATATGGCACAGAACAGCATGAACAGTGTATTGTTTCATTGCGTTACAAATTTTGGCCAATTCATGTTGGCTTTACCATGTTTACCTTCCGCTTCCAGCACCTGCAAAAAAAAAGCTCTTTTTGGAGGAAAAATATGCATCCTCTAAAAAGGCGATTTTTCCAACATGTTCATAACCATAAAATAGGCATGATCATGTGCACAGAAACTACCTCCATGCTTAGAGCCTAGACTAGGTCATAAACATTAACAACAATAACGAATCAACAATTACAAAGACAATCTTACACTGTTATTTAAGTTTAACCATGGAGAAAGGAACACAATTTACATGATTTATGGTTTAAGAAATAACAATAGGAAAGACATAGGATAGGTTTCTCACCAATAATCATATGAGGTGAACTGGAACCATATTTGCTTAGCGAGCAAACTGTTTCAACAAAAATATTCCCATTTGTTTTTAACATTGACCTATAGATGGCGCTTTACACAATTCAGTGGGCGTTACTTTTGCTCACACTAGCGCGCATACGATGTTAATGTAGATACTTTTGTCATGCATTAATAATAGCTCCATGGTGATACCACCTATCACAATTCTGAGAAAATAGAATATGGCAATAATATTAGCAAATTAAGTTTCTTACGTCTTGTTACAGATGTGAATTATCCCTGCGTTTTTTAGCTGCCCGTCCCCGATCGTGTGTAATTGATTGCATTTTCGGATATCACTTGAACGCGCGTCGAAAGTTTGTCCTTACAATTTGAAGCATTTAACCGACGCTATTTATTTTGGGTTGAAATGTACATGTCTTTGTGTCTTAAGGGCGGATCCGGGGGGGGGAGCCCCCACCCCATAAACGAACCCGTTTATTTTAGTGACGTCGCGTACACCACCATCTTTTCCTCATAACAAAATGGTCAAAGTGGTCAGAAATTGCCTCAGATCGCACCACAGAGCATTTAGAATCGCAAAAGAAAATTTGACCCACTTTTGGGGGGACCAATTTTGTTTTTGACCCCCCCCCCAAAAAAAAATTGTGTTCTGGATCCACCCTTGTTGTGTTCCATTTAAATTGATTTGTAATCTTCATGTTGCCTTTTGGTGCCTTTTGGGTTTTTTTATTATTTTATTTCCATTTCCATATGTTGCTAGATCCAGTGCAATTTTTTTTTGAACTTTTGTATTTGTACTTGTATGTGTGTTTTTAAGGACCCCGATGGAATTAAGCCGTCTTATAAACAGCTTTTCGGGTTATCCTTGGCTCTGTATTTACATGAAATACGTTCGTTTTTTATACCATTGTATGTTTGTTTGTTTGTTTGTTTTTGCCAAAATAAATAAATAAATAAATAAATAAAATAAATAAATGAACAATCTTCTGTGATGTCATTCAAGAGGCAGAAACTGCAGAACGTGTCGTCTGCTTCAGGAACTTAGATTTAAGTCACCAGAATTTTAGGGTTTGCTGTGGTTAGTTTCTGCTGGTTCAATTGTTGTTTCAGAATATGACACTAAGACAATTCGAAAACTTTCAGCACATATGCCTTCAATAAGCAGAAATTTGGGGTTACAATTTGAAAAGAAAGAGTGTTTTAAAGTGACATCACAGCCCTAGCAACAGCGCCCTCAGTTGTCAGAAAAAAAAGCCTAATAGCAAAAAGAGATGTCCAGTTTTTTTTCCCAGAGGAATGGATATTTGCTAGAAATATGCTTCAGTGTAAAATTCTTTTCATAAACCATTACATTTAAATGTTACATTTAAACGGACTCATCTACCTCATTCAAAAATCGTTAAAAGTAGTACACGTCAGAAAAAACCTCTCAGAATTTTTTTTTTTAATATTTTTAAAAGTTTATGGGTTTTTTGTTGTTGTTGATGTTGGCAGTTGACTTTTTGTCCATCCTCTGTCTGAGCTGAATCCCTGCGTAAATTGAATAAAATGAAGGAATGCCAACCCGTACCGTGTACATGTACATTATGTCCGTACGAGAGATTTAAAATATTTTAATTCTTCAATAGATGTTTATGGAGAAGTATCCGAACAGTGTGTAGTGCTCGCAGGCAGTACACTGGTACTCGGCAATCGAAGACGAGTTGTGCACGTAAACCTATCTAATTTTCTGATCATCAACTGTGCGGGCACCATTTGCGGTGCAGTAATGCGTCGATCCGGGTGAATCACAAGTTTACTGTTGTTTCTTTGGAAATATCGTCAAAATTTCGCGAATATTAGGAAGATCTGATCATTAAACTTTTCGCAATGCTTCGTAAATAGAGCACACTTCATTGTGGGCAACATCAAATGCAAATTTAAGACGTTGATTTCTCTCGATCTGTGTTAAAATACTCGGCGCGAAAAAGTCCGAGGATTACTTCCAGCACCAGTCGCCGCGCCTGTCATTACCGGGAAAACTACCGCCTAGCGGGAGCGTGATTCATCGGTGTTGTTGCTCATCGGCTGCAGTCATGATGCAGAGTATAAAGTGCGTGGTTGTAGGTGACGGGTAAGTGGGCGGAGTTGTTTCAATTCTTTGTAATTCTGCGTCATGTTTCAATAAACCTGAGTGATCTTGCGCAATTGCTCCACTTTGTTTAAATTTAATTAATATTACAAAATAATATATTTATTTACCTCATGATCATCACAGAAAACTACGTCCTATGTTTCTTTCAATCATGATGTTGTTCCAATCCATCATTGTCCATTGATTAGTATCTTAATTCAGTGTGATTGTACCAGTTTATGAGGATTTTTTTTCTTCTTTTTCTTTGCAATATCATTTAGCCTATCAAGTCCCAAAATTGAAGGAATTATTTTTATAAGAATTAAACTTAAATTTTTAATAAAGTTTAACTTTAACTACAAGTTTAAACATAATATTAATATTAATAAAGTAACAAAACTTTTTGTCTTTAAATTTGCCCCAGTTATTTTATTGGCATTTTTGTTGACAATTTATTTATTTATTTATTTTTTCACATTTTTTATTCATGGACTTGGAGTACATCTGTTGACCTTATGCGCCTATCAATTGTCCCCCCCCCCCCCCCCCGGGCTGCCCCACCCAAGATGTGGGGATTGTCACTTTTGAAGTGACAAAATCCCCACCCCTCGGGCAAAATTTCACTGACAATCCCCGACCATGCCCCGACATACATATGTGGGGCGCACTAGTATTTAATTGCCTTTCCATGCAGTACGCCAATGTTAACAATGTAATTTGAGTGACCAAAATCCCCACCCTGGGGCATGAAAAACGTGACCAAATCCCGACATCGGACCTGGGGCAGCTTAGTCCCATTGATAGGCGCATTATCCTCACAATCACATGTTAGACTACAGAAGTTGGACTTGCGTTCAAACTTCAAAATCTGTTTTTGTCTGTAATTACCCATGTTGGGTTCACATGACAAATTTACTGACATGAAACTGACTTTGCTGTCCTTTGGTGAGGAGCATTAAATTTACCATTATTTTTTTTTTTTTTTACATTAACAGGAACTTTCAGTCGTAGGCCTACTAGCCTTTGTTAGTCCAAATAAAGATAAAATACGTTTGTAAACAAAACAATCAAGGTCACTCCCACAATCCCCCATCTCCACCCCACCCCGCCCCGCCTCAACCTACCCCACCCCACCCCACTCACCCCGCCCTAACCCGACCCACCCTGCCCCACCCTAAAAGTTACATCATGTAATGACAGCATTTAATCCAGACAGTTGTATGAATTCAGGCATTTCGCCAATTTTTTCTCCTGGGAATCATGCCCCTATTCTGACTGCTTCCTGTTGCTGTACGAGTCATATCAAGCTGCAGGCATTATAGGCTATTATAAGTCATACCTGTATAATTCTTGCTTGAATCTTCCTGTGTGTGGCCTGCTTGTTCAGAAACCACCAAAAGACTTTAATTGTTTGGGTTCTGGCTCACAAACATTGATTCTGGAAAAAATGCAGTAAATTTAGAAAATAACAAACAAACCACATCCTACTCCCTAAAAAGTAAACCTTTATCTTAATAAAAGAAAAACTTAAATTCAAATTTCCCAGTTGAAAATCTGACACTTGAATTAAGTAAACAATCAAATTTGTCTGTAAAGATTTTTTTTTTTGTCTTGGGTTAGCAGATAATTAATTACTTATAATCAAGGGGAATTTGCATAATTTGCTTTAATTTTCAGAAATGAATGGATTTGGGGGTAGGGATTTAAAAGCTAATATTGTCACACTGACCTGTGTGGAAAAACGCTGGAAAAATAAAGAAAAAGATACTATTCTTGTAGTCTGGTTCCCTGACCGTAGTTCAGACGAAACGGAGCAAAACGTTGGGGACTTGTCAGGTGAGGGAACCAGACTAGCTGGTTTGCACCACTGATGTGCAACCAAGTGCAAACAAAATATGGACTACATTTGTAAAAAAATTTGGTAAATTGGGGACAGTTTTGAAAAAAGTCTATTTTTTTTCCAATGATGGTCGGCCAACCATCATTGGAAGTTGATATAAAAAATTCAACTTTTCTTGAAAATGACAGCACACCAGGTGCCATGTGATTTCACAGGATGCTTGAAATTATTATTCACTTACAGTCAAGTGCATACATGTAAGGTATTTGATAATAATTTGGTAGTTTTGGTTTTTTGATGTTTGCAAATGTTGCATATAGTTTCATCATCCCAGATCCTTCAAAAAGTAAGACTTTTCAAAGGATTTTACAGGATTTCGGAAGGTTGCTCAACTACTTTTGCTTAATATGGAAGTTGAAAAACACAGGGGTAGCTTGTGGAGGATTTAGGATCAGCAGGGATTTCAACTACGGAATGACAATACAAATATCACAGTTCAACAACCAAACAATTCCTAGTTACATTGACATAGCACATTCTATCTTCCTGTACGTGGCCCTTCAACGCTGTGGCGCAGAGGAGGAATTTAATCTTTCCGCACTGAAAACAATCCCACCCCTGTAGATGTTGACTTCTTGAGTAAATATGCCATCTGATAAATCACACACAGCGTGCTGGAAGACCCAGAACTATTGGCCCAGCCAGTTCACATGCCAGACATATGCGTAATGAAAACACAAGCATTGAGGTCTTAGACTGTTCAAACAACTCCAAAATAAATGATGTTAGGATTTTTTTAAATATGATTTGTGCATGTAAAACATATTTTGGTTTTTGGGGAGAAGCAAAATGGTGTATGTATGTAGCTGTATTAAATGTTACATGTTATTGACCATGTGGTTGTTTGCTTATATTGAGCAGATTTGAGAATATGTTGAAAGAAATTGTAAGCAGCTGTGTTCGTTGAGTTTAAAGATTTCTTTCAGATTTTAAAATACTTTTTCGATTAAATGTCTTTGAAGAACACTCAGTTTTATATTTTTTTGGCTACTAGCAAAATATTAGGCATACATTGAATGCACTGTGTACACGAAAATAACTACATGACTGCACGTCACCAAAAACAGCATAAATTCGTAAAAACAAAATTGTAATGCGAAAAAGCCCTACCGGTTTTTGTTCTTTTCTTAAACAGGCGAACACGTAGCTTTATATTGTAGGCAGGAAGTATGGTTCATGAGTTGATCTCAAAAGAAAATTCACATAGTGTATCGATCCGTTGTTTACATGGTGAAAAATAATAGAAACAATATCAGAAAAGTGGTGTGTATATGTCCACAGTCTGTCAATAGTTTGCCTGAAAGAATTGTGTCAGTCTTCCACTGCATGTACGTAGAGACCTTGAAATTTTAAATGAGGCATGTACAACATGTAATCTGCCATCAATGACCTGTGCACTACATTGTACACTGAACATTTGTAGCATCCAATTCAGTATTACTGTACTTGTAGAATTATTGAGGAAACCTTACCCCAATTAGTACAGCTAGCAATGATTAAAAACACCCTGTGGAATATTGCAACTGGCGCATTGTCAATTAGATTGATCTGAAACAGAAGTTTCTGTGCTAAGGTATAGCTAGCTTTTGAAATCTTGATTTTGTAGAATAATGGGATTTTGAAATCTTGAGTGTCTCCTTAGCTAAACATATAATGAAGACACATTGAAATGATTGTGACCCTTGTTTACATGACTAAGATTCTGGGGATCTGATTGCAGCAGCATAGCCAATGGATACCCCCTCCCCCCAACCAAATTCCAAGTGCCCCTCAACCCCTCCCCACCCCCCCCCCCCCCCCCACCCCACCCCCCTCCACCCCACCCCACCCCCCTCCACCCCACCCCACCCCCCTCCAATAAAACCCAAAAACATACAACTCCAAATATTTGAGACAAAAATTATGATGTGTACAACCATAGAGAAAGGAACTGGATGACAAAAATTTTCACCAGTAGAATGTGGCAATATCAAAGCGTGATTCCAGTGAAAATGCTCCTCTTACCAATTTTCAACTCCCTTTCCCAACCCATCCGATGAGGTACTTCGACGTGCCAACAACAGGATGCAGCTCTTCTCTTTTTTCTCTTGTTTTGGCCTGAGGGAGTATCCACGCATCATTAACCACGCCAGGTCTGATATGAGCCACAGGGAAGGGGGTTGCTCCCCTACCCTGCTCCATCATGCGTGAACACAAAGGCAATTTGCAGTCCCATTACCAAACTTGTGTCCTAGGCTTCGTGACAGTCATATTATTGAACAGAGTGATTTTCTTATATAGCCCGCATCAGATCGGTTGTGGAATGATGTTACGAAGGAACCTCAAAGCAGAAATAAAATAAGGGATTGTGGTAGAATAAGAAGATGAAATTTGATGGTGAAAGTGTGCAGGCATACAATAATCAGATAATTACAGTTTAATGAGAGCATGCCTATGTGTGTTGGTCTTTGTGGATTTAACAAGGATCACAGCATTAATATATTCCACATGTATGAAACATGTATGCATATGAGGTGAAATTACGAAGTATGTTTACATGCACTTTGTTCATCATGTACAAAGTACAGTTTTACACTTAATTTTGGTACTAAAAATTTTGGTACCCTAACTCATGTCAATGTGACCCTTTGACATTTTTTATCAAAACCTGCTGAACAAGTTCAGAAACAACAAATTTGCAGGAATCCAATTCCACATTCATTGTACTTAAAATGGGACAAAATGTTCGGATACAGGGACATTTACAATTCATTCTCTTTTCACAAATCAATAATATTGATATTTAATAATAATAATAATATTTGTTTCAAGCCTGTGGCATGTTTACTTTGTTCATATACCCAAATTTGAATTGTAAGGCTCCATATGAAGTAACAGAGTGAGCTGAGCCAGAATGTTATGACAGACATTTTCAACTTACAAATATGTATAAACACTGCAGCCTATGGGATGTGTACTTTGTTCATTTACATAGCCCACCCAATGTCATAGTAATATCACACACAGTACATGACGCACAATGAATGCACTCATATTCATGCGATAAATAATGCAAATTGAACCTTGAATATGAAATGAATGAATGGATTGTGTACATATATAAACCCTGCGCTATGTACACGTTTATGAACCAAAGCTATACATTGCAGGTGTTTGTTGTGTAGGCACAAAGGACATGATGGAAGAAGTGCAAATTAGGCATCAGTAAAAAACTGGTGTCCATACATGTACATGTCGGTGCACATTACACATGTGGAATAGATGGTGCACAATGAACTATGTATACAGGGTGTACATGTACAGTGCACATGTACTGGGCATCTATGTAAATGCACTGGATTAATGTGCATGCATTTTGGATGTACATTTGTTTTTAACCCAAACCCTCCCAAATCGGTCAAAATCTAACAAGACGATTGAGGAAGGTACGGCCCATCCACTATTACATGTAGCTGTCAGAAAGAGAATGTTTGTGCATTATAAGATTTATCGATCCACGTACCTGGGCAGCAGATTGCAGAACTAAACAAATATACACTCCCAGGCTCCAAGCCCCAAGGGTGTAATGATTTACACATATTTTTGTAAGTCACAACTGCCCCAAAGATCAAGGAGGTCGATATGCCATAAGAAATTGTAGAAGATTTGCATTATAAAAAAAATCATGTTTCTCAAAGTTAGTAGACAAGGTCATTTAAGAATGAAACATTAGTGCCCACATGCAGCCATAGGCCTACATGTTTATTTATGAGCTCAAAAAGTCATCACGTTTTGACGGTTTAAAGCTGAAATCTGTGGCTTTTATTTTGCAGTTTTATTCCATGTGAGAACAAGTAGATTTACTGTTCAATGCATGTGAAGACTTCAACCATTAAATATGTTCAAAATTGATGGAAAAAGTTTGCAACAGTGACATTAAACACCGCAGGGATGAGGCAGGTTCACCCACTTGACCCCTGCATGACCTGAAAGGTCACGACCTCTGGATTGTTAGTGTATCACCATGACTTCATAAAGTCAAAGTTCCAGAACCTTGTCATGTTTCACACTGAATTACTACTGTCAGTGTTAGGAGCTTTAAAAAATGGTTTCTCATCCGGGCTTTTTGAATAAATGAAGGAGGCTGCCATTGGGTTTTTTTCCAAGATGGCGGATTGATTCTTCCATTTTCTTGACTCTTGCTGATACAAAGTTGAATCCAAAGAACAGTCACCCTTTCCAAATATTAACTAGTTTGTTGGAAACAAATAAAAAACAAAGTTATTTGCAAAATAAATCGTACATAAAAAAAACACGCTAAAAGAGGCGGCAGAAAAAAATGAAAGTGGGCAGAGATGAGAAACTGGTTTATTTGTTTACTCAGCCGTAGGGTAGCAGAAGCAATGCTACATTGCTATATTTAACCTGTGTTTTTTGTACTTTGGTGCTCACAGATATGGTTTGGGCAAAGCAGATCTTCTGAGAAAACAATATCACCCAAATTCCTCCATTCCCTGAAAATTTGTGCCGTTTGCCAAACAATTTTTGTTTACAATTAAGCAGAATTTTCCAAACTTCCTTACAGTGCCCACAATTCTGAAAATTTCTAACATAGTCCCCTTAAAAAAAATACAAAAATTATAAATAAGCCTCATTGTGCTAGTCTAGAGTTCTGCATGTACACATGTACATTGTAAGGTTGTAAATTTGTCCAAAATACAATATGCATGTCAAACATATCCTGGTAAACAAGACAGGTTCCTTCGTTGATTCGGCATTCCAATTTAAATATTGACTAAAAAATCCAAAGAGATGGAGGATTTTGCCCATTTTGTTCTGGTACATGTGTGTTTATTCAGGGAAAGCATAGCTATAGCTATCCCCCTGTGCCATGTGTTCAGAGAAATATATTCATGAATAACTTAGACTAGAGGGCTAGGTAAATATAATTGTATGCGTTGCTGCAAAACCTCCAAGGGGTTTACGCTATGGCAGACTCTGCTGTGGCTGCGATATGATCATGTTGTTTTTACCCCATCATTCAGTGGCCCATAGATCTGTGACTTCAGGCACCCAAATTAGACTTATCTGATTGTGATTGTGGCATGAAATATGTATATGCTGCAGCATAGATGTACAAACTGCATACACATTTCTCTGTGCAAATGTATGTCTTCCAGATTTTGCCAATTTTGGACCCTGCGCATGCCCCAGAGCAACTGACTTTATCTCATAGGAGCACAAAATTATTCCTTAATGATTGGGTTTGATAACCTTTATGTATGTACATGGTTTACAAGTACTCATCTGTGTTATGTTGACTTTCAAGCAAACAAAATTGGGTTTTATGCAGTGGTACACAGCAGGAGGTCGTGGGTTCAAATCCTGCACAAGTATTCTTGTGAATTCCCCCCCCCCCCCCCCAGCTCATCCCATCAAATGTGCATGGGCTACACAAAATATTAAAAATTACATCTCCCTAATTGTTGCTTGTGGTTTGTTGAAAAAACAAATCCTGAAAATTGATTTTCGTTTGTGATGTATAATTGATTCTTTTTCTTTTCTACCCATTCAGGGCCGTTGGAAAGACGTGCCTGCTCATCAGCTATACAACAAATGCTTTTCCTGGAGAGTATATCCCTACAGTGTAAGTAAATGGTGCTTGCAAAATAGTCATGAAAATATCAAAGATGCAAGGAACAAACATTCATGCATATTACAAGATTATGTAATTTTGGGAAACAAGGGACCATTTACTTGCTGCCATCTTTGTCTGGTAACCATACGCTGTTGGTGCTGAGTGGATAGTTATACCTTTAGGCACCAGTCTACGTTTTGTTTTATGCAAGCATCTCTCCTCACTGGATGGGTTCCATTCCATGAAAATTCAATTATTTTCCCGTCTCCTAATGTTGCCACAGGTTTGACAACTACTCGGCCAATGTGATGGTGGACGGCAAGCCAGTCAACTTGGGATTGTGGGACACGGCGGGACAAGAGGACTACGACAGACTCAGGCCGCTCTCCTATCCACAGACGGTAAGTTCTTGAACAAGCGAGGGCAGTGTCAAGTGCTTATTTAACAAGCCATTGAAATACATGCGCTTGCTTCATTGGATCTATGCACGTAGCACTTGGCCCTCAACTGGCAAAATAAAGCGTGAATTAGTGTGTGCCCTTCATTTACCTTGAATCCAAATACATGTACATGTAAGGCATTGTGAAAATTCATTGTGAGGAGTTTGACTTGTAAACAAACCCTAAGCAAAACACTAGAAGATATCAATTTCAGTTGAATAAAAACAAAAATGATACTTTGTTCTCTCTCTTTTCAGGATATATTCCTCATCTGTTTCTCCGTCGTCAGTCCGGTGTCGTATGAAAATGTCAGAGCAAAGGTAAGAATAAGATTAATATCCCCCATACATGTAAGTCCATCAAACGGCAGGAAAAACTATTTTTCCCAACGGAAAGTCTGACTTTCTAACTCAATTTAATAAAGGTAGTGACATTTGGAGATATCTCTGGTTACACCCATACAACTTGTTTACGGCATTAGTGTTTTAGCCCACATACAACCACAAAACAGTACTATACCCACAAAAAAGCCAACCGGATGGCAGATGGTTCTTGAGACAATAGACGTCTGGGATGAACGAGTTCTAATTTCACGCCTGACTGGACATTTAGGACTAGCTGTCAACAAGATCGGCTAAACTGGCCATAAATAGTGACGAGTTGCATGGTCATTGCACGTGTTTCTGTCACTCTCACACAGTATTGTCATAATCGATTCAATTCAGTTAAATTTGTTTTTATTGTCTACATTAAGAACAGAAATTTGGTGCCTACTAATGTATCTTACATTACAATATGTCAGTGTTGTTATATGGACCCTGCTGTAGTCATGTTAAATAAAAGTCTTTCATTTTGTGGACTTTCAGACTGTTGGGGGGAGGAATGAAAATTTCTGGTCTGGAGAAATGGAGACATATTTAAGAATTTTCAGGGAAGTCTTTTAAAATGTAGGGAAAAAATGCTTGGAAATTTCAGACACACAAATGTGATGAAATTTTGCTCTGAAGTGTGAGACGTGTCCTACAACACATTTTTTTGCAGACTGAATACTTACTATTACATGTAGTAATCAATATTTACAAACCCACAAGACATGACATATATTTCACACAATACGTCTCAAATGCTTCCTGCCTATACATGTAAAATTATTCTGTAGGATTAATTCTGGCTTTGGTCTTGACCTTGAACTGTTTTTGTGTTTCCCCATTCACAATTGTTGGTGCCCCACTGTGATTTCACAGCTTCCCACTCGCACCACATGCAGTTCCTTTGGCTGCAGATTTTCAGAAATAGTTCCCATGTGTGACAGCATGCCAATTTGCACATTTATAACCACATGTGGTATGCAGACATGTACATGTACAGAACGTGCTTATATTCAAAGAAATATATTAATAAGCTTTTAATCTTCTATGTACATGTATACTATGTCGAAGTTTGAGGAATTTGTATACTTATCTATGATTTTCTGAAACTTCAGTGTTTTATAAAAAAAAATAATGTAAGCTTTGAAAAATACATTTAAACCAACCAAAGTATCTAACAGAATTAGTCAACTTTTAGCCATACATGTGTGTCTTGTTCCAGAGTAATTGTAGAAAGACAAATGGAATTAAAACTTGGGCTTACTGAGTATTCGATCTTGTTTTTATTTCAGTGGGCACCGGAAGTTAGACATCACTGTCCGCAAGCTCCCATAATCCTCGTGGGTACTAAGCTGGATCTGCGGGACAACCAGGAGACGATAGACAAACTGAAGGAACGCAATCTCCATCCAATCAAGTTTCAAGATGTAGGACATGTTTAATATTTACGGTTCATTCATGACGAATGTTGCATGAATGGTCGAACAATGATCAAACATGGCAACATGTCTTGGTGCTGGTTCACTGCTGTACATTATGCAACACGCTGATATTGGTAACCAGCCTTGCAAGTTGCAACCATCTTGGGTAGGCTGGTTCCGAATAGTTGTCTAGACTAGTCCAGCTATAGTCAACTAGCATGTGTTTGAGTAAAATTAACTGAACCATGAAGCTTGATGTAATGTTGCAGATATTTGATCATAGTTCTACCAAAAACATTTGCATTTTAAAATTAGCTCAAAGGTGTTATGGTTCATTTCACTTCACGTCATTGTTGTCTTGAACATGATGGGACATATTTTCACTGAAGTGCCCCAGAGTTTACCATGTTAATAGACCCTTCCCCGGTATGCCATCATTCTTAACGTGTGATACCACTACACGTGAACCAGTGAGGTAAACACTGGTTCCCACCCCTCTAATCAATGTAAATGTTGTGGAGGGGGCCTGGGAACCAGTCACAAGCTATTCAAATGAACTGTTACAGAGGCATTTTTTTCATTGTTCGTCCTTTTTGTGCGATTTGGCTTGTAACACTGTCTTCACATTTAATCAGTTATTTTTCTTGCGTTTGATTTCTGTATCATCCACAGGGCATCCAGATGAATAAAGAAATTGGCGGCGTCAAGTATCTAGAATGCTCGGCCCTGACGCAGAAAGGTCTCAAGATGGTCTTTGAGGAAGCAATACGGGTCGTGCTCTACCCTCCTAAGATGCCCAAAAAGAAGAAACCCAAATGCTTAGTGCTATGAAGTGGTGTCCGTTGTAGAATAGTGTACGTAGCATGGGAGTAGGACTTAAACTGGGCCACTTCTGAAATCTCGGCTTGTCTTCAACTTGGGCTCCATAGAAGTCGATGCTGAAGACAAAGTCAAGGTTTGAGAAAAGGCCTTTGTGTGATATTTTTGTTTAAAATGCCTTGACCTTCTTCCCATAGGTCGAAGCAGGTAGGGTGATACTAAGTAGTAAGGATCAGTGGTATTGCATGATGGGATCATACATCATGGGAACAAGGTTAGATCTGGATTTGTATTGGTGTCTTCAGAACTAATGAGGGCGCTATGAATTATCAGATATTTTCTGCTTGTGTATGTTTTGTTTTCAAAATTGGAAATGCTTTTTATTTGCGGATACCTCAAAGAGGGCCAAATACTTTTTTTAAGTCGTGTGCAAAAGTATTAGTTTGTAAAATGACAACATTCTGAAGTTAATCTGGGGTTGTATTCAAAGGGAATTTTTACCTAAAAGGACAATGAGAAAACACAGAGATCATGCAAAACACTTATCACTTAACTTTCAGTCTGTTGCAACTACCATTTACTTAATCCAACTCATGTATTCACACATGTATTCTGTTGCTGCACTAATTTACTGACAAATTCATGTAAAATTAACACAATGGAAATATCTATGATAATTTAATCCAACTAGAATTTTATATAATATTTTGGCATCCACAACGCTGTGTTAGTTACATTGAGCACTTTCAGTCATTACAAAGTGAAAAGAGAAAAACATTTTCTGTCTTTTTCCTTTAACAGGAAACTTAACATGGCCATACTCCACGTCAAAACGGCACTTGTAAATATAACAAATATAACCACCATGCTGCCCAGTTCAATGTGTATTCAATGAAATTTTGAAGCCTGCCTTTTAAAAAGTAGAACATCCCTGAAAGTGTGTATAGCAATTGGTGTAGTCACATTTCATGGACAGCTCAGCCTGCACGCCCTCAATGTGCAAATGTATTCAAATTGGCAAGTCAGGCCGTTTCCGAACTGCTTGGCTACGGCTTGAAATAACACAGAAGCCTATGGGAAGTGGCTGCAGCCACTAGCCAGTGGCTGCCATAGGTGCACGTGTTACATGTATTTCCTGCTGAAGAGCCTTGACTGTAAATTGTGTTGTCTATTGTCAATAGAGGGCGCCCTTCATGTCTTACAGCCATACATTTTGCACTTGCAGCTTACAGCAAAAAAATCAGGAAAAAATATTAAATCATTTTGAACTGAATTAAAGTTTTCTCAGATGATCCCTGGAACATTCCATTATCTCCAGACACAGCTGAAAGAAAGAGGAATGTTCCATTGAATTACCAAGGGTAGTTTCAATGCAAGACAAGTCAAAAGCGCATCGCCATTATTCAATTTTTTGGGTTTTTTGTTTTATTTTTCTTGACGTTTGAGAAAATAAAATTGAAATGGTAGTCCTTAGACCAAAAAGGTGCTATTTTGTGATGATTAAAATTGCTCTTCCATATAAATAGTATTCACGAGACAGTATGAATAATAAAGAAATTATGAAATTCACCAGTGCTGTCTAACAATCAATAACAAATGAAAGGTTTAGGAACTAGATATATTGTATGGTATTCAGTCCGATGTTTTCTGTCTTATGAACACGGTGGAGTTTTAAGCAATCGAGTATCACAGATAAGATTGTGAATTGTTGCAATCTGCCTCCATTGACATTCATGGTTCAACCTTTCACCACTGAGGGCGCTTTTACACCAAACGCATTGCTGTGGTGAACTGCATGCACTTTTTTTCGTACAGTGTTGACTTCGCCGGTTTGTATTTTTGCCTCCTTTAACCACGTTAGTTTCTTGTGTCGATACATGATAAACTTAGTTTGTCCGGCCACAACTTTTTTCACCTCGGAAGGGGTGTTTGTAAATACGTATATATATAAAAGGACTGAATGAACAAAATCTTGTAATATACTGTAGTATTCCAGTCAGTGTGTTGCTGTGTGAAGCCTATTGATTCACCGATTGATTGGAATTTTAAAATTATTTGAAAAGCTTCTTGCAAGCATTCGGTGGGCCAGTTCATATTTGGGTGGAAGCAAATGCAAACCTGAACCTGACTTGGCAGTAAGTGGTAGTACTGTGAATTTGCAAAAGGTTTTTGCCCGGAATATTCAATCAGACAAAAAGAAATACATTTTATGCCTAAATTAAAGCATAACAAATGTTTAGTAAAAAAAGTGCACCCAAAAGATTGACATTTCGTAAATTAAAGTTTGTCTACATTTTGTTACTGTATTCCATTATTTTGCACGCACAGACACACATCAAAAATTTTGTATGCAAATGAAGTTGTGTTGACAAAACTCGTTAACTGATTTAGTTGCTTCTTGAAGTAAAAGATTTCGTTCAAAAGTGCTTTTATGTAATCGCTTCCTTGCTGTTTGTGTGTGCCCATAAGTAAAATCCTAAACATTTTCAAAGCTCGCGGTAATTGTCCAAAGAAGAGCTTTTTGAGGTTGAAATGTTAGCTTCACAATGCCATTTGCAGTTGAGAGCTTGGAAATGTTCCTTTTCTTTCAAAACATTTTTGATAATTTTTAAGTCATTTAAAGCCAGAATGCAATGCTTTGCTATGCATAAATCTGAATTTCAACTGTTTGGATAAGTATTCTTAAAAAGCAAAATTTTTATTCGAAAAAAAAAGTGATTTTGTGTTCTAGATAAAAGGTTGAAGGAAGATGGCAGCGACTTAAGCCTTAAACTTTCAAGGTTTGATTCTTAACAGATGTGTGTAAATAACAGAGCATGTTGTATGGATGCAACTATTGTAGGAATATAGAATTACTGTACATTTGCATTTTGAATTGCATGCTGTAGCTATTCAAGGAACACAGTATTCAAAATATTCACCATTTTACGTAATTTTTAAACCTTTGCAGGTAAAAATTGAAACTGACGTTTTTAAGTTAAGGTTTTCTCTTTTGTTTTTGTATGTTATGTTCATTCTATTCTTTGAAATCCAATTTCTGACAGCTGACAGTCATGATAAGAAAAGAAAAGTTCTGCTTCGAGAGTCGAGCTATGTAGTCATCTAAAATGTCACGACTTTCTGTCCGTTTTACCCAACAAAATTGGCAAAAGCTTCTACTTTAAAATGATGAAAAACACTTACCTATCTCACATGAGTTACTTGTGAGAAATGAGTGTGCTTTTCTCCATTTTGAGCTGGTCAATTCCCGATGAGCCAATCACAAGGCTCCTTGCTACTGACATGCACTGTACATTTTGCAAGGAGCGTTGTGATTGGTCTCTGCCATCAATGCCTGGTTGGTGACTTCCAGGACTGTTTTTCATTGGTCAGTAGTGTGAGCACACTTTTTGATTTGAAAAGCCTTATCAACAACCACAGGCACATTTGTGTGCATGCATGTACATGTAGTTAACCTAAAGCCAATGAAAAGGCTTATTGTTTCTGACATGCTCTGTACATTTTGCAAGGAGCATTATGATTGGTCTCTGCCATCAATGCTTGGTTGGTGACTCCCAGGGCTGGTTTTCATTGGTCAGTAGTGTGAACACACTGTTTCTAACAGCCTTACCACATGCACATAAACTTTGTGCATGCATGTACAGTACATGTAGTTAACATTCATTTGTGGCAGTTTTGAATTAGAAAATACTCTACGCATGGATATGTATGAATTTATGTACATGAACACAAGATAAAGTCCAACTTTAATACATTTTGTGTTGCTTATTTTTGAGGAAAAAACCTAGTATTCCATGTAGAAAACCAGCAAATTCATTGGCTTTAAAAGGCAACAATTTGTAAATTACATTTCACAAGTTCAGACGCTCCAAAAACTTGCTCGCTGCCATTGTGTTCTATAATTTGTCATTCGTTCTGTTTGAATAAATTGAAATAATCTGTAAATGTTGTCTAGTGTGCATTCTTGCTTACATGTTTGACAATTTCCCTCCATTTTGAGTTAACAGGTTACAAAGTGTGCTTAATTAAATAGTGTTTTTGTTTTAATTTCTAGTTTTGTAATGTCTCACTGTTTATACAATGTACATCTTGATTGCTTTGGAAACATGTTTCTGTGCAACAATAATGACACAAACAAAACCACTATGTGGACAACTATTGAGTGAAATTTGATATTTATTATCAAATCATTAATATACGATATTTCACTTGAACAAAAATTACCTTTTATGGTATCCATTAAGAATAATTCCATTACAATCTGGCTTGTTTTAATAAAGCTCTTACAAACAGCATACAAAAGTTAGCTCCTTTGTTCCCACGACTGTCAGAATCGTTCAACAACTCCCCCAAGTTAAATTCTACTTTACAATGCCCCGTTATCGCGCTACACTGTATAATCTAGTCTACAATTACAAGATTAGTATTTATTTTATAGCGCCGAGGCAAAATACCATCGAATAAGCAATTTTGTACATTTTACATGCTCTCCGTACTTGGATTATATATTCATGGTTTCTGTGACTTGATGGGCATACAGCAGCATCTCAGCAGTGCGGTCGTGGTTCTGGTACAAGACTCTTCCCTCAGTACTTATGTGGTCAAGTACATATGTAGTCCAGTCCTTTGTTGCCTCCCAAAGTCTTGAAACCAGACCACAACATCACTGCTTGGAATGTCACCCTTACTCTTTTAAATGCAGAGCCCCTATGGTAAGGTGTTTAAAGTTTGCGGGGATTGATAATCCACAAAACATTTTTTTTTTCTATTGTGCAAATGCAGTCAATAGTACATCTACAAAGTAAAATACCCTCAACAGAACAAGTCATGGAACGCATTAATATTGAAGTTGAAAACTTGAGTAAAACACAAGAGAAAACTATAAGTTTTGATGGGCTTTTTGTGCTAGTTATAAATTCAAAATTGGTTGAAAAGTCTGACCATTTTTTTAAAAGATTTTGGAAATTTTGGTTTTTAGTGACCATGCCGGCTACAAGTGACCAGAACTTGGTGGAAGGCCGTAGCAGAAGAAAAACATCGTATATTAAACTTTTTCGATTTGCCAAATGTTAATCAACCAAAAAGTTTCAAGCCTGAAAATAGTGATTTTATCTTTTGTAAAATGTTGATTTTTACGAATTTCTTTTTCAATCGTGTCAGCCGCAAAAAAATGAATCATCCTTTTATGTTAATACAAAAATCCCCAACACTGAATTGTCCCACAGCTTGCCTGCAATTCACCCACAAATTTCAACACTTTGGTTTGCACAAAGCGTACAATAAACTGAGGAAAAACAGTCAGTTAATCATACCTCTAGCACAATATGTACAGAAGAGAGCAATATTCATCCAGCTACATTTATGATTACAAGGCCGTCTATTTATTATATTTGTAATATTCAACTATGATAAATATTAGCGTGAGATATCAAAAACATACAAACGGTGTGCTGAACTTAAAAACAGATTTTCACCCCAAAAATAGGATCTGGAGTTGAAATATCAATCGGCAATCACTGCTCAAAAGCCACCAACTACCAAAGACTTACAAAAACAATTTCCCAAACCAAAATGACGACAAAATCTCCACAACAAACTCTTTATACATGGAGTAAATGTTTCATTATCTTATTATTGTCTATTTTTATACCTGTTTTCCATTTTTTTTTTTTTTACAAGAAATGCTCCTGATCCCAATCTTCAATTGGTCTATTTAATGTTTCGAATTAATTCCCTATGCCGACATTCATATATCACAGAAAATCCTGTCAAACATTAAATGTGTGCTTTCTGGTGATGTAGGTACAGTCGACTCTCGTTAGTACAAACTCTGTTAATACAAAATTCTGGTTATAACAAACATAAAGCCACGGTCCCGACTGTGCATTTATGTGCACAATGAATGGGACTGATGTTCCTCTTAATACAAAATTCTGATATAACAAACAATTTGGCTAGGTCCGAACGAGTTTGTTATAACGAGAGTCGACTGTACATATATCAGAAATCGACTGATGAATATGCATCACCATGCGCAACAAATGTCTATCCTTACAAAATAAAAAGCATTCCAGAAAGCGTTACCATGGTTATCCTTGTGTTGCACATTTTACACTGAGCTTCATTCCCAGAATGCTTTGCAACACCTCCAACTGCACATGACCTGCAGGAACGCACTCCTCTTTGGAAAGCATTATGGGAAGTCCGCGACGCACTCCATTACAAGCAAAAGCTTTTGACGTCCTGGCATAAAACACCAGTCCATAGCGACACCAACCAATGACCAATCAATTTCTATATTTTGATTGAAAAACAGGTGTACACTACAACACGTACATGGGGAAAAAGACATTAAACTCTACAAGCTAAAAATTCCTGCATTCAATGATATTATTATAGTATTGGTATTCCAGAAATATCATTTTTTTATTTACTTTTAATTTTTTTGTAATTTTTTTATTTATTTTTTTATTTTTTACAAAAGGTCGTTGCCTTGTTTGATTGGTTATAAACACAATGGAAAAGTAAAAATTAGCAAAAAGTGTTGCTGTAATGTGCCCACGAATATAACCTTTGAACAAACAGCATGACAAGGAAGAATTTGTAGCGGGAAGAAAATACTTGTTTCCATGACAACAATACTTGAAAGATTAAACAATTTTTTTTACTGATATTTGACACATCATTGGGGAAAATGCAGCAAAAGACATTCCTTGTACTAGAATTCAAACTGTCATCGGCAAAACAAAATACTTAAAACAAATGACAAACGATGTTCTGAGAAAAAGTGGAAAGTAAAATGTGTTGCCAATATATTCCAAAATATAGTATTATTAGATACTTCTGGATCTACGCATGATATGGTCGATTTGAAAGCTCCGACTCATTTGGTCCTTGAACTTACTGCAGGAATTCCCAGTTGAAAGTTCAATGGTTCTAAAAAAAATATTTGTGTTATTGTGAAAGTTTAAATTTCAAACAGGAGAGGTAGAGAATGTCTTCATTCACAATTTTTTTTAAAAACTATGGGGGAAAAAGATGAAGTAGTTGATTCTCTGGGAATTTTTTCAAAATTGATATAAAAGGAAAAATGCATGCACATGCTATGTCTTACAGATATTAAAATTTTAAATAGTGATGTTAATCATGTATTTAATAAGGGGTCATATATTGTACTAATTACATAAATTATATAAAAAGGAATGATAGTAATTGTGGTGGAAGAGCAAAATGCATTTGCGCAATATTTGTAGGTTCGATCAGATGAATCTGATATTGCAATGTTGCGTGAATGCAACAAGTATGTTGCAATCAATGCAACACACTTGTTGCTTTCATGCAACATTAATTCCTACCTGGGTCCCAGGTGTATACTCAGTTGAAAAAACCTTGAGATGTGGCATTTTGCATGGTCATCAACAATGGGACTTTACAACCAACAGAATTTGATTTGCTAAAAGTGCAGCCGTCAACTTTGCAGCCGTATGCTTAATTGTCAGAGAACTTACCCTGGTCAAATGTTGTTTAAGTGACCCCAAATTTCATTGTTTTCATACAATATCGTTTAGAGAAATGGTTTCACTCATTGATTTGTGTATACTCAAAGGTAATGCTGCAGTAACAACTAAAAAGCAAGGTCTGTAGGTTCAACAGAATTTGAACATGAAACACCAAAAATACAAAAAATTAAGTTGTGACTGAAGCCCCATTATGCTAAAAAAAAGTTTGACAACTTGACCCTACCCTCTCACCCCTCATCCCTACCCCACGACACGCCTCTGGACTTCCTTGAGGGTTGGTCTGTTTGTTTTGTCTAATGCAAGACAAGCACGGCACGCCGGTTTCATGATGACTAGGTGAAGGGGTTTGGGATTTATATCAAGCTGCATTTGGGCCCTTTTTTCTTGGGCTGTTTTGGGGGACACAAGACAGCTCTGATGGCTTCGTCAAACACTGTCTTCAGGCCTTTCTGCGTCAGGGCCGAGCACTCCAGAAACTTGACCGCGTTGATCTCTTTACACATTTGTAGCCCCTGTATGACAACAACACACAAAAATAATATCTCCTTTAAATTTTGGTTGATGAGTCCTTTATAACGGACTCGGTGCACGAACAGTTGATGGCATCTGTGATCACTTTCTAGAGCCCCAAGTAGGACAGACACACTGTGTGCACCTGCTGATTTGTTCCTGTACAGCACAACTAATTGTATCATGACTGTGAGCGTCTTTGCGTGAGCAACAGGCAGGCTGGCAGCAATGCATTAAGTCTCTCTCAGAAGTCTCTCCCAACTCTCTCTTTGTAACCAGGCGAGGGGGTACTTGTGCACAGAGTCCGTAAGGTAGAAACATGACACAAATATAACATGGTTTATTTCGGGTGGATAGTCGGAAATTAGGAACTAGTTTGTCAACAGAGGGGAGCTAATATCGACTTCCCACCCGAAATACCATGTTATATTTGTTTTACTATACCTCATACATATTCGCATTGTGGACAACTTTTTTTAGTAGAGGAGGCATCTTCATTGTCCACAATATTCTCCAGTTCGGCATCACTGAGCTCAGGAAAAAGATGATTAACATTTATGTGTGCCATAATATTTTCATGTGTAGCTTGGGCGATGTTCGCTTACTACACCCATGTGATAGTTCCACGATTGCTTTGTAATGCGCATACGTAGTGGACAGTGCGCTAGTCTACTATGCATGCGTATTTACCCTGTGCGTGAATACTCTTGTGCGCGCTTGGTAAACAGCAAAAATAGCAGCCGGCACGGTGATGGTAAATGGACCAGTGAGCATTCGGCTCTTGATCATGAATATGTATGAGGTATAGTAAAATCCTTTTAAGCCAATGGATTTTGCACAGATCATGTTAGGTGGTGGTGTCTGGTTTAATAAGAGCCAGTTAAGGACTCATCAAATGTGTGCACTGGTTTGCGCTTGCAGTGACTTGTACATGGACGTGTAAAGCACGGAGTAGTCTGGACTAAGGTAGATCTCATTGAGCTAATTAAATCAAACTAGTTGTTTCCAAAATGTGAAATCTCAGACTCTGCAGCAGCTGCGACTGCCTCGTTAACTTGGTCAGGGTTGTGTGAACATGGGTCAGCAGAGTATTCAAATTGGACAGTTATCGGCAACAGCAGAATTCAGCAGACAGTCTTCAGACAGACTGCACTGTGATGGCAGAATAGTCCTGAGTCATGACAATGTCACGCTTTGTTTACACTTCGGCTTTCTTATGAAGCTCAGTGCTTCTCATCCCCACCTGGCTCCCATAAAAAAGCGCACATGTAAACAAAGAGTGACGTCCTGTCTCAGGACTATTCTGCAAACTATCTGCAAGCTCTTTTAGTTTGCCCCTTAAGCCAATCCTGCCTGTGTTGAGACAAATATTCTGACCTGGGTGTAAGTAATTGGGGACAATCTCTTCTCCTTGAGTTTCTCGGTGGCTTCCTTGTCATCTCGTAGATCCAGCTTAGTCCCCACTAAGATGATGGGCGTGTTGGGGCAGTGATGGTTCACCTCTGGGTTCCACTTGGCTCGGACGTTCTCGAAAGAAGCGGGGCTCATGAGAGAGAAGCAGATAAGGAAGACATCCTGTAGGGGGGAAAAAGGAAAACTCATGAAAACACCTCTTCCATTACAGTTATTATTTTTTTTCTATAAAATCATAACCCTTACAAGTGATAGCGAGTCCTCACAAGTCCATCACAATCTTCCAGCCTCAATTCAAGTCGTAAGCTATTCAAATGAACCGTGACTTAGGCATTCCTTAGGATTTGTTCATCCTTTGTTTCTTGTGACTGGACTTATGAAAGGACTTGTGATTTACTGGACATTAGATTTTTGTTTGAGCAAAGCCTAGCATCCTCCAAAATCTGCCGAGACTGCAGTACACATTTTGGAAGTATATTAGGGAGCATTATGGATTGTATTTGAGTAGGGTTACACAGTTTCTGACGTTTGGGCTTACTGTCTGTGGATAGGAGAGTGGCCTGAGTCTGTCGTAGTCCTCCTGTCCCGCCGTATCCCACAATCCCAAGTTGACCGGCTTGCCATCCACCATCACATTGGCCGAGTAGTTGTCAAAACTGCAGAACCAAATATGGATAAAATTTATTAAATACATTTAAGCTAAGAAGGGTGCCAGTATATTTGCTAAATGATTATAGAGAAATACAACTTTACAATTAACAGTAACTCCCTGGTTTACTATATCCTTCCTGAATTCTCCATCATCTTCTCCTGTGCACTAAACCGATCGTGTGTGTGCTTCAAATTCAAACGTCATCAAGTCTTAAGTAAAGTAACAGCAGCCTGGATCTACCTTCCACAAATCTTACTAAATCTTCCAAAACCACTTTGAGAACTGTTAACAAGTTGGGAGGGTTGGGGAAAATTTAAAAACGTTTACACATTTTTGCTCAGCCACCTTTATGAAATACTGATGTAAAAGAATAACCCTTGATAAAACAATAGTGTTTATATTAGCGTTACTTTTTCCTGGGTCCAAGAGTTATCGCCCTCTCTAAAGTCAAAACAGACAATTGGTTGTTGTTGTTTTTGGAAAACCATGGCATTTCATGGTTCCATTAAGTACACATACATTAAAACATTTAGATCAAATTTTTCTCCACATTTTTATTTGTGTGGTCCCAGATAATGTGGGTATTGACATACAGTAATTTGAGCTTTTGAATAAGTAATCAATGCGACCGGTTCTAGAAGAATGACATGTTTGCAATGGGAAACCATGACACACAATCCAAACAGACAAAAAATACATCATGAAAAATATGATAATCTCATCCAAACGATCCTAATATGCAGGAAGTTTGAGCCCACAAATCAGGAACTAGCGCCAAATGTCCTTGGAACACATGCACATGTACTTTTTAACAGCACCGCTCGATATTATTCAATTTACAGTGAATTTCTAAAACCTAGAGCCGGTCCCTGTTTGTCACTTCAAGTTTCTTTTGCTGTTAGTAATGTATACATCTTATTCCTGACAACTGAGGGCGCTATTGCTGGTACTCACTTTAAAGTTGATGGATTTTCAGTCTAAAGGTTTTAGAGTATTATGAATAAATACGTTGTACCAGTAACAAGTAACTAACACTCTCTTAATTTTTTTGTTAGTTACAGAAGTTGTGACTTGAAAGTTGACACAAAATGACACTGCTGCATTTCAAGAAATTTTGAAATGCCAACATGAACTTCCTCTTCTAATCAGTATTTTGATAAGTGGCAAAACATTTACCGAAAAAAAATACATCATTTATTCACGGGCTTTATGTGCAAATATCAGACAGACAATTATTGATATGTGTGGTTAAGTGTTGCTTTTGTTCCGGTTTGCAAAATGTACATGAAACAATGTCACTTCAACACCGATAAGCCTGCCACTTCCTGCAACTTAGTGGAACAACTGTTGAAGTATTTAACCCTATGTATCCCCTTTACGGAAATCAAACACTATTCTTATGATTCAACCCATCCTCTGTTACTTTTGTATTGACCTTGGTTCTCTGACACAAGGCTATAGCATTGGGTTTACAGCACAGTGTTAGAGTTTGGAGGATTCGGGGAGATTCCCATCAACAATTCCAAGGGAGTTAGGGGAAGGTTTTACCTTTTTGTGAATCTAGTCACAAATTCAACAAGTTAAGTGAAAGTTTACTTACACTGTGGGGATGTACTCTCCCGGAAAAGCATTCGTTGTGTAGCTGATGAGCAGACATGTCTTACCAACAGCTCTGTGGAGATACAGACAAAAAGAAGCAAAGTTGAGAAAACATTGGATCCGTGTCGGAGGTTTGTTCGAACATTGGATGTTGCAATGTTTCTCTTTGGCCATGTTGGTACATACAGAAAAATCACTAATGCTGCATGAATATCTCACTCAGATTATTATGTGGACAGAGAACAGGCTATATGTTATAGTCCTTATGACCTCTGATGCTGGGTCAATGTAATGTCAATATTCACATGTGCACAATTAAGTATGGTGTTCAACACATACGTAAGAACCCTGGCCAATCGAACAACGGAGAAGTGTATCGTCAGGTGCATAGCAACCAGTAAGGTTTCAGAAGGTTTGAAGGAATCATCTGCCCTGTGTATATGAACATGTAAATGTACATGTATGAAGGCATGTCTCCAGTCTAATACAGTCAGTGTATCACACAGTTCAAAAGGATGGCTAGGACATTATGATGAACTCATCACTATACTGCTGGAGTTCATGTGTGATATGCCCCAATAATGACTAACACATGGCCCTCTCACATCACCCGCCAATGTAGAGCACATGTACAAAAACTAGTAGACTGGCAGAGATCTGAATGTTTTTAATGTCTCACATTTTTTTAAGGGGGGGGGGGTTACCAATGCCCCCCCCCCTCCCCCAAGATTTCGGCTGTGGAAAGACAGATTTATTGAAATTAGGTGAGCCTTTAAAGGCCTGGTGGTGAATGATATGGGGAAAATGAAGTTGGTTTAACCTAGCTCTTTCAGATTTTGAATGGCATTCAAAAGACTGAATGTGGTGAACTGCCCCGACCACAAAATGGTGAATGCCAGGAATTCACATCACAATAAATTCCACAAAACTTACCTTGCCTAAGTGCATGGAGGAAGGACTATTGTTGATTTTTTTTATGAATTCTGGTTTCGTGTTCTGACCTCAGTTGACCAAAATGGTCACATGCTCCCACAGTGCATGCTTTAGATATGTAAAAATCTACTGAACTTTATTGTTCATCGATACATGTATTCAAACAAGAAAGAATGTTACAAATGGGACTGAAGTTTCCGCCACATTTTGTACTTAAGTTCCTGTACACATTTCTACTGTTATGATTTACATTTGCAGGTACGGTGATTATTCAAGGGTTGTTTGTTCCTTCAAGACATGAAGTAATTAACACCTGCAACTTCACTTCCTGTATACATACTAGATTATCCAACATCATACTTTCTTTTAAATGTTGTACATGTAAACATCATGTGTACATATGCACATGTGTACATGTATGTATGTATGTAAAGTACAGTTACTTGTAAAACATTTAATCCAGATAAAAATAACTATACTTAGTACAGTGTACATGTATCTTTTTCACCATGTGCAACGCAGTGGAATACATTTGGTAATTATTTTACATATTTTGGCGTGCTCATACACAAGTTATTTTTATAAATGCCTTGCAAATGCAATTAGACCACACATGTCCGTTTCATTCCCTCAAGGCAACGTTTGGCTTTTGGAGTTATTAAAACGCCTCATCTGGCAAGGATGTAGGCATCCAACCATCAAGAAAGGGAAAAAGCTAACTGACGCAGCGTGAAAAATGATGTTGTTCCAAGATGTTGGACTTATTTTCAAGGAGACAAGATGATGTGCTGAGGACAGACAGCAATGAGGCATAAATACAGGTACTTTGCAGATGCTGATCTCTTGCCACGGTAAACTACTGGGAATTCTACTTGACTAATCTGATTGCCGCACTTACAAGACATTGAGGTGATGCCTCAGGGGCATGGCACATGCGTTCTAACATAAGGCATTTTAGTAATCTTACTGGCCAAAAGGAGCATTCCACTGCACATGTAGTATTTATGCCCTGCATGAGAGCGTGGTGCCACCTTCGACATCTCTGTTAATTGTGGTCACTGGATTTGATTTTAAAAGTAATTTCTATTCTTTGCAAATTACTAAAATTTGACTGAAATTTTGATAGATGAGGCAGCACTTGAGGCAAAACCGACTGCACAGGATTTTTTTTTGGGGGGGGGTATGTTTATGTTTTGCTTGCATACATGTATTGTTTGCATTGCATGCTACATGCACTATGCCTAAATGGAAATAAATTTAATAGGTCCACTGTCTCTAAGTTTTTGTACTGTCAGCAGCGTTCAGCCTCAGGCCTGCTCTTTTCTTTTTTCTCTCCAATAATGCAGCAATCCAGTAACTTTGCCAAGTGGACAAATTACAATAATTGATTGAATTTGTCACAGTAGAGATCTAATACGCTGCACTGCTGGCATAGTTATAGACTGACAACGTGCATATATCATATACAGAGTAAACATACATGTACAATGTACAATATAACATGTGCATGTACTGTGCAATACAGTGTGCACATGTGCAATATACATGTATACTGCACTGACCAGGAAGTGATATAGTAGAGGAAGTAAACGCACATCTATCATGCATGCACAATAATAGGATGTCCTGTCTTGGCAACTATTATTGTTGGAATTGTTTGGCTTCATAAAGAAATGCAAGACTGGGGGGATTTTCCTAATTATCCCACTTATTGTCATGGGTATTCTAGAGAATCAATGTCAAAAGTTCAAATACAGAGCAGCAAAACTGCTGAAATATGCATTTTCTGCATGTGAACAATTGATACAGACATTGAAGAGAAACGCATTGGGAAGATTTCCATACATGGACATCACTAGTATTTCCCTGCAGTGACCTGTCAGCCATCAGAAAGCGATAACATGTCATAAAAAGTCAAATATAGCACGGCAAATATTGAAGCATTTACTGACAAAACACTTGGAATTTTTCAGACCAGTCCCATAGGGTGTGTACACAGGGTGTCAAGTGATGTCCAGGTATGGAACTCTTTCCACTGCATTTTTAGTACTTAAATATTCCAAGGTTCTTTCTTCTTGACTTGGAAGTCATATTTCAATTCACTTTTTTTCAAATGATTATAAAATAAAGTATTCCTCAAAAAAATGTAACCTTGCCTTTGTCTATAACACAAAGGGTGTCAACAGTCAAGAATGACTATTCTCAGGGGGCTTAAACATAAAATACGGAGAGTGCAGCTGGAATCTACATAGTGGTGAAACAGTCCTTTGTATTCAGTCAACTATTAGAAGTTTTTTTCCTGTGCAAGAACAAAACACCCAGTTTAAAGCACTCAAGCAGACTGGGCTGACTTGGTCCCGGAAACGCACATCTGCAACACTTCCTCCATGTCACAGAAAGGCAACGAGGGATTGTGCCACACATCCTCAACCCATAAGACCAGACTTGTAAAGCCAGCCGAAGGACAATGGCTGTGGCCAAAAGCCACTGGAAATTTTACAGTGTACCGGTATTTTCCATGTACATTTTACTAAGAGTGCAATGAGAAGCTCTTTTGGATAGTACAGCTCGGAGAAGTTTGTTGATGCACTATGTTTGAAATGACTAACTCTAAAACAAGAAATTGTTATTACATGTCTAGTAAGGCCGAGAAAAACAAATGTGTGTTTACGGTACCGCCCTAAAAAATAACCAGGTAGATGGGGAGGAATTTAATTCTATTCTGTAACTTTAATTTTTTCGGTTGTTTTTTTGTTCTTTTATACTTACTTTGTTTACTTTACGGTAATCACTTCAGCCAGTGATCTGCAAATGTTTAGTTACTTGTACGATAATAGTTTATGTTATGTATGAGAGAAATTGCTGCTTTCTATGGAAAAATAAACAATTCTAGCATGAAGTCAAGCACGTTCTTTATGTAAATGAAACTAAATGTTTGCGTACAGGTATGTCTTTCACAAATGTAGTTTGACCTTGAATTGCTTTGTTAACATTGTGCACATGTACAGTGTACTACATGCACCTAAAGGGCAGTTCCATGGCATGGAGTCAGACTTACATGTACTGTACATGTATACGTGTACACTTAGGACAATTAAACAGTGTGCATAAAAAGCTTTCACCATAAAGTGGATTTTAATTCTGATGAAACATCTCAGTTAGGTACTACAATGATTTAAAAAAGAAATAATTTGTCTAACTTTTTGGCTAAAGTAGAAATCGGCTCGAAACACTATGGTGTCAGACGTACTCGGACAAATTGACATTTCTGTGTGTAGGCCTATTTATTTTTATTTTTTTTAATTGGAAGTAACAACTGGACTTTTGAACATTGTTAGAAATACACTATATTTCATTAGAGTAGACCTAATAAGTTTCAAAATGCTACATATTTCATTTGTGACATTGGATTTGTTTAATTTTTAACATTGAGGTTTATAAATTGGTGGAATTACCCTGAAAACGGGTATCATCTTTCTTTCTTTGTTGGCTATATCAGCTGTTGTTTCAGACCTAATTCATTAACTAGTGAAAACCAGGAACCGAGAGGAAAATTGACACAAATTCCTCTAAGAGGAAACAAGACTCTCTGACAAAAATACAAAAGGAAAACCCAAACTTTGTTTGTTTGGATTCTTGTTGTTTGTTGGGGTGTTTATTTGTTTGTTTTGTTTGGCATGGGGTCATAACCTTTTGCAGAGGAGACTGATTCAGCTACATGTGTGTATTTAATAACAAAAATTTACATGTAGCTTCTTCGGAAACAAACATATCAATAACTAGTTCAAAAATAATCTTTTCGCAAAAATGTTGAAAAGACATGAATCCGGGACTGAGAAACATTTCAAATTTTGTTAAAATATACTTAGAAAATGCAGTCAACTCTCCATACACTTTCTACACAACCAATGAAGTGGCTTCTCTATACTACATTCTTTCCGGACTCAGATCTCTCTGGATTCAAAACACACATTAATCCCGACTAGCTATCGTATCGAAACACTTTGATTTACTGTAGGAATTTAAAACCACATTGGCCTACAGAATCACAATGTAGGCCTATTGAAATATGCATGATCGTTTTGATTATAACATATGTGATTAAGTTATGCGCCTATCAAATGTCCCCCCCCCCCCCAGCCCCAGGTCCGATGCCGGAGAAACAATTGATAGACGCATTAGGCCTACATGTATGTAGCTCACTAGCCATGCTAGCTGCCTATGCCTTAAAACAACAAAAAATTGTTTTTGCCACTGTTTGCTGTTACGTGCTATTTCCAACAGTTACTTCAAACAAAAAGTAACAATGAACGAGTAATTACAGCTGTAATTTACAGCCGTGATACACTCTTTTCCTAACTTTTTTTACAATTACAAATACGATAATTATATGAGCGATCCTGTAGTGTAGGGCCTGCTTCCTATATACATGATATAGGGGGGCCCGGCCTAAGGGAACAAAATCCACTTTAAAATGATTAGACCTACAAAACTAGTTGGCAACATTCTCAATAAACAGGTAATGGTATGTCACAGATAGACGGCAGGGCTTTGATTTCTGTGAGGGAAATTTGGGGGTAAATGACGATGACAGCGTGGCGACAACACGCAACCCGAAATAAAGATGGCGATCACTGCACGATGTACCGTGAGCAAGGCACAAACAGCGCAGGAAAATCGTGATCTCTACCCCAAGACACTGTTCAAAATTGCAAAACGGGTGTCATTAGAATTGAGAAAAGTCTGGTATTGATTGTACAGGTGATTTTCGAGCAATAAAAAACATTTTTGACTATAATTTCATCAAAACAAAGCAGGGGCCCTACACTACACGATCGCCATTGGCCACCCCGGCCCCGCGGTCAGAGTGCAGTGTGGCTAAAATGCACGCAAATTATGTGCAAGCAAATGGCCATCCGTATTTTTTTGCCCCCGCACCCTAGTCCGAGTAACTTGGACCCAACGTAGGGTCCAAGCCCATTCCGAGACCTAGACAACATAGTCACTGACAGTCCCAAAAACCAACATTTTCCAACACAAAACATCAGATTTCACCTTCAAAACGGCCTCCAAATTACTAGATATGCCACCTGAGGTACAAGTAGACATCGATAATTAAGATGGTTGTACTGAAGCTTACTTACGATCCGGAAAAAAAGTGAAATTTTCCGTTCATTTCGGAGAGCTCCCCTCGCGATCTTGAACACGTTAAATTTGCGATTGTGTTTAAAGTTTGAACGACGCGATTTCTTCTACATGCCCAGCGTACATTCGATGGTCCCCGTATCCCGAGTGCGATTCCGTTACCGAGCGCGCGCGATGCATCGATTATGATAATGAGTAGACTGGATCACGTTTGTAAACACATGTGCATTTCAAACGATAATAGGGAGTCGGGAACTAGCGCAGCTTTTATAGCGGGTACCAGTTCAAGCTGGTTCCTCATTCCCTTTTACAGTTCGAAATGCACATGTATGTGTTTACAAACGTGACTCATTATCATAATCGATGCATCGCGCGCGCTCGGTAACGGAATCGCACACGGGATACGGGGACCATCGAATGTACGCTGGGCATGTAGAAGAAATCGCGTCGTTCAAACTTTAAACACGATCGCAAATTTAACGTTTTCAAGATCGCGAGGGGAGCTCTCCGAAATGAACGGAAAATTTCACTTTTTTTCCGGATCGTAAGTAAGCTTCAGTACAACCATCTTAATTATCGATGTCTACTTGTACCTCAGGTGGCATATCTAGTAATTTGGAGGCCGTTTTGAAGGTGAAATCTGATGTTTTGTGTTGGAAAATGTTGGTTTTTGGGACTGTCAGTGACTGTGTTGTCTAGGTCTCGGAATGGGCTTGGACCCTACTATCGCCAGACCATGTCCAAATTTTTAAAAAGGCGATAAGTTGGGTCCAAGTTACTCGGACTACCCGCACCCCCACTTTCTGAAGTTTCTTAGTTCAACTTACCCGTCTCCAACCACGACACATTTGATGGCTTGCATTGTGAAGCACCCAGAGTCGACAGGAATGAAGAATTACAGTTGCCACCGATGCCGAAAGTGTGATTTTCCTCGGGTTTTTCGAAACGCGGAAATGCAAGAGCAATAGCCAACACGCACAGGTCGTCAGGGTGTGTGAGATTATGGTGTGAGTGAAGGGCGCCCTCTGTTGTCCAATTGATTACCTCGCGGTATTTCGTCGATTTTATGAATGCACAACTTATGAGATGACGTATTTATATACTTCGCACAGCGCAATCTAAAAATAGATTCCAACGGCAATTGGCCAATCACAGTGCATTGAATTCTCATAGGCGCGTACACCCAGTATTGTGGCAAGCCAATGTTTACATCACGAATAAAAATAAAAATATCTATATAAATGCTTCTTAAAAAATTGTCAGTGTAGTGGTAGTACATGTACACCTCTAGATGGTCATTTTTGACTTTAATAATTTGGGAAAAATTAGGTGAATTGGTTTTCCCAATTATAAAATACCTTAAAAAGGCACTAACAGAGAAAAATGCTTACAATAAAAAAATGATTATTGTCCAAACATTGTATATTGCGATAATATAAAACCATATGCCAATAAACTAAAATATTTAAACATTATAATTCAAAGCTCTTCTCTTTTTTTAAGGAAATGGCGAGATTGTCCATAAAATTGTGCAACCCTGTCCATCTTTATATTTTCACCCCATAACATCTCCAACATTACGATGTTGATCCAGTAATTGGGCTTAAAATGAGAGGATTTCTAATGCAATATCTTAAAAAAATGGACTCCAAAACTGAACAACAGAGGGCGCTATGACCCCTAACAATGAAACAATGAAGGACATTGCCCTGGTTCACCAATTGTTCGCTGTTTTTATGTGTCCTTCAATATTGGTACTCTTTCTTGTTTTCACCTCTGGGGGGTAGTTGTTAAAGCAGAATAGTTTATTTCTTCCATACATAAAAATGACAGAAATGATAAATTTAAAAGCTTTCTTGTCCAGTTTGCTAATCATAATATAGCTTTATTCATAAAAGAATAATACAAGTTCACCTAGACAAATGTACATCATTTTCAAAACCAATTTTACATGTAGTTATATTGCCCACTTAGAGAAATAAATTACCAAGATCAGTCATAATCTTCTAATACTACAATTTTAAAGAAACAAAAATTATGCCTTGCATCTACACAAAAGTACTTGCTGTCAATGTTCCTTTCCAAACGAAAAAGGTGAAAACATAGAACATTTCTCAAAGTATTTGTTGTTTTTCTTTCTTAAAAACCTACACTATGAAGCCAAATACATTTACATTTAGACCATTGTTATACAAAAGGAAAACTATAAGTTTGTTCACGGTAATTATGAATACTAAACATATTTGTTTCAAAGGCATATATCATTTGATTTTTCACCCAACTCAAACAGCTTTTCATGTGAGGAGTGATTCAAGTTAAATGAGACATCTTCAATCATTCTGAAGGAATTGTAAATATCTCAAATGAACCCACGACTAGTGCTGTGCATTTACCCGGCACCCTATTGAAGTAAAACATGGGTACCATGGTACCCATAATAGAAACCCAACCCAAAATTCAAATCCCAAGAGTTGTCTGAAGGTGAAATTTCTTTGGTTTTCCATGTAGCCTGGCTTTCATTTTGAAAATTTGCCACAAATGGCATTCAAAACCTTTCTTTTTCATTGTCTGAGAAGTTACTAAGTAATTTGTAAAGTCGATTACTGGTCAATTTTGAACCGGTTCCTGACATCAGCGGTTGGGCACTTGGATACCCGGTTCTAATGCAACGCCTACACATGACCCAACGTTTCCTATAATGTTGCTCAAAATCAAAAGTGTAAATAAACAAATATACAGATATTTATTTTTCTTTTAGAGAATCAGATTAAAAAATTAGTCAAATACAGACTACAATGTTTCATGTTTGACATTTGCACATTGTGAAACAGGATAGAACTGGATAATATGGTAAATGTGGCAGTAGAAGACAGATAGCAGAAGGTTGTAATATTTTCTTGAGCTGCCAAGAATGGAAATTTATTAAGCGTACAACTTATTTGCGTAGCTTAGCCAAGGTAGTTTACCAGCCAAAATTCCACACACTGTACATCGCTTGTGACAGCTTTTAGTAAAGTTCCCGCTTAGCACATAAATTTGGTAAGCAGTTTTTCCTACTCCTAATTTACTTCAATCGCGGCCATGTTGGTGCAGCAGCAGTTATTGGCTGTCGCTTACCAACAGCGTTAGCAGACAGCGACGGGAACTCCTTGTGCATGTTAAGGTGAGCCTCTAGCTCTGATCGCTGGATGACCTGTCCACACTGTGGGCAAGAGCTGGCAGCATTAATCGTCCCCTTCCATGCCCCTGTCCCCCGACCTCTGCCCTTTGCCCTCACGGGTTCTGTCTTCTCGCCAGCGAGGGAGCTGTTGTCTTGCCGGGGCTTGCTTTGAAATTTGGCATCGTTCTGAGCGGATATCAATTCTTGCTGCTTGACAAAATCCGGCAGTAGGCTCACCAGCTCATTGAAGATCAGTGGGAGGTTTTGGCCAAGCAGAGATTGACACTCGTAGTAGTATTCAGCAGCCATCATTGAACCGTCGCGGAACTTCCTGGAGATGGATCGGAACCTGTCAAATTTGGCCTCTTGATGCCCAAGGAAAGCTTTGATCTTTTTGGCTAGTTGCAAGTTGCGTTCCTGGAAATCGGTGGGCGGTACAAAGACGTTGAACCCAGGCGGGAGGGTTGGGTTTGGCATGTGGAAACTAACCCCGAATCCTGGCGGCGGGCTGACTGGATGGGAGGCTGCTGGCGGTTTGGGCGGTGCCACTGAAACGGGCGGTGCCACTGAAACAGGTGGTGCCACTGAAACGGGTGGTGCCGCTGAAACCGGCCGAGCCTGCGAGGCAGCAGGACCTTTTGGAGCTAGTCCCGGGGGTAAGCCAGGGGGTATTCTCTGAGGAGCAACTGCCTGGCTTTCCTTAGGTTTGGCTTCTTTCTTGGCAATGTCAAAACCTGGTGGAGCTTTTGGATTCTGCTTACTTGTCCCAATGTCTGGATTCTCTTTGGAAGATTTTTTCCCTTTCTTTTTCGACTTTCCAGCAACAGGTTTGGCTTCGGTGGGCATGGCAGCTGACTTGTCCTTGGGAGTGGCCCACGCAGGTGTGGTCTTAGTTTTAAAGGTGGGCGTAGTCCTGCTGGGTGCGGCTTCTACTCCCAGAATTCCGGCAATGGAGCTCAGGGTTGGAAAATCCTCCTCCCTGTTTTTAAACGATCGCTGTGCTGGTACCGCAACAGGCTGATGCTGAGGTTTGGGTTGAGTGTCCATTTTCTGCAGGGCCGAGTAAAAGTTGAAACCACCTGGTGCACCAGTAGTACCAACATTCGCTGGAGTTGAGGTTTTCATCAATGCCGGGAAATCCTCAACTTTTGCACCCGAGGACATCCTTGTCACTGGCTTTGGAGGATGCACTTCAGCCTTCGCATCACTTGATTGATGAGAAGTCTCCATTGGTTTGTTGTCTAAGGGCTTTGGAACGCTCAACAAAGACTCGTTTTCACTACTATTTTCATTTTTGTCTGATGCACCCTTGCCTTTCTTTTTCTTTTTCTTCTTACCAGTCTGTGTATCTGTCTCAACTGGTTGCGGCAAATTAGTGTCAGCTTTCCGATTTCCATTTTCATCCTCTAAGCACTCAGTGTTTTTCGATGATGGTGCCCGCATTTCCTCCTTGATCTCTGTCTTTGCTTCCTCCACCTGGGGCGACGCCCGCCCACCCTTTTTTTGCAACCTCGTCTCATCTATCCCCGCCTCCTTGGCTACAGTTTCCATAGCAACCGCATCACTGCTAGCCTCCTCTCCAGTGCCGTCTCTATCAGGCTCTGGTTCAGCGTTGGCTGCCGATTTCTTCTTCGGCTGCGGTTTGTCTTTGGTCCTTCGGGCATCTCGGTCCTCCCGTTCTTGCCTCCTTGCATCCCGATGCTCTGCCATCTCTCTTTTCTTCGTCTCCATGGAGGCCTGGATGGCAGTGGAGAGGCCATCATCCCTGAATGCAAGAAAACAAAACATCAACTGATAGGTCACTTGAACTTGATGGGATATTTTGATTGAGAAGAGATTAATTTTAATTGCAGATTTGATCCTTTATTTATGTTATGTATAATAATTTTTTACTTAAAGCTTGTGAGAAATATTGTTGTGATGGACTTAAAAGAATAGAATACTGAAGTGACTTTTTTGGGTATTACACAAATGTGAGAGGTTTGATTTGTTTCTCTCTTATTACCTTGAATGATTCAATTTTCAAACATATTTAATATTATTTACTCGGTCTATTGAATGATGTTCATATAAGTATTGAAATGACAGTAGTGCCCGAGTGCAGTGCACAGTAGTGGTTATGGTTCAAACTTCACTCTTACCTGTTCCCATGGTAACGTCTCTCTCGTCCTTTGCCAAAACTTGGGCCACCTCCACCGCCACCTATCAACAACAGCAAAATTTATCAATGTTAGGGTGACTTTTTTTGGCAAACATCCAAACTTTTCAATCAGGAATACAAATCCATCCAAATCGAATACTATGCAAGAACTCAAATCACAGAAGGGGTGTCAAGGGGTAACAAGCTCCATGTAAATAACCCATAAGCACCTGTTCTATATTGTATTACATTGTATTACATTGTATTACATTGTATTACATTATATTTATTTCTTGATGAATCCATAAGACCATACAATGCTTGGGTGGTTTAGGGTGGTACGGGGAGCAACAGGCAGGGCAGTCTGGGGCGATACAGGGAGTAACAGGCAGGGTGGTTTGGGGCGATACAGGGAGTAACAGGCAGGGCAGTCTGGGGCGATACAGGGAGTAACAGGCAGGGTGGTTTGGGGCGATACAGGGAGTAACAGGCAGGGGGGTTTGGGGCATACAGGGAGTAACAGGCAGGCAGTTTGGGGCAGTACAGGGAGTAACAGGCAGGGTGGTTTGGGGCGATACAGGGAGTAACAGGCAGGGCAGTCTGGGGCGATACAGGGAGTAACAGGCAGGGTGGTTTGGGGCGGTACAGGGAGTAACAGGCAGGGGGGTTTGGGGCATACAGGGAGCAACAGGCAGGGCAGTCTGGGGCCGTACAGGGAGTAACAGGCAAGGTGGTCTGGGGCCGTACAGGGAGTAACAGGCAGGGCAGTCTGGGGCGATACAGGGAGTAACAGGCAGGGTGGTTTGGGGCGGTACAGGGAGTAACAGGCAGGGGGGTTTGGGGCATACAGGGAGCAACAGGCAGGGCAGTCTGGGGCAGTACAGAGAGTAACAGGCAGGGTGGTCTGGGCGGTACAGGGAGTAACAGGCAGGGTGGTTTGGGGCAGTACAGGAACTTATGGGACAATGAGTGCTAGGCACTACCTTTCTTTAACAATTTACAAAACACTCTGACAAAGTCCCAGGATGAATCTTAAAGAGTCTGGGTGAGTAACAGGATTAGTATTAGTGTATAAGCAGGGCACATTGCCTATGCCTTGACTTTTCAAATTTCTCTACCTCTTTCGGAGGGTCTAGGTGGAAGGTTAATCTCCACGTCAATCTGCCTCATCTGCCGAGCCTGAGCTCGAGACATCTGATTGCTGTGGGCAGTGGCCCGGTGCGCCTTGAGGTCGATGCTGGAGCGAAAGGCGTGAGTGAACTGCTCTTGGGAACAACGATCCTCCTCGCAGAGGTAATGCTGCTCACGAAAATGCTCCTTCAGATTGTCGTAATCACTGGTGAAGAGAGGATAACATTGCAAAGTTATCTATGAACTTAAAATTTACATCTTCCGTACGCACTTATTTCATCATTCAAATAAGAAAAGCAGCTTACTGGTAATATTGATTGCTGACGCCGTCGGCCTCGCAGAAATGACAGTAGTAATGATCCTGCCGCAAGTGCCGCAGTAACTCGTCGTTGTCGAAATACCGCTCATCGCAGAACTCGCAGAGAGGGTGACCGCGGTATGACGTGTCCTTGCCATCCCCCTTGCGCCGGTGCAAAGCTAGGTCCTTGCGGGAGTAAGCCTTACGCTCAAAGGAAAACACCTGTGTTGGCACGGTGACAATAGTTTGTTATGACTACAGAGTATAAAATGGTAAGCCCATGCCAAATATTCCAATGTTTGAATATCATTTGATTATTTCCAACAGGGTTTACCTTCAAGTGTTTGATGCACAACTCACAGTAGAACAACTCGTGTTCTCTCCGCAGGTGGTCCTGTAAATCCTTGCAGGACTTTTCAGGCGGACGGAGTGGACACAAAGTGCAGACTTCCCAGAGCAGACGACGGAACTCATCCTGAATCTTGGACGTAGCAAAGGCAATGCCTGCCTTGCGGTTTATAGGGAACTTATGGGATATGATGCCATCGAAAGGATGCAGCTTAGCGGTGGCTATGACCTGTAGATAATATAAGGATAAATAATAAAAAATAATAATAATAATATCAATAAAATTAATCACATCTTTAATCCTGCTCCCTTGGCCTTTATTTTAAGGAATGGACCTTTAAAAGGTAACTTTCCTCCCAAATCAACTATCCGCAGGAATCCAACACCACCTTTTTTGTACTTTAAACTTTCAAGCCTGATTGAAAGTTATAATTATTGTCTGGGCTCTGAATCCTGTAGAATCATGCAAAACTACACGTTAGATTTGAAAGAATCATTGTTTTATCAACGCAATAAGATTTTTGTTTTATAAATCCTGAGAAGATATTTTGATTATCTGTACAAATACTGAACTAACCAGTAGATAAGTAACATTAGAGACAGCTTAATCTAATAATTTCTATCCTCAAAAGACTTACTGAGTATATTTCAGTAGGCCTTATACGTAGTAACCATCTTACTTAGTAATAGAGGGCAAGCAATGCCTTTGTTTTGCTGGGCATGCTGGGATAAGCATGAGTGAACCTTTGTGCATTCGTAGTAACTGAATAAAAAAATTTAAAAAAGCTGCTCTCCAAGATGGCCTCTACGCTGCGGTCTGTAGTAGGGTAAAAGCTGGGTTTTTTTTCTTCTATTTATGCCAAAAGCAGAAAAGTACCCCCCCCCCCCCCTAAACAAAAAAGAAAGACCCCCCCCCCAAAAAAAAGAGTAAAAAATGAAAAGACTACCCTCTACAAGTGTAAATCAAATTTTCAACAAATGTTTGAAGTAGTTAATCATTTAGGACCAATACGTGTTATTACTAGGCAAATCTGTGTTTAGTACCTTGGGCATTTCGGCCCGGCAGACGGCACAGTACCGCTGCTCACACAACACCCGCATTCGCGTGGAACACTTCAAACAGATGTGATGATTGCACTGTCCAACGGCGTAATACTTAATACTGCCGCAGCACAACACACAAGTCGACGAGATGCTGTCCGTAGTTTTCGACATTTTGGGTTGATATCCAGACGCCTGTGTGCCTTCAAATTTCGCGACTTGACGTTGTTTATGCTCCGTAAAGTTGTGATGAAATTGCAATGGACGGGGGAAACACGGCGCATTGACATCATCAACCGCGCGCTAGAGTGAAATGGCGCCACCAAGAATATACTGGTGCCCGGCAAAACCGTCAAATCGCAAATAGCTGTGAAGTGGAACCAGCGAGGGGATTGCACAATGTCGTGTACATAATCGTGGTTATTTTTAGAAAGTGAACACGCAAGATAACTGGGCAATAACCCACTTCAAAGTGACGTTATCAATGCAAAATAAAATAGTAAATTAAATTAAAGGTTTAAGAGTTTATTAAAACTACAATTAAATGTGAGGGTACTCGCATTGGCAGTTTATTTCGCCGATGGCAGGGTGCGGTTGGGTGGGGGTAAAGAGGGGGGGGGGGGGCGGGACGGCTGGGATTCTCTAGAAACAAAAAATATTATTAAATTTTCCATCTGTAATTTTCTGTAATAGTGATATGATGTGCTCTTCTATTCTACGAGGCTACACTGCAGTAGTATTTCAGCATTCGCAAAGAAGTTTAACTTGGGGGGGGGGGGGAGGGGGGTACGCTATAGTCAATCCCTGGCCCTAGGAACAAACTCAACAAGAGTGAGTTGAGGAAATGTGATCGTGATCGGATATTTGGAATTCTGATTCTGTTTTTTTTCTTCGTTTGTTAGCATTTTGGGCTTTGAAATTGGGGTAAGTTGAAAGGGCGCTTGTTTGTAAATTTTTGGACAGGCTATAGTGTGACGTTTTTACTAACGAACCGGATAAAGAAGGCGCTTCTGTAAAAAAAGAAATCCTGTGAATTTATGGCATGTCAAGTACACCATAGCGCAAGTTTTCGGGCACTTTCTTCGTACAGATTAAATGTGTATTGAGTTGACACGGTGCACGTCAGGGATTCAGACTAAAAATGTAAACAGAAATTATTGTGTACAAAACTAGGCCTACGGATGGGCGATAACGGTCGCACAGCAGATGGCGGGTTGTCCGAAATTTCTTTTCTGAGCGTGCTCAAGTACTGTTAAATAAATGTGGAATGAGTAATAGCAAAAATGAGGGGTTATATTGCACATACGTAAGATTGCCTTAATGGTGTTACCTGAGGCTGCACTGGCATGACTGGTTTGTTGTGGTAAGCATGGTAAGGTATTGTTTCCATTTGTTTTGCGTTGTTGAACATTTTTTACGTTGTTTTGTGCAGAACACAATAACATTTACAGAAAAACAATAATTACAAAAAGGCAGTGTGTATTTCGTTATTTGACCGTCAACCGGTCCCTGATTATTTTGGTTGTTGTACCAACCAGTTCAAGAATAGATTTGACAGTTACTTGAAAGAATCTGGATATGGGGTCAAAAGGCTTAAGAAGGCTTAAGCCTATCCGAAAGGAGTACATAAAAAATTTTGTACATGAATTACATGCATGTATATATACATGTACATGCACAGAGGAAGTGCCAACACAAGAACAGCAAAAATGCGGAACTGGTTCATGGAAATATAAACACTTCGATAACAAAAATAACGAAGTGGCTATCGTTACGGCACTCGTTGTTTAGCGCCCTCTACGATATTTTTTTGATACGCACGCAGGTATATAATTATTTGTTTCCACACGTTTTATCGAGCAGTGCGCCAGCTCAGCCGATAGAGGTTAGGATTTTGCACCGCGAGGTTGCGGGTTCGAATCTCAGTTTTGCACTCGAATTTTTTTCCTTTTCTAACCTGAGGCTTTGGAGGATTTTTTTTAAAAGGGAAATAAAGTCCGAATTTCATAAAGTTCAAATTCACTTTTTTCCTTCTAATTTTATATTTTCTTGTCATGTTTTTTTATAAAAGTTGCCAGGTTGCAGTCTACCGTAACGATAGAAAATGGGAAATGCGTTACGGCTGCCGTAACAATAGCCACTGCGCAAAAATAAAGCAATTTGCATAGAACAAACAAGCGAAACAAAACAAAACAAAAATTAATTTACTTACAAATTTTTTGATTTGATACTTCCAGACAAAATCCTTAATACCGTAATTTTCGGAATATAAGCCGCGCGGCGTATAAGCCGCAGCACGCAAAAATCTGCAAATTAAGATTTGAAGTCGGCGTATAAGCCGCATCGGCGTATAAGCCGCACCAACCGCAGCGGTTCAACTTTGTAAGGCCTCCAAATTCTAGTCAAAATGCTCTGAACCAGTTCCATTTACACTACGAAAGCTATAAAAGGGCCACATAAGTTATGTCAAATCATTTACAGTCGATTACTCTTACAAACAAATATGGAAATTGATGATGAGAAATAAAAAACGGGAATTGCTGCCGGCTGGCTCGTCAGTGAGCCTGTGCCGGCGACTGACATTATTTTCCCCCAGCACTTGAGAGAGTATGCAACCCACCATGTGTTGTCTGACTGGAGCGCTACAAATCCTGCTTTGTGGCAACAGACGCTGAGTTGTTTTGTCCTAAAGGATAAACAAGTCCGTTTTTACAGCAAAACTTATCAAATTGTTGTGATTACTAACGAGTAGTAGGCCTAACGTCAAAAATTCAAGTTTGGATCGTAACACGATGCTGAGATTTTTATGGACGAATCCATTAATTTCGTAAGGGGTGATTTCACCCCTGTTTTGAGTTTTACATCGTTTCTTGAATACATTTCAAGAAAAAAAATTATATTGTGACGTTGAACAACTGATTCTCAAATAAAGATATGTTTCAAACTCCATAAAAAGTATTAGTTGTCTTTTTTCTTTTTTTAAACAGGGGAAATATTGGTAATTATTGTTCCCAAGAAAGTACACCCCTTTATTACCACAAATGGTGTGGTCCATGGGGAATTCATGCAGCATGCATGCAGCATATGCAGCATCACATACGGCCGGTTGTCGATGTCCAAGGGACAGCTTTCACTAGTCGTACTTTTTACCGCTCGGTACCTTTTTGTGGGACATGCTTTCGGTTTGTTAATGACTTTCTTAATTGATAATTATTTCAGCAACACATCTCTTCTTGTACCAGTACATTAAATACACATGTAAATGTCATTTTTATTCTTCAAGTCTCGACGTATAAGCCGCCCTGTGTATAAGCCGCAGTAAACATTTTCATGGGCAAATTCAACGTATAAGCCGCGGCTTGTATTCCGAAAATTACGGTAATAATATTTCCCATGAAAATCTGCATTTTAATTTTTTTTTTAATTCACTATGCATTCTTATTTCCAGAAGCTGTGTCGCTGACATTCTATTAACCTGAACTCACTCATGGAAGACTTCAGAACCAGCTACCTGCGTCTCTGCAAGGAAAACCGATTGGAGCCGCAACAGAGCGTGCTCAGTCACTTAAGTCATGGCAAGCACACTGAGACCAGTGGGGGAAGGAGTCCGCGCGGGACACCATCTAAGATGGGCCCTGGGAACCACGGCGTAGTGTTGGATCTGTCGACCACTTCCCTGACTGTGCAGACATGTTCTGTGCTGGGGGCCGCGCTGGCCAAGGATTGCCTGTATGGGGAGCTGCGACTATCGGACTGTATGATTGGTGATGAAGGTAACATAGATGGAGCAAGAGCTGACTCTGTCAATCATTGTTTTCCAGCGAATGATGTTCGACTCATATGCAATGGAAGAGTCATCAGTAATGGACTATTTGATATTAACTATTTGATACAGACTATATTTGACTCCTCAATGGTTTGCACTTCACTGATTTAGATTTGGGATAAAAAGTTGCATAAGATATTTGTATCAAAAGCTCAAAAAGACTCCCATGGGAGTATAGAGCTTGATACTGTTAGTTCTGTGTAAAGGGATAATTCACAGCTTCCTGTCATCTTAGGGTAGATACAAGCAAATTGTGATAAAGTGTCTTGCATAAGGACACCCACACTGCAATCGCATTGACTGGACTTAAACCCTTAGTTGGCAGAATAATTGGCACATTATTAAATTCACCACATCGGATCACAAGGCCAAAACCTTCCAAAAATCCTTTATGCATTAATGCTATAATTTAGTCTGAAATATAGTCTTGAGAAACTTAATTCTCCTCATTATTTTTTCAAGGGTTCAAGCTTCTTGCACACAGCTTGTGTTCCAACGCAGCAGTCAGGAACCTTGATTTGAAGGGTAACAACCTCAGAGGACCATCAGCAGAAGCACTGGGCAAGCTACTCGGTCAAAACCATACTCTGAGAAGGTAAATGGATATCAATTACTCTGTCAAATCATTAAAAACTATATCACTATAGATCCAAATTCTCTTTTACTGTGCTACCTGACTGACTTTGTGAGACAAATTCAAACCCACTGTCTCCTGTTTACTAGTCCAGAGGTTCGAACCACTCGACCACCAAGCTTGGAGGGGTCAGCTGGCTGATTCAAATTTGTTATAGCAGTGGTTTTATGATGTAATGATTGAAAGCTTTAGCATAATTATATTCCGCAAGCTCTGTTGGAGCATTGAGTTGACAAGGCTTATAAAGCTCCCACATTGAAGAGCAACATCCAATATTAAAGTTATATCTACATTCAGTCTTGAAGATAGTCAGGATGCTTCCACCATGAGGAAATGTCTGTGGCTGTTGTTATTAGTCCACATTTAATTTATTCATTCAATTTTTTACACAGTAACCCCACATTTTAGTGACTGATGTGCTTTTTTTACAGACTGTGTTTAGAGTGGAACTCACTTGGTCTGGACAGTGACCGCTTTGCCCTTCTGGCTGAGGGTCTTGCAGCTAACAACAGTCTAGAGGTCTTAGATCTACGTAACAATCAGATCAGTCATGACGGCGTATCGGAGCTGTGCAAGGCATTGCAGAGGAACTGTGTTCTCAGTTCATTGGGTAAGAACTCAACTTCATCTTGGAAGTCTAGTTTTGTCCAGTCTAGTACCAACAACACAGAACTGGCTATTAATTGTTATAATTTCAAATTACAGTTTTAGATGTGGGAGGAAAACCCCAGAAGAATATTCTTGGAAAAACCCACAGAATCAGGTTGGGACTGAAAACCTAATCCACATGTGAACCAGGGCAGGAATCGAACCCGGGCCATGGAGGTGGACAGTGAGGAATGGGGTAACCACTGCGCCAAGCTGACTCCTGTAGTAGTCAAGGTCCAGTGTATGTATTGTTGTTTATTAGACTAACATAAATTAACATTACATTTTTGTTAATTGATTCCTGTCAGATTTACGGTGGAACAATATCGGGATAGTCGGGGGCCGCTCTGTTCTTGCCATGCTACAATACAACAAAACCTTGACGGAGTTGGAGCTTGCTGGAAACAACATCACTCAAGACATCATGAAAGCTATAGGTGAGAACAACAAGTCATTCAGTTTTTGCTGATCAAAGAGGGTCCTTACTGACTCGCTGACGTACTGACTGATTGTCACTTGGGACTTAGCCTGGTTGTTGGCTAGTGAAGAGTGCTGGGCAGTGCTATTTTATAGGATTACCCCATAGTGTACACCGCATGCATGGAAATACTTCCAGTGAATAGCCATTCTGATCAACTGAATGAATTTGTGTGTGCTCTTGGACTCGCTTTACTAGGTTTTCCTTGTCTTTACCATTCATGAAACTTGTGTAAATGTACAGACAACATGCTTTCAATATTTCTTTTGTAAAAAACTTTTGTAAAGGAAATTTCTTGAAGCAATAGGTTTCCCTTTTGCAGCCATTTACCTTGAGTAGCTTTTTACCTTGTAACAAGACAAATTCCATTCAAAAAATAAAGATTATAAGCTCGTAAAGATGTTTAAAATCTGTCTTGAATTTTCATTATCATCAGATGTTGCTAGGCAACACAATTTAGACCGAGCCAGCTTGACCAATGAGCATCAGAGCAGGCAGAGCATCATGACGCGGGAGATCAAACAACTCCGAACACAGAAGAAGCAACAGGTCAGTGATGTACAGACAGATAGACAAATAGACTGACAGACCAACTGATTAAAGAGACATGGACAAAAAGTGCTCCGTGTTCATAGTAGCTGTTTTTTGTGAAATTCTGTAATAGGCCTCGGATTTGCTGCATAGAATCGACCAACAGAATGAGCTTCAGAGTAGAACACACCGGGACACCGCTCACAAGATCCACCAACTCCAAGAAGCACTGGCTGAGAGGAAGTGTGCTTTCAATGCACTCAATGCAAAGTAAGTGTCTTCTGTCTACTGCCCCGTGACATATTATTACTCTCACCCTCCAAGATGCTTCAAAATCAACCTGAAGGATTGAGGAACGGTTTGATGCCTCTCAAAAGTTTGGAGTTCAGCGAACGTACTGTTTGTCTCTTGCAATTTTAGTGATTCAGAAACATTATCCAATGAACACGAATATTGCATTCCAATAAAAAAAAGGAGTAACCTAGAAATGTAAAAAGTAAAATGATTTCAAATGCATTGGATTTAGGTTGATTTGTTTTATCAATAATTTCTAGATATTGTTTCACTGAGCTGTGTGTACTAAGTTTTTACAGTCGGCAACCTCCAAAATATTGCACCAAAAATCTTTAAACAAATTACATCTTTTTTTCAATGAGAATATATTTCAATTTTGTTCAATTTCTTATCACACAGATTGTCTAAAACTGAGGCAGAGCTGCTATTGGCCGAACAGAGGTCACGTGACTTAAGTGACATACTGGAGGTGTCGAGGAAGGAGAACTCATCACTAGTTGCAATGCACCAGAAAGAGATGCAGACACAACTAGGGGTAAAAATACAATAATCAAACCCTAAAATTGTCTCTGTCCTAGCCTGCAATGTGGGCATGCAAATAAAAATAATCATACTCTTGATTTTCTTTCTTTCTTATTTTTGTAGGAAAAAGCATCCTCAGAGAGCAAACTCCTGCATGACATTGCCTCCCTGAAGGATCGCAATCTCCACCTGGAGACTAAAGCAGATGAGCTTGACAAGCGATGTCAGCATCAACAAGACCAGATCTATGAACTCAAAGAAGAGCTAGCGACGAGCCACGCCCAGGTCAAACTACAAGCCACACAGGCTGAAGGTAAGAACTAGGTGGTCTCGATCCAAGACTGGATTTGGATTTTTGTTTCCCCAATGAAGCCAGTCCCTGGCAAGTACGGTCTAACATGTAGTTGGCGTTATCATCAAGATGAATCAAATGCAGTCTTGAGAAAGAAATTCTCAACTTACTGTTTTCAAGCTAATGTGCACGTGTGAGGTATGCTCAGAATTTGTCAAGTCCAAGTAATGAAATTCTAAGATTTGGTTTGGTTCATCTTGTTGCTATATTTCTTTACCACTGCGGCATCTTGACAGCACTCACCATGGTTTGCCTGCATTAGGGAATCATCTGTTGTCAGACTTAGCTCAAGACTAAGCATAAGTTTGTAGTCCAGTTCTTCCCTCCAGTGATTGCATAGGACCTTAAGGACCGAAGATGTTCATTTTTTTTCTTTTCTCCAGAGCGTCTCCAAAATGAGAAACAGCGTCTGCGCGACCAGCAGCGAGACTTGGAGCGACGCCATGCCAGCGAGATGCAACACCAGCGAGAGTCAGCCGAGGAGAGCGAGCGAGCGTACCGAGATCGCATCGTCAAGCTGGAGGAACACCGACGGAGTTTAGAAGAGGAGATGAGTAAACTCAAGAACCAGCAGCTGACGGAGAGGTTGGCGCTGGAGGAACAGATCCTCAGCACTAGGCAGAGGGTCAAAGAAGAAGAGGTTAGTTCATTGCAAATCATTATAACAGGTTGCAACTCATCATAATTCATTGCAAGTCAATATATTTCATAACGAATTATTACAAGTCATTGCAAGTCAATCACAACTCATCAGTAGTCAATCACAAGTCAATTTAGTCATCACAACTTATAAGTTATCCCAACTCATTACAAGTCATTACAAATCATCACAACTCATCACAAGTCATCACAAGCCATCGTAAGCCATCACATGTCTTTACAAGTCATCACAATTAGTCATCACAAGTCATCACAATGAATTACAAGTCATCCAAGTCATCACAAGTCAATCAGAAATCATCGCAAGTCAATCACAAGTCCTCACAAGTCATCACAAGTCACCACAACTCAATCAGAACTCGTCACAAGTCGATCACAATCCTTTTGCAAATTTTTGGCCAATATGGCAACCCTGTGCAAACAGCAAACGTTTTATGATTTGTACCGTTTTCTTTGTCTCGTCAGCATCAACGCATGAAACACCTTGAAGACAAGATCCGCCTCCTATCCAACGCTAAGGATGACATCCAACAGCATTACTCCCAGCAGATGCAGACCATTGCTGAGCTACAGGCCAAGAATAACAACGCTGGGCTGGAGGTCGAGTCACTCAAACGCAGACTTGAGGAGCTTAACCAGGTAACGCCTCCCACTCTCCATAAGCCCCACCCCCAAGGAACCTCCCTGAATCCACTAATAATTGACCCTTGTGTAGGAAACAAATGGCACATTCTTTGAGCTTAAACTGTCAACATCATTAAGCACCATGTAAAGTTATATAGTGACTGTATCATACTTTATCCTGCAAAATCAACGTACTCTTACAGGAGATCATTGAAATTAACCCATTCTCTCAAAGACATGACGATACCTTTGTCTGATTGTTTCCCTGTTTTCCTGTTTCCTTTAGCATCAAAAGAATGGTCTGGGGCAACGTCCGTTAAAAAAACCCTGTCCTGTTTGTATCTCCTTTTCTTTAAGCCTATTCCTCCAAGGTCCTTCAAACCCGACGAGAAATTTTGAAAAAAAATTTGAGGATGAAGGAAAAAAGAAATACATTTTGTACTCTGCCATTTGTTTCCTGTATGGTGAAGGATTTTGGATAGGTTTCTAGCCAAAAAGGTTACATTTGTTTGCTAACAGTTTGGAAATTAGTTTCATGGGAATTTTGTTTATGCAACAGGAACTCGCTGGCAAAAACAACGAGCTCCAAGCAGAGGTCAACAAAGTCAAGCTGAGCTCCAGCAAGCAACTGAGCAGGATGGAAGCCCAGATACAAGACTCAGAGTCCTTGCGAGAACGCTGCTCCACGCTAGAATTGCAGCTGGCTGGTGAGTCAGTCTTTAGCCTGAACACTGATGCCACATTGCTAACTCAGATATAAAGCCGCATTCGAAGGAGGCCGTGTCCGAATTACTAGGCTGTGGCAGGAAGTTACATACGCGCCTATGGTAGCGGCTGCAGCCACTTCTCATAGACCTGTGTGTTACTTCCAACCATTGCCAAGTAATGCAGATGCGACTTGACTTGGCTACGGCTCGCAATTACACACGTATCTATAGGAAGTTGCTTAAGCCACTCTCTATAGACACTGTGTTACTGCTAGCCACAGCCCAGTCAGTTGTACCGACTTAAGGGTCAGAGATCAGCCAGCACATAGTTGCCCGTTTGACCTCTAATGGTGGGTCAACTAAATATTTAAACACCCAAGTAGCTATCGAAAAGGCTGATCAGACTATAGAAAAGGTAGAATTATGAAGCTCTGAAAGTGATGGCTGTCCTCATAATTATGCATGAAGAGGATGAAATGAGACTTCAAAACTGCTCAGACAAAATGAACTGGCACAATCAGTTTTGAGCTGTCCACCCCCCCCCCCCCCTCACCCCATCCCTTCCCCCCCCCCAATAAAAAAACAATATTTTGCAGTCTGAGCCTCTGTCATTTTATTGAAATTATTTCGCTCTTTCGCAGAGCAAACAAGACGACATCGCACAGAGCTGATGGACCGCGACAACGAGACGGATAGCCTTAGAGAAAGGATGCGATCCCAGGACATGGAGTACAGTCGTATACAAGAAGAGGAAACACAACGTGCAGGGATGCTGCAAGCGGCAATCTCCGGCTATCTCACATCAACCAGGACCCCCATGTCTACACCTCGGAAGTAATCACAAAATTTGGTCCAGACAATAAGACATTTTTCTGAGAGTATGACGGTACTGTTTTACTGTCATTTTCTTGGTTACGAAAAATATTTTTATCATGTTTAGCACTTTGGATGCGTGACTTCAATAGCAACATGGTGACTTACATAAGTACCCTGGGTTTTACATCAGTTTTTCCCTAAGATGTTTTGTCACTGTGCCAACTGAAAAATATGGCCAAGCATTTGCCTCAAAAAGGCCACATTTTGAAATAGTTGTTGTTGAAATTGTGGTCGGGCAACAGTTGTTGACCATTCCCACTATTTGTCCAAACAAATATTTTGTATTGAAAGTACACGCTTAGTGCATGTAAAAACAGTCCTAAATAGCTTTTCTATTTTGTTTTATTTGAGCAGTTTTTGTGTCTTCTTTCATCCTCCACTCTGTATTGAGCACCAAGTTTGTTTATTGCCAGGTGTGACGCTGTATTTTTTTTATCGTGCATGAACATTGGCTCAGACTTTAAATAATTTTACAAAACTTTTTATTGATGTACATATAAATACTTATGACACTTTTTATAAATTCACCTTCCAGATGTTTCCATCAAATTTTCATTTAAAGGATTTATTTTGTGCGGCAAAGTGATAAGATACGTTTGGGTCCTTCCTCAGAAAGCGAGATGCTTCCATCCTCTGAAAATATTTCTTAAAGATATTCGAATAATTTCTCGTTCAGATAGGAGACATTCCATTACTTATCCCCTGTGCCATTGCCAGCTTGATAAACTTTCAATCGTGGAGTAGTTTTATTTGGTTTTATCATTCAAAATCAATTGCAGGGTTGAGAATTCTTTTTAGCATTTGTGTTTTTTATCCCAAATACCTCGTTCTTCGGATTTTCACAAAATTGTCTTCAACTGCGTACATGTAGTTGTTCTCTTTATTCCAGGGGTCAGCCATGTCCGATTTAGGCTGAGGGCCGTCTCAATTAACATCTGGGTTGAATTTCGGACAAGTTGCGGAAATTATATCAGGTGTAAGTTGCAGGTTTCTGAACTTCCCACAATGAAGTCATCAGTATTTGTAAGTCAAGCAGTTGCTCATGAAAGTTGCCCCAGATCATGTCTGGTACAAATGCAGAGCTTCTTCTGGACAAAGTGAAGGATTGTACCCGCAACTTGTCCAAGAGTTGTCCCGGTTATGGAGACGGGCCCTAACAGTATTACAGTAAATGTGGAAGTCTACTTCATGAGTCAAATACTAAAATAATTAAATAGAAGTTAGATTTATAGGTTAAGTTGGAGCTTCCAAACAGTCTTCGTACTTTAAATCTTCTATTTTCTATTTATATTAAAGAAACCTTGGTTTTGCACTTGTATTCAAAAAATAACACTCCTGAATCCTCCAATTTAATACGATTTTACACACCCCATTCGGAATTAGGGTTAATTAGTTTTTCAAAATTGTCAAAAGGATTGATGTTGGAATCCTTTCTCTCACGAGAATCTTTATATAAGTCATTTTGCGATATGGACAAAGCTCCTGCTTTTATTTACATGACAGACCGTATAACTCGTTAGGGTTTGTATAATCACTCCAGGTGAAATGCAGTGTGTTGCAGTTTTTATTTATGAACTTTCTGTCACCTAACAAAAATATCAATTGAATTTACCATGTTTGTCTACATTTTGTATAGATAGTGAAATTTATATTTAATATTTGTTAGACCAGTGTGCTGTTTCTATTTCATATTTTGATGTTTTGCCAAACATCGATACCAAGCACTTGTGCTTTTGTGTATTGCAATGATTTGTAGAGCAAAACTTTCATTATTCAAAGGTTGTTCTGATCTATCTCAGCAATTAAAAATCATCCTTCTTAGGCCAAAAAAAAAAAAAATTTGGTCTCTGGTCAGACCAAAGTTCCGGAATTGACGCGGCCACGCGGCTTTTTTTTTTTTCTTCAAGCTTGGATTGTACAGACAAGGTGGGGTACTATTTTGCTTTTTTGGTGTCCTCATGTACATTGGTGTCCCCCATAATTTGCCTTGGTGCTTTCGATCATTTGCCTTGGTGCAACTTCCCATTCCTTGGTGCTCTTTGGTAAAAAAAAATTGAGGAGGTGCGGAAATAGAGGGCGCTGTTGGAGCTACCGCGGAACATTTTGGGGAAAAAAAAGATCGACGCGCATGATTAAAATCGACGCGCGCGCTGACCAGAGACCGACTTATTTTTTTTTGTTGCCTTATGTCTATTAGCATTGGGAGGTTTTAAATATAATTAAGATGAACAGCTGAGAAATATTGCACAGAAAAAAGCTGGCATCTTAAAAAATAAAATAATTGTACGTGTTCATGAGAAAGGGCCATTTGTATGACTTGAATTTTATTATAAGCATTTCTTCTGTTAAACAGCGCTATAAAATTATATCCAGAATGATTTAAGTTTTGATATTTTTCAAAGAATGTTGAGAAACAAACGTTAACTAGAGAGAAGGCACAATCTTCCTTAAACCATTTATGTGAAAATCGGACGGGCTATAATTTGTTTACATGGTGCATCTCAGGCAGAATTCCACTTTTACATTCTCAACAATGATTTTTTAATCTTAAACATTTTCTAGTCTACAGCTGGTGGAATATTCAATTCCTTTGTCCTTGTCCTTTTGAACTTAAAAACTGCCAACCCATGACTAAGCCAAGAAACAGATTTCTGGCAGGAAAGAGATAAGGAATACAGGAAACACCATTGCAGGTCTAGAAGATAATAATGTACTAAATAACATGTCCCTGGGAATGTGGCATTGATTCAGGAACAAGATAAAAATGTGCGGAGTATACTAGTGTTCAGGGCAAACCCACTCTTGAAAATGTGCTGTAATTGTAAAAACTGCAGTGATTGCTTTGATGTGTTCTTCCCATGTATTCTATCATCCCATGATATTCCTAAATGTTTTTTAAATACTGTGTGAGATATAACCCTGTCATACACTAAATGAACTCTGAAATAAAAAAAATTAGAAAAAGACATGTACAAAACTCAATTTTGTATTGAAAGCTAAAGTTTTGTTAGAGTTTTTTTGTGTTTGGGGTCTGTCTTTTTTAGCATAGAATTTATACACAACTTTCACAAAATGAGCTTTCAAAATAGTTTCATTTTTGCTTGCATTGCAAGACTTTATAAATAATTTTAAATTCAACTGCAATTGGCCGGGCATTCAAATAGAAACTGAGAAACCGTCGGACACTTCCTGATTTACATTTATGGTTTGTTATTCCTATCATTACTTTCGGTTCCTTTGTTCACTCATGGAACTATAAACAACTTAAGAAAAACACTTTAAGGAAGTGAGCTTGAAGTACAATGTATAATTTACAGCTGCATTCTCATTCTTATGCAAATGAAGTCCCTGGGATATGGGCGGAACTCCTTAAATTTCCATAACGCCTTAAAAAGGAAATCACCTGCGACTGCGTGCCGTGCGTACCCCAGACGTCATTAATCAAAAGTACAGAACCCTCGACTGCGGGGGCCGGGTGAAAACATAAACAACTTGACATGATGGAGAGACAGCACAGGGTGAGTTGGCTCTCTCGAAAAGTCACTGTTTTTTCCACCATTTTTTTGTAGTATGGAATCGTGCTGTGTAGGATCGTTTTGGTCTTGTAGCCCTTCCCTGCTGTGTGATCCGCCATGATTCCATGATTGAGCATAAGACATTCGACTCGAGGCAAAGTTTGTCCATGGAGTGCTGTCGCCGGTCGTTGGCCGCTAGCTTCCAAGCGCGGCCCACCGCGTACCGGCCGGGGGGATTTTGTGGGCCCTTACGGCGGCGTGGCTCGGTTTGTCCTGCTTGCACACAACACGTACGTACGTACAGAGACGGTCACATAGGGAAGTGTGTAGATTAAGATTTTTCATTGTCATTACTTGACTGCTCAGTCATGTTATGTCTTACTTAAATACTTTAGCTCTCACCGCTCTCAGTCTCACTTTCTTCCCATCTAAACAAATTTATTACGTGTTGCACATTTGATTTAAAATTTGACGTCATATAACATGTCTCGAAGCAATAGGGCATGAATACTGTCACTTTTTTAGGGTCAGTGTCACCTACATTAGCTTGAATTCCATTTGCTTAAGTCTGAAATGGATTTGGCAGTTTTCAGCGCCATTTCCATTTGTCTAGACTCAGAAAATGTGCTTTTTATCTTCGGAAATGGTATTGGTATAGTCCCACTAACTGGGGCGCTAGAACTCCTTTTTTGACATTTGGGATGTTGGTCTGTGTCGTGCTTGTACGACAGACCAATGTCCCAAATGTCAAAAAAGGAGTTCTAGTGCCCCAGTTAGTGGGACTAGTATTGGTAGCATATTTCATGCAAATTTTGCCATTTTACATGTTTTGTAAGTAGTCTAGTGGATATTTTGCATTGCCGCCTTCCGGATCCGACTTTCAACGCATAGACAAGTAGGCCAACTTTATAAATAAAGTATTATCAGTCTGTGGAGTTTTGTTCATTTTTTTTATGCTAAAAATCTTGCAGTTTCCAACTACATGTAGATGCATTTTGATACCTCTTTTGGTCAATTGTCATTATGCTGTTGTCTGGTACCGGTATGAATCCATTTCCGAACTTAAGATGAAAATATCTTGTATGTCATTTTGCACTTGCTGAATTTCTTCTTGATGCCACCTTAATTGACTTGTGATGTTGTCTTTCAAAAGCGTCATCTCCACTTTGTCCAAAAAGTTTTTGGTTCCATCTTTCTTGGTAGCATATTTGTTACGCTGTTGTCTTGGATGTTTCCATTTTCCATCCCTAAGGCTCCTGTCAGTCCTGTGGTGCATGACATAATATTGTCCCCTTTTGTAACTCACTTATTTCGATGAAAACGCAGTCCTTCACTGCACTATGGCTGCCTCCTCTTGTTCGTACAGCTTCCATGGTGTTGGAAGGCTGCCATAATGATTTAATATCAGATTCTTGATATTTAAAATGCTGTCCAGCAGTTTGAGCAGGGCGGATGGAAAATCTCTCTTGAAGTTGAGGCACTGGAACTTGGACTTGTGGAAGATGAGGATGATGAACTTGGACTGGATGACGATGAGGTTTTCAGCAATGATGCACCTGTTTGTCGGAAAGTATGACCGATCACTTTCTTAGGGGCTTTACAGTGTTGTACCTGCAGAGATCTTGGTTGATATATTTTATCCAGAAGGGTTTTAATCAATGGTCGTGATGTGATGCCTGACCATAGGGTGAATGAGATGAGAAAACCCTTCTTCTTCAGTGACAGCATTACCAGTGTGTGCTGTTATTTTTGGCAGCTGAAGGTAAATCCGTTAACAGGAGGTGATCAGTTGCTTGCTACCCTGCCATGTATCAAGTGCTTGTTGATGGTTTCGTTGGCTTGCATTTCATGGAACAGCAATTGATTAAAATCTGTAACACAAGAATTGATACACAAGAATCCCAATCTTTTTACTTTCGGTTGCAGAAAGTAAACTTCTTGATTTTGAATAAAACATATAAATTTTTATTCATCGAACTTCTGAGTTCATTAGTGTTAGATGTTCCTTGTAATGTCTTCGATATGCAATTTGCTATGTCCACGGACATTGCTTCATCGTCGACCTTGCTTTGACAATTTCAAAGTTATCTTATAAAATACTTGTAGGAGATGGGTTTCTTGATGAAGCGGTTATCCCACTATCTGGTATCTTACTTGCCACATCTGTTGGTGAAAAAAGAGAGAAGACTGTGTGTTTTGTGGTTTGTCTGGGCTGGGCAGACAAATCGAATACTCTTCCCTTTTTGCCTTGGCCTAATCATGGTGGGTTGTTTAAATGTTCCTTGGCCTAATTGTGATATTGCTGCACAAGTTACGCACCCACCATTTGCAAGGTTCTTTTTCACATCCAAGCAATGTTGCTTGTCGGTCCTCTTGGGCTTGAAGGGCCTTGTCTGTCCGGTGATCTGTCTTATTGCCATGCATGGTGTACGTTGCACATTTGACATTTCTTATGCTGTTATCTGGTATGCTTCCGTCTTCCATTCCTAAGGCCTTGGAGGTGCATGACATAATATTGTCACCTTTTGCAGCTCACGTCTTAACTAGACCTGTTTCAAATATGGGATAAAAATTGACCATAACATCAACAGTGTAGGCCTACTTACGCAAAACTTGAACAGTTCCTTTCTTCGAAAGAGTCATGAGCCATTCACCTAGCACTTTGACTCCATTAATGATTGGGACAGTGAGTTCCCCACCGTCATCTGCCTTCACTAAATTGGAAGCCGTGATACGGTATCCTTGCAAAGTGGGGCAGAATTAACATTGCACTATTCCAAATCTTTTCCTTAATTGCCATTGGACTTGGTAACCTAGTAGTGGGGTGTATACACTAGGCATGATTGGTGGGGAATCCGCTCAGCAGTTGGCGGTACTGGCCCCACCCACCATGTCAGCCGTTGCTGGCATCAATTTGCTTGTTTGCTTTGAATCATTACCTGGATATGCTAAACCAGTTATGGTGGTATAAATATCACTACCGATGGTACCGGACTCACCCCTACCCGGAGTGACTGATTGTTGTCCAGCAGCATCCTCTGTTACATCTGGTGTCAAGTTCTTGGTCACACCCAGAGACATGGCCGTTGCCCTCACTGGCTGCACGTGAGCTCGCCCTTGAGCTCATTGTAGTCCAGCAGCATCCTCCATCACGT